TAAAAACGTTAATTTAAAGTGCTTTATTAGCTATAAAAGAAGAAGAAACTACTAGAAGGGATTAACTAACTAGATATAGTTATAATTAGTAACTAACTAATAATAACCTAATAAATAATTAATTAATTAGTAATTTAAATTTAATTTTATTTATTAAAGTAATTTAAATTTAAGTAATTTAAATAATTTATAAAATATTAATTTAAAGTGTTTTTATAATACTTAAATTAAGTAAATTATAATTATATATTTAGTAGTAATTTTAAATAATTAAAGTAATTTAATTAGAAATTATTTTATTAGTAGAATAAAGCTCTTTAATTAGTTAGAAGGAAGGAAGATTTTAGGAAACTAAAAAGGTGCTAGTGTGGGAATAGTAGGCTATAGTAGATTAGCTACTATAAGTGATAGTTAGCCTGTATATACGTATAGATTAAGTTTAGTTAGTAAGGTCTAGCTAACCTAACTAGGCGCTTTACCGTTTAGCTAGGTAGACTTTTAACTAATATTAATATATATTATTTTAACTATTTTTTATATGTAAGTTAAGCTAATTAATATAAATATAATAGATTATAAAGTTATTATAAAATATTTTATATAATAAACTTAATTAAATTAATTTTTAAAAAATATATTATATTTTATATTTTTAAAACTTTAATTATTTATTTTAATTTAATAATAAAATTAAAATAATATAAATAGTTTATATAATTAAATATTTTAAAAATATATTATTATATAAATATAAATAATAATTTAATTATACTATATATTTTTAATTTTAATTTATTTATTTTTTATTTTTATTTTAATTTATTTTATTTATTTTTATTTATTTTTTATTTTTATTTTTATTTTTATTTTAAAATATTTAAATAGTTAATTTTATTTATCTTTTAATTTATTAATTTATTAATTTATTAATTTATTAATTTATTAATTTATTAATTTATTAATTTATTAATTTATTTATTTATTTATTTATTTATTTATTTATTTATTTATTTATTTATTTATTTATTTATTTATTTATTTATTATTTATTTATTTATTTATTTATTTATTTATTAATTTATTAATTTATTCATTTATTTATTTATTTATTTATTCATTTATTTATTTATTTATTTATTAATTTATTAATTTATTAATTTATTAATTTATTAATTTATTAATTTATTAATTTATTAATTTATTAATTTATTAATTTATTAATTTATTAATTTATTAATTTATTAATTTATTAATTTATTAATTTATTAATTTATTAATTTATTAATTTATTAATTTATTAATTTATTAATTTATTAATTTATTAATTTATTAATTTATTAATTTATTAATTTATTAATTTATTAATTTATTAATTTATTAATTTATTAATTTATTAATTTATTAATTTATTAATTTATTAATTTATTAATTTATTAATTTATTAATTTATTAATTTATTAATTTATTAATTTATTAATTTATTAATTTATTAAGTTATTAATTTATTAATTTATTAATTTAAGTTTTAAATTTTTAAAAATATATATAATTTATATATATATTATTAATTAAATTTATATATATAAAATAAAAATGATATTAAAAATAATTAATTATTAATAAATAGTTATTAAAAGTTTATTTAAAAGTTTTATATAAATTAATAATTCCTTTATTAATTAAATTTAATAAAAACTATTATAATTATTATATATATATTTATTTATATATATATAAAACTTATTAATTAATTTTTAAAAATATTTAATTATAATAAAATTATAAAAATATATATTTAAATAATATCTTTTATTAATATTATTTTTAAATAGTTTTAAAGATAATTATATATTTAATTAAAAATAAAATTAAAATTTATATATATTTTATAAAATAAATAAAATAAATTAATATTTATTATTATTTTAATTAATATTTATTTATTTAACTTTAATATTTATTTATTTAATAATCTTTATAAATTTATTAAATATAAACTTTTATATATAAAGTTTATATAAAATTATATATTTAATTAAATCTTTTAAACTTTTAATATTTTAAATATAAACTTTTAAAATCTTTTAATATACTTTTAATATACTTTTAATATATTTTTAATATATTTTAAAATACTTTTAATATACCTTTTAATATACTTTTTATATATTATTAATATATATTTTAAATTATATATATTTAAAATTAATTAAATATTAAAATATTAAAAGTTAAAAATAAAAATAAAAATTATATTTCTTTTAATATTTTAATACTTTTAACTTTTAATACTTTAAATTTTTAATCTTTTAATATTTAATTAATATTTAAATATGTAATATTTAAAAACTTTAAAAGAATATTTAAAAGAATTAAAATATATATTAAAAATATATTAAAAAAGTATTAAAAGAGATTTATATTTAAAGTATTAAAATTAAAAGAAAATTATATTATAAAGTTTTATAATATTAATTTAAAAACATTTATAAATATAAAATATTATTAAAAATAAATATTTAATAAATTTATAAAAATTATTAAATATTTAAATATTAAAGTAAAATAAATAAATATTAACTTTTATTATTTATTTTAAATAATTTAAATCTTTAATATATAATATTAAATATAATTTAAAAGATTATATTATTAATTTAATTTAATATTTATAAATAAAATATATTTTTATATAAAAATATATTATATTTTATATTTTAAAATATTTAATTAAAATTATTAATATTTAAATAATTTAATTTTAAATTAAAGATAAATAATTAAAATTTTAAAATAATAAAATATAATATATATATTAAAAGTTAATTAAATTAAATTTATTATATAAAACTTTTATAATAATTATATAATTATATAATTATTTATAATATTATTTATTATTAAAAATAATTTTTATATTAATATATTAAATTATATTAATTTAAATTAATTTTATTAAAAGTTAAAATTATTATAAATTATAAAGTATTTAATTTAATATTAATAAATATTATATATAAATATAAATTAATTAAAATAAATAAAATAAAATTATTTTTTAATTAAAGCTTTAATTTTATTTTATAAATAAATACCTTTTGTTTAACCTTATAAATAAAATTATTTAAAAGTAGTTATTTAAAAGATTATATTATTAAATTAAAAGTTAATTTTTAAATAAAGTAATTAAATTTTATTATTTAAGTTTATAATTTTAATAACTTTATTATAAATAAAAAATAACTATTTATAATTAAATTTTATTTTTAAAAATATTATTAATATTTAAAATAATTAATATATTTTATAAAAACTAAAGTATTATAAGCTTAATTTAAAGAAAATTAAACCTTATAAAGTTTTTAAACTTTAATTTAAAGTTTTTTAAATTTAATTTCTTTTAAAAAATATTAAAATAATTTTAAAAAGTTTAAATAAAGTTAAATTAAATTATAATATTAGATAATAATTAAAAAGAATTATTATTTTATTATTTTATTATTTTATTATTTTATTATTTTATTATTTTATTATTTTATTATTTTATTATTTTATTATTTTATTATTTTATTATTTTATTATTTTATTATTTTATTATTTTATTATTTTATTATTTTATTATTTTATTATTTTATTATTTTATTATTTTATTATTTTATTATTTTATTATTTTATTATTATTATTTTATTATTTTATTATTTTATTATTTTATTATTTTATTATTTTATTATTTTATTATATTATTATTTTATTTTTATTATTTTATTATTCTTATTACATATTTTAATTATATAATTAAATATTTAATGATTTTTATTATAATTTTATAATAATATTTAAATAATTTTAATATTTTTTAAATTTTAAATTTAATTTTCTTAATTTACTTAATTTACTTAATTTACTTAATTTACTTAATTTACTTAATTTACTTAATTTACTTAATTTATTTTATTATTTTATTATTTTAAATATTTTTAAAGACTTTTTATTTCTAATTTACCGTGGCCGCGTAGCGGACACCCGACAAAGCTCGTACATATAAGACACATAGAGCATAGTATTAAAATAGTAAGTGCTTAAGTCGCAGCGTTAAAAAAATATCGTGCCAATCATAGTACAGAGACAAAACAGTACATGGGCACGTAGCCTCAGCCTCGAGACGCACAGACAAGGCTCAACTTGAAGTGCTGGGAGGCGTCGCTCCCGACGGCGCCACTGACTTATTTGGTGAGAAACGACCAATTAATGAAACAGTGTTTCCAATGCGGCAGTGACCACAGCCTTACCCAGTAGATTAATTAAGCAATCCAAGTCTCCCGCGATACCACCGTTATTAGCTACCAGAGCTGCTGCTAGTTCTTCTCGTACGTAGTTTGTCGCCGTATCTATGCTCATCAGCAATAATCACAGCTTTCAAAGAGAGGCAGAGGAACCCACCTGGCGATGAAGTAAGGGGCCGGAATCAGCACCAGGGCGATGAACCCAAGTGCAGTATTTCCCCAGCCGAACCCCAAATCTTCGTCTAAAGTCCCCAGGGTTAGCACGCAGTATCCCAGTGGCCGGGGCGTGAAATAAACTTACAAAGAATTGGGCCAGCCAGGGGTAGGAAAGCGCCGACCACATTCCTCGAAGATGCCAATGCGGCGGTTGCCGTTGCTGCGTTCTCTGGGAACGCGTCGATCAAGTACGTTTGAATAGGAAGAAATATCCCGATCATCCCTAGCCCGAAGCACAGAAGCCCAGTTATCGGTGCGAGCCAGAATGTGTGGTTCTCAGCCGACCATCCGTACCAGAAGAATGACAATGGTATTAGGAACGAGAAGAAGACGCAGACTTTCAGCCTGACCTCGGGAATAGGGATGTTGTTGTTCTGTTTCGTGTGCTTGGCCATAATGCGGTCGCTGGTACTGCCAATCACGGCCACTCCCAACATGAAGCCTATGCCTAGTCCAATGTACGAGAGGCCAGAGAGTCCGATGCTCCATCCATAGATTTCGGTAAATACTCGTGTCAATGTTGTTAACAGCAGGTACAGAAGCCCATATACGAACCCCAAATAAAGGCAGAGGAGGCCAATAATGGGGGAAGTGAAGACAAACTGCAGTCAGGTCAGCAACGCTCGATGGTCGAATCCCCGAAAGTGTGAAGCAGTCATACCTTCCACGGTTGTAAGATAGCTTCCCTCATACTGATGTCCCTGCGTCCATCCGCATGTGGAAGCTCGACTGGGCCATACCAACCCAGATGATGCCACCAGCGTCGAGGTCGGCCTTCAAAGGCACGCTCTCTTGCCATGATGACACGCAGGTTAGTTTCCCTGCTCACAAATATTTGTAGCAGGAGTGTCAGGAACCCCAGAATGAACAGGAACCAGAATACCTGTAATATATTGGTTAGTCACGTACCGAATGTCCGTCAGGTGCAATTGTGGTTACCCATCTCCACCCAGCCTCCTGGGACAGGAATCCGCCCACGATTGGTCCGATGACAGGGCCGAGCAAGGGACCCAGCGCAAATACTGCAGTCGCTACTCCCCGTTCGTTGGAATCAAACAGATCGGATACTATACCTCCGCCAATAGAGAGACATGCAGAGCCACCAAGCCCAGAGAATATGCGGAATATGAGGAGGGATGTGATGTTCGGAGCGAGGGCGCAGGCAAGTTCCCATATGGCGAAGATAGCCGTGCTGATATCCAAGACCTGGACGGTCAGTGGGCATCTATATGACGCAGAGGATGGCTCTTGGGCACTTACTATCTTACGACCGAATTGCTCGCTCAAGGGAGCTGCGATGAGAGAGCCGACCTACACCCGGCTTTCAGATGATGGATTGTATACACTACCAGAGGAGGCCCACTGACCACGTATCCCAAAATGAAGAATGAAACCGTGAATGTGGACAATGTTGTAGAATCATTATCGAATTCAGCATTCATCAAAGATACCGCCGGGGCGAATATAGATGAGGCTAGCGGGCTGCTGCATCTCAGCATAGAAACATAAAATACCTACTGAGATCCTCACCTGACCAGGCAGAGCCAGCTAACCAGTGACATGACCAGCCACTTGCGGCCGATGGGCCACAGTCTGCGTTGATTAGTGTCAAGAGCGTGTCATTAGGGACGATATGCGGCACGCACTTAGGGTCATAGTTATTAGGCTGCTCCTCATACTCTTGCACGTCAAGTGAGTGACGCAAAGTCTGATCTCGGATGTTGAGGTCCTTGGCAGTGTTTTTGGCTGCAAGATCTTGAATCTCGTGTTCCGTCGCGGGATCCGGAGCCATTGGTGGTTCAATGCAAGGATTTCTTGGCTGCAACGTGGTCCCGATAGGTCTGGATAGCTCCTCACGGTGTACGAGGCGTTCGTGAGGAGAAAAGAAAAGAGGGTCAATTTGACAAGTCCTCCCTCCCGACATGAAAGAATGCACTAGGCTGTTCAGGCCAAATCCGCTACAATCGGGCAGAGGCTCCTCCACCTCTACCGAGAGATGCCAAACCAATTGCCGATGCCGAAGGAATCACGACTCGCCACTACCGAAAAAGTGGTGGAATCAGTACTTCTCACATAGTTACCGAATCTGCCAACCACGGCGCCGTGCGAGCACGATGGCCCACTATTTCTGCTCCTAATGCACCGGCCAAGCGTCGATAATATTTGAGCATATATTTCAGCATTTGGATACTTGAACGCCCGGCTAGGAACGGTATCGACCCCCGACACCCTGCGTCTCGATTGCATCATGGGAATTGGACAACAGAAGAAAAGAGTATTGATCACGGGCTGTAGTTCCGGGTCCATTGGGGAGGCTCTGGCAAAAGAGTTCCTAGATCGGGATGGTAGGTATTCCTTGGTACCCTTGCATGTAACTCGCTTGGCTGATTGGAAACCAGATTTTGTGGTCTGCATCACATCCTTACCGGGGGAGGAGCTCAAGGAGCTCAAAGCACTGGGTGCCGTCCCTTTTCATGTCGATGTGACCTCCACGGAAAGTGTGAAGTCCTTTAGAGATGCTGTTATCCAAGACGTGGGCGATGGATTAGATGTGTTGATAAACTGCGCGTGAGTGCTTTATCACGACATGCGCCCCTGCACCGTCCGGCTGGAATACTAACGAGATGACACAGAGGCATGAGTAAGAGTCAATCCTATAACGGCACGGGGTTTTACCCAGTACTGAATATCTCTAGATTATGTGATGCCGGCTCTGGACGTGGATCTTGAGGAACTTAAGCGCATCTTTGATGTTAATCTCTTTGGGACTGTCCGAGTCACACAAGCGTTCTCAACGTCCTTGATCAACCGTAAGGGAGTGATCGTGAACGTGGGATCTCTGGCTGCGTATGCACCATACGTTTTTGGATCATCTTATAACGCTAGCAAGGCAGCTTTGCTTGCATGGGGTAACACTCTGCGGATAGAGCTGAGCCCATGGAGGTGAGTGATTAGAGAGCTAACGGAGGAAAAGAAGCCCATGCTGACTTTTTGAAATTCTTTACACAGTGTACGAGTGATGACTATCATAGCTGGTCCAATCGTCAGCGGCTTGATGACCAGAAAGGAAAGGCAGCTGCCCCAGGACTCGAGATATCAGCCGATTGCGGAGGCTTTCGACCAGCGGACGACTCATGCAAAGCACGGATTTCAGGCAATGCCAACTGAAGACTTTGCTCGGTCTGTTGTTAGCCAGGTATTGAAATCTAAACCCCCACGTTCCTACTGGATCGGGCCGTTTAAGAACGTAGTCTGGTTATTGGAAAGTCTTGGATTGGCATCAGCGTGGAATTGGTTCTTTCGCAGGAAGTTCCAGCTATGGAAATTAGATCAACACTAGATTTCTCGCAATTTGATTTGCCTCGCAATCGCATAGTATGTGGTACGAATTCCCACCACCGGCTCTTTTGAAGGGCAGGGTGCTAGTTCAAATGTTGCTGTCTAAACCTGTGGCTCGAGATCCTATCATTGATGGCAGGGGATCCTATGGCAGACAGAGCAAAACCAACAGCCCTCAAGCGTGGAGAGAAACATGCACGTTTACTGCAGAGGCTATCTTCGCAAGCCTTGTGTCATCAAATGTAGCTCAAAATTGCCCCATAAGGTTACCTCGTGCGATTAGCGCGTCCCAATCAACTATGCCTGGCCCTCTGACAACATTTGAAGTGTCCTCCTGAACGCATGCACTTGTGATTAGTATCAAAATGTGGAGCATCTATATGAACCCTGGATCCTACCTACCTAGGTAGGTATAATACAGTATGAGAAACATGCCGACAAGTTTCACAGGATGAGCGTGTATCCACGTCTGTTTAAAACAGCGAGCGGTAGCATGGATATAAGATAGTAAGTTTATTTAAGCAGCCTAATCAGTACTTTAAGCCAGATGAGCCTTCAAAAAGCACGATCATGAGTGGAATCTCCTCTTGCATGAGATTCTCGATTACTGGAACATGACTATGGTAAAACAAGACCAATCCCCTGATGTACATTGCGAATGCAATGACTATAACTATGACGGCTTGATCAATTTCAATACGTTAGGGCGCAACTCAGGCTCTTGCCTGAGCACTCAAAGCAGTTTCTGTGCCTTGGCCCCTCTCCCAGTCATCCTTCTTGAAGCCATCGGTCTTCCCCGCCATGGCCCTCCTCATAGCCCATTCCAAGAAGGTGGGATAATTCTTAGCTTCACTGGTGGGCCCAGCTTTCCTGCCCAGTGGCTTCAACAGGGCCTCGTTGTTAGGACGAGTGAAGTAGGCCAGGCTGTACCGTGTGTAGTCAGCTTGCTCTCCAGGCGGATTTGTGACACGGTGGATGCTGCTCTTGAGCTCGCCATCTGACCACTTGACGAACGCGTCGCCGAGGTTGAAGATGGCCATCCCCGACTCGGGCTTGACATACTTCCACCCGGCTTCCTCACCGGGGGCGACGCGGTCCTCCGGGACGTAGATCTGGAGGCCACCTAGCATGTTGAACAGCACGGTCATCATGCCCCAGTCGGTGCTTCGGATGATTAGCGAACTGAAAGCCCCCTTTGTTTGCATACTCGAGGATACTTGAACGCAGGAAGTGGATACTGGGTTCCGATTTCCAGGGAGAGAATTCACATTTGGCGATGGGGTTTGTACTTACTGTGGCTGAAGACTAGGTTTGACGTTTTGGGGCTTAGGCGGACACTTGAGGAGACGTACGTGGCTGCCACAGTCGTTGGTATGGCTGTACAGCTTTGTCAAGTGGTCCTCACTCTCGGGTGGAATGGCGAGGACGACGGAGAAGACTTCCAAGAATCTGTCTGTAACAGCCTTGCCGAGATCGATGAACTCTTTGAGCTGAGCGTTCTTGCCCTTGATAACGTCGTTGTAGATAGCACGCGAGTGTCTTCCGACGCCTTCAATGTCTCCACAGCTGATCCAGTACTGCTCATTGTTATCAGGGGTTCCGTCTTTGTCTACGACAGAGGCTCCCAGCCCCTTGTACCTGTGAGGGAAGCTCAGCTCTTGCCTAGGGAGCAGGTAATGTAGGTCCCGGCAAACTCACCCAAACAGATCCTCACCGTGTTTGAGGATACTGTCATCGAGTTTTACCTCCGTGGGGAGGTCAAACGTCTCTTGGGCCAGCATAAACATGTTCCTCGCAGCTGCTAGGAACTTCTGGCCAATTTCTGAGTCGGTCAGGTCAACACGGAAGAAGCCATTGTCTCTAGCGGACTTGATCACTCGGGCAACCTCATCGACGTCTCCCTCCAGGACCTTCTGATAGGAGATGTTCGAGATGTGAGCGACTGGCACGTCAGCGGGAAACGGAGGTGGGACTCCATTTACACCGTCGAATGAACTGAGCGTTGAATCGGAGCTGAGAGATCCCATGTTGACGAAAGTTGTAGCAAATCGCTATTTTCAGCCGAGGCTGTCCAAATAATCAACACTTGTACGGCCTACGAAACTTCATTTATAGATTATAGAGGACACGACCAGGCTCTTGGCCGCGTTGCCTCTGTCTTCGTCAGCGCCATTAAAGACACAACGTAACTTCCACCTACGAATTGCATCGAATCGAACGATGCTCGACTGATCGCTGGAGTTGGGAGTTTCGTGTGTCGCTGTGGGCTTCGGTATGTCGGTTGTTCGGCTGACCCACCTGAACTTTGATCTTGCCGAACCTTCGGTGGCTGCGCCGAATAAGCTTCAAACCTACCGAGTGTGCGGGACCTGTTCCCGCGCACGGTTACACTAAAATCCAGGGTATAGCGAGTGGAGTCCACGGGATATGCTGGATACTGCGGGGCGTGCTTTAGATCGCGTTATGGACAGACCCACTTGGTCTTCCAAGGTTGTCAGCCCTGTCCCGACCGGCGGGAACCGGGGAAGAAGGTTACCCATACCTCGTGCCTATACGGAGTACGTTGTCCCGAAACCGGTATTTTGACTTGACTAGTGCAGCAGCCGGGAATGACTTGCATCCTCAGGGGTTACACAGTGCGGGAAGTACTACGAGGATCGGGCTACGGGCCTGGGTACGCACCTAGGTTCTGTGTCTCCAAGATACTAGACGAACATTGGGCAAATATACTTCCAATTGGGAGGTGCATTACCAACAATATATGCTCCCTACCAGGAGCCCAGGGCCATCCATTCCTATTATCCTTATCTGTAGAAGCACGCCAAATGAGTTGCAAATTCATCAAAATTTGAAACCTATTGATCATGTCTTCACTTGACGCATCGACCCTTTTTTCCGTCAACGGCCTTGTTGCGGTCGTGAGTGGCGGTGGGACTGGTATTGGATTGATGGTTGCCCGAGCCCTTGAACACAAATGGTGCAAAAGTCTACATCCTTGGCCGACGTGAGGAGGTCCTCAAGACCGCAGCCAGGCAGAACGCGGTATGTCTCGTTGCATGGTCCCGGGGAGATGGAAGTCATGACACTTACTGACCATGTCAGATACACGGGAACATCATACCTGTTGTCGCGGATGTAACTGACAAAGCATCCCTGGACGCTGCCGTGACCAAAATCACTGAGGACACCGGCTACATAAATCTGCTGGTTAACAACGCCGGGACTCTTGGTCGCGTGCACAACGTCATCTCGCGACCGCCACCTCACAAAAGCCTCCCAGCCCAGTTCACCGGCCAGACTGATGATGACCTGGGCACCGTCCAGGGAATTCGGGACTTCTTGTGGAAAGATGAGTTCTCTGACTGGGACAACGTGCTGCGAACCAATGTCTCTGGTGTATGGTTCCCAAGTATTGCCTTCCTGGGTCTTCTCGACAAGGGAAACTCCAAGGATAATGTTGTGCAGAAGAGTCAGATAGTCACAGTCGGGAGCGTCGGCGCCTTCATCCGGATTTTGGGGACGTCATTCTCCTACAACCCCAGCAAGGCGGCTGCGAACCATCTCGCTAAGATGATGGCGACGAACTTTGTGCAATGGGGGATTCGATCGGTAAGTGGCACTGGCCTTCTGCGTTGTTGTAAGAATGAAGTACTAAAGAGTGGCCAGAATGTGATTGCTCCAGGCTACTTCCCATCCGAGATGCCAGTTGGAAAGGGAAAGCTGGATGAGAACAATAGGAATCACATCAACATCGCGATCCCTCCAGAGGAGGTTCCGCTGGGAAAGGTCGGGGATGAAGAGGATATGGCAGCTGCCATCTTGTTCCTGGCAGGGAAGGGAGGAAAGTACCTGAACGGGAACGTTGTGGTTACGGATGGTGGCCGTCTTGGGATCAGCCCTGCTGTGTATTGAAGTGTTGAAGACACCAGTAGGCCAATTATAGCCCGAGGCTTATTAAAGACAGCGAGGTTGCAAGATTTGGATGCATTGCCAGGTAACAACTCAGAAGCGATGCAGAGCAAGTTCAGCCAGCTGAGGTCTTCTGGCCTGCATCAAGTGGGAGTGATGTTTTGCATGTCAGGAGGCGGTTGAATCGCACACGTAAACTTCTGCTGAATGAGAGTTTTTTGCACGAGTTGATGCAATGCCTGACAATATGAGCATCAGACCAGGAATCGCTGCTTTGTTACCTGTTTTTCCTTGATCCCGGCAGGAATAGTTTTAAGGGGAGCAGGTGAAATCAAAGCGTTTCCCCACCACCTCATCGTGTAGTGGAACCTACCCTAGGGTAGAGCTGGGTATCCTAAGTGCAGCGAGGGCTGCGAAAGTGAGACGGTACTCATGAGCCGTTATGGTCCACTCTACATAAATACCATGGCTTCGCTGGTAGTGACGGAAACCTAGGTGGATTCTGGCCTTGTCGTATCAGCGCAATACAGGTTCACAATCATGACCTTCCTTCCAGTAAAAGCAAGAGAGGGGCTTGAGTGATTGATAAAGTTCTAGTCAAGATGCCCCAGTATGTTATATAAATAATGTCACAGTCTGTCCCTGGATTAGACTCGATTATCGACACATCTGAACCCGCTCTGAGTATGGATCAAACACTTGCTACAGGAACATGCTGATGCGGACGAACAAGTCTTGGCCGATTCCCAGCATCCACCAAGTCGCTCCAGGCCCACCACCTCCTAGCTGCGTCGGTCTCCTTCGCTCTCAATAATAATCAGGATCCAAAACTTCAACCAGAATTCTCGACAGCGCCTGCGCTGTCATCTTCGTGGCGGGCACCCTGTGGAACCCCGAACCTCGATACACAATAACCCGGTCGTTGACGTCCTCGCATCTCTTTACCAAGCGGAAGCATCTCTCCTCTGCAACGACCGGGTCTGTGGAGCTGATGAAGTGGAAAATTGGCGTCTTGATGATTGGATTGTAGTATTTCTGCAGACGCTCGTCGTCCTCGTGATAGCCACTGTATGAGATGACTAGCCGCAGCGGGCCGTGGAAGGTGGTGAATGTCGAGGGGCGCATGCCCTTGGGCCTCTCCAGGAACGCGGCAAGCAGGCAGGCAACCGTGGCACCCTGTGAGAAACCGATGATGCCATCAAAGGGTCCCTCCTTGTCAAGTACCTTGGAGAGATAGTCGAATGTTCGCTCGGGGTCTTTCGGATCCCACCATGCATATGTTGGTTCGCCCGAGGCTGTTGGGACTGAGAGATATGGTGCATTGATGTAGAAGAAGTCGACTTGGTTGCCAGCGATGTCCTCGAATATTGGCTTCAAAAACAGCGTTTCGGACTGCATGATTGCAGCTGACTGTTGGTACCCATGGAGACAGAGGAACTTCATTTTGGAGCTGGCTCAGGAAGTATGATGCAGTGCAATGTTAACGAATGAGTGCGAGGGAAGAAAAAGGATGAATTTGTTTGTTCGCTCAGCCATCATTGATGAGATGGAAAATGGCCATATATACCTAGTATGAACGGCTTAGTATTACACCATTCGGATAGATCTTGAGCAATGAAGCTCTGAACCATGCTTCTGTATCTTGATTACAGAATCTTTGTTACACCGTGGAAACACTGAAAGACGGCACCGTGACCATCACCAACTATGATTCATACCTAGGTATTAAAGATAACAGTAAGAATATAATTACATAACCCTACACATGATATTTTAAAGATAACAGTCATTAGAATTAATATTACAACTAATTACTTAAGATATTATGTAGCTAGTAGAATTTAAAGTATGTAAGCTTGAATTTCTATATAGTATTAAGTGAGATAGTTTAGTATGTTAAATCTTATAATTTTATATTATTAACTCTATCTTTTAAGACCTGCTTTTATATTAAAAGGTATTTTCTATTATAGTCTTTACCTAGATAGCACTAGAGGCACATACCTCACGCTGTAACTACACTTTTTAGTAACGGTCTATATTAACTGAATTTATCATGTTGAAAAATCATGGCGTTACCCTCACACAGTATGGACCCCTACGCGTGCCAAGTCAGTCCCCTGAACATCCTGGGTGGGAAAACCAAATCAAACGGCCGTTAAACACCCCAAGACCTGCTTGAGTAGATCCGAGTTCATTGTGGTCAACCATCTTCGGCGTTGCCAGGCCCTCAAGTCATGTTCTTGTCGGCGAAGGCCTTGGCGAGACTCCATCCGCAACCGAATCGTCCTCTTCGGTATAAGGAGCTCGGGAGTGTTACCCGACGTCCCCGGCATCCGTAATTGCCGGCCGTTGGCATCGTAGAACCCACTGGCTGACTGCACGGGCGCGGGATGCCGGGACCCACCTCAATTTTAAACTCAATTTTGTGGACTCTGCATGGTCACATATCTGGGCCGCTGCAAGACTTCGCCTTTGTATCGGTAGAGATGAAGCCAGGGACGATTCTCGGCTTGATAAGGCTGAGATCCACACCTCAGATATGGTTACCATTGAGCCGGGACATTCAAACCTTCTTCCACCAGGAATCAGCGATCATGACTATTTCCGAGGAACAACTTTGGTGTAATCTCGGTGGATGGCAAATGGCCGAGGCATGCAATATGGTTTTCTGACTCCAATCGCAGGGCCTTCAGGTGGTGTTGACGACTTGAAGTGTTTCCTCATAAGACTGGTCGTCCGCAAAATTGTGTCACAGCCCGTCTCTGCACTCTGGTCAGACCTCATGTCCTTGCCCACTTTGAAGCTACCTTGCTCCACCTATCAATTTTTGGTACTTAGTAATTGAATCACTCGTTCCTTCGACAAAGCGTTCAGTATCATTCGCAATGGCACCTTACCTAGGAGCAAGCAGCGCGCGCTCGAGCTCCAGCTCGAGGAGTCCTAGCCCTCCCAATGAGCACTTGGATGGGTTTAGTGGGCCTGAGCCGATTGCTATCGTGGGCATGGGTATGTTATTGCCCGTGGTACATTGTGGACGACAACAGCTAACTTGGAGTGCAAGCCTGTCGTTTTCCGGGCCAGTCAGACACGCCGGACGACTTCTGGCAGATGCTTGTGGACAAGCGATCCGGGTACTCGGAGCCACCCTCTAACAGGTACAACATCAACGGCTTTTATTCTGAAAAGTCCAGGATTGGAACACTTGGTCTTAAGGGTGGTTACTTTATCTCCGAACAGTACCAATTCGACCCACCTTTCTTTGGGATCACACAGACCGAGGCGGTAGCCATGGACCCCCAGCAAAGGAAACTGCTCGAGTGTGTTTACGAGGCCCTCGAGTCCGGAGGCATCTCACTGGACAGCGTGTCCGGCAAGAATATTGGGACGTATGTTGGCAACTTTACTTACGACTATGCCATTATGGCCCTGAGGGATATGGAATACCCCAAGCCTTACAGCATGACTGGGCATGGTGCGACGATCCTGAGTAACAGGGTCAGCTATGTCTTCAACCTATGCGGTCCCAGTTTCACGATCGACACGGCTTGCTCATCTTCACTGTACGCGGTCCACATGGCCTGCCGTGCCCTGGCGAGCGGTGAGGTCAACGGTGCCGTGGTCGGTGGTACGAACATGATCCTGGATGCGGCAGTGCAGATGTCGGTTGACAAGATGGGCGTCCTTTCACACAGTAAGTTGGTTGTGCCGAACATGAATGACCATCACAAGATGCTAACCCGTAAATTAAGCCTCGACCTGCCATACCTTTGATGCCTCGGCCGATGGATACGGCCGGGCTGAAGGAGTCGGAGCTCTGTACCTGAAGAGGCTCTCGGATGCCATCCGCGACGGCGACCCAGTCCGAGGTGTCATCCGAGGTACCGCTGTCAACGCAAATGGCAAGACCAGCGGTATCACACAGCCCAGCGCCATCGGCCAGGAAGCCGCTGCGCGTGCCGCCTATGAGTTCGCTGGCAATCTCAATACCGATGACACGTCTTACTTTGAGTGTCACGGAACTGGCACCCCCGTCGGCGACCCAATCGAGCTGGCCGGCATCACCAACCTGTTCCTGAAGAACAGCAAGCGGGACTCTCTCTTGGTAGGAGCCGTCAAGACCAATGTTGGCCATGCCGAGGCCGCCAGTGCCATGGCAAGTGTCATGAAGGTGGTGCTGGCTATGGAGACAGGGGTTATTCCCGCCACCATCGGCATCAAGAAGTTTAACCCCAAGAGTAAGGCTGCCAATCTTGACTTCATACATTCTACCCCTGCCAGAATTGACTGACAAATTCACAGTTGATTTCTCCAATGGCCGCCTCCAGGTCGTATCCGACACAACAAAATGGCCGGCAGGTTACAACGTCCGACGTTCGAGTGTAAACTCGTTTGGATATGGTGGTGCCAACGCACACGCGATCATTGAGTCGGCCGAGTCGTATCTGCCGGGGTACAAGTCGTTCAAGCGACGCGGCAACACCACGAAAGCCATCACCTCAGCCCCGGCCGTCATTCAGGGCAGCCGTGCGATCAATGTCCACGAGCGGACACATTACCTGCTTCCATTCTCCGCCGCAGACTTCCCGAGTCTCAAGGCCAACGTTGAGAAGCATAGGGAGGTGGCATCGCAGTACGACTTGCTCGACCTGGCCTTCACACTGTCTACCCGGCGCTCGTTTTTCTTCAACCGGGGTTATGCCATTGCGTCCGCGGACAGCATTGCGAGCGACCTTGACTCGGAGGAGATGACCTTTGGCAAGAGGGGAAACGGTGCCAAGATCGCCTTCATCTTCACCGGCCAGGGTGCCCAGACCGCACAGATGGGAAAGGAGCTGATGGAGACGGTTCCCAGCTACCTCAAGAGCATCCGGGACATGGACCGTGTCTTGCAGAGCCTCGGAGAGGATGCGCCCGCGTGGAGCATCGAGGAGGTGCTGCTGGAGCCCAAGGCGACCAGCCAGATCGACCAGGTCCACCTGTCGCAACCGCTCTGCACCGCTGTGCAGGTCTCACTCGTCAAGCTGCTTCGACAGTGGGGCATCACCCCGGTGGCCACTGTCGGCCACTCGTCTGGCGAGATCGCCGCCGCTTATGCCGCCGGAGCCATCACCGAGACACAGGCCATTCTCGCCGCATACTTCCGTGGTGTTGCTGTCGGCAAGCTGACCACGCAGGGCACCATGCTGGCCGTGGGTCTGGGGCCCGAGGAGGTTGAGCCTTACCTCGAGCGGGGCATCCGCATCGCCTGCTACAACTCGCCCCAGAGCGTGACCCTAAGTGGTGACCAGGACGCCGCTGCGAGGGTCCAGGCCAAGCTCGAGGCCGATAAGGTCTTCGTCCGTGCTGTGCGGACCAGTGGCCGTGCCTACCACTCTCACCACATGAAGGAGGTCGGAGGGATCTACGAGGAGTATGCCAACCGTGGGTTCGCCCGCCTGGACGCTTTGCAGTTCCCCGAGCACGACAAGGGCGCCCAGCGACCCATCTTCGTCTCCTCGGTCACAGGCGTGCCCAAGACCGACTTCCAGCCCGGACCGGAGTACTGGAGGGAGAACCTGGAATCCCCCGTCAGGTTCTCGCAGGCCGTGACCTACGCCGTCGGGATGGAGGAGCTGGGCATCAACCACATCGTCGAGATTGGTCCCCACTCCGCCCTGGCTGGCCCCATCCGCCAGCTCCGCGAGAAGCTGGGCCTCAGCTCGCGGGACCTTGAGTACTCGGGCACCCTTGCCCGTGGCGAGAACTCCGTCACCCGCCTTCTCGATCTCGCGGGAGCTCTGTTCATTAAGGGATACCCGGTCGACCTTGGCCGTGTCAACGCCATCGAGGAGATCGACAAGTCGGGCAACATCACCTTGCGGAAAGGACTTCCTCTGGTCGACCTCCCGCGATACTCTTGGAACTACTCGGCCGGGGAGCTTCGGGCCAAGCACCGCATCAACCTGGACTTCCAACACCGCAAGTTCCCCCGTCATGACCTTCTTGGCAGCCTGCTCCCGGGCACGATCAGGGACCAGGCGCAGTGGCGCAATATGCTGGACATCCACGAGCTGCCGTGGCTGGAGCAGCATAAGCTGGGTCCTCAGCCGGTCCTCCCTGCGACTGGATACCTCGCGATTGCCGTAGAGGCCGCACGGCAGTTCCTCCACGACAAGATCCAGATCGAGGGTCCCTTCAAGTACTTCTTCCCGCGGGTCTCGATCAAGTCGGCACTCAACCTGACCCCCTCCGGCACCCCGACGGAGCTCATGACAAGCGTGCGCTTCCAGACCGTCTCGAACGCAGTGTCTTCGAAAGAGTGGCTCGAATTCTCCATCTCGTCCGTCGTTGAGGGACTATGGACTGAGCACTGTGTCGGCACCATTGGAAGGAAGCCCGTTGACACGCCGACTCCCCTGTTCGACGAGAGCAAGGTGCAAGAGCCACGTACTGCCCACACCTGGTATAGAGGATTCTCCAGCGTCGGGCTCAACTATGGTGCTGCCTTCAACGGGCTGAGCAACATCCGGACTGACCCGTGGGGCAACGAGTGTGTCGCGGACACTAAGATGCTTCCTATTGATGTCCCCGCAGACGATTCTCGCTACCTCATCCACCCGGGGACTATGGACACCGTTCTGCAGGGACTTTTGATCGCTGCTCACCACGGTTCCCTGACGGGGCTGACCAGGTCTTTTGTCCCGGTTGACTGGGAGGAGGTTTCCATCTACTCCTATGAAGGCACGGACATGCCAGCCGCAGCCCCGGCTGAGGCCAACGGGCGTCTTCTCGCCCAGGGCAAGCAGAGCAGCTTGCGTGCGATCTACGGTGGCATCCAGCTCTTTGCGCCTGACGGACGGGTGCTGATGCATGCCAAGAATGTCAACTGTATCACCTACTCCGAGGGCCTGAACAAGGACCCCACCGAGGATCGTCACCCGTACCTTCGGGTCCTGTGGAAGCCCGATGTCGAGACCCTTGAGAAGGGTGCACTTCCAGGGGCCGCAACCGGCAGCCGGCGGGCGTACTCTGCTCTGGAGAAGACCACCCTTGCCCTGTTTGCTCGCAACCTGCAGAAGGCCGCCCAGACGTCAAAGGCACCGTCTGCCGCAGCCCTGGCGGATGCAATCTCCGCCCTGAGGCTGGATGACTTGGTGGAGGCTCAGCCTGATGCTGCCAGTGTCGACCTGAGCGCCGCCGGTTTGGATGCCAGCTTCTACCGGCTGGAGGCCATCTACACCTCCATGATGCTTACTCTGATGGGCGAGGAAGCTCCCGTTGCCATCGACTCGGCGCCCCTGGAGGACTCTCTGGTCCAGACACTGGACTTGCTTGGTCACAAGTACGCTGGAATGAACATCCTCCAGGTCGTCAACTCCGAGGCGGACCTCGAACGGAACCTTCCTGCTCTTCTGCAAGGGGACTCCTCCCTCAAGAGATACAGGTCTTTTACCTGCATCGCTGGGTCTGACCGTCTCGTGGAAGCTGCTGAGAACACCTACCAGGAGGGCCGCGATGTCTCCGTCGAGAAGTCGACTGTTTTCGAGGACGGCAGTTACGGCGCACTGGACGGCGAGACTTTTGACCTCATCATCCTGCCGAATGCTTCTTCCTTGAGCATCACCGCCGAGGAAGGGCTGCGGCGCCTCCATCACCTGCTGAGCGAGAATGGTCGGTTCCTGGTCCACCAGAGCAACAACAAGCGCACCGCTCTTAACGAGCAGTACCGCAAGGTGCTTGACTTCCTGTCCCGGGAGCTGGCTCCAGGCTCTGTGCAGCCTGATGCCTCGCTCTCCGAATGGAAGAGCGCTTTTGGTGACCTGGATATGGACCTCTGCATCACTGATCATTCTCCATCTGGATGGACATTGCTGTCAGAGCCGCCCCAGAGCTCCCAGCCCTCCCGGGACATTGTCGTGCTCTCTAGGGGTGCCACTGCTGCTGTCTCGGAGTTCTCGGCGCAGCTTGCACAGAGCGGCCACAAGGTCCAGTCAGCCTCGTTGGCGGACGACCAGTTCGATGTGAAGCCGGGTGCCATCTACGTCTCGATCGTTGAGCTGGGGTCCAGCCTGTTCTACGGCAACCTGAATGCCACCGAGTTCAAGAACCTGCAGGTCCTGGCCGAGTCAGCGCAGGCAGTCTTCTGGCTCACCTCTGGAGATCTGCTTGGAAAGGTCGACCCCAACGCAGCCATAGTCCAAGGCCTGGGCCGTGCCCTGCAGACAGAGAACGTCCAACTGTCCTTCATCACCATCGACCTCGACCACTGCGATGCGGCCAAGGCGGCCAGCCAGACGGCACGAGTCCTTGCGCGATTCACCAAGGAGACAGACAGCATCGACAAGGAGTACATCGTCAAGGACAATGTTTTCCACGTCAGCAGGCTGGCCCAGGACGCCAACCTGGACAGGGAGTACGCCGAGATCATCCACAAGGAGGCGGTGGGCGAGAAATACGACCCCAGTGAGCCCATCCGTCTCGACATCGAGAAGATCGGCCTGCTCGACACCCTGCACTTCAAGGCCGACGACCGCTCCCGCGAGCTCGCGGCCGACGAGGCCGAGGTCGAGGTCAAGGCAGTCGGTCTCAACATGAAGGAGTACGCCACCTTCCGCGGCAGCTTCCACTCAGAGTCCCTCAGCCACGAGGGCGCCGGTGTTGTCCGCCGCGTTGGCTCGGGCGTCACCGACGTCAAGGTGGGAGACAAGGTCTGCTGGATGGGCAAGGGCCTGTTCGGCAACATCGAGCGCTTCAAGGCCATCCACCTGCACCAGATCCGCGAGGAGGATGGCCTGAGCTTCGAGGAGATGGCGGGGATGCCGCTGGTCTTCGCGACGGCCGTCTACGGCCTGCTCCACCTCGGCCGCCTCAAGAAGGGCGAGAAGGTCCTGATCCACTCCGCCACCGGCGGCGTCGGCCTTGCCGCCGTCCAGGTCGCCAGGATGGTCGGCGCCGAGATATTTGCTACCGTCGGCACGCCGGCGAAGCGCGAGTTCCTGAGGCGCGAGTACGGCCTCGACGACGAGCACATCTTCAGCTCGCGGGACACCTCGTTCGCTGCCGGCATCATGGCTGCCACCGGCGGCTACGGCATCGACGTCTCGCTCAACTCCCTCGTCCGCGAGCTGCTTGCGGCCTCGTGGAGCGTCATGGCCCACAATGGCCGCCACATTGAGATCGGACGTACCGATATCATGGAATTTGGTATCCTCGACCTGAACGTGTTCAAGCGCAACACGACCTTCAGCGCCTTTGACTTTGGTGTTGTTGCTGACGATCAGCCACGTGAGTCACGATCGCTTACAAGTTACTCAAATATATATATATATATATATATATATATATATATATATAGACAGAGAGAGAAATGCTAACATGTTCCTACCTAGAAACTGTCGCGGATGTCATGAAGGATGTTATGAAGTACCTGCGGGAGGGCAAGATCCGGCCCCTCCAGCCACTCGCCGTCTTCCCTGCCGCCGAGGCCGCAGCAGCATTTGCAGAGTTCGCCAACCCGCACAGGATCGGAAAGGTCGTCGTGTCCTTCGACGCCGACTCTGCCCTCCCCGTCAAGCGAGAGCACAAGAACGCCGTCAGGTTCAGGCCGGACGGGACCTACGTGCTCGTCGGCTGCCTGGGCGGTCTCGGCCGGACCCTCGCCCGCTTCATGGTCGAGCGCGGCGCGCGCCACCTGACCTTCCTGGGCCGCTCGGGTGCTGACGGCAAGGACGCCGCCGCCATGGTCGAGAGCCTGCGGGCGCGAGGCTGTGCGGTCCACGTCGTGCGCGGCGACGTGGCCAACAAGCACGACGTCGCGAGGGCGGTCGCCGCGGCCGGCGTCCCCGTCTACGGCATGGTCCAGGGCGCCATGGCGCTCGAGGACAAGCTGTTCAGCAAGCTCGACCTCTCCGGCTGGCAGTACCCGATCGACCCCAAGGTCAGGGGGACGTGGAACCTGCACGAGTGCCTCGCCGGGCAGCCGCTGGACTTCTTCGTCATGCTCTCCTCCATCTCCGCCATGACGGGTGCGCCGACCCAGAGCAACTACTGCGCCGGAAACACGTTCCTGGACTTCTTCGCCCGCTACCGTGCGGGCCAGGGCCTGCCGGCCACGACGGTGGGCCTCAGCATGGTCCTGGAGGTGGGCTTCGTGTCGCAGAACCTGGCCATCGAGCAGGGCATCTCGCGCTCCGGCATCCACGGCATCACGGAGAGGGACTTCCTCCTGCTGATGGAGCAGGCCATGAGGCCCGGGCGCGTCGGCGACTGGCGCATCGACCCCGGCGCCAGGAACTTCCTCGTCAGCGGCCTGGAGCCGGCCAAGCTGGCCGAGGACCTCGACGTGCACGGCTTCCGCTTCTGGTCGCAGCCCCGGGTCGGGCCCCTGCTGACCGCCATCCAGCGCCGGAGCGAGGGCTCGGGGCGAGGCGGGGCAGCCGGCGGCGCCGGCGCGGTCCTCGACCTGCCGGCCATCCTCGAGGCCACCGTGGACAAGTTCGCCAAGACGTTCATGATCCCCGCGGATGATGTTGATCCCCTCAAGGCCCTCGTGGGCTACGGCATGGACAGCATGATCGGCACGGCGCTGCGCAACTGGTGCTTCTCGACCTTTGGTGTGGATATTCCTGCCTCTGACTTCATGGGTCCTGTGCTCACTGCCAAATCTCTTGCGGAGAAGATACTCGCGGGCCGCTCTTGAGGGTGTTAGATTTCTGTTTTCTTTTTTTTCTTTTTTTTTTTTTTTACATTTATTGTCATGAGCGTTGTTGTGTAACTGTACATGGCCATAGATTTCATATTCTTCAATACGTAGTCGGCGTGAAAATGACTTTTCAGAATTATTTGTGACTGCTTTCCCGGCTCTGACCGCTTGGGCTACATTTGTTGATGCATAAAGGCTCCGTTAGAAGTTACGCTACCTAGCCTTGTTTGTGCATCACGAGGCTGAGGCTATATGCCTACTTACTATGTTGACACTCTATCGACGTTGGTCTTTCTTTTTTAGTGAATCCCTTCTTTTCTTTTTTTTGTTCTTTCTTCTCACGGCTGGGTCTTTCGTGCAAGGATGGCATATGCATTCAAATGTTCGGGATGTGTACAAAATAAGAACAAAACCGGGGCAGCTCATCAGTCAGTTTTACTTCATTGAATAGACACATATCCTGGTCGCAATCCCGGGGATTCGGAAAGAGCTAGGTTCAAGTAGGACCTGGCTAATAGTACCAAGGATTCTTTAGGAACAAACCCAGAGACCTGGCCTCATAGATAAGGGATTCGGGGTCGACTCCTACCTCACGCCGTAATCAAGGAGGGAGGGCCAGTGCTGTGTAGTAAATAAATTAGAGGCGCTATTCCTAATTGGTCATGCGTTTTCACTGCAAAACAATGGGGAGCGAGGATTCACAGGGCAGAAACCATGCCATAGGATGTTACCCTGATGCGCAGACCTTAATTTACACTCTAGGCTTCCTATACTAAACGGAAACAAGCGGTCATTAATAACTACATATCATTTGCTACCATAGTCGCTTCTACTTTCCCCCACTAGAATTCTCGTCGCTTCTACTTACCACAATAGTCGATTTCTGCCCTGCGAAGCCTCGCTCCCAAGAAACGGGACTGTTGCATTCTGGGGTTCAAACATGTCTGCCTGGGTTTCAGTATATACCCTCTACTCCACCGCAATTTCTCCTCCACTGTGCCCTCTAGGCATTGACATTCACCTCAAATGCTTCTAGCAAATATCATCACAACCCCATTGCTCGTAACGACTCTTTCTCAATCTACACACTGGCCAACTGGCAGAGGCCGGTGTGGAGGTTCGTGCAAGGGGAAGCCACCGAGATCCCCGAGAAGGACAGCCCTACGGGGGTACAACTGGCGAGTGACTTATCTTGCCCTCGCACACAAGCGGCTTGGCAACGAAGTTAAAATCACACAAGGTTTCTGACAATGACTCTCTCCCGTGATCAAACCTCGATCGCGGATCCATTGCGGGCCCTGTGGGGTCTTCGCATGCCGCTTCGGGAAGTTCCAGGGGCAGCAACGGGCTGAGGCCCAACGGGGCGTTTGTGTGGTTCAGGGGGGCGAGAGCGGATCTGTCCGATTCATCAGCAGAGCGTGGCGGTCCAAAGGCGGTCCAACAACACCTGCAGGCTTGATAGCAAGGGCACGCGACTGCCCCTGCGTGTTGCCGGAACGCAAAAGCCCTGAGGGCTTAATGCCCATGAATAGACGAAGGAGTTCAGATGACGTCCTTATTCCGTCTTCCCAAGTCTGGAAACAACAACGGGTTTGGTGAGGAACCTTGGCCTATGATACGCATCACGGATACGACAGTGGCACCAGATGTAACGGCAGTGTTTATATACATGGTAATACAGCATCACGGGCGAAGGGATCGTCGGGCTGGGCAGGCAGGCTGAACAAAGCAGAGGCTCAACAGATGGAGCGGCGAGCCATAGTGTTCCACAAAATAGAGTTATCAGTAATGCAAGTAGTATACTGCAAGGTTTTCCCCTGTAATGAGATTGAAAAAAAGGTACTTCTACCCTATTAGTGATAGGGTTATTGTTTTCTCTCACTCTCTATTAGAGTATAAGTGAATACAATTATTTAAGGTATAAATAACTAACTTTTAATATACCTATAATAATAAAATAGTTATTTAAACTCTTAGAATAAAGCTATTATTTTAACTTTAAAATACTATATTCTAATTATTTAATAAAGTAATACTTTATACCTTATATACTCATGCTAATAAAATATGAGGGAAAATCCTATGTATAGGTCTAGTTGCAACGGGAGGCGCGACCGCTGGCCACACGCGTCGACCGCCCGTCCAAATGGTCATGATACATAGTAACCAATCTGCCAATTGGTTATTCCTAGCCGTATATAAGTACCGTACGGGCGCTCTAGTCATGATCCCCTCTGGCCCCCTGTGTCGGCGCGGGTACGGGCTTATCCGCTGGCCCAAGCGCGAATTTGGCCCCCGAGTGTCGACGTTCATCTTCTTGTTTTCGAGTCCCTGCCCCGAAGATCCCGAAGATAGACTGCCAACCACCCCCGGGATTGTTTATCAAACACTGCACTCAGCGCTAGGCTCAAGAAGCGGAGATCTAGGATTCTACCGCGGATGTAGGAGGCACAGTGCCCGTTGCGCGCTTAGGGTACAAATCGTACGACATTTTAGACTACGATGCGTACAGTATATGCCTGATCCTGGCTGGGCGGGAACCGACCAAGATTCCCCTGGCTGATCCCGTCTGGGGAGGTGGGCAAAATACAAAAGAAGAGCGCCCCGTGGGACCTCTGTACCGGGATCAGGAAAACGTAGCCCCCAGAGCCATTTCTCCAATACAGCAATAGACTGCAACAGTCTTGTAAGATCATCAAAATCAAACACTTATGCTTGGGTCTGAATTATGATTGGGGTCCAAAGGGCCGTATGGGTTTGCAGAATAATTGCTTGGCCCAGATGGCGTGGTGGAGATCACTCCAGGCCGGCCCCATGGTTATATTAGGCAACGCCCGCCACGGTGGGGAACCAGGACGGTACACGTGTGCCTGCCGAGTACCAACGCATGCTCGGACTTTAAGAAGGTGGAGGTCCTAGGCGCCACACCGCACCGCTCTTGCGCGCGATCTCCCCATCAGGCCTGAACGGCCAGACGGCGAAACACCCCCAAGAGATAGATGTCCGACTTGGCCCTTGGAGGAGGCAGTGTACCGCCAAGGGATGGCAACGCTGCACAGGATAGACGCGTGCAAGCCGTAAGATACTGCTGAAGTCACGAGTGCATTCTCCATCCCTTAGACTTGGAGGCAATATTAAGAGAGATTCATCGAAGATAACATCTTGAATATTAACAACACCGCTACGACTATCTCAATGCTGTATGGAAATCTCCGTGATTAGCCTTGCAAAATATGATCTGTAAGTGAGACTTGGAATTTCGCCGCGAGGAAAGCACATCATGTCACCCTTCTGGGGGACATGAGGGGTACCTAGCTGATCCTCGAGAACTTGAGTCATGCTTGTAGTATGGTTATAGAGGGAACTTAATACACCTTAAGCCCTTATAAAGCAACCTTATTTATATCTTTTATTTATATATAACTAGATTTATTAAAATAATAACTAGATTTATTAAAATAATAACTAGATTTATTAAAATAATAATTAGATTTATTATAAGTAAATAATTATATAGAAGTAATAATTAAATAAATTAATTAAGTTAATTAATTAAAGAAAATAATTAAAATAAATAAGAAATATTAATTTATTATTAATTTATTTATTAAGTAATATAACTTATTTTAATATTTAAATATAACTTAATATTTTAAAATATAATAGAAATAATATATATTAAAATCTATTAAATACATTTTAAAAATTAATTAAAAATACTTTTATATTTAAAGTTATAAGAAAGTCTTATTATTATAAAAATATATAAAATTATAAAATTATTTAAAAAGTATTATTATTATATTAAATTTTATAAACTTATAATATATTTATTATAATTAATAATAATATTCTTTTAAAGTTTTAAATTTTAAATATTTAATATTATTTAAAAATATTATTTATATTTTTAAATATACTTAAATTAAAAATAAAACTAATAATTAATTATAATTTATAATTAGAATAATATATATTAAACTTTAATATAACTTAATATTAGTTAGAAATTTCATTTAGAAATAAAAGCTCTAGTAAATTAATAAAATACCTCTTATTAATATAATATTCTTACTAGGATATTATCTATTTAATTATCATACTATACTAACTTCCCTCTATAATCACACTCTCAACGGCCCTATGAGCTTCGCTTGGCTACTTCGGGGCCCGCCGCCTCCGCCCCAACAGACCATCTCTTTCAATTAGGAGTACTTGCCCTACTAGTGGTTTCACGTCATTGAATTCCTCGAAACAGGGGTCAGAATGGCACGTTGTATATCTCAACGAGCTCGATGGAGCGCCACGGCAGGAGCGGAGCAATGAGCCACCGAAACACCGTGACCGCTGATCTCGTACTCCAGTCAGCGTCAAACCGCTAGTGAGCCAATATTATATATATACTATCTGCAGGATTCGTTCTACAATTCAACCATCTCAGCAGTTATAGCCGTGCCCGATCGCTGTACCTCGAGGTCTCTACGACAACCACGACCATGGAAGACGCACAACCTCGTGAATCACTGTCTCCTGTGGCGCCCTTCGACTCTCGGGCCAACAAACGGACCAGAGCACCGACAGCCTGCAATGTGTGTCGGCGACGCAAGGTTAAGTGTGACGTCGCCTCAGTCGGTGTACCTTGTCAGAATTGCGTGCGCGACGGGCAAGAGTGCCAGGTAAGGGGACGCAAGGTTCGCGCGTAAGTTTTGGGTTCCATTGTCCGTCATTAATCAGGTTTTTGCATGTAATACACTTGAGTGACGGCTGACATATTGATACAGTCAGCCACAGTCATACACCAGGTCAAGTTGTTCGCCAGACGACGACCTCTCGCCCGCCTTTCCGCCTCCGCCTCCGCACACAAGTCCCTCTGCACGTCAGGCTGTGCCTATTGCAACACACTCCACGCACTCCACTCATTCAGCACACTCAACACACTTCGCGCGTTCTGCAAGCACACGTGATGACGATGTTTACGAGAATGCGATGGATAAATGTAGCAGTATCAACACTTTAAGTCTGGATCCCCTTATGCCAGGACCAGAGGACTATGCAATCGAGTCTTTGGCCACCTCCCTTATTATGGGGGGTACGGCCGAGGCTACAACGGAGACTTTCTATACAGGTAAGCAAATGAGTGTGCACCCGAGCACTTTCGTACTTGACATCCCTCGGGGAACTCATAGAGTTCACTTCCACATTGGCTATCCCAGGATAGATAGCCCCCAAAACCAAGTGGAGAGACAAAGACCTCCAGGGAATGTATTAAGCTCCCTGAAGAGTCAAGCTATGCTACTTGGGAAACGATTGTTTTCAACAGCACTTTAACCCCGGTCATGTAAGACCAACAACTAGTCTCCACTGGTTTCTGCATGAATTCTTCTTCCTTTCCCCCTTTCAGTGAACTTTCCGCTAACAATACATGTGCAAAGGTGACCAGCAAGGAATCGGTTATATTCTCGATATCGTCGGCGAGCCAAGCGTGGCCTCAAAACATTATGGTCTCCCATACATGGCCGGCACTGATCAAATGATGCCCCAAGATGTGGCCTATGTCCGTTCTAAAGGCGTCTTCTCACTGCCGAGTGATCAGGTGTGCGAGGCACTGTTGAAAGCATACTTCCACCACGTCCATCCGATATTACCGGTCGTCGATGCCGTAGCTGTACTCACTACATTCCGTAGTGGAGGCCCCTCCGCTATCAACTTGCTCCTCCTGTGGAGCATGTTCTCTGTAGCAGCTAGCGTAAGTCGGGCTCTTCCCCATAGCGACGCATCCCGCGCTAACCAGATGCCACAGCACGTTGATAAGGAGGTGGTTTACCAAGCAGGGTATCAGTCTCACAAGGAGATGAAGAAATCTATGTTCACGCGCGCCAAGGCGAGTCTTTGGGATCGTCCTATAACAACGGCCAGTTGTGATCAACTAACAGCTTTCTCTATTCTTAGTGCTTCTATGATAATGGATGCGAGAAAGACCGCATTATCACCATCCAGTCCGTCAGCCTTTTGGCTTTCTGGTACTCGGACTTGGCGGAGCGCACAGACTCATGGCATTGGATGGGTATTGCCATCAGCTTATGCCAGACGCTCGGGCTCTACCGCGATCCTGACAGTAGACATTACAACAAGAGTCTTTCAGACCGGCAACGCCAGTTATGGCGGCGTATCTGGTGGAGTAAGCGCCCGTGTGTATCTCCTCGGGATTTACGTAAATAATCATCTGACAATCAACGCTCTAGGCTGCTTCTACCGTGATCGCTGGCTCAGCTTCGCCATGGGTCGGCCCATGCGAATCCACGCCTGGGATTGCGATGTCCCCATGCCTTCAGCTGAAGACCTGACCGACGACATCAACGATTTGCCGCAGCGGATCAAGACGACGTACATACCTCCGGACTTCAACCAGCTCGCCGAACAGTGGATAGTCCTCCTGCACCTCAGCAAGACGCTGGGTAGCATCTTGTACGAGAACTACAGTCCCACCAGACAGCTGCCCTCACGAACCTGGGTCGAGGCAACTGAAGAGGAACTCGACCGGGCCATCGCAGAAGCTGGCGAACAGCCTGCAAGTAGCAGCCCCGTTTTGTCCTACTCCTACCATCACCTACAACTTCATTACAAGTAAGAAACTCCACCCCTGCCCTTGTCTTCGACGAGTCTGTGCACTGAACCTTCTTGAGCAGTGCTGCTACTATTGCCCTGTGGAGACCGCATTGCAACAAGGTCACCACAGATGTCCCGGCAGATAAGGAACATGCCTGGATCGGGCACGTGAGGCAGAAGATCCAGACCGCCGCCATAAACACGAACAACGTGCTAGAATCGATCATCAGCAAGCGACTAATCAGTTACATAGGACCAATGATGTAGGTGCAGGAGCCCGTTTCCTTATTTCTCCTGCTTGTGATCATGGCCAATGCTAACCTCTTCTAGAGTGCCTGTGCTTGTGCCAGCTATGACGGGGCACCTTGTGGACGCCAAGTCTTCCGACCCCCTGCAGAAGCAACTGAGTCTCAACAGACTCAACACGTTCATGATGGTTTTGAGGACGATCCAGGATGTTTACTCCTCGGCCACTTACATCCACGGTCTGTTCGCACAGGCCATCGAGAAAACAACCGCGCCGGAACACTACTATCCGGGACACCCCCCGACGACTGGTCCAATTGTGAAATCAAATGGGCACGTGGGAATATCGACAGATTCTGATTGGGGTATTAACTTCAAGGTCTGGGATACAGACACCCACTATAATGACGTGGGTATACTAAGTTAATGTTGGTGCATCGATTCAGGTGAGGATTTGAAGTGAGGGGATAATTATTCGGTGTAAAGGATATAGTTAGTAAGCCGGATTGCTACGACAGTACCTTTGGAGTTAAGACGGCTTTTCTAATAATGTAAGTTCAAGTATGCGGTACGTTATTTATAAGTGGAAGCTCTTCCGGAGATCGGAGGTTAGAGGCGCAAGTTTTAGATATCATGGAGTTCAGGCGATACGGCTGAAGTCCCGAGGAACGGTGATTGGCATAAGTCAGACTATGGATTGAAGCCTGCCCACTTTTGAACCGAAGACAGCCCTCACGTATCATAGTAATGCGCCGTCATTTATCCCCCACTGCCACGGCAGAGGACGCTAATGTAGCGGCGACGAGTAACCCATAGCATCATTAAGTTCCGCGAGTGGATCAAAAAGTCAATGGGCTTCATCCTATAGAGCAGCAGTGACATGTGCCTTGATCGTGAGTCGATTCTAGTTTAACCTAAAGGGGTGTAGTACTTTATAGTTTCATTTTTAATTACTATATATATAATATATATATAGCACGGTTATATAATAATAAATAACTAGGACCTAGTATTTAAAAAAGGAGTTCTAATTATAATAAAAAAAATATAATATATAAGTATATAATTTAATTTTATATTATATATATAAAAATAAAAGGTATTATTTCTAATAATATTACCTTTTAAAGATTTAATAAAATAGTTATATAATAAAATTAAAATAATTATAAAATAATTTATTTAAGAAAAAGAATTTTATAATATAAGATTTAAATAAAAGAGTAAGTTATTTTTAACTATTATAAAGTGTTAATTAAGTATAGTAAGATTAAAAATAGATAGCTAACTAACTTATCTATAATAGGGTAGGTCGCATGTAAAATATCTCTATGTGGTGTAAATAGTAGAGCTGTGACGGTACGGGCTTATGTGGTTTCGCTTCTATTCCGTATACGTCCGAGGACATACATGGCGCCTTCATACGGTGGTACGGGCTTATAAGTGGTAGATTCCAAGTTGTGAGGTAACTTGGAATTGTGGTCTTTTGGCCGGGACGCCTGTAGCGTACCACTCTACGGATCCGTCTCAAGAGCCCAGGAAGTCAGGTTTCGAGATCAGGATGCCAGGGGTCGAGCCCCGCTAAACCTCTAGTGTTCAATCTGTCAGCTGGGGCCTCATTAGTAGACTCGATGCCATTTCCCGCGGGTCGCGCTCGTGTTGACTGAATGAATGATTTGAGGCACGGTTTATGAGATACTTGCAGTGAAAATCTCCCCTCATCATCAACCTCAACTCATCCTCGTGGATTCTATCTAATATCCGGAAACTCTTCCTTCTGATGCTCAGGATTTATATTCCTCAATATCAGCCATACCAATCGAGCTTTGCCTGACCAGACCCCCTGTAGCACTAGTGCTGAGGTCTGTCAATTTCGAGGTCATCTGTCTTGCCTTCCTCTGTATACTCTTATCAAAGTCATGCCTCACCTGCAGTACTCTTTCGATGTGGTTCAGGCCAAGCTTTTCTTGCTCGAATCTTGCCAGAGTGCGGGCTGTGTTCAGTGCATTGGAAATCTCTCTTCCGTTGAGCTTCTCCATGAGGATGTTCTCCACGGCGTCGTCCACATCTTCTATACCCATCACATCTTTTGGGACGTCGCCGAGCAGTTTCATCCAGACTTGCCTGCGAATCTCGATGTCTGGTGGCGAATATTCCAGCGCCAGGTGAATGCGGGATTTCATAGCCTGGTCAAAGGTCTCGATACGGTTGGTGGTAAGGAAGACGATGCCAGAAAAGTATTCTAGCTCCTTCAAGAACACTGCGACAAGAGCGTTGCGAGAACCATCACCAAGGGATTCCTGACGGGCTTCGAGGAATACGTCAGCCTCATCCAGGAGAACGACAGCTTTCCACATCGTTGCATAGGTCAGGACCTGTTTCAGCAGTATCTCGAAGGCCCGCGCGCTATTGTAGCGGTTCAGCTCTCCAAGTGAAGCAGAGATTAGCGCTTTCTGTGCCCCCTCGGCGGCTGTCTCGGCGGTGAGCGTCTTCCCTGAGCCAGGCGTTCCATGCAAGAGCACGACGAGCCCTTTGCCTTTCTGCTCCGCCTCATTCCTCGCATTGTCGGGAAACTCATGGGAGGTCACGAGCGCTTGTAAAACGCGCTTCTGCTCCGGAGCTAGTATCAATGAGTCCCATACGCCTTGCTTCCACTTCACGTCATCCATGCGGTCAACAAAGAAGCGGCACCAGTCTTTGCGGCTGAGTGAGTATCCGTAAGCGTATGGCGGACAGAGGAGCGGGTCTGGTTTCTGGACCTTTATCGGGACCTGGTTTCCATATTGGTCGTCATGGAAGGTCTTTCGGTCGAGAATAACCCTGCCAGTCTCCTGTTGGATATTCAGTACTCGAGCAATACAACACGCTGAGAAAAATTCCATGTGGGAACTCGTGTGAACTCACAGTGAATGGAAGCCACACCCCTTCGAAACTGGCCATGTCAGGATCGAAAAAGGAATCAGGAGGTTCCTTCAAGTACTGCGCAATTCCGTCATACGCCTGAGTGCATACCGCCTTTCTGGCGAGAAATTTACGGCCTCTTTCTTCTAATAGACCTTCGAGATCATCTTCTCCTCGTACTAAACGTCGAGGATAAACAGGAAGATCTGTAATGAAAGCCGGGTTTTCGGACCCGAACCATCGTTTCTGGTGGATGACGAACTTGTGAGTGGCAGATCCCTCGAGCGTGCCATCGTGGTCAGTATAGGAACAAGTGACCACGATATATGGACCTGCAACCGTGCTCTCCTCATATGCAGTCTTGTGGCACCGCAGGAGCCACGGGTGGCCCATGAGAGAGGTGTACACCAGATCTCCCGGTCTGAATAGCACCCACGCTTGAAGATAAGAGATCTGCCCTTTTGAAATCATTCTGAGAACATTATCCCGTTCAGGCCCCATTTCATTACTCATGAAGTCGAACAGTAGCCTCACTAGAGATTCGTCAGAGGCATGATTAATAGAGTTGACACAACCTAGATCTCCTAATTATATGTGATAGAATACAATACACAGGAGGGGACAGTGCTGCAGAGGTACATGACGGCAAATCGGGTTTTCCTGGAATACTTACAGTGCTGGCGAACCTCTTTGTCTTCCGTTGTCTTGCAGACCTGCTCTAGCTCATCCCACTATCAAAAGTCAGCGTCCACGCTTAATACCGCATACTAGAGAGGTTACTTCTTATTGCTTACATAATGCAGAAGTATCTGAAATGGTGCAGTAAGATCGAATGGGGACTTAAAGTCTGAAGCAACGGTAGTGTACCCTGATCCGACCACATCTCGAAAGACACCGAGCAAATGAGGCGAGTTGACTCGGAGTGTCGTGGATTCGAGCTCTTGTCTGTCGGTAAATTTCCGTCGAATTACCAGGGCGTATTGGCCATCTGTGTCATCTTGTAGTCTTGCAAAAGGCTCTGTCTTTAGCTCTGTTACGAGCCCGCCACCTTTCTTTGGACTCGTGTGATATGTTCTGAATTGGCAGTTCCTGCCACCTGTGCTGGCTGTGGTCAGGTTGTTTGACATCTTGCGAGTTCCTACCTCGTCGTGCTTGAATATCGCACTCCGAGAGGGTTGCACAACCAAAGGGATGGAAAGAAAGTGTTCAATCTTTTAATCTTCAGGCTCTAAATACGCTGATAAGAGAAACCAAAGACGTTGGAAACCGGAGCCTCATTTCTTTTCGGTCACTAGCGACGCCACCATGCAATACTCAACAAGGCTTATCAAGAGGGCCAGGATTCCATTGGTGTGGCGCAATCTCACGTCAGCACGAAATTAATATTAGGTGCGGGCACTGCATCATCGCGCCACGAAAATATGCAGGCTGCCGTTCTGGCTTCACCGGTTGGAGAAGACTTGTCCTGGGCCTGTCACCCCTCGACAACGGAGACACGGTCTTTGCTGAAGGCCCAAGAAGCTGTCAGAGTGATTTGATGTGTTACTACTCTATTAGAGGCATTCGTCTTCTCATCTGCTCTGTCAGCGGACATATTGGAGTTCCATAACATCAGACGTCGACCGACGAAATGGCCCCTTTTGTGACAGACTCGGAGCGAATTCAATTACCAAGTTCGAGCCCTTTTGAAGATGGTACTCCCATTCACACCCCGTTTTCACGAGCAATCGACGATTTCCTTAAGGAGCTGAATGCCGAAGATGATTCCAGAAATCCATTTCTCGCAGAGCTCAGGGCAACCCGCCGAGAACTGGCCAACAACCCGGGCTGCAAAGCAGAGACTCAGGCTGCGGCGGCTAAGCTCAGAGGTTTTATGGATGACCTCCAAACCCAGAAAAGTTCAGGTCGCGGCCCGAGGTTGCTCGCCCGTCTCGATCCATTCATCGACAGTCTCTCCAGGGTCATGGGACTATGCGAAAGTGTGTTGAACGCTGCCCCTTTCGGTGTCAGTGTCGCATTTTCCGGCGCTCGGGTCGTTCTGAAGCTTGCCATGCAAATGCACAGCTGCCTTGAGAGCATTGTCGACGCAATGGTGCAGATAGGCATCAGCCTCAAGTGCTACGAAAAGTTCGCAAAGGCATTCCCGAATACAGAAGAGGTGCAGGATCTTCTCGTCAGTTCCTACAAAAATATCGTGACGTTTTGGTACAAGGCATGTCGCGTACTATCTCGCCATAGCTTAAAGACTGTCATACGGAGCACCACAAGGTCTATGGATAGGGAGATCAAAACGGCGCTGGAAGGTCTGGATCGTGACAGGTCAAATGTCATAGCACTTGCCCAAGCCACAACAGCTGAGCAAGCCATCCACACAAAGGAGGCGACATTGAAACAGGGCGTGATTGATTGGATCAAGAGTGGCTCGCATGTTGACATCACGCCCATCATTGACGAGCAACTTGCACTCCGGGCTGAGGGAACCTGCAATTGGCTCTTCGAGGACAAACGCTTCCAGAAATGGTTCGATGTCATGGACAACACCGCCCTGTGGTACAACGCCAAACCTGGGTCCGGCAAGACTGTATACGCGGCCACAATTGTTGACCATCTAAGGACCCGAGACAAGAAAGTGGCATACTTCTTCTACTCCTTTAACAGCCCTCAACGGAAGTTTGCGATAAGCGGGTTGCGATCTTTAGCTCTGCAGCTGCTGAACAAATTTGTACCGGACATCCCCGACAAGGTTGTCCAGCGGTATAAGGATGAATTCGACAGCAGCGCCGATGGCCTTGAGAGCATCCACTCGGTGTCACATGTTGTCCACGACTTACTTACACAATGTCCAGAGACATTTGTTGTGGTCGACGGAATCGACGAGTGTCTAGATGATGATGTGTTACTGGCAACACTTCAACATCTACTGAAGATGCCAACATATGGACTCGTGAAGTGGCTCTTCACCAGTCGGAACTCTCCTAAGATCAGATCAGTAATGGAAGATTGTCAAGCAATTGAAGTCGAGGCGCCAACGGCATCCGTTTCCAACGATATCCACACTTACTTCAGCAAGTACATCACCTGCCAAAGCTGCATCGAGGAATGGACTGAAGATGAAGATAACTTCCTCTACTCTAAGTTGATATGCGATACGCTTAGGGGTGAGGGACTCACCACGGATGCAGAGATTGAAGAAGCATTGAACAGGTACCCGAAGAACTTGAACGGCTACTACATGCGGGTGTTGGAAAAGCTTTGCATGAAAACGGAGCAGCAACAGGAGCTGGCCAGGTGAGTCTGCCGCTGGTCAATTTTTGTTTTGGTGTGGGGGGGGGGGGCGGGTCATTCTTGATCCCAAAGCTAATACTCTACAATTGCTAGGAGAGCCTTCTTGATTTTGATAGCGGCAGCTCAGTCAATCTCACTGGATGAGATGCGCAACGCACTAGCTGTCGTTCCCGGCGCCGAAGACCACGACCCTAGGCGAGTGCCGTACACGAAAAATATCGAGAACCTTTGCAGCCCTCTTATCACGTTTGGAAAGCCGAGGGGGGGCGATGCCGAAGACAACCCACTGTTGAAGCTATGCCACAAGACAGTTGAAGACTTCTTCCTGCAAAATCCTGACACCCTCAGTTTGGATCCTAAGTCAGGCCTGTGGAAGTACTTTGTGAATCATCAAGAAGCCAACGAAGCAATGGCCATGGACTGCGTGACTTACTTGCAGTACAAGCGATATCAGAGCCCAACTCCCAAGATCGGTGCCATCCTCTCAAAACCCATCCCGAAGGAACACGCTTTTCTTCCCTACGCCGCTACGTTCTGGGCACAGCATTGTGACGGGATAGGGCAGCATCCCGCAGAGAAGATTGTTCATGCAGTTTTGAAATTTCTCCAAAGCCCTACTCTACCAAGCTGTCTGGAGGTACAAGCACATGTCGGCCCCTACCTATTCGGACGATACGTCGACAGGAGAAACGGGCTAGCGTTCAGAATGTGCGTTAAGGGCTCGAGACTCCGTGGCAGTGATTCATTCGGGGTGCCTCTACCACAGTGGCTTGACAAAGTCTCCTCGCATGGGTGGACTCTCGACAGGTCACTGTGCCATTTCATTAGCGAGTGGCGCGAGGTCCTCATTCAACACCCAGACAGTCTGGATTCTTGTCTCCCGCTGACGAAACTTGAGAACTCTTGTCATCTGGATCGACTCAAGGGCCACAAGCATGTAACCGTGGCTTATCTGGAAGACCAGTGTAAACATCTGAGTCCTTCTGGGAAGCTTGATGCCAAGGACTTCCAGATACTGCGCGTTGCATTCCATGGAACAACACTGTGGGTAGACGTAATATCTCACCAGGTGAATGGAATTTACCAGCGCCTTCAGATACCGCTGTTCAGCAAGAAGAAGAGTATCATACAGAGCTCCCACAGCGCCCGCCTCCCAGATGGAGACCTCCTCGGCTGGACAATGAGTGTGACAGGCGAAAAGGGAAAGCACATCATCGAGGCCTGGAAAGCGGATGCTCTTGATTTGAGTATTCGACGGATATTGGATGATAAAAGCAAACAACACAGGGTTCCTCTTGCGTTCTCGAGCACGGGTGATGGAAAAAGAAAAGGGTCATGGGAGGTTCAGTCTACGCAGAGTTTCGAGTCCGATGGTGAGAGCAATGGGCTGATGCAGGTCGTGCATTTCACATGGAAATCGAAAAAGCATGTGGCGGACTCGAATATGACAGGACTTTTTGAGCAGGATCGCGATAGCGACTCATCGTCCGGCGAGTCAGAGGAGGAAGAAGACAGTCCATCTCCAGCGAGTCCTGAGTCTATGTCAGACGATGATTCAGACGACGATTCGGATGATGAATCTACAACCACGCGCAGTCGAACGACGGAAACAGCGGATGAGGCATCGTATACAGACAGCGAGTCCGATACAGATTCAGGGCAGATTACAGACTGCCTGGTATTGATGCCCTCGGAGGATGATCCCTCATGGTACCCATGGTCTGGTACAAGGCAGATCTGGGCACGGATAGGCTGCGCAGCACATCCAACTCTGCCTCTTTTAGCAGTGTCACACACGGCGCGTCAATTAGAGGTCATCGACACAGTTGCAGGAACCCGGAAGACAAAGCACCTCCCGGATCTAGCGGATCTCCAAGATGCTCCCCTGGCAAGTCTGAGAGGTATGAAGTTGCGGCAGCACGTGCACGAAGACAATTGCTAACATAGGTGTACTAAGAACTTCGATTCTCACCCTGCGGAAATTACCTCCACTTCCTTTCCATCGCCTTCGTCCCTCGGAGGGAAACAGCCAGCACGGAAGCACGCGTGACCCTAACAACGTTCAGCTTCAACCACGAAGGAACCACCGATGACACCCTGTTCAGAGAGTGCCCTCCTCAGGAATGCACATACTCATTCGGCGAGACCCTCGCCGACGTCCCCTTGCCGCTGGCATTAACGCACTGGAGCGATACGGAAGTCATCGTCGCATTGCCACCACTGACGTGCGACCCCAAGATACTCAAGCTTATGCTTTCCGCTTTGCCAGATTTACCTGTCCCGGGCCCAGATGACGACAGATGTGCAGGTGGGAACAACATCCTGACCTTGCAAAGTGCGATATACTTCCCGACATCAACCCCGATTCGACAAGCCCGCCTCATGTACCGCAACGAGGGGCAGAGCGACGTGAAGGCCGAAGGACGTCTGTACCTCGTGTTGGATAGACTAGTTCCTTCCGACGGTTCCAAGCACGCTGATGGAGTTGAAAGCGGCGAAAAGACTACAGATAGCTCCACCTCGAAAAATGACGAGGGGGGTGACACCGGGGCTCCGGAACTGGGCCAGGCGAGCCCTCCGGTTGTGCTCCGGTGGAAGATCGCACATAATGATGGATGGAGGGCCTGGGACCCTGAAGCGGACAGCAAAGCCTCGGATTTAAAAAGAGAAGTGCCCGTCTGGAAGATGCTTAGAGGCCAGTTTGTGGACAGCGACAAGCTGTTCAGCGTGCCCATCCGTAGTGGTCTCGACTGGACAAGGAAGGGCTACCTGAGCTGTGGGGTTATTGGGTAAAGTGTACCGTTAGATTTCACCATAGTGTCCCTAATATCACTAGCGAATTGAATCCACGGCTTTCAATACGGTGGCTTCATGGAGTTCATTCAGGTTGCCCTGTCCCTTGTTAGTTTCTTGAAACATCGGTATCGAGGAGAGAAAGGGACCCGAAAAGAAATGCGGGAAAGGTAAAAGAAGGGGCAAGTGTAAAACGGAAGTTGCTGGTTGATCTAGATGGGGTTGGCTGGCAATACTGGCAGCTGATAAGATGCAGAAACACTAATAAATTCTTCGATGTTTATATCACAGTGCTGTATGGAGGGCTTGACGCGCCTTCAGATGTATGCGAACTAAGAACGACATTTGAAGATGATGCAGCAATGTATTGGCCCGCCTAGGCCGAGTTCCGCCCTTCATCCAAGTTGGCTTTTGTGATTAGTACCAGTTGACACGCCCCCACCCCTCTTATGTTCATGCGGTCCGTGGAAACCGAATGAATTGGTCTCTGATTTGTAGCTAAGCAAGCTGCTGTCTCGGAAAAACAAGAATTGGCCCCCCCCCTATAAAATACCCCCTATTTCTCGGCTAAACCAAAACTTTGCTAATAGGGCAAAAAACCTAATATTTTTAATAAAATATTATACTTAATGCTACTTATACTTTAAAAAAGGAAAAAAAAAGGCTAATAATAGTAAGCTATTATCTATTAAGTTATAAACTTTAATAGTTAAAGTTTTATTTATATTTTAATTTATTTTTATTAAATAAGTAGCTATAAGCCAAGTTTTAAATTAGCTATATTATAATTTAGAGATATTATTAAAGGGTTGCTATTATTTATATAGTTGCTCTAAGTATATTATTATTATTATTATTAAATATAATTAAATTAAAATAATAAGCTTTAAAGGTTTATTAACCTGCTTTTTTATAATAAGTTTATAAAGCTTAATTAATATATAGATTATATAGGCTAAAAGTTAAAAATTTTTTATTTAATAAGTTAAACCTATATTTTAATAAAATATAATACTTTTTATTAAGTAGTTTTAAATTAATATTATTATAAAAATAATAAATAATATTTTTAAAGTTTATATATAAAGTAATAAATAAATATATATATTAGCTTGCTAATATAATAAGAAGTTTTATAATTATTACCTTTAATGGGTATATTAGCTAGGCTATATAATGAAAATATTTGTTTTTATTAATAAGTTTGGTTTTAATAAGCGGGATAGTATAAGGAGAATAGGTTAGGTATTTATTAAGTATATTTTATAGGTTAAAAATTTTTTTAAGTAAGGGGCTTACTTTTATATTTTTCTTATAATTATATTTGATAGTTTATTTGCTATTATAGTGTATAAAGGTTATATAATAAAAAAGTACTTTTTATAGTGGCTAATAAAGAGTGTTTTATTAAAAATAAACTTATATTTAAGCTTAAGGTTAATTTTTATAATGGATAATACTTTATAGTATTATAGTATAAAGATAATTAAGGTAATAAATATAAAAGGTATAAAGTATAAGTATTTATCTTTATATTTTTAATTTTAATTTTATTAAAGTATATTTTAGTAACTTAAAGTATTATTTATATTATTAGTACTAGTATAAATTATTAAATTATAATTTAAATGAGGATTTTATTTAATTTTTATTTTTTTATATTTAAAAGATTAAGTTTAGGGCTAAAGCTATTTAAGGATATTTTTATTATATATAAATATTAGAAAAAAGTATAAAATAAAGTAAATATAATAGTATTAATTAAAAGTTATAAGGACTAAGATTGATAAAATTTTAGTTGAGTGTAGTTATGTGGGTAGAAAAGTATTATTTGCAAGTTAAATAGTTAGGTTAGTAGTTAGAGTTAAGGTAGATAAATTAGCTATAGGCAAATTTATTTAATTAATTAGTTGCCTAATATTAGGCACCTAATTTACTTTATTTGTTTAAAATAATTAACTTTTTTTTTTAATTATTTTTTATTACTAACTATATCTTTTTATATGCTTAATTATTACTTTCTTTATTTAAAAAGTTTTTTAAAATTTATTATATAATTTTTCTACCTTATTAAATATAAAGAATTATTTTAATAGGCTTTTAATTTTTTTATTAAATAGCTAACCTAATTATAAGGTCTAATATTAAATAAAGCTAATTAGTTAGTTAGATAATTTTTATAAGTTTTATAAAATATATACTTTTAATATTTGCTTAGTAGTTTATTAAATGGCTATTTAATAGCTTTTATTATAATAATAAGTTTTTATTATTATTATTATTATTAAAGAAATTAGTAAAATTCTTTTTTCCTTTTAGGTATGGCTTAACTAGCATTTTAATTAATAAAATAGCTTTTAGATTATACCTATTAAATTAAATATTCTCCTTTTTGTGGAGCCTATAAAGGTTAAGCTTTTTATACCTTATAACTTTTATAAGTTGTTTAAATTAAGCCCTTTTTAATAGGTTTTTAAAATGTTTTTAAAGCACTTTTATAATAAATTTTTAATATAAAATTATTTTATTTTCTTTTATTTATAGTAGTAATAATAAAAAAATAATTAGTAGCCTTTATTTTTATAATAGGCTTTTAGGCGCTATTATTATTGCTATTAGTAGTAGTAGGGTTTTATTAAATTTATAAAAAGAAGCTAATAATAGTAGTAATAATAGCGGCCCTATTAAGGCTATTTGGCTATATTTAATTTTAGGTAAATTAATATTAAATAATAGATTAATAATTATATTAATATTACTTTTTTTTTATTTTTATTTTTATTACTTTTTTTTAAGAGGAATAAGGCTAATTTTATTACTATTAGGCTTTTTTTATTAGGCTTTATTTAAGCTATTTAATAATTAAAAAGGACTTTTAGTAGGTATTTAATTATAGTATTATTTATTATAATTGTATTAAATTAGTTTTTAAATTTTTATTAAATAAGTTAATATATATACTATTTTGCCTAATAAAATATTATTATTATAGGGAATTCTTTTATTTTAATAGTAATAATTAGCCTTATAATAATTATTTAAAAAATATAGCTATATTTTTATTAGTTATTTATACTTTTTTATATAGGATTTGTTTTTACTTTTATTTTAACTTTTTATTTAATAGTTATTAATATAAATTAAGGAGTTTTAAGGTTTAAATTTTTATTAGGTATATTTAAGTTTGCTATTTATTTAATTATTAGTAAATTATTTTTAGGGTAGTTATTTATTAAATAGTTAGTAATAGCTAAAAGACCTTAATTAGTAGGTGTCTAGTTAAGTAATTATTTTATAATATAAATATTTATAACTTTTATATTAGTAATATAACCTTATAGTTATATAAAATTAAAAAAGGGTTTTAAAATTTAAAAGTATATTTATAATATTATTATAGTTAAGTATTTTAATTTTTTTATTAATATTTTTTTTTATAGTTTTTAATTATAAAGTTAAAGATTTTTAGCTTATAAGCTAATTAGTTTTAATAAAAATGTTTTTTAGCTTAATAATTATATTTAAATAATTTTTATATTTTTTTTTAATTAAGTTTTTAAATAAATTAATATAATTTAATAAAAGGCCCTAAATCTTTTAACCTTTATTTTTCTTTTTTAATATAATAGTTTATTTTTTGGGTTATATAGTAAAAGTAATATTGGCTTTTAAGTTATAAATTTTAATAAATAAAGTTAGGGCTAGTTTGCCTAAGTGTGCTTATATTAGGGGGTTAATTAGGCAACTTTTAAAATGTTTAATATTATTGCTATTATTATTTGCTAAGAACCTTATCTTATTAGCAAAGGGGTTTTTATTATTAGTACCTTTTAGAGCCTTCTTTTTTTTATTATTAAATATATTTTTTTTATTATTAACTTTAATAGTATTTTTTTATGCCCTTTAAATTGCTTGGTTTATTATAATAGCCTTATTTTAGGCGGTTTTTAAGGGTGCTTATAAGTACTTTTAAGTAATTTATTAGGCCTTAATTGCCTTAATAATTAGCTTTTAAGTATATAATTATTTAGGTGGTATAATATTTTTATTAATAAATTATATAATTTAACTTTTTAAGCGGGTTTTATATAGTAAATATTAAATAGTTTGGGCTTAATAGATTAATTAAAATGCGTTATTTATAATATTAGTTAGATTAATATTACCTTATATTAGGGCAAGTAGGTTATATGTATTTTTATAGGCCGGGCTTAAATTAACTATATAAGACTGGTATGGTATTATTTTTATCTAATTGGGTAATAAAAATAACTTATTGCTAGCATTAATAAGGTTAATATAGGTGTTTTAGTAAAAATGTTGGGTTTTCTACCTTACCAGCAAAGTTTTGGTTTAGCCGAGGAATAGGGGGTATTTTGCAGGGGGGGGGCCAATTCTCGTTTTTCCAAGACAGTAACACGCCCCTCCTCCGAGCCACTATTGTAGGGCGAAGTGCATCATGGCGCAGCATCCCTGGACTCGGTTGGCCAGTTAGAATGTCCTCTGGGCTCTTCTTCATACCTAGATACGCGCACCTCTGTACAACACTCGTTTATTAGCACCGCCTGCCTGCCTTATTGCTTACGGTCAGACAGGCCTAGGTCTAATGCAGCGCGCCCAAGGCAGACCGCAGCAGACCTATCGAGGCGGAATTTGCCTCTCATCTGTTCCTCCCCGCTTTCCCATATGATTCACTTTTCTTCAACCGCACGCCAGGCAAACTTACCTAGTGACCAAGTTCTTTCTCATCTATCTCCAGTCAAAACATCTCCCAAGGCTTGTGTAAGTTAGAACAACATGGTGGCTGAGAGTGTGGGCTTGGCCGCCTCCGTCGCAGGTCTCGTTTCGCTGGGCTTGCAAGTTACTGGCGGCATCGTCAAGTACTTAGATGCCTTCGAGAGTCGTCAAGATGACCTCGCCTTCGTCAAACAACAAAATGAGGCGCTCAGGACCAGCCTTCAAGCCATCGAAGAGTATGTAGTCGCCCCCGGATCATCCCCAGAGGTCGCCGCTGCAGTCTCTGGGAGCATGCAGTCGTTCGAGGGGGCGCTTGACAGGATAGAGAAGTTGTACCCCGAGCTCGTTGACTCTGGCGGTAAGAGTTGGACATCGCGACTAGATAATCGGAGAAAGAGGTTCACATACCCTTTCAATCGGTCGAAAGTCCAGCAACTTGGTCAACAATTAGAAAAGGCCCGCGGCACTCTGCAGCTTACTCTGAATGCCTTAGAAATGTCAGTTGTTAATATTATCTTCTGATATGGCACATGATCTATGGTTCTGACGCATGAGTACTCAGGCGAGTGTCGAAGCAGTATCACACAGAGACACTGGCCACTATGGAAGTCTCTTTCCGTGGTCTATCGTCTGAAACGCAGCTCATTCGGTCAGGCCTGGCGGCAGTTGAGGCACCTATCGTTGACATCCAAGATCAACTTTCTACGACACATGAGGCCGTCAACACCTTCTCTCAGCTCCTAGTTTCTCAATATGGGGCTATCTCATATCAAGCTCAAGAGAACAACCAAGTCTTTTTGGGAAAGCTCCAGGAAACAGCCAACCTTCTGCAACACTTGGAGGAACGCCATTCGAAGCAGAATCAAGAGATAATGAAGACTATCGAACGTCTTGCTGAGCAAACACGACACAACTATGGGCCGGATCACGTCCCGGGTGCTCTGGTCCGCAGACTAGCTTCCAAGCCGGCATTGCTGAAGGAGGCCAGCAACGCAATCCAGTCATTAGAACATGGACAAGATGAACCGGTGCCCCTCAGCGTGCCCACCAAGCCTCTATCGAATGCAGCTCGGGTCGCAACCTCAGTCAAACCCCCCACTTTGCAGTCGACTCTGGGAAGAATTTGCATCTGCCCTCGTCAGCGTCCACAAAATGTGAGAGAACGAAGGCGGATGCAGCTTGGCAATTCCTCCTTCTTCGGCGATTGGGAAACGCAAGCCCACTGGCCCGCTTGTCCACTGTCAAAGGCGTCCAAAAAGAAGCGACGAGTGGTAGTAGGGTTCAACTACACCGGACTTACTCGCATTTTGAAGACCGCCATTAACATGTCTTTCGCATTGACGTATGGTGCCGGTGGCTTCAGTATTAGCCCGAGTTTCACCTGTAACCCGACTGTTGACAGCCGGTTGGATCCCGCCTTTCGCATCTTGGACCTCCTTGGAGAGGGATCTCTTAGACTCGAAAACGGTCTTGATACTCTGATAACCGCTTGCATGAAACGGCTGATCCAGCTTTTTGATGACGGAAAGGTTTGCCCGACAGCTGTAGACCAACGGAACCGGAGCTTAATGCACTATGCCATCCCCGCAGTGAGTTTCTCGATGATTGATGTGATAATTGCAAGCCTGATCTTTTCATAGCTCCGTCGGTCGAATAAGTTCAGCTCTGTTCATGGTCTTAATACAATGGGTCTCTCGGTTGAACTTGTCCGCACTCTCCTTGCGTACGGCGTTGCGCCGTTCACCTATGACCTCCGGGGTCAGTCACAGTGTCTAGACAACTTTGAGCAGAGCTGACAGGTAATCGCAGGACGATCACCACTTATGGGATCCCATTATACTATTTCAATCCGGAGTATCGACTACCCTGTTGTAGGTATTTTATTTCAAGCGAATGTGGAAAGTCAACCAGTAGCTTTGGATGGATCCTCGGCTCGCAATGCTTTGCCGTCTACTAGTGCGCCCTATTTGATGTCGTCGCGTTACGAAATATTCTACCGACATCCTGAAGGTAAGTTACAGATGTGCCCCGAAATCCATCCTCCTGGCACTGCCACGTCTGCTAACCTTGCAAAGCTTGCGAGTGTGGCCCATTGAGTATAGCGGTACTCCAGAACAATACAGTGGCAGTAAACCAGATTCTGAGTAGCAACCCTGCAGCATTGACCGAGATAAATCTTTTTGGGCAAAGCCCTCTTCATCTCGCAGCTACGAGTCCCGAAATACTGGACATTCTCTTAAGAACTGGAGACCTGACCCTGCTTGAGTATCGCGATGTGTGCTACTTCACCGCGCTCGAGTTTGCGATGATACGCAGCTCCGACCTGTGCATCAATGGAAAGCGTATCCAGAGGTGCTACGATGACACTTGCAACTGTTGTCAGTGCATAGATCTGTTATTCGCTGCCGGGTGCAGTGTACGAATGCATGGAACGGATGAATACAGCTACCAGGACGCGCCCAGTTTACGGTCGGTTCTTGAACATGCATCAGAGCTTGCTAGGCGCAAATATGTCCATCAGATGAAAAGATCCCGAACGGGTCAACCACCAGATCCACGGGAACTTTCTCCTACCCCTGAGTCTGGAGCAGCAGACGACATGAGTTGGATTTTCCACGAAATTCAGGACCCACACCTTGGAGCGCTATTCTATCGCCATGGCTTCCAACCGCACCCATCACATTTGATTCACTTGCGACCAGAAGATCGTATCAACTTGGCTTATCTTGACTGGCTCATATCTCACGGGGTTGATGTACGTTCTCGATCACCCAAAGGGCCAGACTTTCTCGAAACTTCTCCGAATTGTGGCTTGTTCGGTGCACACTTTGCCTTTTACTTTATCCAACTCAAACTTTCCGGCGAGGAACACCGATACCGGTCAGCACGACCGAGCAAAGATTCTTGGGATGCATACATGGAACCCACAACAGCGATATTTTGTCAAGGCCTCACAGATGGGTGCCAATGCCATTGCACCGTGGACGGATGTACCCCGTTTACGTGGATGATGAAAGGGAGCCATTCGTTACGCGATACTCCGGATCTAGCCCCCTCATCCTCCTTTGGAATTGTCTACTGTCTCGAATCTCATTACACGCTGTGCGGACCCGAGCTAACAACTCTCACGTATAAGGCGGCAATTCGATACGCAACTTTCACTGCTCTCAACATCACCCACACGTGCTGCAATGCGTGGGATCTAGCACAAAATGGGGGTGAACGAGTGGAGAGAGATGCCAATGACATCGAGGCTATCAATGAGGAGGAAGCCGCTCTCTTGGAGATACTCGAAGATCTGGTGCTTTGGTACGAAGAGAAGGCCCTTGATTATTTGGGAACAGACTCCGAAAGTAGCCAGGGCTCATTCTCCGACTTCTGGCCCATGTGCTGGAAAGTTCGGGTGGATGAGGAGGTTGCCAAACTGCACGAGATGGAATTAAAAGAAGCGGGGGAGAGAGGCACGCAAGAAAACGAGATATACCGCTGGGGTCCTCAGCGGCCGCCGCCGCCGGTGAAGGTGGATAACCCGTATGACGAGGGTGATCTGGAGCACTGGCTGTACGAGTTGGACAAGATCTGCCCAGAGTACAGGGACTCGTGGCCTGAGGAACCATGCCGGGTTTCCGAGGTGCCGTAGGGTTTGACTTACCAGTCCAGTTTACCCATGGAGCTGTATACATCCGCAATGACTACCTCTTGCTACACTGGGTGTCTGGTTTTGAATTCAAATGCGATTTTAACAACCACTAGCATAAATGGCCTTCAAATGCGGTGGTGGTTGAATGCTCAGACAAGAGAACATTTAAAAAGGTAATGACCATTACAGTATGTATACAGTAAGACACCTAGATACCTAGGTATGCTATTCGTAATTTTCACCTCATTGATCGATGGATACGAAGACATGTAGTTCCGAGATGGATTTGCAATGGCGGACCTGTTGCTAGCAAGGCACAACAACAGTGTTGGTGGGTTCCGAGGTTGCATTGCCCCAGTAGGAGCTGCACCCGAGGTGCCTAGGTACGTACCCACCGGACCTAAGCTTCCATTAGGTGACCAACCTGGAACTTCAACTTGGCAACTTTTTGTCCAGCCGTTTTGATATTTCCTAGAATTGCTGGCAATTGAACACGCATTGACAGACAGGAACAGCTCCAAAAAAAGATTGATCACAACCCACCCGCGCGGTTGGACTTCTTAGCCGCTGAGAGGGCGCAAACCAGGCCGTCTTTGAAGCAGCCCACCGGCAATTCCTCGCTGCAGGGACGGTTCCCATCCAAGGCCAGATCCGCAACGAAGCCAGACCACCAACCGCGACAGCCACTCCCACAGCCATGGCAAGCGGCCTCGGCATAATGAACACGGCCTCGCGCCCCTCAACAAGCGGCTCCAGGTCCAAATTCCAACTCCCAAGCAGCTCCTCCTCGAGCTCCGCAGACCCCGACCCGACGAGACCCCCACACCCAAACAACGACGACGAAGACGACGACGAAGACGCCTTCGACCCCGACGCGCCCCTCCCCTTCCCAACAGCCCTCTCGCGGCACGACTTCCTAGCCCCAGACTTCAACGCAGCGACCTACCTCTCGTCCCTGTTCCCCTCCGACTCCACCACCTCAACCACCACAACACCCCACCTTCACCACCGGCACCAGACCCTCGAGGACCTGCGCTCCGAGCTGCGCGAGCGCAGCTCCGCCATCAGCGCCGAGCTGCTGGAGCTCGTCAACGGCAACTACGCCGCCTTCCTGGGGCTGGGCGACGGCCTGCGGGGCGGCGGCGAGCGCGCGGGCGACGTGCGGGTCGCGCTGCTCGGGTTCCGGCGGCAGGTCGAGGACGTGGCGGGGCGCGTGCGGGCGCGGCGGGAGGACGTCGTGCGGGCCTCTGGGGAGCTGAGGGCCGTCCGTGGGGAGGTGGAGGTTGGGAGGCGGATGGTTGAGCTTGATGAGCGGTGTGGGGTTTTGCTTGGGCGGTTGGAGGCGGGTGGTGGTGGTGCTAGGGAGGATGGGGAGGGGAAAGAGGACGATGATGATGATGACAGCGAGGGGGATGGGGAGGAGAGGCTTGTTGAGATGGTCAGGGAATACAATGCTATCGTCAGGCTGGCCAATGCCTTGGGGCGAGACCTGCCGTATGTCAGGAAGATGGAGGAGAGGATCACGAGGTGCAGGAATACGCTGCTCGTTGACCTGGGGGCGTCGTTGAGAGAAGCGCGGAGGGCAGGCCAGCACGAGAGGACCATGAGGCTACTGGGGCTTTACCGAGTGCTGGGGGCATATTCGGAGGGAGTCAAGACGCTCAAGGAGAAGTGAGCGGCTACGTTCTTCAGCAGTGCCACAATATGATACCCCATTATGCGCAAATCAACATTGGACGTCTCCAATATACACCGTGTCTTCATGAATTGATTGTACAGATATATCCCGGTCCAAGATGTCTTTCCGACCGCACACACTACTTGCTCCCAGCCGCCCTCACATCGGGCTGGTCAGCATCTGAGGCGTCAGCCCCGGCTCGGTAGGGTTGAACCCGCCGTTCAGGCTGAAGCCCGGCCCGTGCGTGGTGCTCATGACAATCTCGTGCACCTCCTTGGTAAAGTTGCCCTCGACCGACGCGCAGTCGTCCTTGACCTGCGCCACGACCGCCTTGACGTTGGCGGCCAGCATCTCGGGCGTGAAGGCGAGCTGCCCGACGGCCAGACGGATGACGCCATCCTTCTCGCGGTAGTTGTCGGCGCCGGCCATCTCCTTGAGCAGGCCCAGCACGTTGCTGGTGATGGTCTTCATGCGCACGGACGGCATCAGGCCCTTGGGCCCCAGCACGCGGCCCATGTTGGCCTTGGCCAGCGTGTCGGCGGAGCCCTTGTCGCAGATGAGGCTGTTCAGCTCGACCGTGCCGTCGCGCAGCGCCTGGAACAGCGTCTCCTCGCCCACGGCCGCGGCGCCCGCCGCCCGCGCCTGGATGGCCAGGGCCGACCCTTCCTTGCACACGACGCCGATGCGGCGGTTCGACGAGACCGGGTGCGGCAGCCGGATGCGGCTCTTGATCACGGGCCCGGACTTGAGCGTCTTGAGGTTCACCGCCAGGTCGTACTTGGTGCTGACGGGGTCCTGGCCCACCTCGAACGCGCGGGCGTACCTGTGTCCAGCCAGCAGGCGGCTTGTCAGTTTGTGTTTATAGAGGGGAGGATAAAAGGTCGTCTGTCGCATACCGGATGGCATCACACAGCGAGAACTGCTGCATCTTGTCCAGCCTGTCAACCCTGAATCCCTTGTGCTGCTTCCTCTTCTTCTCCTTCTTCCTCGCGCCGCTTGGCCGTCCCGATGCATTTCGTGTTTGTTGTGCGACTGCGACGACTGATGGGGCGAGATACCGTGGTATCGCTGCTTGTATTGTTGGTCTGGATGCTGTCGTGAGGCTGAGCCTTGCCATTGAGGCCAGGCATTGGTTTATTGAGGCCATGCTGGGCGGTGATGTGCTGCGACGGTGCGGATGCGCGTCCGTCGTTCTGCCTGTGTGGGAATGGAGCTCACGTCCTGATAGTCACAAGCAGTCAGTCCAGCATCAGCTCAAATTTCGTCAAGGTGGAAGTACCAGGGTTGGGGGTGCAGGGGTGGGGGGCACTCAATCGGAGCATGGGGGTGGCCAATTCAGCCCGGTATGACTGAACCCCTCCTCGAAATTTCACCCCACCATCTCCATCTATCTGCCCAGCTCTCTCTCCTGTTGCTGCCCGCTTGTCCCTCCCTCCCACCCACCTTTTGCCGGTTGACTCACGAGACGACCTTTTCTCTTTAAGCTCGACTTTTCCCTCGACCAGTGTCATCCTTCTCCCCACCCAATCCTCGAGGGACACAACACAACCATGAAGGCAGACGAGCTCAAGGCGATCACGCCCGACCTGGGCAAGGATTTCAAGACCATCGAGCCGCATTTGATCGCCCTCGACAAGCACCTGATCCTGCGAACCTACCTCGACGGCTACCAGCTCGGCGATAACGACAAGGCCATCTGGACTGCCCTGCGCACAAACCGTGCGGGTGCTTCCTACATCCTCAAGGGGTCCCTCCCCAACCTGCTCCGTTGGTACGCCTTTGTCGACGCCACACACCCCGAGATCCAGGAGTCTATCAAGGCCGACGAGGCCGAGAAGAGGAAGAAGACTGCTGCTGCCAGTAAGGCTGGAGGCAACTTCAACCTCGCCCTTCAGGACACCGCCAACGGCGTCGTCACCAGGTTCCTGCCCGAGCCGTCGTAAGTGCCCCCGTCTACATATATCATTGGCCAACGAATGGCCTGCCAGGGCATTGCAAGAAAAAACGCTGACGTCCACCTCCTCCAGAGGTTACCTGCACATCGGACACGCCAAAGCCGCCCTTCTCGCCGACTACTTTGGCCATGTCGCCTACCAAGGAAAGCTGCGCCTGCGTCTCGACGACACCAACCCCTCCAAGGAGAAGGGGGAGTACCAGGATGCCATCATCGAGGACCTCGCCCTGATGGGCATCACCCCCGACCACCTCTCCTACACATCCGACTACTTCCAGTACCTCTTCGATATGTGCAAGAGGCTCATCTCCGAGGGCCACGCATACGCCGACGACACGGGCACCGAGCAGATGCGAGACGAGCGGTGGAAGGGCATCCCCTCCAAGCACCGGGACATGCCCATCGAGGAGACGCTGCGCATCTTCGACGAGATGTACAAGGGGTCCGAGGAGGGTATCAAGTGGTGCATCCGCGCCAAGGTGTCCTATGACAACCCGAACAAGGCCATGAGAGACCCCGTCATCTACCGGTGCAACATCGAGGATGCCCACCACCGGACCGGGACGACATGGAAGGCGTACCCCATGTACGACTTTGCCTGCCCCGTCATCGACAGCCACGAGGGCGTCACCCACGCCTTGCGATCGACCGAGTACACCGACCGCAACCCCCAGTACCAGTGGTTCATCGACACGCTCAAGCTGCGCCAGGTCCACATGTGGGACTTTGCCCGCATGAACTTTGTCAAGACCTTCCTGTCCAAGCGGAAGCTGGCCAAGCTCGTCGACACCGGCAAGGTCTGGGGCTGGGACGACCCGCGCATGCCCACCATCCGTGGCGTGCGCCGGCGGGGGATGACCGTAGAGGCACTGCGCGACTTTATCGTCAAGCAGGGCCCCAGCCGGAACGTTACTACGATGGACTGGACCGTGTTCTGGGCCAACAACAAGAAGGTCATCGACCCGATCGCGCCCCGGTTCACGGCCATCCTGAAGAAGGACGCCGTCAAGGTCACCGTCAAGGGCGCCGACGCCCCAGCCGGCCCCGTGACCGAGAGCAAGCCCAAGCACCCCAAGAACAAGGACATCGGCAACAAGAACGTCGTCTTCTCGGACGAGCTGCTGCTCGAGCAGGCCGACCTGGCGGCCATGAAGACCGACGAGGAGATCACGCTCATGACGTGGGGCAACGCCTTCGTGCGCAGCACCGACGGCTCGTCGCCCATCAAGACGGCGACGGTCGAGCTCAACCTGGCCGGCGACGTCAAGAAGACGGAGAAGAAGGTGACGTGGCTGTCGACCAAGGGCACGACGCTCGTGGCCGCCGAGCTGTGGGACTTTGACTACCTCATCACCAAGGACAAGCTCGAGGAGGACGACAACCTGGAGGACTTCCTCAACCCCGACACGAGCTCGATGGAGGAGGCGTGGTGCGACGAGAACGTCGCCGCCCTCAGGCGGGACGACATCGTCCAGCTCGAGAGGAAGGGCTACTACCGCGTCGACAAGGGGCTGGCGGACTACAAGGAGGGCGAGGAGAGGAAGGTGGTGCTGTTCAACATCCCGACGGGCAAGACGGGCGAGGCGCGGCCCTCCAAGTAGAGAGAGAGAGAGAGAGAGAGAGAGAGAGATGTGTGACCCGACCGGCTAGGGCGGATCGAAAAAGAAATCAGAGATTTATGAAATGTCAGGATTACGAGCGGATTAGAGCATTGTGACTGTTGCGGTGGCGCCGAGAAACGCCCAGATGCAGCGTGTGCATATCACATGCATGTAATGTGCACGACCCTTATACAAGGTAAGGGTACAGTACCGCAGTAGGTTTGATGGTCCGGACTGACTGTCAGAACTGTCCCACGCGACCGCGCTGATATCATAGGTACTCCTAAAGAGAAGCTGGATGGGATAGTCACGCCCATTTTAACCTGATCAGGGGGTTCCTTGGCACAGGGCGAAGCGAGTGGTAGGTTCTTCCTGGTCGGCTGGCGTCTGTCCTACCGTGCTGGCGGCAAGGAACGGCACGGGCAAGCCACCTTGGGGGCCGTTTCGGAAACAATTGATCCTTGGGCGGGCGGGACGTGGGCCGGCCGCCCTCCCTGGCAGGCAGCCCGTCGGCCCAACGGACAGATGTCGACAGGAATAGGAGCTGAGCTGAAGCAGGCCGAAAGGTAATCGCAACGTCATTCCGACAGGGAAGCTCGGTCGCACCCAGGAGCAGCAGACACATTCATGATGATGCAAGTGTTCGTGGCCCGAGTCGACGGTCCGTCTGGTGTGAGTCTGTCTTGGGAGGGTCGGCGGGTATATAATAGGGAAGCCACGCCATCACCGTTGTTGTACCTGAGGTCCTCTCAGATGAGCCTGAAGGAGGCAAGACACCGCCACATCTTGTTCGCTTGTAGCAGTGAACTGCAAAGATCTGCACGACGCCGTTGGACCAACAAGCAAGTCCGAACGAATACCATACCGTACGGCCCGCCGCCTCGACCTGCCAGCCTGCGTCTGACCACCCTGACCGACCGACCAGGGCTGGGATTGACATGTCTCGCCGTGGGAAGAGGTACCACCGCTGTCAAACGACCGTTTCGACGGCCTGGCCTAACCTGACCTGACCTGACCTGACCTGAAAGGGGCACAGGCAGGCAATGACGCGGGGGAGTATTAAGGTTATTAGGCCCGCCCGACGTGTCTGAGCACAACAAAGAGCTGTCACAACCACCACCCAGACGGAGCAGCGATCACATAGCACCAGAATCTCATCACCACCACTACTCACCCTCGAACATCGAAGCATACAACACGCGTACTCAACATCAACCCAGCCATTGAGAAAGACCAGAGAAAAGACCAGAGAAAAGAAAAGCAGTCAACACAATAAAGGAAACATGCCGTCCCCACCGAAAAGCCCAACAATAGGGATCCGCTACATCTCAGACGCGGTCAAGAGCGACCACCGCCTGCTCGAGCGCCTCCTCGCCAGGCTGATGACCCCGCCGTCCCCGTCGCCATCCCCATCACCATCACCATCACCATCATCACCTACCACCACAGCAACCACAACCACACCAAGCAACCCCCCAAAAGACGGCCACCACCACCACCACCAGCGCGCCGCCCTCGCCTCCCGCCTCGCATGGGAGCTAGCCCGCCACCTGGTAGCAATGGAACTCTTCATCTACCCAGGGACAGCCACCCGCGCGGCGCAGGGCAACGCCACGGCGCAGCAGAGGCAGCGGGACCTGGCGCTGCTGCGGGGGGAGGTGCGGGCGCTCTCTTCTGCCGCGGCGGCCCCCGCCTCCCCCTCTAATAAAGATCCCAGCGGCGGGGGCGAGAAGAAGCTCAACGCCGCCCTGGACGCGGTGGCGGCGCGCCTGCTGGGCCCCGGGCGGCACATCCGGGACGTGGAGAGGGTGGACCTCGTGAACATCGAGAGCGTGCTCAGCGCGCGGGAGAGCGAGGACATGGCGGTGGATTTTGAGCGGACTTTGGGGTTTATTCCTTTTGGGGTGCGGGATGATGGGGGGGAGGTCGTGGAGGATGGGGAGGATGGGTTCGGGGTTGTCAAGGCGCCGTATGGGAGCGTTGAGGGGCTGCTTGATGCTGGTCCTGGGGAGCTGAGGGCTGCTTTGGGGAGGTTGCCGAGGGGGTGATGGGTAGGTGGATGATGGGACGCAATAAATAAATGAATGGGAGTTCAGCGGCGTTGGGGATTAAGATATATGGCAGGCGTACCTCAAGAGTCAAAGTCACTGGCAGATATATGACATATATATCAAAACCCAAACTCGGCCCTGTGCTCCCTCACCCAGCCCGCGACCTCGCCGCACGGCGCACACCAGACCTCATCATCCCGCCCGAGCAGCCCGACAACCTCCTCCAGCAGCCCCATCTTCTCCTCGTCGGTCGTGAGGAAGGGGTGGAACAAGATGGACATGTACCCGCCCTCCGCCTTGGTCTCCCCGATGCGCCTCAGCAGCCACGCCCGGAACTCGGCCGGGCCAGGCGCGCCCTCCCCTTCCCCTTCCCCCTGGACCCCGTGCTCCCGCCGCGTCCCCGCGAACTTGTCCATGTACCAGAACGCATCCACGGCCTCCCACTCAAACGGGAGCACCACCACATCACCAGCCCCGTCCCCGTCCCCGTCCCCGCCGCCGGGGAGGATACCAAACTCCCCCAGCGGCGAGACATACTCCACCCCAAGCCTCCCACAAAGCCCCACCGTCCTAACCCCGTTGATCCGGCCCCCGGGCGGCCTGAACCCACGATACACCACCCCCGCCTCCCGCGCGGCGGCGAAGCTCCTCTCGAAGCTGGCCTGCTCGTCCCCGGGGGACAGGGCGTGCCACACCTCGTGCTGGAAGCCGTGCCAGGCGACCTCGTGGCCCGCCCGCTGGAGGGAGGCCACTGCGGCGGGGTAGGTGGCGAGGCTCCACGCCTCGGCGAAGTAGGTCGCCCTGACACCTCCTTTGCCTGTGGTGGTGGTCTTGGCCAGGATGTCCAGGATGCGCGGGAGGGTCTGCAGGACGGAGGGGTCCTGGCCCGTGGGCTTGCCGGCGGGCCAGGTCTTGTTGTGGACCGCCTGCGCCTCGCCGAGGTTGTCCATCGTGAAGGAGATGGCGCACCTTGCGCCGTGGGGCCAGGGGGGTGGCATTGTTGTGGGTGGTGTGTGTGGTGGTGGGTGATGTTTACTGTTGGATGGTGTACCGGTATGTGGTGCTCGAGCCTCGGATTGTTGTGGGTTAGTCTCGGAGATAGGGTGAGTTGACTAGTACATAGCCTTGCAGCTAGTCGTACTCGCGGTTGTGGGGTCTGTGGGTGAGAAGCAGTTGAACAGGAACAGGAGAAATGAGTCGACATCTGTGCAGAAAGCGCATGTCGATATGCGTTGGTGCGCCATTGAATATCCGTTCGATTCGCGGAATCAAGCCGAGCCAATGACGCAAGCACTATAGGGGAAGCGGGAGTATAGTACGGGAGACCAATCGGCACATGTCGAGCAACGTCAAGTCGTGAGCCCTCACAACCACCACCTGGGCACTGAGACACCACGACTTCTTCCGGGCCACTCTTGCCATTCTCAACCGTCGTCTCAAATTGTTGAGAAGATATGATCCTGCAACCAAATATCATCAGTAGTCCCGTGCCGGTAGCCCACGACCAGCACCCATCCTCTCATTCGGCCTCGCAAGCCTCACTCACCCGTGATCCATGACCGCTTAGAACTGGCCCCTCCACTCACCAAAGCTGTTCACGTGATATGGAGGAAGGTGCCATTATACAGCAGGCAGCCAATGCGGAACTGAGACGTCAGGACGGCGAGTTGGGACAGCCATTTGTCCAAGCTGGGCGCCACGACGACCGAGCGCTGGAAGTCTGTAGCGGAACAAACAGCCCGCGTGCCCCAGGCCTCGTCTCATGCTGTCTGACACGATTGGGGGACATGTCGGGGGCGGGCGGGCGCAAGCGACTATGACTCAAACAACGTCAAAGGACTCGCACCCCGGTGTAAGAAGTGCATCTGCTGGCTCGCGCACCCGGGTACATCGCACGATGCCGCGTTGATCCACCGCTGTTGACTAGGACATAGCGGATAGTTACGCCGAGAACACCGCCGGGCTGTGTCTGTCCAGCCTGCTCGGGCAATCAATCCCCCGTCGTCAGTATTTATCATCCTCCTTCCTTTCTTAACCCAGGGTACGTACTCCGCGCGCCTACTACGAAGAACACGGTTCTGGTCTGGTGATGTTCGTAGAGAAAAGCCCCCCGGGCATATGGGCTTGGGGAGTGGGTGGGTTGGGACAAACAAACAGCCGGGCTTGAGCTGTTGCTACTGCTGCGTGGTCAGGTGACCTGGGGCTGGTTCAGCCTACAGCAGAGCTGTCTAGTTTCTGTTGGGCCCGCGGCCGCATGGCATCATTGATGTCGTGGGAGCGCTGTGGCCCTCGTGGCTGAGGCCACTTTTTCCCATCATCGCCCAGCACGGGCAGGATCGGTTATTGACGTGACACGCGTCCTCGTGGATAGGAGCAATATCACGAGGGAAAAGCCCCCGAGCAGGAGAGAACAGTGCGGGCAGGGTCGGGTGGAGGAGCGTGCCTGAATGTGGGCAAGTGTAGGGTGGGGGAGAGAGGTCGATCCTCTCGGGGTGGTCTGTCTTGCCGGCGAGGCTGGCGATACAACGCAGGAGGTACCGTAATACCGTAGCGACGATGACGGCAGTGTGGCGGCCATGAGTTTCCGGGACTTCAATGGCCTGGGTTGCGCGAATTTCCATCTTACTGGGGAACAGCTATTATATCTATCTAGCTTGTGACCGGGTCAACCTCGGCTAAGGGCTGCGCTGAAGATATGCCAGGTGTTCGACGTCAGGCTGAGAATATAGTTGTTTATTACTAGTAGTGCCCAGAACCAGTATATGTAGCTCCACGTCCGTCATGTTGTCGCGATGAATAAGATTTCAGTCAAAGCTCCTACGAACCATGTGTCAAAAACAACCTAGGTAGTTACTTGCCTAGGCATGTAGGCTAAGGCGGCGTCGACCTGACGGTGTCTACATCACCACACCATCGTCACAAGTCAGGATCTTAGCCCCAGGGCCGTCAGCTGTCAAACCTGCCAGCAAGTTTAAAGCTCCCCAGCCTTTCAACCTCGAGCACCGCCCTGCCATCCCAGAACCAATTAAATTCCCGTTCCTGGTCCTCCTCAACGTGCGCACCGGACACCAATGCAAGGGCGGCGTGGCACACACCTTTATGTTATGCGCATTAGGGACTGGACATAAAAAGGCATCCCCTCTCCAAGCTCAACGGAGGAGTTTCTTTCCCCTCCTTTTTTTCTTTTCACCTCTTTCAGGAGTTCCGACAGCCGGGGTAGAGAGAGAGACCGCGGTCATGAGCACTTCAAATAACAACAACACACATTCTGGCATCCTGGCCGAGGACTTTGACTGGATCGTCGTCCCTGACCCCCCTCAAGTCATGCCCCTCAACGACAACGGCAGCATCAGCGACGGCGTGGGCGGCGCCAGCGCCAGCGCCAGCAGTATCAGCGTCCACATCCTCAAGAACGTGCCGCACCCCGAGCCGGGGACCCTCAGCGACGCCATAGAGGGTGGCAAGCTCAGGGACTCAATCGACCTGGCCATGTGCCCGCGGCTCCCCAAGGGCAAGTCCGGCGACCCAGAGACCAGACAGTCCAGGCTGGCTGCCCGTCGCTCGTTCTTGTGGTGGCATCGGACCCACAGACACTCGAAGTACTATGATTCTTGTCAGTACGACTGCCGTACGATGACAGAGTACACGGGGCCGCTGCTGGACCTACCGGAGCTCAACAACGCCGGCGCCGGCGCCGGCACGGGGGGGTACGACATCCTCCTGGCGCCGTGCCCAGAGGGGTCAACGTCAACGCCTCTCCAGGCCGCGGGGGAGGGCCCGGCCAGGCATCCCGCCCACGGCCTCGCGCCCTCCGCCCACGAGCAGCGGCAGTGGCAGGTCACGTACGACTTCAAGCTGTACGACCCGGACGAGTTTGACAAGACGGACTGGCGCGAGAAGCTGGAGCCCACCGCGGGTGGCGGCAGCTCTAGTAACAGGTCCAGACGGGCTCACACCTCGCCCTTCCCCGGCCCCCAGCCGGACGGGTCCCGCCCCACGTCTAGGCGGAGCAGCCTTTTCCACGGTACCGGCTCGTTTACGGTATCGGTGCCGCGCCCGGAGTGGCTGTTCCCCCACGAAAGGGAGGAGGGCAGGGCCGCCGGCGGCGGCGGCGGCAAGCGGGGGGCTCTGGCGCGCACGTTCAGCATGTCCTCGCTCAAGGACGCCCTCAAGGACATGGTAGGCCCCGTGCACGACAAGGCCGAGCGCAAGGGCAGGCCGAGAAACAGCCTCAAGCCCCGGCGCAACCGCAACAGGGCCTCGGGTGTCCCCGGGCCGCAGACGGGCGGCGTCTTCGAGGTGCACCAGCAGCAGCAGGGCGGGGACAAGGTCTTCGCGTTCGGGGCGGACAAGGACAATGTGGTCGTCTCGGTCGAGCCCGTCGAGCCCACCTCTTCTTCGGACGGCGATGAGGTCGAGGACTCGGACTCGGACTCGCACAGCGATGGGCCTTGGAATGACCGCCATTATGTGCGGGGCCCTTTTGTCCACCTTAACTCGCGCCCCTATGAGTGGAACGGCGACGTGCTCCGCCGGCGCCCGTCGGCTGGGACTTCTTGAGTCAAACTCACGCGGGAGACGGATGGTTTCGTCGCTGGGGCCGCTTGCCACAGGTTGTGCTCTCTGACGGGGCTGGACTGGGCAGGTTGCTGTTGCGATCGGGGCTGAACGCTGCTAGATCCGACAGGTTTGTGTTTACCGGTCTGGAAGGTGGCTACTTTGATTCTGAATTCGTGTGTGAGTGCGATGAAATTGATTGGGGGCGGGTGAAAAAAAAGTTTCGATTCTATTGGATACACGATTATTTCTGTCCCCGTCTTCTCTTATTGGCTTCTCTTTTGTCTTGCTCTTTCCCCCTTCTTGATTCTTCTCTCTTTTCTTCTTTCTTATAAAAGCAAGGCGTTATGGCCACATCTTGTCACCACATTTACACCGCCGGGGCGGGTATCCTTATACCTGGAGTATGAGGGCAGGGCCCCCCAAAAGATCCATGTGTCAGAGACAAAGAAAGGCGATGGGGAGGTGGTTCTCCGAGAGAGCTCCTGGCTTGATCACCACAAGATGGCAGTGTAATTATAAAAAGCACACATATTTATTATTGATATAGATCTTTAGTTCATAGCCTGAGGTACACGCTGCTATGTTCTCTAAAATAAAAGTTAGTGAATAGCAGTCTTTTTGCCTGCATCGCTCCTGTGTCTATCATGAGGACACAAATGCGTCCCTAGGTACGATTCCATGACTACGACTTGACTTGGTTGGGGCGACACCCTCAGAACCCCCAACTAATTCGCAACCCCACAACAGACTAGACGGCTTTAGAGTCGTGCGTAATAAACCCGGAAGTGATCCGACTCGGCACTTGCACATGCTGGCCTCTGCGCCGGGCGGCCACACCTGCTCAAACGGTCCAAATAGGCAAGCCGGTGGTGAAGACAAGTAGCTTGAGCGCTAGCGATTTTGACATGAACCGGCCAGCCGGCGCCGTGAGCTTACCCGGTGGGTGACAATCCTGCCCTGATTCCCCGCCCATGGGCCAGTTTGGGAGCGGCGGCTGGCTGATGAGGGGAAAGGGGAGAGAAGTGTCCGATCGGCATTGAGCACAGTGGTTGGCATGTGATGCAAGTAGGATGATTCTGACTACTCATAGCCGCGTACCTTGAAGTTATTCACGCACGTGGACGTATCTGTCCACGGCTGTGTGCCTGTGTGCCTGTGTGCCTGTGTGATTGTGTGATTGTGTGTACTGTCACACTGTAATGAGTATATGCAGTTAAATTCGTGTCTTGATATCTGTCTGTCCGTACGTACGTACTGTCTGCCGTGGTTGGGAAAACACACAAGAACTCGAAGGCTTTTTGGATGCAAACCTCCCTACACATCTGGTGTGCGTAACACGCCCGGGCTATGCTCGGAATCAATCCAAAGCCCGCCACCCACGGACGCCCTTTTTGCTCGCTAGATGGAAATTTCAAATCCCGACCTCGCTGGACCAACCCAGAATGGGGCGCTGGTACTAGGCGGGGGTGCTCGGGTTCTGCTCGCTCGACATGAGTAGACTGACAACGATCTGCCAGCCCCTCTCCCACGCTGCCAGCCGCCCTCCCTCCCACGCGAGGTCCAAGCGATGGAGCGGGTCCTCCCTTCCTCCTCGCCGGGGACATGAGAGGACATGGCATGTATGTATCCCCCAACCCCCAAGCCCCAACCCAGCTCCTCTTCTCAGTCCAGATCGGGCTGCTCGTGTATGTGTAAGGGCACCACCCGTGGGCGGCAGTGCGACTGCGGCGGCGAGTAGATAATGCTGCCCGTCGCCTTGAAGATGTCCCTGAGGCCCGAGGCCATCGTCGACCCGGCCGCCGCGCCCGACGCGACGCCGTGGAGGGGCTTGCCCAGCTGCTCGAACTGCTTCATGCGCGTGAAGGCGATGGGCATGGACGGCGAGCGGAGGTTATACTGAGATGTCGTAATGCTGTCAGCACACTGGTCGCCGGGGGGGCTGGGAGCTTAAGAAAAGAAAAAGAAAAGACGTCACCCACCGTCGCGAGGATGGCAGCCTGCCCGATGCCCATCTCCTCCGAGATGTACCTCAGCGTCCTCTTCATGAACGTCCTCTGCGTCTCGGTGGCAAAGTCGGAGCTCGACGCCGCGAACACGGGCCACATGCAGAACACGCCCGCCAGGCTGGGCGGCTGATACCTCTGCCCGGCGTCCGCAGCATAGCCCGCCGCGGACGCGGCCCTGCCGGCGCCAAAGACATACGGCACCGACGCGGCGATGTCGGCGATGAGCGCCTCGCACAGCGCCCGCGAGGCCGCGTACTCGCCGCCCTCGCGGTAGTCGCCCTCGGGCCCGAGCAGCCACGCGCGGCACCGCATGGCCGTGTTGCGCACGTACAGCCGCGCGGCGCGCGCCCAGTTGAGGATGTAGCAGATGAACATGTCGATGTAGGCGTCGACACGCCCCACGTAGGCGATCCCGCCCATGATGGCCGGGTCCTCGGGCGTCATCAGGCGCACCGTCATGCCCTTCCACGCGATCGGCAGGCTCGCGATGTGCGCCGCGTAGTCGGCCTCGAGGGCGTCGGCGTCGGCCAGCAGGGCCTCGACCGTCTCGCGCGGCGGAGGGTGCGCCAGGGGCGCGTGGCCCAGGCCCCAGCCGCCCAGGAGCCGCTCCACGCTGACGCGCAGGTCGGCCGCGCGCAGGGAGAGCTCGGCGAAGCGGTGCTGGGCGGGGTCTTGCTCGAACGAGTCGGTTAGGTTGTAGAGTTCGGGCTCGAGGGGGGTGGCGTAGCATATGCTTCTTGAGACCTGTTGGTGGTGGTGCATTGGTGAGTGAGTGACTGTGACGGTTGGTGATATATGGTTATAGAGTAAGTGATATTATGGGGTGGGTAATGAGACACGTACGAGTAACGACCTCAGGATGAGGAAGATTTTGCGGCCGACGACGGTCTGGAAGACATCTTTGCCTCGCATCTTCAGCAGGGCCACTGCGCCGTCGAGATGAGAGCCGAACGCCTCTGCTTTCTGATATGACGGCCGGGAAGGCCTCAATTGCTATGCGGGAACCTTTCATCAGCATCCATCCTACACCAAAAGTCCTTGGGGGGGGGCTATATCATACCTCAAAAGTAGTCAACAGCGTCACGCAGGCAAGAGTCGAGTTGTCCCGCGCCTTCTTGGGGTCCCCGATAGCCTGGAACGTGGCCTCGAGGGCGCGCAGGTACGTCGCCTCCGCCCGCGGCAGTAAGTCCGGGACCTTCTGGCGGGCGGCAAAGGCGATCATGGCGGTGGCGGAGAAGGCGAGGGGCAGGGGGTGGTCCCTGCCGGGGGGCTCGTTGGCCAGCAGCGGGAACAGGAAGTCGAGGTAGCCGTGGTTGCGCAGCGACGTGCCCTGCACGAAGTTGGACAGGAAGTAGCTGTAGACCTGCTCGCCGACGGGCGTCCCGATGCACCGCGGGATCTCCATCGACCACTGCGACGCGTAGCTGAGCGGCGCCGCCGCCGCAGGGCTCCCCGGCTGCGGCGGCGTGTCGGCCGCCTGCGACACGGGCGAGGGGTACGAGTGGTCGACGCTGCTGCTGCTGCTGCTGCTGCCGGGGCTGCTGTGGGTGAAGTTGCTGAAGCTGGTGGTGGTGGTGGCGCTCGACGGCGACGACCGCTCGCCCGGCGGTACGTACTGCCGGATGATGATGTCCTTGTTGGGCGACATGCCCGGCCCGTCGTCGGCCCCGTCCTTGTCGCCCGAGAAGCGGGTGAACTGCTTCTGGGTCTCGTCCACGATCCTGAGGGCGTTGAGGTCCCGGTAGCCCGGGCATTTCCAGCCCCTCTTTCGGCATTTCCTGCACTCGGGCCGTGTGGTGTCACACTGCTGGGGCGTCAATATGGGTGTGCGTGCTGGGGCGGGGGCTGCGACGAAAAGAGAGAAAAGATGTGGGTAGGGTGGCCAAGAGGGTTATCTCGTGGTCAATCAAGGCAGTGGCAGGTCGTCGGGCATAGACTGATCATCGAATGCCGCAGGGTGGGATTCGCGGGAGACAGGTGAATGCGACAATGACTACGAGAACTCACTCACCTTGATCCGCCTTGACCTGCAGGCAAAACAGCCCGGCGAAGGCTTCCCTGTGTTGACCATTGTGAGGAGGCCCGAACAGGGTAACTCAGAAAGGGGAAAAAAGAAGTCTCAATGGCTTTCCGGCCTTTTCTTGGCGCCGCAACCAACGTGGATGGTGAGTGGTGCGCAGTAGGCGCGTGTGTGTGGGCGCGAATATGTCGTCGTGAGGTGGCCGCTGTCGTCAGTAGTCGCCGACTCAGTCAGTGTCTGGGAACTGCTTGGCGGATTGAGGGCGGGCCAGCCCGTTCCACGCGGGCGGCGTGTGGATCTCGAGCGGTTCCCGCGCGGTTTGCCGGGCGGCAGTAACCCCTCGTGGTCCAGACAGTGAGAGGAGTACGGAGTATGGGGTCAGTGGACGGCTTGACTCGACTCGGCTCGTCTCTGGGCGGGCGCTGGGCTCCGTCGCGGATGTAATGCTAGCTGTCTGGTGTTGCTTTGAGGGCGCGAAAGGGGGCGGGATCTGCAGGTGTGTGTACAGCACAGCACGTGTGTACCAAGTACGGGATAGATGTGTATGTACGGAGTAAATAGATGGATGCGGCAGGTGGCTGGAGACGACACAGAGAATGACAGAGGGCGAGTATGTGTATCTCTCTCTCTCTCTCTCTCTCTCTCTCTATGTGTGCTGTATGTCTGTGCCCCGGGTGTGGCTGGTTGGCTGGCGGTCCGCCCGCCTCTGGCTTTCGTCTCTGTTCTGCTCTGTCCCTGTCTTTCTTCTGTCGTCTGGTCCTCTTGTCCGTGGGCCCCTGGGAGGATCAGGCAATGTAGGCAATGTACTTCGCTTCAGGAGACGCCCGGACAACGGTGGGAGAAGATGATGTCACCCCAAAGGTCTCGCTCGGTTGCTGGGTAAAACCGGGGAAGCCAAATGTAAACTTCCAGGCCTGGCAAACTCCCTGATTCAAGGGCCTGGCCGCGGCGGATCAGATCTGACCGTTGAAGCGAGCACGATCCAATGGTCGGCGACTGCGCGGCCAAAAAGGACAAGGCACAGTCATGCACATGCAAACCGTGACAAACAATGAGAGAGAGTTTGGCCCAGTGCAAGGCGGAAGGCGGTGCAGGACAGGCAGGGCAGAGTAGGTAAATGCCTTGCTGCGGCTGCAGCTGCGTTTCGGTCCGTGTGGGGGGGAAGAGGGGAGGGGAGGGGTGGGTTCAGTGTGCGTTTGCGTGTGCTGGCTGGCTGGCTGGCGGGTTTCTTCGCGCCCACTTCACGGCGTGCCGACGTTGTCCGCTTGTTCGAGCAAGGAAGTCAGATGCGCTGCAACGTGAACCGTAATTTCGCTCTGCAGATTGCCCGGCTCCACGGTCGCTGACATATGAAGCGCAAGGGGGCTCGATTCTGGCGGGAGCGAGCACTCGGATATGAGTAGTGAGAGCGGGAGTGAGATTGTGATTGTGATTGTGAGTCTGAGTCTGAGTCTGAGTGTCCCCCCCTCGGGCCATGCCAATGTTGTACTGGTATCGACCTGAGACTGTGCGTGCGGTGGCACTACGGAGTAGCGGGCAGCTGGGCAGTGCAGGCCCAGGAGAAGAGCTCTCCGTGTGGGTGGTAATAGTCGGAGCAGTGTAGGAGAGACTGCGCGCGCGGCTCGTGAATGAGGGGCTCGGATACAATACTAGTATGAGAATGGGAATTTAGGTAGAGCGTAGGGTCGGAGTGATGGGCGGAGTGAGGGCAGAGGGGGACAAGCTATTCCCACGTGCATGCGGCAGGATGGACGATGGACGATGGACAGTTCCGGTCTCTCGCCTTCTCCATCTGGGCCCAGTCTGGGCCTTGTTGGCCTGGGTCTGATGGGGCATGGGGATGGGGATGGGCTTGTGGACTACCTTGACTACGTATGGGTCTGGCCAGTCTGGGTAGGGTACGGTACGCCGGCGTCTTGTTCTGTTATCTCCCTGGCAGTCTCATCCCTGCCGGGCCCCCGTCCTCCCCGAATGGAGTAAAGTCTTGGAACATCTCCACAGTTTCTTGTTGCCCTCTCTCAGCTTCCCAGCGCGCGCCAGAAACCATCCAGATTCCAACACGGCATCGCCCTGCCCGGGGACGCCACGATCTTCAGCCTGTCCTGCATGTCCTCCCAAGTTTTGTTCTGGTCTTTCAGGTCTTGAACCGCCGGTGTTGGCGCTTTTATGCTTATTGTTATGGAATGATCTGATGATCTGCGGCGCAGCTCCGTCATTTCATTTCCAACCCCCTGCCACATGTACCCTGACGGCCGGACAACCAGCGAGGATACAAACCAGAGGAAGCCCGTCCGAACTTTTGCGATTCGCAGGGTCTAACGAGTTACGGAGCCCAGCCGCCAGCAGTTGGTTCGTGCGAGTACGACCTCTTGTTGCATGGCATCTGTAGGGCGCGTCTGGGCGTGCGCGCTCTCCAATGTCATGATCTAGATAGACATCGATCCGATTGCTACCTAGGTACTGTTGCGGCAACTGCCATTGAACAAGATGCAAAATGTTCGGCGCCCGATCTGCCAATGGACCGCTGCGGCTGAGTGTGTCAGGTCTTGGCCAGTCAAAGCCAGTCGAACAACCTTCCTTGGAAGTCAAGGTCAAGCAGGCGACATAGTTTGGTTCAAACAAAACACCCCAAAACGGGCCCGCCGGCCGCCCGGATTTACAAGGGCAACGTTTCAAAGGTACGTGCATGGCTCGAGTCTATTTGCTCATCAGAGCATCCGATCGTTCGGCAAAGTTGGACTTACTCCGTTCAATGTTGCCAAGATCGGCTCTCTGCCCAGGTGGCCGGCTGGCTGGGACGGCTGGCGCCCGGCATTTGTAGCTCTTTTTGAGCGGCCCTGACTCGTCCTCTCTCTCCTTCTTCCCAGACTTCCCTAGGGATTCTACGATCCAGGCTGCAGTATACCAGCCCGGATGGGCGTAGATCCTCTTGGGTCCCCGAGGGCAGCAAGAGCACCGTCCCATCCTCCATCAGCCCTATGCGACACCCCACTAACTGATGGTGCATGACCCGTTGCTTCAAATCTCCATGACTTTCCTAATCAGAGCCTTTAACCGCCCGTCGCTAGCGTGACACTCGCCCCAACTGTCCACTGGGGACTGAGATTTCGGGCTTATGCAGGGCATAGCCACCCACCTGAGCGGCATGACATGCATAGTAGATCGGGTTCTTCGCTTCGGAGAGCCAAGAAGTCAGCCGCTAGCACAGACGTACGGAGTACTGGGAACAGCTCTACTGATGATGTTTGCTTGTCAAACTTGGAATGGCCCGGTCCAGCCGTGGTCATGACTAGTACCCCCATACCTAGGGTACTCTGCACAAATAACCGCGATCTCAAACCCTATCTATAGAAGCCGGTGGACCCGTACGGATCAGCAAATACATAATTACCGGTGGCCCTGCGAACCATTCCGAAAGCTCCACCCGGGAGCGTCACTGCTGGAACCGGGAACATGACCGAGCTGTTGACAGCCCCGCGTTGCCAATCTATTGCCAATCTATGACGCGAATTGATCCTTGTCTCCTGAGTTCTCGATTGGGATTGCCATCACCAGGGCGATACCAACGACCTCAATTTGAGGGCATTGGTTGAGACAGACACCTCCAAAGTTGTCTTAGGATGTTCCGAATGTGGTTAGGTTCAGAGCACTCGAGTCTGACGCGTATATCTGCTGAAGGCATCCAGCACACACTCGTCTACAAAATCGATACCCATAACTGTAGCCAACTTGGCAGGATTTAGCATTTTTTAGCGTACGCTCACATCCATAATAAGCGTCGTTCATAATAAATTCGAGTCAGGCAGTCCATGCAGCTTAGTGGGTATTGTATGTTTGCTGCCCAATCTATAATTAAAAGCCTGTTACTTCCTTGCTGGTGAATGATTATTATCATTTGCGAGGCAACCTTTTCTGCTCAGGTGATGGACCCTTGGACCTCTTCTATCTCCAGGCACTATTCATAGAACCTGTGACACTACGATGCGGAACACGGCAATACAGAACGGGCGCTCCTAGGGCCGAACATCCCACATGCATTGACCCAAATGAACCCGAGATATCAACAAAAAAATCTATTTGACGTACGAAACTATGTAAAAAGTTTCCAACTGACAAAAAAACCGATGAGAGCGTTGTGCGCCTTGTGGGAAAACCATGTATCTCAGAAAGATGTCGTAGAACAATGTAATCACGTGTTAGATACAATGAGCATCCCAGACATTTTCCGAAGGCTCGAGAACGTCACTTCTCACTTTTCCCCCAATTGCTTGACCATGTTCTGATTATGCTCTCCTAGCATCATGCGATGGTTGCCCTTCTGCTTGGAAGAAGGTGATCACTCGATCCTTGATCCTCTTTCTTGCATTGTCGTCCATTTCGATTCCGGCGGAAGCGATTGCGTCGTCTACACACGCAATCACTTTACCAACCGGCAGCTCGAACGCTTCTGTAACCTCTTTAACCATGTGAATACGTGTAGAGTACCATCCATCCTTCTGAGACACCTGTGGCACCGAATCGTGTATCAGACAAGATTCTTCCAAGTCGATGTACACAATGTACGTAGCGAGTCTTCTCGGAATAGAGTAGTCGATTGGCGAAGAGGGACACGAAACATTGAACTGCCGCCTGCATGTATCGTTCTTATAATCAACATGCCATCCCTATCTCTGCGTGTCAGCGCGTGATCATGGGCCATCATGGGCCATTAAGCGGCGACAGAGTTTCACATACGCTTTTGTGTTTCCACGAACTTGCCATGGTCTCCCGTAATTCTTTGGCCCTCTTTTCTGCGTTTCGTTGCAGATGCTGCGCATGTCTCTTCTTGAAGAAATCCAAGAGATACAGTTGCAACTTGTTCACCGACTTAGGGGCCAGCTCGCGCATGGTCTCATCAAGGATATTGACGAGTTCCTCTTCTTCTTCCAGGATGTCACGCAAATCCTCGTCATCTAACCTTTTCGGCCACGACTGGTGTACCCAGGTTTCATGAGGTATTCCTAAACCCTCATGGCAACAGACGTGTGTCATGCCCAGTTCGTCAAACTCGACCCGGCGAATAAAAGAGAGCAAAAAGTCTTGACTGCATCTTCGCCGTGGAAGTCGCGAAGGATGGATTGCCACTCAAAGATCCAGAATAAATCGGCGCTTGGTCCCCGCGATGTAAATTCGAACCATGGAATACTGTCGAAGCCAGTTGCGAAGAAGGCCGATGAGGAGCACCCACCAGGGCTACAAGGGCATCTACAGCCGTCCGAATGGCTTGCATCTGCACCCAGATGAAGGGCGTGCCGTATCAGCCGGAGCATATTCCTGCGGTGCTCAAAATCAAAATCTCCGAGCTTCGATAACAAGATGAATAGTAATGTTTGACCATTGGAGTCAACATGGTCGATCCTGGTTCCATGCTTAACGCAGAACCCCATCAGCGCCGGGTCCGAGTCGAACGTCCAAGAGTGTATCGAAAGCCTGCCAGCACTATTGGGCGTGTTGAACAGGTTGAAACCACGAGCTACAAGAGCTTCCGCCTCCTCTATTGAGCGCACATAGTGCATTAAGTTATTGCCGGTAACGGATTCGTAACGATCGTCGAAAGTGAAGTTGACATCTTCGCACTGCTGAATCAACAAGGGTATGTGCTGCCTCCTTGTATCATCGTCGACAACAAAGAAGCTTGATGTCATTGCGTACCACAACGTGCGTTGTGCAAATCCATGGTGAGTGTCTTCAGGCGGTATCTCTCGTATGGTGGACAGTGTTTTGTGAACCAGGTTCCAGTGACCACGGACGATAGCAAACTCAAGAAAGGTGCGGCCAAATCTTGTCTCATACAGACCGTTTTCTGAAAGGGCACCCTCCAGAAGAAGATGAATGGTCACATCCTCGCACCCCATAGCTGCGGCATACATCAACGGTGTGGTACCCCACCGGTCGGTAACGTTCAAGTTGTGGCCCAGCTCCACCAACTTCTTCACCGTGTGTATGTTGCGAACCGCTAGATGTAGCGACGACTGTCCTAAAAAGTTGACTGTGGCAAAAAGTCGGTCCTTCTCGGGGAGGTCCCCGCCTGCATCCAATAGGGTATGGAATGTATCCATCAAGATGTGCTTCTGAAGCTCCGTAACCCCGGCGAATCCAGGCTCAAAGCGCACTATCGATGTGAAGTACTCTAGAAAGAAAGGATCAGGGGTGTACAGTTCGATGCTCCAGTCGGGGTTGCAAGGTTCGGGCCATTGATCCGCTGCTGGAGCGTCGATTCCATTGGGCGAGAAACCGTGTTCCAAGACGGTATCAAGCAAATCTAAGTGTCGGCCTTCTCCGAACCACTTCGAGCACTCGATCAAGAACCTGGGCCGCGGTATTTTTAGCAACACGTCAAGAATTCGGAAAGGGTATGACAGCTAACCTAGGGTCTTCAGAGGAGAAATCCAGACCAATTTCCACAAGGAGGAAATCCAGTAGGCTGAACTGCAGCTTCTGGTTCCACCACGGGTAGCTAACAAGATGCTGCTAAGATTCAGAAATACTCGTTTCAAGTACCCACGTTGCATTTTCTTGCACTTACGCGGAGATAGCCCTTCCCCTCGGGATTGACATGGTCTCGGAAGTGCTTGTCGGTTTGGCTGAGATCCCGGAGTCTCTGCTTGCTCTCTTCCACACTAAGGGCATTTATTTTGCAAAGCTCAATCGCCAGGAATCCCGGAGACGTGTTCCTGACAACATGTTGGATGGACAGGGCTGGCCGGAGTGCATACTGCCCGTTGCTGGAGGCGATGCCAAGGCTTGCAGTCACGGCGAAGGGGATATTGAGCCACGTGAGGGCCAGGCGCAGTTTGGCGTTCCACTCGCACCTCGCCGGGCACCGCGGACTGCACTTGTGCCAGAAGCCCGGGGTCGAGGTGAGTTCTAGCCACCAGAATCGCCCATGTGCGCAGGTTGTCTCTTTGTGGTAACATGTGTCAATGGGGCTCACACGAAGTCTGCTCCTTTGCGTGACCACTGTGTTGTCGGGGACGGGTGACCCTGCTTCTGAAGCAATCATGATAGGAGTGGGCGTAGGCCCAATCGCAGGTACGACGTCTGGAATCACTGAAGACGTGGGACCTCGTTGAACTGCTGCAATCATGTGACTCATGTCAAGTTGTTCAAGTTTTACCAGTATGGTTATCCTTGGGGGATATCTGGAATTAGTGTTGTCCCCAGAATTCTTTGCAAAGCCATGTAGTGACAGGTATCGAGATAGCAATGCGAGGTACTCACAGAATCAATAACTGCTCAATCTGGCGCACTTTAGCCCGCAATTTCTTGACATGTTCTTCAGCGTGAAGGGTCAGGCGCCTCTTCAAAGATCTCAATGAACTCTTAGAAGACTGGACATGTCCAAAAGCTTCTGTCAATCGGTCTAAGTCCGGCTCTAGTTCGGTATACGCATGTTGACAATTTGCGACGGCCGATGATACCAGGGCGCTGTCCTGGGAACCTCGCAGGTCCTCGATCAGTCTGTACAGATTGTTCAAGTCTGATTCGAGGGATTCGAAGTCCGCCGAAGCATGGTGCCGATTGTACCTGATTGCTTTTTGGACATTATTGATACCTTTCCCCACCTGGAGAGCAAAGCTGGCAATACCTATGCCTGCAGAAATGGCACCTATGAGTTCGGCCATGACGCTTGAAGTCTTTGCTGAATGAGGTGGGGAGGGGAAGAATAGTGACAGAGAAAAAGAAGTAAGCGATCACCTAAAGGAGGTCCTCCATTTATCTACTTCAAGCCTGCCCTTTGGAGCTGGGCGCAGCTGGTCACACCAGTCAGGATACACACTTGTTTTGATTGGAGTACACCTGTTGCACAGCCGCACAATATGCAGTCCGCATGAGCCACGTAGGCATCCACTACAACCCCTCCGCAGCCTCCAACAGGTTGAGGTAGACCTCACTCATGGTAGGAAACGGAGGAACAGCGTGCGCAAGCCTGTCGACAGTCATTCCACCCACAATAGCCACAGTCGAAGCATGCAACAGCTCTGCCACACCGTCTCCCGCAAATGTCGCCCCGACGAGCTTGTTGCTTTCGCGATCGATGATCCACTGTGCCCACCCATCCTTGTATCCTTCCTGGTGCAGCCTGGCTCCCAGCGTGGCACCCGGAGCAATGACAATTCGAATCTTGTCGGCCAGCCCGGCGGCTTCGGCCCCGGTCCGGGTCATACCAACACTCCCGACAGTAGGACGCGTGAAAACAACCTGCGGCTGTGCCAGAACGTCGTTTGTGGCTGAGACTTTGGACCAGGGCGTGTTAGACCCCGGAACGTCGGCCCCGTCCTGCTGAGACCGGGCGATAATGGCGTTGGCCGCAATTCTGCCGTGATACTTGCTCGAATGAGACATGGGTGCCCGGCCGTTGACGTCTCCGAGGGCATAGAGCCACCCGCCGGGTACTGCTGGCACATCAAGGGACTCGCTCACGGCGATAGGCGAGCCGTCCATCTTGACCCCGACATTCTCGAGACCGATACCGCTCGTTTTGGCCTTTCTGCCTGTTGCAGCCAGGATTTGGGTGACGCCTGTGACAGTGGAGCCATCTGACAGCTGTACTGTCAGTAGGCCCTCAGTCCCTTCTTCCCTTGAGACCGCCTGGACGGAGGTGGACACATAGACGCGGACTCCTTGAGACTCTAGGCCTTCTCTCACGAGCTTCCCGGCTTCCGGATCGATTTTTGGAAGAAGCTCTGCACTCCTTGACACCAGACTGACCTGACCTCCGAGAGAAGCGTATACTGTTGCCATCTCCGTGCCAACAGCTCCAGCTCCCAAAACGAGCAAATGTTTCGGGACTTCGCTGGAAGATGTTGCCTGCCGCGGGCCCCACGGGTTGCTCTCCTTCAGCCCTGGAATGTTGGGAATGACTGGATCACTGCCAGTACAGATGGCCACCGCATGCTTGGCCTCGAGCTCAGCTCGCTCGCCATTTTCGTGGGTGACGGCGACTCGCTTGACGCCAACGAGCTCTCCCCTGCCGCGGACAAGGACCGCCCCGCTATTCTCTACCATGGGTATCAGGACGTCACCGTCGTTCCAGGAACTAGTGAATGCATCTCTCCTCTTGAACACTGTGTCCGCATCCAGCGAAGACCTCTCGCCTTGCAGCTCCCGGACACCAGAGACAGCCTGAGCTTCAGCTAACGCCTCCTGCGGGCGCAGGAGGGCTTTACTTGGGACACATGCCCAGAAAGGACAGTCACCGCCCACGAGCTGTTCTTCGACTAACGAGTGTACATCATCAGTATGGGAAGATCAAGGTTGCGTGCAAACCAAAGAAGCTGCCATATCAGGAAAGACTCCCTGTCTAAGTCGAGGAGGATCAAATGGACACGGGAAAAGGGGTGGAGTCCAAACACCATTTACTTACTTATGACGGCCGTGAGACCAGCCTTGACAATGCGTGCGGCCAAGACGCGGCCCGCCCACCCTGAGCCGATACAAATCACGTCGAATGTCGTCGACTTGAGTTGTGATAGGAGGTGGTCCTGCGGATGAAGGCTGATCGTTTCGTAAGAAGGCATCTTGCTGGCTGTTGGCTGATGAGATCACTTGATATGGCGTGTGGAACTTCGAAAATGGGGCACTCGGAGGATATTGTTTCATCGTTCCTCGAGATACAAATGGTCGCGGCAAGAGAACACTACTATATATGCCTGGAACGGCGTTGTAGCCCCTCTCTCATCCACGTTGAACCTAGTCAACCCTTATGTCGTACTCACTATACCGTCCCCAATTGTTCACTAACCCTAATTTCCTGTTCAGGACATGGTGATTCCTCAGTCAACTTGCCGCAATGCTGTGCCAGACGACTGACCAACCGACGACGCCTTTCGCAAGTAACACAAGCTCTTCTGCCTACGATCTCGATACTAGCCTCGCTAGCTTAAAATTCTGGCTAAAGCCGCGATTGAAGAGGCGCCGGGTTCGACTGGACGATGATACTCTCCGCGACGCGCTAATGCATGTTGATTACGCCCTTCGACCTGTCCTGTAGAGCCCCCACGAAGTGACTTGCCCCCGCATGGTAAAATTGCCCTAGGTATATCTGGGTTTGGCGCCTTTGAAGAGGCAGCTAAATGCCTACCTGGGTCAGTGTGGCACGTATTGGGCGCAGCCACAATAGACTGCTTCTTCTGCTTGCCATTCAGGATTGTGCTGCGCCACCTCCATGTGTTCCATACAAATCCACTCCCCGAGGGTCCGCGTGCTGGTCTAGTCTTTTTTCCCGTCTCATATTGAGGCGCAGTGCCTGCATTTACAGGTTTCCCACATTCTGACTGCGTATATTATGAACTTACGGCCTTCATTTGCTGGGAACTTACATGACTTTGTGTTGTTTTGACCAACGCGGCCAATTGAAAAATGGCCGCCCACAATTTCTTTGTACGTTACGTGCGAAAACTAATCAACTCTTTGATTCGAGGCATCCGCATCGCAGTCGTATCAGTCTCCGGCTATGGGGTCCTGATGATTGGCTACATGCTTGTGGGAAAAAACCCTCTTACACATGCAGCGGACCAACAGCCGTCAGCTGATCAGCAAGTGGGCAGATTCTCTCTCAAGCGGGTTGTTGCATTTGTGAGGAACAAGACTCGAGAATTGTGCCGCCCGACATCGATTTATATTCCATTGCTGAGCAGCACATTGGCCATCATCTTTGCTTTTCGAGGTCTAGAGGAACATTATATGGCTCTGCCTGGGATAGAGGAATACCAGACTGCATGTCCTGAGGCTTCACGCAGAACATCGACTGGAGCTCTTGTGAAGCTTTTCGCCGCTACTGTAACAACAGTGGGGGTACATGGTCACTTAAGTTCCCTGCATGGCTCCCTTTCCTGGAGACGTGACCTAGTGCGTGCGGTCGAGGTTGTCATAAACCCACTGGCGCCAGTCTTCACATTCACGACAGCGCAGTTTTGGTATGGTTTCATAGATCTCCTCAGGATCAGCCCGGGGCCTTGGAAGACGGAGATATCTCTGAGGTATCGGTTTGCGAGACTCTGCAATTGTGGTCTCACTGTTGCAGCCATCAGCCCTCACCACCTCGAAACAACTGCACTCGAGCGGGATCTCAAGTGGGCCGGCCGTTTGCTTATCCTGCTTGTCTTGCTTGGGCAGTACTCTCAAGCTGCTGTATTGCTCGTCCGCCGCTTTCTCTCCGGCACAGAGGCCGGAGTGGATTACGCCATGCTTTTGTTGGTTTTCTCGGGTCTGGTCGGTCTGTTTCAGTCCATAACCATCTCGTTGCTGAATGTGACGTGGACGCTACAGAGTCAGGTTCAGCCATGCACAGAACCCCTTTGCAGCCTCAACGAGTGTACTTCTCTCAAGCAAGAACAAGGGCTACCCCATAAAGAAGGCACTATTGCTGTTTTTGGTCATAACATTGCACCGATCTCTAGAACGGTTCTTTACGAGTTGGCAGGCGGTTACGCCCAATTTTGGGTCATAACGCCAGGGCGGAACGGTATCTGGACGGTCCTGAGGATTTTATGGTCCGGGCATATATGCTGGCTTTCATCCATCTACTGCGTACTTGGGATTGATTCACTACGGCGGCTTATGAACACCGACAATGGGGATCACCAGATCGCAGTGGCTAGAGATCCTACTTCAGGCGAACAACCATCGGAACAAGTACCGCCAGCTCCTATCACGAACTTCAACGACAACGGAACGAATCAAAGTGAGTCTTTGAACTTGTTGGAGACATTGATGCTCTTTTTGTTATTTATCGTGGGCGTGCTGTCTGTTTCATGGCTGTGCATGAGTATGCTTTTCCAGCTATCCGTCCTTGTTGGCCCTGGCGCCATTCTCTACATGCGCATCGCGTCTGAAACATCGTCTTGGAAGGAGATGGACGCTATGAAACCATGTCCTCAATTATGGAAGGATGACCTTGAAGACGAGCTGTGGTCGTTTTGAGATTACGCAGGTTTCAATGGATATTGTCAAAGCTGGGCATGCCTCATTGTAGCAGTATGTGAGACATTAAATATTGTTTCATCATAGCAGATTCGTGCCATGGATGCTCCTTCGTATGCCCTACCCAGACTTACATTCGAGACAAAACGCATGTTGATAATATAAGAATGGAACAGTTGTTAAGGTTATTGCGACCAGTGTATAATGCCCAATGGCGAGAACACGTAAAACTGAGGCTTGGCAAGCAGAATTCGGCCCCCAGTCCTTGAGTACCTGATACCCGTGCCATCAGGCTCACAGATTAGAAACCCCTCGTGTCCCAATAATCGTGCACTAATAACATGAAACTTTTTTATTGCGCCAACTAATTGTAGATGCTGCATTTGAAACCAGACTCCAGTGTGTCAATTTTCGATAGAAATCTTCTTTAGTTGAGAAGTTAGTAATTACGAAACATGCCAGCGGGCCCGAACAAGGGGCCTGTTGTTATTCTACTTCAGATTCGCCCTGGGTGGCTCAGGAGGCCTCCAGGTCTGCGTTGGGCCGGCGGCCCATAACTGCGACCACCGGTCAGAAAAGGTGGGTTTATCGTACTGTAGCGAGGTTTTGGTTGGCGCAGAAGTCTTGCACAGCCAACCAACATGTGCTTCGTGCGTAGGCTGCCTACCTATACCGATGTGCAGCACCTCCACCCATCCGAAGCCTGTCGGCGAGCGCTGCCTGATCGAAATCCATACCAGCGTCGAGCCCGTTTATAAAACACTGCGACTGCTGGTCGATTCCGTTCACATATTTCGACTTTGTTACTTGGCCATTACAGGGAAAATCAACTCAATTCGCTATCCACTCAAAATTATCTGGAAAAGGAAAAAGATAAGGCTTACGTCAACAGTCAACTTCGAAGGCTACGGCGTTTACGATAACAAAAATGCCCAAGCGACCGCAATGCAAGATTTGCCAGAAGTCCTTCCAGACAAATGCTCAGCTTGTGAAACACAGTGTGAGCAGTAACCATGGGGCGGATCGGTGTTGTGTACCATGCTCTCGCATTTTCGGAACCCCAGAAAGCCTGGAAACACATTCGAAGTCCTCGATCCACATCAAAACACCATCTGTTCGCCTTGGGCCGGCCCAAAACCCTCCAAAGATCTCCCATTCATCGTCGCCTCCGGTCACGCCCCGAAAACCAGAATGCACCATTTGCCATCGATCCTTCGAGACCAATGCCCAACTTGCAGAACACTGCCTTCATCTCGGACATGCTGAAGACCGATGTTGTGAGCCCTGTCTTCGACTCTTCGGCACAAAACAAGCGTTAGAAGCGCACGAGAAAACGCTCGCTTGCAAGGGATCAACTCGCCAGGGCACGAAAATAAGCACACCGTCTCCGCAACAGAAAACTTCCATCAGTTGCAGAGGGAATGAATATCGGTTTATACCACAGAAAGACCGTATTACTGTCCTAGAGAAGCTACTCTCCCAGTGCCATTCCACAGGCAGTCTACGGCGACACGGCTACAAAACTCTGCAACCTGGTGGAAGCCAACAACAACATGGTCCTATGACGCTGACTCGAGACATGGACGGGGACATCCTGCCGTTGCCCGAAAAGGATTGTTCCCGCAGCACTCGAAAGGCCGTCGCGATAGACTGTGAGATGGTGGGCGTGGCCGGCGGAGCAAGCGAGCTCGTCTCCCTGTCGGTCATCGACTTCCTCACAGGCGAGCAGGTCATCAACTCCCTGGTCAAGCCGCGGAAGCCCGTACGCGACTGGAGGACAAACATCCACGGCATCTCGCCGGCTGTGATGGCGATGGCTCGCGCCAAAGGCCAGACCCTTGATGGATGGCAGAGCGCGAGGAACGAGCTGTTCAAGCATGTCGACGAGGACACGGTCCTTGTGGGGCACGCCCTCCACCATGACCTCGCTGTGCTGCACGTTCAACCCGCCCGGGTTGTTGATTCGCAGATATTGGTGTCCGATGCCGTTTCCAGCGGAACGAATACGAAGTCCTCTTGTTGGGGGCTCGGCCTCAAGGATATCTGCAGCGGACTGCTTGGCCTCAATATACGTCAGAACGGCCCTGTGGGAAGCAGCAAGGCCCACGATGCCTCGGAGGATGCACTGGCCTCTCGAGAAGTGGTACTATGCTGCCTGGAACAGCCAAGCACGTACAATATCTGGCTTGCGGAGAAGCGCGAGGCCTTTTCTGCGGCTCAGGCACGCAAGGCACTTAAAAAGCGACAGAAGACCCGCAAGGAACGACTCGTCCCAAAGCCAAAAGAATATGAAGAGGACAGCGAAGTTGAAATTCTAAGATGGGAAGATGTTATCGACTGGGAGGTGTGGCCAAAATCTCCCTAGGTCGAGATTCAATCGATGAGACAGACGCCGTGGCTCGTGAGGCACGTCGGATATGTGTTACGGACTAACGGAGGAACTCCAAGTAAATACATAGATAGTCCTATCTTTTACCACTGCTCGTGGCACTTACCTCTCGAATTCAAGCATCTAATTGTAACGGACAATGTTTGAACTGACACAAATTCTTTACTGACTTCAAAGGTTTCTTTCCGGAGTTTTAAAGGCGTTCGGTCAATATATCAGGCGATCACGGCATTTGAGGTTGGTGCTGACATGCCTTGGGGGTGCACATGTAAAATAGAACAAATCGATCTTCGCATTCCAAGTACGAGTTTACATCGCGTGTAGTACGTAGGTGCTTGATAACCTCCAGGGTGCCCTGCCAGATGTTAATCCAACTCGTGGACCATATGAATGAAGTCTGGGTGCTGAGGAGCTCATAGTCTCTCTGTTCATTTTGTTAGAGCCAATGCCCGAGGAATTCTATGTATGCCCACACTGGCCATGTGTTGTTCTTGTCCCACACCCCGCCGATCGTAGTACTACAGGCACAATCGGCAGTGTGTTCGCCAAATGCATTGTAGAAGCCTACAAGGTTAACTGGCTTCCTGCCCGCAGTGCTGATAATCATAACTCCATGCCATTATTCCTCTGCTACCTAGGCTTATGAACACAAGCGAGCACTGCTCATGCCCGTAGTAGCTGGGTCTGTGCAGCTCTTGACGCCTGATATCCTCCAATCCAAAGTCTGGATGCGCTGGTCTTAAATGCAAGACCCACGGTAGAAGGGGGCATGATTTTCACTTCGAGTTTGTTGCACTTGAAACGCTGTTCGCAGGCGTAGGGCGAGAAAGCGTCTCAACAATCTTCTCAAGGCCCTGTAAATCGCCTTCTAAAGTCTCTGCCTTATTGCGATCCACCCAGTTCGGAGTGCAGCCGCCGCCAAAGTCGATGATCCAAGGGGTATCGCTCCGATCCAACAGTATGTTCTCCAATTTTGCGTCTCCCCATACCACCCCGTTTTTGTGCAACTCTGAAATAGTTTGCCGAATTTGTGCAGCCCACTGCAGTCTTGACTGTAATGAGCGCCTCCAATACTGGTACGCTAAGGAGCCAACTGGATCATCGATCCAGTTGAGTAGCAATCCCAGGACTCGGCCGTCCTTGGATGTGACTACGCCGCGGAGGCGAGTTATGTGTGCTGCAGGGTTGATCTTTGATTCTGTGATCTGTTTGAAGGTTGCCAGCTCTCGCTGCAGCTGGTAGCGTGCGCCATGGTCAATGAAGGATTTGAGGAAATAGCTACTGTTGTCCTCTCCGGGCCCATTACTCAGCTGTACACGCCTTGGCGGCTTAGCTAGGACGTCTTCTGATCTATCATAGCACAGGATAACCTCGGACGGATCGTAAGCACGGGTCCATGATTGCAGGCCCTGAAACAGGTCCTTTGAGATTTCAAGACCCGGTGGACCTGTCCAGGCTTTCCATTTATCGAGCTGCTTTGGGTAGAACTTCTCGTCCTCACTGTAAAGCCGGCATGAGAAGAATTCAGGGAATGCATATTGCGACAACGTCGGAGGCTGAGTCCGGGAGACTGGTGGGGCGAGCTTCAAGATCAGGTCCTCAAATGGTTTGAGAAGCCATCCTAAAGGATCAGGATCGTTCCAATAAACCTCATCATCCCTGATTTCTTGAAGGTACTTGAGGTAGGTGGCTCGGATGGCGGGCGAGCGAACGAAGTAGTCCGTATGGTACTCAAGGAAGAACAGGCGGCCGTTGTGTCGAACATAAAGGTCAAGTTCATGCCGGTCTTCGTCCCGGTGACAAAGTGTCCCGGAGATGAAAAATCGGACGGAAGGCATGTCGGCAAGGGGGAAGATTTGCCTGTGCCGAGGCTCAAGCTCAAGGCAGAAGCCTCTGGCAGAACAAGAGGTGGGTGAGATCAAAAGTGGTTTCACAATCGAGAGAAAGAGAAAAAGCGCGGAGACGGAAAAGACATCAAGAAGTTGTAAAGCTGAAGAAGGCCCGGTAACAGAGCAGGTACGACTGGCTTGGATGTTTTTCTCGATATGTTGTAGTGATGGTTTTCAGCCTGCGAAGGAAACAAGATACGCGGGGTAATGCCAATAAATAGACGTGGAAGCCTGACGTCGGGCGTGCGCCAGGCAGCTTCGTGGTTGGCTCACCCTGTTGGTCTGCCCATCAGATCCCGTTTCTGCACGCCACTGATTCACCCACTTCTCTCTGAATCATCAATACTCTCAATTCACTCAACCTTGAAAGTAGCCTCTAACTACCTCCCATTCAGTGCCCCCACCGGAGCATTGGCAGCATCAACCCTGTACTCGGTCGTGACTTGGATATTACCAAGCCCAAATTCCTCCACGTCAGAGTCAAGTTTTCCAAACCTCTGCCTGGAACGCTGATGCTCACTACCTCCGCCAAATCCCCTCCCACTCCCCCCAATGGTGACAATGTCCCGTGATGGCTTTTGTGAGGACTTGTTTCGTTCGGTAATAGCATGTACGGCTCGGAAGAGAAGCGGGCCAAAAGTCGGCAAGCAGGCGCTGATGACACCAGAAGACACTTCGATCACACACCAGGTGCAGGGTTTCAACAACGTCCCTTTGCAAGAATTAGACACAGACATCCAGCAGGCTTGCTCAAGCGCAGTGTTTGAGGGCTTACATGTTGGATTCTTTGGATCGTAGTGGAAGAGAACAGTGAATCGGTAGATGCTGGCCCCGAGAACACTGCGCACGAGAAGGTGGCGAGCTCTGGTCAGTGGCGAACGGCAAACAAGGTAGATAGATACATAGATAGAGATGGATACGTGAACTCACAAAGCTCCGAGCGAGAAGGTTAGACAGAGCGCAAACTTTTGATACACTGTGATATGCAACTTCAATACCAGGGGAATAGGCATGCAGAGTATCACAACGTCGGTTATGATATTGGGCACTACGGAAAGGGTTTGCATTAGTAGCGATTTCAATGTAGGAGAGACCATGGAGCACAAGCAACATCCTCACCAGCGTTTCCTATCTGAATCCAATTGTACTCGATGCAGTGGCCTTCCACAGAGGGCGTCCAGGCCTTTCGAACGGGGCTGCATTGGAAGAGAAAGACGAAATAAAGCGCGATGCCCCACGCGACGACGACGGCAGCAACAATGTATGCGGTGATTCTCAATTTTCTCTCACGTGGGAAGATCCGTATGTACATCAGCAGAATACTGAGCTTGATGAGGACAATCGTCGTAACGTATGCGAACTCCATAGCGAAGAGCGTTTTTGACAATTGTGCTTGCTGGTGGAGGGGTACGTGGACGGCCATGCGTCCGAGGCCGTGGGAGACTTCACCATAGTTGAACCCACCAACAACGTAGACCATAAGCTGCATGAAGATAATGGCGATTAGTTTTGCTAACTTTCCTTTGCAGGGGAAGTCAAATATAATGCGGCACTCTCTGCGGCTGTTAACTTAGACCCACCAGTGCAGAAAGGAGCACCCAATCATCCGCGCCACATGCGGCTCCTCGAACATTGCGGGCCCAGAAACGGACTGCGACGAATGCTGTAGCAAGTATAAGGGAGGTAGTGGTAGCAGCAATGGAATATGAGCTCTCATTCGGACCAGGAAGAAACCCAGCGGCCCTGGGTTGGACGAAGAGGTCCATTTCTCGAGCTCTGCAATGTTACTAATAGTGGCGTGGATGGTATGGTGATTTCCAAGAAACGGTTCCGACCGTGTCACGAACTCAAACTGTTCCCCGCATACCACGCTATATATTCAATACTGTCAGTGGAGGGGCCTGAGTTCTGCGCCCGAGTTCTGCGCCGCAGAGAGCACCCGGGCATTCGGCCGCCTCTGGGCATTGTGGCTGCTTATTCCTTCCTTCTTGTGTACAACTTGAGACGCAGTATTGATCCTTCTGCTCAACCAGATAAGGCTCCAAGATAAGGAACAACAACCAACAAACCCGAAGCTATTCAGTTTGACAGGCCCTGTGCTATTACCTACCTAGGTAGGCCGGTGATACCATACCGTGCTTTGGTGGGCACTAGGGATGGTCACTATGACTCTCATTTACCTATTTGACTATCCTCCCTCTGAAGCTGGGTTTCAATGGATTGGAAGCAAACAGCAGCCTTATAACATGGGCCATCTTTTAGATGTTTTGTTGTTTCTCTATGGTCAAACAGCCTCGTGAAAGAGGATTGTTTAGAGGATAAATGATTGCAAAGAAGCCTTTGCATCTTCCCTCATCCAAAGGGGAGGGGGGACTTCCCCTTTCCTCCCTGACCCAGGGACAGGACATAAAACAGGACCAACTCCCCGGTCCTCTTCGGGAAACGCCGTCCTCACGACGGAACGTAAAATAAGTACAAATCTTCCTTCCATCCTTCCATCCATCCTCCCTTCCTTCAGTCCAACACCAAGTTCTCCACCTTCCTCTTTCAAATGGGCAGTCAGCTAGAATCACCAGCATCTACAGATCTAGATCTAACTATATATTCAGATCTCAGGAATCTAACCCAGCACCTACCAGAAGCTATACGAATTCAGAGGTAGCCAAATAGGACATAGTCATTCATAGAAACCCTTTTAATCATACACCAGCACAGTACGGTGCACCCACACTATAGCTTTTAGTTCGGCATGTAACCATCTGCTCTGTGGGAATCCAGACGAACCTACAGGCAACACCACAGTATTTACTCTGGTGACAGCTGTAGATTTGGAAGTACAACGCACGGCCAGTGGACGTGTTGAACGTGGAATCCGTTGCGTTGATGAAGGAAGTCTAGAGTGGAGGTGTCCCGGAGGGACCACTGTTTATGTGCAAAAACTGCAGGATATGCGCAGGTCCGGGTTCTTCCATCCATGTCACCAATTCCTTCAACAGGACGAAAATAGGGTGATATATTGGACACCTGCATGCGGAGTGGCACTTCCAAGGCTCGTGAATCCTCTTTTGAAAGTACTTTGCAGGGCCGGTGGCCAATCATGAACCCTTTATTGTGGGCCCGAAATCTGCGATGGCCTTGTTGGAAATCCTGCCACAGTCTTGGCGGCTTTGAACAATCTGAGTGGGATGCGCCTTTCTGAGGATTTTGAGGAATACCCTGCTCATCGCTTAAGTGGTGGCACTGCCAACGAACGGAATTAATGTCAGCCATTGGAATGAATGGTGCCGTCTCTTTTTGATATTGATATGTATTTGATCTATCAACTGACTTGTAACCATGAACTATCTAGGGTTCACTAAATAGAATTAAACATGTCATGGACGGGTTACGCAGTATGTTGTGGGGCCGCTTCGGACCCACATAGACAGTTACGGGCGCGTGCCTCTGGAACGGGAAGTGCACGAAGCCAAAAAGACGTTGGTCGCTGACTGTCTTGTCTTACCTGCATGAGAAACCTTTGGCCCTTGTGTATATATCTTGCCCCTCCCCCGCCATCCTGAACATTCCGTCTCGCATCCCATTCTCACGACTCAACTCTAGCCTCACTACTCTATTTTTTTTTTGAAAGGGTTCCCATCACAGACACAATGGCTGACCAGCGTCCCCCTCCGTGAGTGCCCCCCTTCGTTTGCCTCTTCAGTGGCAAAAGACTGCAAAAGACTCTTCAATTCCAACAGAGGATTCATCATCCGCATCGCCTCCTATTGACTAACGCACCAATGCCTCGCCATAGCCTCCGCCTGGGTACCGTTGCCCCTAACTTCAAGGCCGACACCACCAAGGGCCCCATCGACCTGCACGAGTACATTGGCGACAACTGGCTTGTCTTCTTCTCGCACCCGGAGGACTTCACCCCCGTCTGTACCACCGAGCTGGGCGAGATGGCGCGCCTTGAACCCGAGTTTACCAAGCGTGGTGTTAAGCTGCTGGGCCTGAGCGCCAACACTGTTGATAGCCACGAGGGCTGGGCTGCTGATATCAAGGAGATCAGCGGCAACACCCTCAACTTCCCCATTGTGGCAGATAAGGAGCGCAAGGTTGCCTTCGCGTACGACATGTATGAACTTTCCCCCGCCCTCACGTTCGCACCTCCAGGCGGATTACTAATTATGCTTGCTGCCTTCCCCCACAGGCTCGACTATCAAGACACAACCAACGTTGACGAGAAGGGCATCGCCTTTACAATCCGCTCCGTCTTTTTTATCGACCCTAAGAAGACTATTCGCACTATTCTATCCTACCCAGCCTCAACTGGCCGTAATTCGGCTGAAATCCTGCGTATTGTTGACTCGCTGCAGACGGGCGACAAGAACAAGATTACCACGCCTGTTAACTGGGTCCCTGGTGACGACGTTATTGTACACCCTGCCGTTAAGAACGAGCAGGCCAAGGAGCTATTCCCAGACTTCCGCATCGTCAAGCCGTACCTGCGCTTCACCCCCCTGGCCAAGGAGAAGGCTACTGCTGGGAAATAGATGAAGCAAGCTGTTGCTTCTATGGGTAGCTCCTTTGCGTGGTGTCGTGGACGGCACCAAGCACGCGAGTCTTTCTAGATGGTCTCGGGTTAGATGAAAATGCCACTATGAGTTACAAACATCAAAATGAAGAGTTTGGCCCAATGGTTGTGCCCAAGAAAACAAGCAGATTCCCATTCCCCTGAAGTACAGATCCCACGTCGTTCTTTGCGTGCAATCGTTTCAGGAACTACAAGGAGGTTACGTATGCGTTTTCCCATCCCACTACCTAGTCGCCTACAGGTTGACAGGCAGGTTGGGCGAGTTGTTGTCGTCAGTCCCACACACAAACGTTGGCCACACACTCTCTGGAATATTAAGTCGCGCTATACAGGTGATGAAAGCATGCATGTGTATATGCATATCTAGCACAGCCAAGCTCTGATATACGTGCAAAATTGGCAAGCCACTACCTGATATAGCCTCCTTTTCTCGGCTATCATGTGCAGTGCCCGACTTCCAAGGGTTTCAAGCCCGGGCGCCGCTGAGTGATTGCTGGGATCTATCCAAAACAGGATTGTGGCGCAATAGTCCGCTTTAGATGGGCGTCAAGCTGCCAGAATGCCCTGGGCTAGTTTGATTGTGGCTAGCCTAGGCTCTCGACTTGGACGATCCTTTGTTCAGCCCATCTAGGTGCTTCAGCTGACTCGACTCGGGAATCCTGCCGCTTCGCCTCAGCGACGCGGAGTGATGGTTGGAAGTAGAAGCGTGCAGACTGTGCGCCAACCTTGTGAAGACCAGCACGCGGATGGAAGCTGTTGGATGATGCCATTTCTCCCCGACTGAACGCACGCCATGGCCGTCGCAAAAGAGCGCACTTCCACGGAACGTCTCGAAGCCCTGCAGGTCACTTGCCAGCATGGGACATACCCATCTCAAACATCAGCGCCGCGAGAACTACCAAATAAAGCCCTGCGAGTGAACTTGCTCATCGCCAATGTTACTGTCTGGATTATGTTCGTGGTTGCAGGAGTGGTAATGGCGTTCGCGTTGCTCGCAATGGACGACCTACGTGATGAGTATGTGCAATAACGGGGTGTCGCTATGCTCCAAGTCTAACATTTCTCCCAGTGATGATGACGTTACCTGCGGGTCCAACTATATCGCAGAACCTGACGACCTTTGGAGAGGAGATGAGCAGACATACAGACATTTTCACTCTCAGTGTCGAGTCCTGTATTCGTGGACGTATATCCTCACAGTGGCATGCGTTTTCAGTCTGGTTCGAACCTTGTTGCTTGCCATACCAATTCGAGATCCTACGTGAGAATCCCAAAATACCTCCTGCCACGCTTTCGGTGAAGCTTTACTGAGCCACGGCCACAGCTACTGGACTATCAAATTCTCTCCGAGGTCTATCATTGGCAGGATCTCCACGCCCTCTCGGATTTATGCCCTACGCACCGTTTTTTCTCTCATTGCGAGTATATTGTACATTGTCAGCGTGGCCATGCTGGCTTCGAGCCCTCTCATTGCAGGCCCAGCCGCAGATGATGTGTATAAAATTATGTACACAATCTGTTTGGGTCTCGTAGCTTTCAGCATGGTGGTTTCAATACACCAAGCGGCATCGACGGGATGGGCAAGCTTGGCATCTAGAAGGAAGTGCAGTCATGGAGTCTCCTATATTTGAGTCGACGCAAAGCCTTGGCATGTGCATTAATTTTTACAGGCGCCACCACCTCGGGGTAGCAATCAAGTCTGCTTGGCTGGAGTGATTCATGCGGCATGGGTTGGGCTCAAGCGACAGTCGTCCAGCGGTACTGTCGTCTGGCTTTATTATCGTGTCTCTAAGTAAACAGAAGCTCATCACGAATGGTTCTGAAAATAATTGAAGCTGTGCCACCAGACGCACCATGCATGTCTTCTAACCCGGTCGTCACGAAAGTCTCCACGGTCATATGACTCCCACACGGTTTGAACCAGCTCAGACAGCGGACTCTTCAACTCTCCAGTCTCTTTTCACCGTGATACTTTTCAATGGGATGTTGGCGTGATGGCCATCCGCACCATACTGAGAGTCGACGTGTAGTTGCTTCGTTGAGCCGTCGTCGTCAGGAAGCTCTGCAAAACCACTGGCACCCGCCCAAGCGGTAGAGGAAGCTCCGACCTTGTTCTGAGTATTGCCCGTGGCGTAGCTGTTACCCTTGTCCGTCGACCTTCGAGATACTAGTGGGCGGAGAAGCGGGATGCATGCTGCCGTTACCAGCAGACATGGTTCCAGCGCACTGAACATGAGCGCGATGCCCCCGGTATATGGGAAGTCGGCCATGTCAATCTTGATAATCTCGCCGAGTCGGACCGCGCTTACAATGCAGACCCTGCATTCATCATGTATTAGTGAGCGCAGTGAGAAGATGGGGAGTAGCAATTGGTCACTTACGCAAGGCCGATCCCAAAAGTCACCATCAACCCGACCTTCTTGTACGTCTGTAGCGACAGGCCGTAGATATAGGGCATCGGCAGGAGCATGACAACCAGGTCGGTGAAGATATTGAGCCCTCCAGTTACAGACCACAACATCCTGACGTCGCCACAGGTTCCCGCGACTGTAAATTTGTCCCAATTATACTCAACTGGCGAACACATGGTAAAGGCACCGACAAAGAGGATCATGGCCCAGATAATGACGAACAGGGCACAGGCCTTACTGATCAGGACGAATTTCCCAACGTCGAAGATCTTGGCGTATAAGGCGAGGATAGAGAGCTTCGTCAACCCGAGACTGAGGGACCAGAAGAGCACTACCACGGTCACAAGCTCCATGAGAAGGGTGAAGGACTCCGGCCCTCCCATGGCAAGGACCTCGGTCGTGTGGTATCCCATCCCCCCAACCACGGCACAGGCGACTGCGAGTAATTGGTACGCGACTGCGACCACCTGACGGAAAAAAGAGATCTGTTAAGAGGATTCCAGTAGAGACGTGGGAACGCCCGGGTGGGAAAGACACCTACACATGCCAAGACGATGAGCCAGTCGCTGAGGTCAAGAGTTTCCCGGATGGTGAGGCCCCTGATTCTCGACCGCGCCACCAGTCGTAGGAGAACGGCAGTCGCAGGCAGCAGCGAGAAGATGACTGCGCCGGCGATGATAGCCTTCTGGCTGCCACGCTCAATTGGGAACACATACACCATGGCGGGCAGCGCCTATCCAGGACTCGCTGATCAACGTGTGGTGATCCGTGGATGATCGTGGGGAAAACTTGGCAGCCTTCGTGGCAGCGGTTCGGTTCGCGGGTGAGCTCGGGGCTCTCAGGTCTGGCGCGGCGGTATTGGATTCGACCCGGTTGTTATACACTGTAATAAGGGGTCGATCTATCGTTCATAATGTACTGCCTCAGGTGAAAAGTGGTATCCGAAGTGGGTTCAGGAGCAGTTCTCTTCCTGGTGCCTTGATGACAATTTCAGTCCCGTGGGTAGTCGTCTCTCCACAGGGGCGCGACGAGTAATGAACACCTGTTTCACTATCTATGACATTGTAGGCTCTCTCTGCCCATGACACTAGTGGCGAGAGCGGGTCTGGTACCGATCATCGAAGACACACTTGCATGCAGACCTGAATTTTACCGCCCAGAGGTCACGTTGTAGAATTTACAAAATAACTGTTTCCCAAGTTAGTTGCTGGGCTCATTTTTCGTAGTGGAGCCCCGATCGTCTACACATGGCTGAGGAAGAATCCATATGAAGGACATATTTGAGGTTAATATGAAATGAAGGTTAGCGGAAAGAAATCGACTTAAACACCTAGGCAGGCGCCGAAACTTATGCGCTAGGGATGAGTAGAAAATCACGTATAGAACAACGAATCAGGGAAATATCAAGGCACTTTGCACAAATAAAACGCCCGTGGACGAATGTTGGTGGGATGTCGTAGGAAGGGTGTGAAAGAAAATATGACCGCTTTTGATCAGCTGAAGTCTAGACCTCATGGTCCCATTGGCTTTCTAGAATTCAGTTGAAGTCTGGTGAACTACATAACTTACCTATGAATTGTATTTGAGCCAGATGTGCCGGTGAACCGTGATCCAGCACACCTGGGAGCAGAAGAGGGTGCAGCTTGTTCTCGTCACGAGATAGAGCGCAAAATGTGATATGTGATATGCAAGGAAGCGCCTTCAGTCCGAGCACTCCTTACCGGGCCCACAGATCATTAGTCTCGTGTTGGCGATTTGACAGCTCTGGCCCACCAACGTTCAGGGTTCGAGAACCAGGTGGATGATACGCAACCCACACTTGCAGCAAGGTGTGGATACCGGCAATGCTTATTGCGGCTCCGCTCAAGCGTACCGACTGCCCAGGTGGTCAGCTTCTTCGAGGACTGCTCCCTACGAAGTGCTTCCCAGAAACGCGAGATCAGCCCCTGGAGACATAAGCATTGTGTTCAGATATGATTTCGGATGACCTGCGGACTCTAAATCCGCATGAGCGTCCCTTTCCATCATTCGAAGAGTCCCTCTTTTTGCCCTTTGTGGTACCCTAGGGTAGCGAAGTGTTCTATGGATACCAAGGATTGTTGGTACAGGCATTCTGAGTCGCACGAACTGACAACTTTCCACACCTCATGATCTGCCGGCCACCCACCCGTAGACAGTCAAGATGGCCGCTGGCTCATACCATCCCACCGCAAATGCCTCCGGAAAACTTCCCCGTCATGACAGCTGAGGTCCAGCCCGGCCACGCGTCCCCTTCCACGCCGCATTGACGCTTGCGCTTAAAGAACTCAATCGTATCGACGGGGCATGCGTTATCAGTATTATCGTAGGCCCACACTGGGACTGTCGGTATAAATATTCATACCGGAGGGAACGGAGAGCGTGCCTGTCACTCACGGTCCTCTCTGCAACGTTCATCAAAGTCACAGTCCCCGATTATCCACCCATCAAGGAACAACAGTAAAATGACTTTTGGCGTCACCACATCCGACTTCGCGGCCGAAGGCTGTGCCGTTGTCTTCGGCGGCTCAGGCGGCCTCGGCCGCGCGAGCGCCGGCCTGATCGCAGAGCGCGGCTCCAACATCGTCGTCACCTACAAGTCCAAGCGCGCCGAGGCCGAGTCCCTGGTGGAGGAGGTGCGCAAGCTCGGGCGCGAGGCGAGCGCTATGGCCTGCGACGTCACCGACCTCAAGGCGGTCGAGGCAGTCTTCAAGCACGCCGTGGACACATACAAGCGCGTGCACACGGTCGTGTCCGCCGGCGGCCTGGTCTTCGAGACGGGACCCCTGGCCCAGTTCACGGACGAGGCCTTCCGCGGCGTCATCGAGACGGACGTCTACGGCTTCTACAACATCGTCAAGGCCGGAGTGCCGGTGCTGCGGGAGGGAAAGGGCGGCTCGTTCGTCGCCCTGGTCACCAGCGCCGTGAACCGCACCGTGCCGTGCGATGCGCTCTCGGCCACGCCCAAGGCGGCGGTCACCATGATGGTGCGCCAGCTCGCCACCGAGGAGGCTGCGTATGGCATCCGCGCCAACGCTGTGGGGCCAGGCGTCATCAACGCCGGTATGGTCCTGCCCATGATGGAGACGCCCACGCGAGCCCTGCTGGAGGGCGCCACCGCCGTGACGCCGCTTAAGCGCTGGGGCGAGGCTTCCGAAATCGCCGAGGCAGTCGCCTTCCTGGCCTCCTCGAAGGCGTCTTACATCACCGGACAGATCTTGATGGTCGACGGCGGCCTCGCTGCCTAGTTTGGACGGAACGTCTCGCATGGCAGTTGACAATCGAGTATTAAGATGACATCAGGGGGATCTATAGAATGGCCGGAGGGCGGGTGGCAGGTGGCCATGTCCTTCGCGGGGCCGTGATCATTGCTTGTGATATTGGAGGCGGACATCGCTTTGAGAACAGAGCTGGAGACCGTATCATGGATTGAAAGGTGACATGGATAGAGCGGCATCAAATTGAAGTACCGTCATGGGCCGATGAAATGATGGAGTGGAGGAACCCGCTGGTATCATCGACGTTCAGCGGAGTGGGGTTGGCATGGTCCGATATATCATAAGGTAGATCAGGCCTTTCACTGCATTCCACGGGATCAGCTATGTGAATTTTAGACGCTACTGGAGGAAATATAGAGGACAAGCGACTGTAAAATTTAATAGATTAACTTGGACACGTCGTCTCAGTTGCACGACACATTCAACCCGTTTGATCTTACTCAGCTCTTGTCGATTTTAGCCCCGATCAGCAGGTCTGTTATGCGTCACAAGAACACACTCATACTACTTGCCTCCCATGGGAGGGAAATGGACCCAGAGTTGTGGTTTGTCTGACATAGAGGGAGAAGAGAAGTTGGTTAGCGGAGTCAAGAACCATGGAGTTATACTGGACAACCAGTAGCGGGACGTACCTACCTAGGTAGGTATATCGCGTCCACACCAGCGCCTAGGCTTATCCATGGAAGTCCATCTATGGTATTCTGGTATAGATAAAGGGTTTCTTACAGTCACGTAAAAGAATATTCAAGACTCGCTATATAGTCGGAAGTTATATCATTGTAAGCTAAGAACGTAGCTTTTACCTCCGCTATGATGGCCTAGTATGATTCAGGGTTCTGGTTCAGAAAAAAGATAACGGAGTATATTTACCTAGAAAAGGGCTCCCGACTTGCTAGGAGGAGCTGCCTAGCTATATGTTCCAGATGAGTGATCTGTTTCTTGGCCGTCCGGGCTAGCGGCTGGCTGGTTGGTTGAAATGAGCCGATTAAAGCAACCAAGCCGGTCGGTCTGACCGCGGCGGTCTGTCACGCTGATTTTCGTGTGACAGATGCTGCGTGCAGAAGGCAAGATGTCTTTGGGGGCCAGGCAAGCTGTGAAGGTCGCCATGGCAATCATTGGCGAGCGGCTCGTTTCTCATCGCCCCCATGCTTATAATGATATTTCAATACAACGAGCACTTGTTTTGGGCGTTTTATTTTCTTCAATTTTCTCTGGAATGTTTTCTTTCTCTCTCAGTTCGCCTATGGATGGGCGCAGGCCCCAGAAACGTCATCAGTTCATGCACTCATTGGTGATTTTGAGATGAGGTTAAAGACTATAAATACAGGCTTTGTGTTCTAAAAGGAATCGCTATCTATGTACCTCGCGCTCTGTCTTTTTTCAAACGCACTTCTACTCTCATGGCGCGGGGGCTGACTGGCAGCTCGTCGAATTCAGCTTCTGTGACTATTAGATCAAGCTATCGTGGCCCCCACATGATCGACAGCGGCTGAAATTGGTACGACGACCTCGACTTAGCTCAAGAAGGGGCGAAAATAGCTGAAAGGGGCCCCTCGCATGAGCATTCCGGCCAATCTGATGGTCCATGTGAGCAAATTGCTATCAGTGGGTGTACAAAAATTCCTGTTTGCGGCCCGAAGCGGCCAGTCTGGCCCGCAATTTCTCACTACCTTTGATCTGCACTCGCCCCCGACACTTCCTAAGTCGTCTTTGGTTGGTAGAGACATGATATTGATGTACTACACATGACTGAGTTAGGGCTGCATCCCGTGTTGAAATGCAACCCACCAAGGGATTCCAAGCGGCACAACGCAGTGCATCGACGATGTCTGCCCGCTGATGTCCGGCGAGGCAGATTTCCGGAAATAATGTGCAGCCTTGATTGAAAGTTCTGGCAACGTCTAATAATCATATCAGACTACTCTATCCACACAATGAGCCCTGGGGGTCTCCTGAATTCTACTTCTGGAGGGGTTTATGTCCATCAACGAGGGCCTATAAAGACAAGGGTTTGGCTGTTTCGTCTCCCCTTTTAAGTGCTTCTGTCTGCACAGGTGTTTCAAAACTTCAGTAGTACCTGGCGGCCAAGCGTCTGAATCATGTCATATCTGCCTATCGAGTAATTCTCCCTCACCACTAAATCTACCTACGTACTGGCGATGACGAACCAGGCAGCATGGACAAGTGCGGCCTCAGCTGCGGACAATGACGTCTATTTGGGGACCTGGATTAACTGGTCCAGAGGACGCGTTATGGGAACAACACTGACTCTGAATCGAGTTGACGGAAGCCTACTTATCGCTTTCACTGCCATCTTCGTTGGTATCGTGACTGAACGCTTTTGGCGGATTGCTTGCATGTTGGTCATGCCCTCTTTTTTCTAAATCTTATGTCAATGTCGGAATCAGAGCGGAGACAACCTCTTCCGGTCATCAACAATCGGAGAACCTTGCTAGGACCTACGCGCGAAAACTATTGATTGGCGCAACAGAGTCTTTTACAGATGCCGTTCATCCCCTAAAGATAGTGATGGACTTTATCACCAGCAGCAAGCAGTTCTACGCAACTCTTCATGTCAGTTACTCCCAATGCATCTAGACCTTCGAGCCCATATGACACATGGAGGCCCAGTCTTACCAATTGTGATCGACCCAAGCTAATCTACTCCACTGCAGCTACAATCTCTGCTATCTGGACTTCCACACAGCTGATTTGGGCATGGCATAACGTTGCCGAGCGCTGTATTGTTCAAGTCCTTCCCGCTTTGTTGACGGCTGTATTTTGCCTCTGCGCCTTCACCGTCGCCGGCGGTTTCTCCTCGTCTCGACGAGGTACTGCTCAACGGTACCAACTGCGGCATCATTTATTCACCAATATTTGACTCTGAAACTGGACCGTACTTCTCTCAGTCGGCCCACTCAGCTGCAAACTATGCACAGCAATGTTACTCGCCCGATGCCCCCTCGAACTCGGCTGGCATGTTCGAATGCAAGCATTTCGTCAAGGACCACCTCTTCAGTACTGTGGATAACCAAGCTTCTTGTCCATTTGGTGATAATATTTGCCGAAGCAACAATTCTAACATACGACTGGATACTGGATATCTCAGTCTCGCCAATGACTTAGGCTCGAACGCCCCTCCAGACCAAGATATACTCCTTAGAACCGTGTTACATTGTGCTCCACTAAAGACCCGAGGTTATCAACAATCGGTACATTTGCCGATGGAAGACTTCGTCACCTACCACTACGGGGCATTCCCGGATACTACATGGAATTACACCTACATGATCAAAAGCTTGGACTCGCAGTACAAAAGGGAGAGCGGAAACCCGTTCCGCGGTGAAGGAAATGGCTTCGTTCTGGGGTGAGCATTTAGTCTCCTTCTGTCTCGCTGCTAGTTTCTCACAAGCTTGGCTCTTGGTAGTGCAAGAAAAGCCGGTGTGTATAAGCGCAAGGGCTCAGAGGACAATACCGTCATTCGCGCTATACCGGCTCTCTTTACTCCTGATGCTGACACTATCCTGGTTTTTCTCACTGGCAACGGCATCGAATTCTTCCAGGAGACCAATGACCCATGGTACCATGCAACTGTCCCAGGCAGTAATGTTAGCTTATCTGGTGCCGATGGGCCGTCCATCACGGTGTATCAACCAGACGAGGCTTCTTCCCCAATGGGTTGCACTTCACAATTTCAGTATTGCAACACCTCTCTGTCTATGAATAAATGCGGGCCTCTAGCTAGCATCGCCGACGCAATGACCGAGTCAGCTCCTCTCTTTGGGATGTCAACAGCAGAGTATGAGAGCACATCCCAACCGAATGGAACTATGATCTCCCGCTACCAGTGGTTGGTAATGATGATGAACGAGGCAGCAGTGCATGTCGCAACAATCATCAATACGCTTGGACCCGATTCCCTCGTCTCCCCCAAGTATCTCATCAATGGCTTGATGGGACCTCTGCCGGATGCGCAGTGGCAAGTTGATGTCCAAAACTGGTGGGCTATATTTCTGGCTTCCCTCCAGGCTGGAGTAGTGGGAACAGCTCTTGCATCTGTTGATCCGGCGCTGGATCCGTATAAAATTCCACCATACAACTCTGATTTACATTCCATGTGCAAGAATCAAGTACGTAACCTGCCTCGGGCATGGATCCGAGGATGACGAGCTAATTTGGCGGAAACTGAATTATAGAAGATCCGGAGTACGAGACACGTATCTTTCAGTCTCTTCGGGCTCTATTTCACTTACACCACAGGAATTTTCATCATAATCACATCCTTCATCATCGAACCGATTTTCACGTGCCTTTATAAGCGTCGGAAGTACCAAGAATACACATACCTCGAGTGGGCTACATCTGAAACTCTCCAGCTTCAACGGATCGGCTTTCAAGGAAACAATGACGGCACGTGGTCTGGCTGCACTGATCCAGTCCCCAGAACCAAACCAGGCGAAATGCTCAAAAGTCTAGCTGTGCGATATTCTTCTGATAGTGAGAACAACTGTGAATCTGGCAGCACATCGAACAGGACCAACTTGGATACAGCCGATGGCTCTATTGCCACTCATGAATATCGAGACGCAGAGATGATCTCATTGGACGATTTCATGGATGTGTCTTCATTCACAGACGGTGACTCGGCTTTGGATCAGGCTGCCCAGAACTCGGAACAGAATCACCACATATCTGCAGCACCACAATATCATTTCAGGGGAGGGTGCTTCGGACATATCTAGTTTCGTTTCTATTCCGTATACGTCCAAGGACATAAATGGTGCCTTCATACGGTGGTAGACGCTCAAGAACCGGCGATGGTGTTGGGTGGACAAGGCAAATGAGCACTTGGTCTACCTAGGTAGAATCAATGTCGACAGAATAAGCCTGATCTCGGGATACTTGTCCATCACAACCACCCTGGGGCACCTTCATAGTAATGACAGCATTGAGAGCTGAGACTAAATCAAAACACCTAAGTCCAAGCAGTGGCGCCCTGCGCCCTCGTGGCTGCGGCGCATCTCAGCAGCTGTGAAGTAAAAACGAGCAATTTTTGTGTCGGTAGTACGCGCAGCATAAGCACGACAGCATCGAAAATCCCACCGTGCATCAGCAGGAGACGTGGAGTGCTCAGTTAGACACATGTGTGACCCAGGCTCTTCACACATATTGGGGCGTACCAGTGGTATGAGGCGGTTCCGAATGACCCAAGCCATTGCGTGCGACATAGATCCATCGGTACACGCACTCAAAGGCCCCGGGGACATGGAGGGCCGCGTCAGGTCGCAATCGGGCTGAGAGTAAGCTGCGTGTCCTTGTGATGCCAGCCGCAAACTTTTTCATTTTTCAGCTCTCGTCTGCTCTTGGTGGATGACCTGCGCCAGGTTGTCCCCCAACGAGGTTCTGACCTGTCATTCACCGCTCCAGAGTACCCTCATTATGATTCATCACTGCTGCGACACAACCGCGCAAGAGCGCGAGTTAGCCGCAATTCGAGGCACGGTTGCGGGGAGGAGTAGGTGACTATAAGAAGAGGGCTGACTGGCCCAGGTATGGCAGGAGAATTGAAGGGAGGAAGCTTGGTGCGCTCTTCCGGGGTCGTCCGTTTGCCTGAGCAGTAATCTCATGCGTACACAGCACCGTGCGTGCAGGAATTCATACCCACACTATACCCACTCACGTGGTATTTCGCGCAAGAGCATCAGGAAGTCACTACTAGTACAGCTGTCATGTTGTAGGTTGGTCTCTCTGGAATTGGCGCTTTATATCTGATCTCGATACCGACTAGTGAAGACTACGGGGCAGCACGTGTTAGGGTGGACCGCCTCGTCGCGGCGGCTGAGCGTCGAGCTCGCCATGCACCGACCCCGGATCGTGCCGCCTTATCCGTGTGTCAGGTTTATGTAACACAAAAACAGGCAACGACACGCCCACTTCCAAGTACGCCGAGTTTCATCGTGGACGGTTATTAACACACCATTTATCTCGCACTTCGAGACCGGTTGACCCCTATCTTTCTGGTTTTTTATGCCTCTCTAGCGACTCGAGGAACACAAACGTAGACATGGCTGCAGACAAGCCCGTCATCCTACTCATACACGGGGCATTCTATCAGCCGGCTCATTATCAGGAGGTCGCAGATAAGCTCAGAGAGGGAGGATTCACGGTCGAAATCCCGGTGCTGCCGACAACAGGGACGAATCCCGGGCTCACGTACGTGGATGACGTCGATGTCATCAACGAGATACTGCATCCACTTCTTGACGACGGCAGAGAAGTTGTCATAGTGGCCCACAGTTCGGGAACTCTCCCTGCAAGCCATTGTGTAGAAGGCGAGTCGGTGGCTGAGAGAGCAGAGTGTGGCCTGAAAGGTGGGATCCTACATTATATCAATGTCTGCGGCTTGGCGTATCCGAGGCCGGGAAAGAACTTCCTGGGAAATGAGTACGAGTCGCCATTGCAAGAGTTCCATTACGTTGAGGTAAAGTCTTGGAAACGAGGTTGATGAAAAGCATGTAGCTGATGAGAGCCACAGGACGGAATCATACACCTGCTTGATAGCGCCAAGCCTACCTTCTACAACGACCTCTCAAAAGAGAAAGTTGAGGAGGTATGGCCAATGATGTGCAAGACGCATAGTCTGATGAACTGGAACAGTCGTCCCAAGTTCGTCGATCAGGAAATGACAGTCCCCAAGACATATGTCTTCTGCGAAAATGACGTCGCGCTCCCCACTGAGTACCAGGCCTACTTCATTGGAGTCGGTGGGTATGAAGAAGTCATAAAAGTACAGTCAGGACACTCTCCATTTTTGACAATACCAGAGACAGTGAGCAAGATCATTTGGGGGGTCGTTGAGAGGACTTGAGGCCGCCAGATGCTCGCTCGATAGTCACGGCGTCATTGGAAGAGTTGCACAGGGATAAATTACCGAGACCGAGGCGAATGAACAGAAAATCGCACAGTCGAGATCAGCCAAAGGTATAAGCTACACCTCCATCCATCAAGCTGAAGTTCATCGCAACATTAAGCATGAGACCGTGCGACATGCTGCTATACTACGAACGGCGCTGCGCTATTCTCTGTTCGGAGTGCCCATGCGGACACTAGCGCTGCCTTCATCGACAGCCCAACATGTGCGGCCATTGCGAAACAGGGGGGCTTTGTCGCAATTCCCATCTCGTCTGGGTCCCGCGAATACGACCTTTTGCCCACATCAGATGAACAGCTGCGGTCTAGCCCGGTTTGATATCGCAGTTCAATCGCTCAATGTGGAAATAATGAGAGCGAACACGCACGGTTTCGATATTAGCTTTCTCGCAGCGAGGTTGAATCGCATAAAGCGCTGCGCCACTTGTCTCCAGAGCCGCAAGATCGACTGCGGTTCTGCCTCAGATATCCTTATCGGCATCATAACTTTGCATTCATCCCGTCGAAGATGGAACACGATCGCAGTTTGCCAAGCTGCGAGTTGGACGGCTTGGCTGCTGTCACAAGCCCTGGGTTTTGGATACCGAGATGCTTGATATGCGTCCGGACGAAAGCAATTGGCTTTTGGCCTGTTGTGTATAAGGATAGTGATTAGTCCTCTATACACAACAACTTGTCTCGCCCACGACATTCAGGAACGACATCTGGACGGCCGGGCAAAAATAGTCCCTTTACACTCGTTTTCCCACAATGCGTACTCAAGCTCTTCGGTTCATCCTGCTCCTCGGCGGTCTGGCCACTGTAAGTCCAAATGATACTTCATGATTCGGGCACGTGAGAGAAACGAAGCTGATAGAACCATAGGCTCAGGCTCAAGACCCAGCTGCGCCGCCTCCGGACCCGGCTGCACCGGCGACTACGCCCGCTCCTGTTCCAGTTGGAGCCGACGGCAGCGCTTTGCCTCCGTCCGACAATCTCTGTCTCTTGCATAAAGAGCTTTGTAAGGAGCCGCCAAAGGAACCGCCAAAGGAACCCAAGCCTCCAAAGGATAAGACATCCATTACAACAGAGACGATCATCTCTATCGAGACAACCGAGGGCCAGACGCGCACTGTCACCATTGGACAAACAGTCACGGTCAGCTTCACCGAAAAGGAGCCCCCAAAGCCGACGCCCCCACCACCACCACCGCCCCCGCCGCCCCCGCCGAAGACGGTTACCGAGCCCGGGAAAGAGACAACCAAGACTGTCACGGAGTCCAAGCCAGGGGAAACTCAGACCATAGTCCAGCCACCTCCGCCGCCGCCGAAGGAACCGTCAAAGGAACCACCCAAGACCCCCACCCAGACAGAGCCTCCGCTGATCCCGACCAACAAGCCCTCGGAGACCCAGCGGACGAGCCGGGCAAGTCAGACCGGGCCGGGGCCAAGTGGCCGGCCGACGACGACGAGGCCGGTTGTGACGGTAGGCGAGGCTGCGCATCCAACTGGGGCTGTGGTCATTGGGGCGTTGCTGGGTGGTGCTGCTGCGATATTGAACATTTAGCTTGCCTTGTATTATCAGCATTGACTTTGGTTATGCTTTCTTGACAGAGTAGTTACTGCAAGGTAATAATAGAGTGTAGGATAAATCATAAAGCAACATGGACCTTCATCTTCCTGACCCATCCAAGTCCCCCTGACAGTTTCCTCTCAGAGTGTGAATGCAACCATGTGACAACGATCTACCAATAGACACACGGGCTTCACCGTTCACTGGTATATCGCACTTTTACGACTCGATAGTCCACGCAAAAGAATCGGTCACTCCGTCGGTACGGACGTAGAATGACTCGTCCGTGGCACCGCCCCGATAGACATATCCAAACCAGTACCGTCCACCCGTGCTGCCGCTGTTCGTTGCTACTCTCGGCTGTTAGCCTCAACCCACAGACGGCGGTGAGGCTATATAGGGGGCCTCAGGTTAGTGGATGCTAGACATACCTTGGAAGCCATCAAACGACGTGCAATCCGTGAAGCTCTCGCAGGCGTCTAGCATATAGGCCGACCAGGACTCCGCGGTATACTCGGCCACCTCAGCATGATAGCCCGCAATGACCTGGGACGGGAACAAGGAGCTTCCGGCAAGCCAATTCAGAGGGGGCGTGAACACCACCTGGGTGAGGTTGAGGGCGGCAGCCGTGGCAGCCACGATGTCGGCGTTGAGTTGCACCATGTTGAATAATGTTTCAAGGCAAATGAATTCCAAGGTTGCTAGACGGTTGTCTGTCTCTGGCGGACCGGCGAGGAGGCGATGTCCGGGTCTTGGCTAAAGATATAAGCAGACGTAGAAGCATTGCAGCCAACACATTCCGAGGGATGACAATATTACGACAGTAACACCGGCTCTTCCGACACGTAGCAGTTACGCGTACGTCGTGCCGGCAGGCGGGCGCATCTTCCCAGAGAAGAAGGTGATTCCCAAAATGGGGTTCGACCTGCCGGTTGCACCCTGCTGCTGCCCGAGGTCGAGTTCTTGGCAACGACCTACGACCTTATCGAGTTGCATTCACTTCGACAAAGAACCGCGGACCGCCGAAAGAGATAAAAGTCGATAACACTCCAGAGAAGAAATACACGCCATGTCCAGCCCCTGTAACGTCTCTACATTATTCACCTGCTCATTACTTTTGCATCGGGGCAACTTCTCGATGGCACGAAACGCCATTAGAATCTGCGGAACTTGCCAGTCTGACAACATCGCGATAAGAGGCTTACTCCGTATTACACGACGAAGTCGCGCTTCAATGACGCAGTTCGTACCTCTGCAGTGATCAAATTTCTGTACATTTCGGCGCATACTACCTGCTCCCGCGAATGAGCCTCAAATACACCTTGTGTCAAAGGAACCGCGCAGGTCGTCGGGGGTGCATATGGCTTCAAACATATACGGAATAAGAAGGAACCCAGTTAATATTATCATTATTATCTAGCTCGTTTACGACAATTCTCCAAGAGCTGAAGCCAGGTTTCAGTTGAATTGACGCCGGCAGGATGTGATCCGTTGCACCGCAAAGTGCAGAGGATGGAATGGACGGGGTTGCTACTGTCAAATCAGTCGGCCTTGGAGCCCCGCATTTGGCTGCGCCTCCTTGAATCCTTCGTGATAGTTTTGGGCTTCTCGCGATGTGGCCAGACCCACACATTACCTGGTTAGCTAGGTACGCAGCCACTTTCTTCTGTGTTGGCAAGTTACGATTCGCAATGGAGGTGGTAGGGGACGCGCCTGGGGCCTCTTCTTCGCCTAATAACTCGAATGCCACCCATACAGCTCTCGATCCACTCTTGCCCGAGATCCGCGTCCTGGAGTTGCTGCCCGCAGCAAATTTTGACGCACCGCTAGAGTGCCGGCTGGTTCACCGACCTCTTTACGGCAACTCTCATGAGTACGAAGCCTTGTCATACGTATGGGGGGAGCCGAGATTTACAGCCGAGATCACCCTGAACAATGAGCAGTACTTCATCACTCCAAATCTGGATTTGGCCTTGCGTCATTTGAGGCGCCCATCTGCGGAGCGCACACTCTGGGTTGACGCGTTGTGCATCCACCAGTCTGACCTCGTGGAGCGTAGCCAACAGGTTCTTTTAATGAAAGACATCTACAGTCATTGTACCGTCGACCTCGCCTGGCTGCCGACCTCCGCAGAGCCGAGCCGGTTTTCGTGGGAGGTTGGCAAAATCCACCAAGCCTTCGAGCTGATGAAGAGAATCAGTTTCAAGGATGCAGAGACCCTGGCCGAGATGCATGATGGACCCCATGGGCACAGCAATAAAAGGGCTGAGAGTGGGGCCTTCCTGCTGGGTGTTGAGGAACAAATGGCACTCACCGTGGCTTTTGGCGGCGCGGGCATCTGGTCTCGCATATGGACCATGCAGGAACTCGCATGCGCCCCGCAGGTGAGGCTGGTGGCGGGCCCCCATGAACTAGACTGGGCCGTGGTGGCCGCGTTCCTCGGGGACAGACCCTATGCGGACGCTTTCCACGCGGCCTTCGGCCATCGAGGGAGTGGCAGGGCGCTTGATCTCTTCTTTTCAGGAGTCGTGAGGGTGTACGACCAACGGCTGGCTTTTGCCGACGGAAACTACCGGTCAAATCTTCTGGACACCCTGGCCCGGTTCCAGCGGAATGGAGCCAGTGACCCGAGGGACTGTGTATATGGCCTCCTGGGCCTGGTTACAGGTCAGCACGGCATTGTCGTTGACTACACTATATCAACCAAACAGCTCTTCATGGATACAGTGACCTCCGTCATACATGCCTCGCAAGACCTCGACATTCTTTGCCAGACGGCCTTGATGACTCGTTATCGCTCCGAGAATCCGCATGGGCTGCCCAGCTGGGTGCCTGACTTCTCCAGCAGCTTCTATCCCGACGCACACCGGGCAATTCTGTTCGCGCAGCGTGGTATCTATGCCGCTGGCAGGGCACATCTCAACGCTCCGTGTCATGTCATCGATAATCACTTCCTGCCCCTCAAAGTAGTGGTCCTCGGTTGCTTGCAGGGTGACGAAACCGTGCAAACCACTCGTCATATCCGAGGGTTCACTTCGGTCGGAGACTTTCGCACGTGGCAGGTAGATAAGGCTTCCCAGAAAGATTCCCTGACTTGGCAGGTATTCGGAGCACCCCTCACATGGCTCAAGACTTCCGGACTCGGAACCTGCATGTTATCGGGTGAGACTCGATATATGAAAACTGGAGAGACAGCAATGAGAGCATACTGGCGAACTCTTGTCATGGATTGCGGTGGGTACCCGATCACACGACTTACAGATGCTGAGATACTAGAAAACGATCTCGCTTTTAACAATGTCCTCGACTTTTTGGTGGACAAGGACAAGGTGGAATGTGCAACATCGAAGCAAACCCATGAAAGGTCGATAGCTGCAAAACGGCCTGACGAGCATCTTCCCATGGGTGGGGGCAATAAGATGGCTACCGAGACTTTGCTTCGTCTTTGGGAAAGTATGCCGGAAAAGGTATCGACGATGTGGTGTCGGAATTACCAGTTCTGGACCTTCTCGGTGACGGATAACGGCCTGTACACAATGGTCCGAGATTCAATAGCTGGAGACATCATTGTTTCCGCCGAGGGAGCCAAAGTTCCCTTGGTTCTGCGCGAGCGAGAAAGTCACGCTGGGTGCAGGACATATTGTCTCGTAGGAACAGCCTATGTGCACGGATACATGGATGGGGAAGCTTTGGACATGATGAGAAAAGGGGCACTGCGCGAGGAAGAAATTCTTTTACGATGATGAAAAGGCTCAGTCGACAAATTAAAAATAGTGACGAAAATAGATTAAGAAGTGACTGTTTGAAGTCTTGCATCCTGAGACGTATTGTACCTTGCTCCTGGAGGGGGAGTGGGAGGGATATATTGCCCCTTGCTCTCATGGGACACTTTAAGAAATAGAGGATATCAAAAGATGCAAGTAATCCCTAGATAACTAGTACCTTGGCAAGAATGTAAAGTTTAATCTGATATCTTGTGGGAAGGTCTTGCTAGAGGCGTGCATATTAAAACTGATCTGCGAAATCAAATCGCCGATATCGAGTGACGACGATGTACTGCCAATGCGGAGGGAAAGTCCCCGGGGGTCTACCTGCTTGGGCCGCTTTAGTGGGGCGTCATCGGCCTGCTGTGCCTCACTCAGGTGCAGAATTAAACTCCAGGGCTCTGAAGCACCCGGCCAACTTACCCCTACACGCATTGCTGCCGCCTGCACTTCGCAAACTCAGAAGCCGTACATGTTTGCAGTACACCTGCGAGGACCACGCCAATCTCGCTCTACCGCTCGTCCCAACCCCCCTGCATCCCGCAATGAAGCCAACACTCCCTGGCCTTCAAAGCCGCCCTCGCATATTGTTCCACCTGCAACGATCAGCCGCTCTGGTCTGCTCTCATAATCGTGGCCGACTATGTGGGGCACCGCCGTCAGCATCGCGACGGCGGAGTTTGATGACTCCTTCGGCAAAGGAAAACTTCCACCGCGTGCCAGACGCCACCCTCATTGAAGAAGAGCTTCTTCCTGGGTACAAGGCAGAGAACTACTACCCGGTCACAACAGGCCAGATGCTGGACTCGCGGTATCGCATCATCTGCAAACTTGGCAGTGGCGTTGGCTCGACGGTTTGGCTGGCCAAAGATGTCAAGTCTGACAAGCCTGAGCTCCATTGAACTCGGAATCCCAGGTCACTTTGCTAACTGTGTATCCAGAAATTCCCAATATCGAGCCCTCAAAGTCTGCACTCGGTCCTCACGCGGTGCAATTCCAGCACAAGCCACTCAAGAGATCGCCGTGGCTGAGTACCTCAAGACAGCTCCTGTCCAGGAGCATCCGGCAAAGTCCAACGTACGCACAGTTTTGGACTCCTTCCCTATAAATTGTTCTCATGGGACTCATACTTGTCTTGTCTATGCACCTCAAGGAATGACCTTGACGGAATTCCGCGATTATTTGCCGGAGAACAAGTTACCCAAGCGGTTGCTGCAAAATACTGTCCAGCTACTCCTGATCGCGATGGACTATCTTCACAAGAATAACGTTGTTCATACCGGTCAGTGTGTATTTTCAAGCGCGGTACCTACAATGCTAACTGAAGTAGATATTTCTCCCAACAATTTACTTATTGGCGCAACGGATAATACGGCTTTCTCTCGGCTAGAGAAAGAAGAGCAGGCGCGACCCGTCGCAAGGAAGATCCTCCCTGACAGAACAATCTATATGTCGCGTCCAGTACCTCTAACCAACGGACAGCTTGTGCTATCCGATTTGGGCTCGGCCAGATTTGGCCAGGAGACATTCACGGGCGATGTTATGCCCGATGTCTACAGAGCTCCAGAGATTATTCTAGGCATGGAGTGGTCCTCCAAAGTTGACCTATGGTCGGTTGGCCTGATGGTAAAGTTTTTTGTTTGCCCCGTAGAATGGCTGGCAGTAGTACGCTAATATAAAGTTAGATTTGGGATCTTTTTGAAGGAACGCGACTCTTTTCTGCGAAGAAGGATGGCGTCCTCAATGATGAACAACACTTGGCGGAGATGGTGTCTCTAATGGGCAACCCACCGCCCGAGTTTCTACGGCGCAGCAAAATTTCTGCGAGATTCTTCAACGATATGGGTGAGCATTGCCCTATCCCAGCATGATTCACTTACACTGACTAACATCTTCCGATAGGCAATTGGAAAGGTTCTATTCCAATTCCCAACCAGTCCTTCGAAGACCGGATCACCCAAGTCGAAGGCGAGGACAAAGAGCTGCTGCTCGATTTTGTTCGCAGCGTCCTGTGCTGGGTGCCAGAAGAGAGGCCAACAGCCGAGGAATTGGCTTGCCATGATTTTCTCATGCAGGCCTACTTTGCGGCACAGTCGTAAGATTAACACATATATTTTGCCAATGCCACGTGAAACCATTGCTGCAGTTTATTAACGGAATGGCATGTCCCCTACTTTAGCACAAGCATCTCCGAACCATGAAATGCGCATGTCTCTGTACTACCCAATCGGGAGCTCTCTCCTCCTACGACCCTTGCGGCCGTTGTAAGCCGTGTCTTCATATTTCTACGCATTTCCTTCTCTTCACTTCAAAAGCACCAATTCATTTACTTTTCCTCTGGTAGATCAATAACGAACATAGAACTAACTATGAATCTGGGCTCAGACACTGTCTGGTAGTAGGCTAGGAAAACTCCTACGTCCATCATGTAACCCCGAACAACACTACCTAGCTGGGAGCATCTCATATGTTCACTAGATAGATTTATGCTTCATCACGCATTAAAGCGTGACCCAAACTACACCATAAAGACGAATGATGTAACAGTTTCTTCTCATAAACCTTTGCCTGGACTCATAGCCCCTTCCCTCGTTGTATCGTCCGTAGCAGTTGTTCCAGCTTGAATGCACGAAAATTACGAGCATTCGCCAAAGCTGTTTCGTCCCAGCGGTCTGCCACGTTCATCCATTGTAGAATATCAACACGTTCACAGAAGCCAAGTTCACACGAGATGCTCGACCATAAGTCCTCATTCCGGGCCCCCGGGCCCGGGTGTTTCTTCTGTCACGTTTCTTTCTATACTTGATTCAGCCAGGCTCGCTGTGAAATCCATGAAATACCTACGGTTGTATAGTGTAGTTGGTTATCACATCGGATTCTGATTCATTAATCATCATCTTTCCGGTGACCGCGGTTCGAATCCGCGTACGACCTTCCTTTTTAAGCTTAAGCTATGTTGTTCTTTTTATTTAAATAAATATTTATTTATTATCCTTTTTACTTTTATATAGTTAATAACTTATATTTTAATTATAAAGTTAGTATTTATTTATTAAAATTTATTTTAAACTTTAAGTTTAATTTAATTTAAATATATAAATATATTTTAATTAAAATTAAAATTATTTTAATATAAATATTAATTAAAAAATATATTTATTATATTATAATTAATATTTTTAATATTATATTCTTTTTAAATACTAAGTTTTAAACACTTATTATTATATAAAGGCGTTATATATATCTTTAAAAATATATAAAATAAAAATAAAATTATAATAATTTAATTAATAATTAATTTAATTATAAAAATATAAATAAAACTTAATATTATAATTACTTTTACATTCTTTATAAATTAAATTTCCTATATCATATTTATAATAAAATAAAAATATATTATAAATTCTTTATTCCTAACTTAGAAATATTTAATTTAAAAAAACACAGGCTTAGGCTCTGTGTGTGCTATGGATAGGCTATGCCTAGGAGTTATCTCATCAGGGGTTAGGGTCCAGCTTACTCATTGGTGTTTGGCAAACTCAAAATGTTTATGCTGGCCGAAGAAGCTGTTTGCCCTGGTTGTCTTAGCTCCTGCCGACGACAGTCCACAACTATTCCATCCACGCTGCCGCAACTGCCTGAGATTCTTCAGACAAAACTTGAATAAAATCACACACGGAATTTCAAATTCGATATGTCAAGGTTCCTGGACATAATCGAGTTGTGTGACAAGTAAGTTTCACCAGCCCAGTCACGAGCAAACACTACGCAACATCGTGGACCCTGCGCTGGAGGCGGTAGTAAGGCTAACGCCCTCTTCCAGCTTTCCGCAGCATGAATTTCTCAGATGTGAAGCATATGATCACATGGTTGAATCTCTATGGCTGTTCTATCTTCCAGGCGACCCGCACCCTCACGGCTGTCTGATCGACTCGGTGGTGGAGCGAATGCCGTGGACGTCCGACTTCCGCCTCACAACCGAGCCGCGAAAGCAGGTACACTTACTCAAGCGCGAGGGCACTGAGAACTGGCAAAACGACTGCGATGAGGCGATTCAAAGACTAGTCGACCTGGCTCGCGAGCGAAAAGTATTCCCCCGGCTGGGGAAAAAGACGGATGAACAGTTCCCCATAGTCGGCGCAAAGTTCGACATCGGCATCGAGCGCTCAGCATTCAGCTTGTTTGGAATCATCGGCCGAGGCGCCCACATGACCGTCTACGTCCGCACCGAGCAGGGCCTCAAGTTCTGGATCCCACGGCGCAGTGCCACCAAGTCGACCTATCCGGGCATGCTGGACCAGGCCGTTGCCGGGGGTGTTGCAAGAGGCGAATCGCCACTGGAGTGTATAGTCCGCGAGGCAGGTGAGGAGGCGGCACTCTCTGCGGACATGGTGAGGGAGAATGTGGTGGCTGCAGGGACTGTCACGTGGTTCAACATCTCGGACGCAAAGGCCGGCGGTGAGCCTGGGTTGATGAACCCGGGTATTCTGTATGTCTATGACTTGCAGGTCGGGGAAGACGTCGTGTTTGAACCGGTGGAAGGCGACATTGAGAGCTTCTCGCTGATGGGGGCCGACGAGGTGAAGGAGTGTCTGCGCCGGGGCGACTTTAAGCCGAGCTGTGCGATGGTCATGCTGGACTTTTTCATCAGGCACGGACTCATCACTGGTGACAACGAGAAGGACTACGACACTATTGTCAGCAGATTACATCGGACACTACCATTCCGGACTTCACCGAGTCTGTGACCATGGAAAGCTGAGAAAGCCGTATTGTATTCTCTCCAGCGTTTGCTCCAAGCTCGCTAAGGCCGGTGCAATTAAACCCACTCATCTTTAAGGAGGGTGTCCTCCATATTGGGCTGGCTGCAGTCATATATGGAATCGCAGGACGTGAAATCGACCAGAGCGTAAACAATGCGGTGAAACACAGAGTGTGCAGCCTGTGCTTCATAGCTCCAGTACTTATTATCGGCTAAATAGCCATTGATCCAAAGCTGACCTTGGCTTCCCCGGTACCCGCTATTGCATCCTCGATCGCATGCCCAGCGCATGCCCAGATCTTACGGCAGATGAGTTCCTTATTTAATCCCCGCGTGGTCATACTGTATCAAATTTTCCGAGCGGGGGTGTAGGCCAGATGAGGCGAATAGGACAAATTGTGCCCGCGAGCAATCTCATTATCCCGCAGAAGATGTATAATCTACAATGAAGCGAGTCTCCCAAGCGTTGTAGAAATTCTCGTCAGAAGTTTGAATGTCCACTCTGCAAACCAACGAGGCACTCATACTATCAGTTGACGCCTTTACACGATTCCAATAATGCTGGCAATATTAGCGGCAGCTGGGCTCACTGGGCTCGCGACGGCACTCGTGCCCACCACCTGGAACGGGCGCGCCTTCGATTGCAAGTGCTATCCTGGAGACGAATGCTGGCCCAAATCCGAAGAATGGTCTACTCTGAACACCACATTGAACGGCAACCTTGCCATCCATGTTCCCCCGGGCGCCTTTTGCCACAACACCCTGCAGGGGCCACTTGGAAATATCACGACGTACAATGAGGCTGCATGCTCGAATGCGCGGGCCAATTTCAACAGCGCACAGTGGACGTGAGTGGAATTTCAATCCAAACCTCCGTCTGACAGTAATTTAACATGCCGTGATCACATTGCAGAATCGATCAACCGGGGGCAGCGTTGTGGACCTACTATACCAACGAGACCTGCCGACCTACCACAGATCGAAACGCGCCGTGCACATTGGGCTACTATGGCGTCTACGTGATCTCTGCAAAAAGATATGATCACGTAAAAGCAGGCGTTGACTTCGCTCGTACTCACGATCTGCGCCTGGTCATCCGCAACACCGGCCACGACTTCCTGGGTAGGAGCACTGGATGGGGCGCACTGATCATCAATACCCATAGCTTCAAGAACGCAACTTTCACAAAGTCCTATGAGGGGCCGGGGGACTACCATGGGTCAGCAGTCACTGTCGGCGCTGGAATACAGGGGCTTGAGCTGCTGAAGCTGGGCAGTGCCCAGAGCCCGCCCGTGACGGTTGTGGTGGGAGAATGCGCGGTATGTACATGCCCAGAATCGACTCTACACATTTCTTTTTTGCTCATCAGATCTAGACTGTCGGCACAGCTGGCGGCTTCATGCAGGGAGGCGGCCATGGCCCCGTGACAACCGTGAAAGGGATGGCCGCAGACACGGTGCTCGAGCTCGAGGTTGTGACAGCCGCGGGGGACATAGTGACTGCGAACGCCAACACAAATCCAGACCTGTTCTGGGCGCTCAGGGGTGGAGGCCCCTCAGCATTTGGCGTTGTCCTCTCGGCGACATTCCAAACCTTTACTGACGTCCCTTCTGCCGGTGCCAGCCTCGACATAAACCGCAGCCACACAAGCAACCAGACACTTATGTGGGAAGCCATAACAATATTCCACGGCTACGCCAACCATTTCGTCGACAACGGGCTCTATGTTTATTTTGAGGCTAGTGCCAACGGCCTTCATGTCCGACCTTTTGTTGCCATCGGCCAGACCACCGAACAGCTTGACAATATTATTGCCCCTGTGCTCCGTGACCTGAACGCCATCGGGCTCCGCTTCAGCACCTCTACGAGGCAGTACGACACATTCCTAGCTCTCTACAATGATCTCTTCGAGCCCGAAGGAGCAGGAATCTCGGCGCTGACGGGTGGCTGGGTTTTCGCACACCGCGATATCTCACAGAACAACACCAACATTATCAACTCATTCAAGAATATGCAGAACAAAGGGGCGAGTATCATCGGGCATATGTGGAACCCGGGGTATGCCATGTCGAACGCGAATAATGCCCTGAATCCGAGGTTTCGAGATGCGAGCGTCCATGTCATCGCCGCCATGTCTATTTCAGGGACTGCCCCGTGGGAGCAAAAGATGGCGGCAGAGAGGACGTTGACTTTTGACGTGAACCAGAAAATGAAGGAGGCTGGTCCAGCTGGGTTCGGCTATGTGAACGAGGTAAGTGTGAAACCACCCAAATGTAATTGTCCAGTTGTGCTACGCCGATTATGGGGCTGACATGAGATACGCCAAATGTAAAGGGTGACTCAAATTCACCTACCTGGCGGGATGACTTCTATGGGACAAGCTACCCTCGTCTTCTAGACATTCGGAAGAAATGGGATCCGAACGGGGTCTTCTACGCCATTGCTACACCGGGAACAGAAGACTGGGAAGTCATCGACTATGGAACGAAGCTATGCAAGAGCGCTTGAGCACAAGCAAGATCTAGTTTGGATCGGACTCGATGGATCAATGCCTTAGTTGTGTGGCAGCATATGTACAATTTGGTTGATATGTGCAGCTGCTCCGCCGAATTACCCTAGGGTATCGATCAAGAAGATGGCCAGGCAGGGTACTCCCATCCGCTGACACCATTCGCCATCAGCCTCGTGTCCAGGCCATCCGCGCCCTGTGAGATGTAGTAGACCTTGGTGAAGGGCACGACACTAGAGTACTGGAACGCAGTACCAGCAGGGACAAAAACCACGTCCCCAGTCGCCAACTGAATGGTCTCCCCGTCGACCTCAAAGCTCAGCAGGCCCTCCAGCACTTCAAACGCAGAGTGCCCAGTCAAAGCCGTGCTGCCACTAGCGCTAGTGCCAGGGACGCTCATCGCCGACTCGTTGGAGAGCTTCTCAGACATGATGATAGTAGCGAGTGTGAAGTTGCCGGCAGACTGGGTGGGCGTGACGAGGGGCTGGACGATCTGGTAGAACCCAGCCTCGTCGCTGAGCCACTTGGGCCCGAAGTCCTTGGCCACGAAGTACGGCGTCTTCTCGTCGGCGGCGAGCTCAGCCGCGGCGGTGTGCCAGCCGGTCACGTCCCCAGCCCCCTTGGCGGCCGAGTACGAGCCGTTCACGAGCCCGCGAGAGGGCGTGAAGTTCAGCTGGGCGTAGACGTCGAAGGACTGCAGGGCCCCGATGACCTCGGGTGGCGGCGCGCCGCTGGTGGCGTTGTAGGGGCTCGCGTCGTTGATGTCGTAGGGGCTCTGCAGGGGCGAGGTGTAGTTTGCGTTGGCCAGGGCGTAGAAGAGGTCTTCGAAACCGCCAGGCTGGATGACGCCGACCATGTCGGTGTCTGGGTCCTGGACCTGGAAGGTGTGGGTCGTGTTGTGTGGGACGGCGCCGTAGTCTCCAGGGGTCAGGAGGCGGGCCTCTTCGTTCTCAAACGTCTCAGCGGTAGATGTCCAGAGCTGGAAGCGGCCCTTGAGGCAGAAGAAGTTCTCATAGTGGATCAGATGAGTGTGAGGCAGGACGCCCAGGGAGCCCGACCCAGGCGATGCAGTCGAGATCAGTGTGAATGCATAGTCGGAGCTGGGCCCTGTCACTGGGAAACGGTATGTCTGCCCCCCGAGGACAAGACCAGGAATGCCGTAGTGGCGGACAGCATAGGGCCGAGGTGAAGACGGCACCTCAGACACCCAAAGAGACGAAGTAGCATCGGCCGATGCCTGGCGACGAAGAGGTGTCCGGCCGGGAGGGTAAGGAATTGTGGCGACGGCCGAGGCAGAAAACCCTAGGAGGGTGGTGAGAGCGGAGAGCTGCATGGTGACTCAGTGATGAATTGAGAACGAGTGAATTCACCAGAGGGGTGGTCCCGAAAAATGAATGCAGGCAGTGATCAACTTACCTGTCAAATATGGAGGATCCCATCATTCTTAATCTACCAAGCGTACGGGGCAACAATCGTCACAGTCGGGATTTCCATCCCACATGTTGTCGCCGCCGGCTTTTCCGGACATGTGGATATCGTGAACCACAAGATCTGTTAAAGGTTGCATGCACTGGGGTATTCTAAGTGGACTGACAAGCCGGAATAGGTCTTGGATTGCATATACTCATCTCCGATAACTGGCCAAACCCGGTTAGGACAGTACTCAATCCCTGCCCCCTGAGTCTATGCCTAACTACCTAGGTACGTCAGGTCACATTGTTCGTTTTCCCCTCTACGTTTGATTCAATAAGTCCAACAAGTCAGTGGCGCCAAGCTACCGGCACTGAGATTCAATCCGCATCGATCGCGTCCCTAAAACAAGCTTAAATACGCCCCAGATGGTGCCTGAGAACGAAAGGAAAAACTGAAGGCTTATCGGCTACTGCGGAACTTTTGGCAATTGAGAGAGTTGCAACCATTCTGGTATTCCTTCTGAAGTAGTCAAATGTCTCTCACAATTAGAAACGAAACCACTTTTCTTGCCTTGGGAACACCGATGATATCCATAACGTGAGCGGCTATACTCTGCCCGCGAACATTGTACTATTACACACCTTTGGCCAAAAGCTTTGTTTTCTGAGATCAGCTAGGCTTTAAATAAGTACTTGGACCGCTCTACGCACATCCCTACCAATATATACAAGTTATCTATATCCTTATAATTAGAATTACTTGAATATATACGTATTTAGTAAAGGTATTTTAAGTTATATAAATATAAAAATTATACTAATTAATTTATTTCTTTTTTTATATAACAATATATCTCTCTTCCTTAAAACTAAATTTTTAACTATTAAAACTAACTATTAAATTAATACTAATAAAAATAAAGTATATAAAATATATTAAATTTCTTAATATTTATTTTAATATTATATAATAAGTAATTTAATTTATAAGGATATTAATTCTACTTATTAAAAGCTATTATTAATATAGAAAATACTTTTAGTTAATTAAGTCCTTACTTAAAGCTATCTTTTCTATCTACCTATATATAAGCTCCTTTAATGTTTTACCTATTAAATTATTAATAATAACTATTTAATTAATACTCCTTTATTTTTATTAAAAGATATTAAATATATAAGTTTTTAAAGAGGAATCTTAAAGTTAAAACCCTTAAAGTTATATAAATTAACTTTAAATATATAAATAATATTATACTTAAATATATAATTAATTTCTTTAATTAGTTAAATATACTAAAGGTCTTTAATATCCCTTTTAACTTTAAAGTAATATTAATAAGATTAACTTTTAGAAAGATAATAATAATAATAGTTTAGTTATTAAGTTTTTAAAAGAAATCTATTATTAAAAACTATTATAAATTATATTTAATTAATTATAATTAAGTATTATATAGCTATTAGTAAGTTACTCCTTTCTTTAATTATCTTTTATAAAAACTAAATTAATTTAAAAATTAAAATTTTATAATATTAAATATAAACTAAATTAATAATAATATTAATTTATAATAGTTAAAAATAATATATAAACTCTCTACTTACTCTAATAATCTTAAATAATAATAAGTTCTAATCTTTAATAATTATAAATTCTATATAATTAAAAACTTTATATAAAAATACTTTTTTATTAAATTTAATTTATTTTTCTTTTAATATATACTTTCTATATACTTTAATTATTTAATATTAAAGTATTTTTATATTTAAAATATTAATATTATTAATAATTAAAATAACTTATTATAATATATAATATAAAAATACCTATAAGAATTCTTTTATATATTTATTAAAAAGCTTAAAAAAGACCTTTATAGCTAAATATATTAAAAGAGGTAACTAAAAATTAAAATCTAACTTAAAAATAAATAAAAAGTCCTTAACTTAAAGTTAATATAAAATAATAATATTATTATTGTTAATATTATTAATTAAAAAAATTAACTTTATTAATAAAACTTAATACTAATAGTATTAAAAACTCTTTATTTAACTTATTAAATATATAAAATTAAATTTAAATTATATAAGTTTAAAAGAGCTTTTAATTATTTATAGTATATCTTTTTTAAAAATTAATAAAGACTTTAAATAAATTATTAATATATTTTTACTATTAAAACTAAAAGGAATACTTTTATTAATACCTTAATTATTAGAAAACCTAAAAATCTTAAAGAGTTCTTTTTATTTAAATAGAATATTTATTAATATAATAATAATTTGAAAAATAGGGTATTAATAAAATATTTTATAAAAATTAAGATAAAGTTAAAAATAAAAATAAATTAAATAATAGAAATATAGTTATAAAATTAAATTATATTATAATTAGAGTTTTAAGGATTAAAATATTATTATTAACTTTAAAATAGTATTTATAGTTATTAAAAAATTTAAGTCTAAAGTTAGGTGGTGATCTTAAGGGTGTCTGAAATCCTTGTATATGTTGGTGGGGATGTGTGTAGAGCGGTCTAAGTACTTACCCGTGGGATCGCTCTCGCTCTAAGGAACCCACTGCTGGCGCAGTGGGTGCCACAACCCCTGTACGGCTAAAACCCCCACACACTTAAGAAGAATAAAACACTATACTTAAATTAGTCTAACTTACTTAAATAAAAATAGTATAATATAAAAAAAGTGGGTTTATAAACCTTATTTTTAAGAAATTTAAATAAAATAAGTATAAAATTCTAGGGTTAGGGTTTAACTAAATTTTATTACTTTTTTATATTTATATTATTATAAATATTAACTTTAAATAATTTTATATAAATATAAAAAATATATTATTATAATCCTTATAGGATAAAGAATATATATAAAATAATAAAAAAATTTAAATTTTAACTTTATAATAAACTTTTAAGAAAAATATATTATATTATTTTTATATATTATTTTACTTATTATTTAATATTAAATTAAAATAAATAATTTTATATTAATATAAAAATTATTTTATTATAATCTTTATAATATAATAAGTATTTATAAAATAATTAAAAAAATTAAAGTTAAAGTTTTATAGTAAACTTTTAAAAATATATTATATTATTTTTATATACTTTTCTTATTTATTATTTAATATTAAATAAAAATAAATACTTTTAAAAACTGAAGTAATTTAAAAATAAATTATATTTAAACTTAATTTTATTATATAACTTATAATATAACTTTAATATATAAATATATTAATTTTAAATATATTTATTAATTAATTTAATTTTAAAATTAATTTATTATATTTTATAATTTTAATTAAGAAAATAAAATAAAATAATTAATATAAATATGAAAAGTAATATTATATATATAAAATATATTATATATATAAAATATATTATATATATATAAGTATATTACATATATATAATTAAATTTATAAAATAATTTATAAAATAAAGTTTTATTATATTTATATAATAAATACTTTTAATTTTTAAAATATAATAAATAAATAGTTTATTTAATAAATATAATAATTAATTAATAAATAAATAAAATTTATTAATTTAAAACTAAGTTTAATTTTAAATTAAAATAATAAAATAAAATATTAATATTTAAATTATTATATAAAATTATAAAATAAAATTATTAAATAAAATTATTAAATAAAATTAATAAATAAAATAAAATAAATAAATAAATAAAATTAATAAATAAAATTAATAAATAAAATTAATAAATAAAATTATTATTTTATTTACTTTATTTATTTTCTTTACTTTATATACTTTATATAAGTTATAAAACTCTAACCCTAGAATTTATTTCTTATTTTATAAATATTTTTATTTAATAAAGATTATAATAATATATTTTTTATATTTATATAAAATTAATTAAAGTTAATATTTATAATAATATAAATATAAAGAAGTAATAAAATCTAGTTAAACTTTAACCCTAGAATTTTATATTTATTTTATTTAAATTCCTTAAAAAATAAGGTTTATAAAAATTTTTTTTTTATATTATACTATTTTTATTTAAGTAAGTTAGACTAATTTAAGTATAGTGTTTTATTCTTCTTAAGTGTGTGGGGGTTTTGGTTGTGTGGGGGTTTTGGCACCCCCTACGCCGGGAGGTGTAGGGGGCAACCGAAGGTCTGACCCCTGGGTACGTGTAAGCATGTGGGCCCCGGTGCTTAGCAGCGGCACCCCTGCTCTCCATACAGTCGTTGTCTCTTCGGCCTGTTCCGGTCACTGATGAAGATGCTGTTCAAGGCATCAAAACCCTCGGACAACAGTATCGCGCCGAGATGGCGCGGCCGGTCAACCCCTCGCCGTCAAGCCGCCTTCGAAAGGCTGAGGACCTCCTATAATTAGTGAGCATCATGAGGAGCGAGTCTTGCTGGTTCCGCAGGCCTTCGCTATTCTCCAGCTCTAGATGTATGGAGGATATATGGCACCCCGCCCCTTGTTCTCCAACGAACAAATCCCGGGTGACGTTTATGTCAATATCTGACAACACCGCCTTTATAACCTTGGAATTTTTCTGAATCCAATGAGGGCGTTGTAGGTAACATCGATCAATACTACCCTCGCAGCGGAGGCTTGACCATTTTACCCGGCCCCATCCTACCTTGTCTGACTCGGCAAGTCGAGTTTCTGAAGTGGAACCCCGGATTTACCCCAGGCCACCTGGGCGAACACAGTGCCGAGGCAGAGAGGAGCAGTCACTCTAGAATGCGCAACGTCGTCTCGATCAACCTCGCGCTTCAGCAAGCACTAGCAAAGACCGAACGGGACAAATTACAGAAATTCGATCCCGTCAGTCTTGCCCTTCGCTGCTGGAAGAGTAGAGGGTAGACGACCCAAAGCATACAAGCTAATCTGTCAGTCCAAGGGCTGCTACAGATACCTACCGCGGCCTTGCCAGATCGCATACCTCCAGTATCACCCCGTCAGATAGGCCTGGTAAGTGAGGTGAGGATAAGAGTTTGCGCCGGCTGCAGAAATAAGAATATGAAGGTGAATGCATCCAGACAGCTAAAACTCCAATGGATCTACACAGGTTTCTGGAACAAGGCTATGGCAGTGGGCGAGAAAGCCTCGGATTCGATTGCCCGGGATCTGTGGAATAGCCGCCGGGTACATATGAACCCTGTGTATTCCAGGTCCAGGTTAATAATGACAAGATTATTCCGCTTCTCTCAAACTATGGCAGCTTCCGTGACTTGCACCAGAAACTTCTCATCCATCCACACACTGTAAAGCTCAGATTCCCACGGTTTCAACGGATTGACAATCTGAAAATCAAAATGCCGGAAAAGCTATCAAGCAGTCAATAACTTGAAGCGCCTCCCGGCTCTCCAGCCGCTTTTCCCAGTGATTACAAAGGCAGAGAACTCACCTCAAAGTAGACCTTGCTCAGCTCCATGAACGCAAGGGGCTTCCCAGCACATCCAAACCGACCGTGACCAAAGACCAGCTCAACCAGTCGCTCCATAGATAGGCGCGTTTCCTCGTCTGCCTCCGAAAAGCGATCGGGCCGGAATACCTCGGCGTCGTGGCCCCAGTGTTGAGTCGAGCGCATCATCGGAATCTGGTTCCATCCAATGGCTGTGCCGCCAGGGATGAACTTGCCGTCAATCTCATCACCTGGGTGCGGGACTACCTTGTAGAATTTGATGGGTGCCGGTGGCCGCATACGCAGACCTTCATATAGGACAGCCTGGCGAACATCAAGAGCTTGCGGTCCTGCCACATCCACGGGAGGGTGTCGGTTTTGGGCTACCAACCTGAAGGTAGGGAATCTCTTTGGCCTCTGCTTGCTTGATTGGGTTTGAAACACGTCCGGAGTGGACAGCCTCTTCAACTACTTGCTTCATCTTCTGATAAACGCGCGGAGTTGTGATAAGATACAGCATTGTGGCGCGTATTGCAGCTGCAGTTGTGTCTGACCCAGCGACCATGGAGAACAAGGCCTCACTCATACATTCTCCTGGAGAGAGTCCGCTTCGGATGAATGCTCCCTAGGACAATCAGAAGCTGTTTACGCACAACATAGACGAGGTGCTCACTCACTAGTAAGTCTTTGTCTTCAAGTGCGCCTTGGTCGCATCGCTTCTGAATTGTTTCTTCCAGTGCTCTGTTACAAGATCCCGTGTCAATGAATTGTAACCATTTTACCATTGGATAGAGGTCAAGTCTTACCCAATCACCACACCGGGCCCGACCTTATCCGTTTTCTTTGGGCCAAATTGGCGGAGGAAAAATCGCGAGGTAGTTATAGATCGCAGCCAGGGAATGGCCATAGGAATAGTGTATGTCCTCATAGAGTCTCGTACTGCGGCCATGAGGCCATATACGTCAGAATGGGTCCTCAAAAATCCCAGCTCCTTGCCGAACGAGACCCGAGTAATAACATCCATGGTAAAAGAGTTGGTGGTAATGGCGAAATCGATGATTCCCTTTCTGCCCAATCCCAAGGAAGTCTCGTCTCGAATGTGCTGGATAAGGGCCTCGATCAGATCGTCCACAATTGGTTCCATGGCTAATGTTTCACGACCGCCGTATGCACCTGCTAGCCTTGCCTTCATTTCATCGTGGAGTGGCGTGTCGATGGTCGAGAACATTGTATCGTGATCTGGATGCTTGAGCGTCGCGCTATAGAAGGCGTCTTTGACGTATGATTTCCGGACACCCGATATCTTACGCAGGACCTCTGGGTCATCTGTGAGGATCGTGTTCGGGCTGATCCTTACGAGATGACCGTGCTTCTTCGCCAATTTGTTGTAGACCCATGGTTCTTGGCCAGTAGCGGTAACTGACATTTCCCACAGTGATGTGACGCCTGCCATGAAAGGGCCTGGGACATGTCGAAGCCTCCTCCAGGAGTATAGATTTGATATACAATAATAGAGCAGGAGAATCGTGGCGACGACCTTCATCCATGCCGAGAATGTAGACTGGGGTAAATCTAGTTCCGCCATAGTGAGCGAAAGAAATGCAGCAATCTTTAACCGTAGTGCTAGTAACTACTCAGCTACGTGAGAATAATCATTCATTGATCGAGGGAGTCTGCCCTGAGTTATGATCTGGTCCCTGCCCCTTCTTATACATATCCTTACCAGCGATAGTATGCACTGCAGTTATATGTGAGTTCATATTCATGTTCCCCCAATGCTGTGTAAGCACGGCTGGCTGCATTCTAACGAGAGCGAGTGATACCTCACAATAGAGCATGGATCATTCGCACAAAATCTTTCCTATTGCGGCTGCCGAGCAGTGGCAGTCATTCTATATTGGCGCCTCAATTGCTGACTGCATATCGGCTCTGTGTCACGCATGCCACCATACCACACAAAGCAGGCCTACACCTGTCCACTCAGGGGGCGGGGTAACAGGGTACAAGGACCTTATAGTAAGCATCGCCAACGCACAGCATGGCTTGAGCTGTGCAGCCTTCAGGTGGCCCGCCTGCCGCCGTCAGTTCCATGTAGATAAACACCTCAGGTCAAATTCCTCTCACATCCTTGCTTACCAATTCCGCGCTTCTCTTCGAGGGAACAGCTCACAAAACGGTGTTGGTGGCTCATGGAAGTGAAAGACAGTCCGGGTGTCCGGATCTCGGCCCATTTGTACCTGTAAGCGGTTATCGTAGGTTCAAACCTCCCAGGTTGACTACCAAAGCAACCGATCACTCTCAATGCTGAGGAGATCACCTGGGACACATGCAGTCTAATAGGCTTCCACTGCTCTAATACTGGGACCGTGGCAGTTTTGTGCTTTTCACCCTCCAGGAATCACGACTAATCGGCCGATGATTAGCCCTCAAGCAAAGGGTGGACTTGCGTCACGAATCAGTGGTCTCGTTTTTAATCCTCATACATATAAAATGTATGCGGCGCCTTCATATAGTAGTAAACACTCAAGACCCAGCGTTTAAAGAAATATAGTACTAATAATAGTAGAAAGAGAATACAATACGTCTATAGGCACGTAGCTCAGCCTTGTACCGAATAGACAAGGCTGGGAGGCATTACTTCCGACAATGCCGCTTACTAGAAAGCAAGGAAAGCAGTCATGCGGCGAGGCTGAAATATTCTCTTAAAATAGCCCCTATAAGAAGAAGAATCCTACAATGTAAGATCTAGCAAGCCAGCTCTTCCCTATCAATCATAGCGCTTATATTATGACAACTTGGCACCCTACTTGGGAAAACGCAGGAAACCCGGGCCTTAATCCGTCACATCCTCCGCCATCTCAACTTACCTCGTCAGACATCCTTTTTTCACGAGCACGGGCTCCACTATTCAACCGCTCTATTGTCTATAGATACGGGCTTCTCTCGCTCACTACCCATAATTAGGAAACCAGTCAGTTTGCTCTTTTCGATTTTCCCTGCCCGTATTCATGCTATTTCTATAGCCAAAGCTCACGCGAGATGGCCGCCATGAACGCCCCCGAGGGGGAGGTCAAATTCGTCCCCAAACAGGCTCTGGCCCCATCACCCCAGTTGTACGATGAGCTCGTATCCGACGGCATGGAAAACCTCGCCAAGGCGTCCCTGGCTTTGATTCGCATCCCCGATGGGGCTATTATTAATGATAACGGCTGTGGCACCGGAGCCGCGACAGCAGCTGTGGTCGACTCCCTACTCCCCGAACGCAGCCCGACGAGTGTGACGATAAAGGGCAACGACATCAACGAGGATGCGCTTATCATCTATCGGAAGCGTTCCGAGGAGGGCGGATGGTCCGCCGAGGGTGTAAACATGGACTCCAATCATCTGGGCTTTGATACCAGCACCTTTGATATCACTGTTGGGAATGCGCTACTGTTTGTGCTTCCCGATAGTATTGCTGCCATCAAGGAGGTGTACCGCACCCTGAAGCCTGGAGGTGTGGCTGTCTTCAACACCTGGGCCTTGGTGCCTACGATACCATTGCTAGAGGTGGCTACCAAAGAGACTCGCCCAGAATGGAGCCCGCTTCCACGTGCCGGTCTCGAAAAGTGGACAAAGGCAGACTTCCTAAGCCAAGTAATAAGTGAGGGGGGTTTTAAACAGATAAAAGTACACCAGCAAGAGGTGTATACTACGGTAACAGACATACACCACTACGCGAATATGCTATGGAGCTTTATTGGAGGAACCACTCCTATTGGCTGGCTTCAATCCGACGAGGAGAATTGGGACAAGGCTATAGAGGTGATTATCCGGGAGCTGAGGAGAACGGATGGATATCGCGAGGTGGAGGGTGGCAGAAGCGAGCTCAAGTTCATAGCGAACATTGCCGTCGCCACTAAGTAAGGCAGAGCTAGAGATAGATAGATTTCGTTGAATGCAAACAGCATAAGATCATTTCTTAGTCGATGTAATCGAAATTCAAGAGGATCGCCGCCAGGCAGCGAGGAAGCCTTACAGCTGATCGGAACTGCGTACCAGCTCAGCCCGGTGGAGATGTACGAGAAGGTCCTCGCCTCAGAGGTAGATGTATCGCTTACAGACTGTGAGGTGGAATTCAGGGCTGGATTTCTGAAGTGCGATGAAGAGAGTGCTCGAAGCCTGCTTGATAACTCCCACTGCGGTGCCTGATCACTGTGCCCCAGCAGCGTCTGATACATGGTACCGCGCCTGGACCTTGAGCTCAGAGTCTTTCCGTCGACGCGGAATCCCGTTGGGATCTTGTCCTTAAGAGGGCTGCCGAGGTTGATATGCCTCGTCGTATGAGAGACTCATCGCCACATTACTAGTGTTTCGCCCATCTGAGAATGTCGTACCTAGGATTTAAGCTCCTCTGTTCCAGCATTCTTCGTGCTGTAATCATGTGACGCGGTGTAGACACCCAAGTTCAACACCATGACCCTGTTTAATTTGCTTCGTTGCCCATGTCAACCTACTATGGGAACCTTTCAAGGGAAACTGCTGCCACGGTCGGTGTGGATTGAAATGAATGTCAACTTGGAATTTTCTTGATTCGAAGTAGGGTTCATCAGTCGAGTATAGGAAAAGCCCTCTGGGCCTGCATATTAAATAGAACGAGTGATGATATTGAGAAACTATCAATTTAGAATGAATGAGTTATTGAAAATGCTATGGGCAGGAACACCATATTTTTTAAGCAATCTGAGATGCTGGAGTCGAAGCTTCCAGGAATGAGACGCCAACGCATTGCTGCCTGGATAGGTTTAGACAGGTACCAGGTAATGTTTACTACTCCCCGTCACAGCAGGACTATCCTACGTATCCATGCCCATTTGCTTTCTCTCAGCAACTAGCTTGTTCGCCCATTCAACCTCCTCCTCGGTGGGCATATCACTGCGCTTCCCCCCACAGAGGCCTTCAAGACGAGCTAGGAGAATCTCAACCGCCTTCGCTCGAAGGTTGTATTCCGATTTCTCTTGCACATCCGCCTTGGCAGCCTTGGCCTGCAGTTGCTGGATAGAGTCCTTTGCCGCCCTCCGACACTGCACAACCGCCTCGTCGAATTCCGGAGAATATGGCGAAGGTTGGCTGGGAATGGCCTGGTTGTTCAGAGACTTCTGAGGATTCTGGGCCATTTTGCGGTTTTGGTGTCAGTTACTAGTTGCTTCTTCTTTTCTCGGTTGAGTGGCACTGAACCGTGTGTGTGTGTGTTGATGAATGCAGATGAGGAGAGTGGTCTACAGAGCTGGACGTCAGGTCTTATATAATGTTTACTTCGTGGTCTCAACAAAGGTCTCGGTCCCACCAGGAACTGTGAACAATAGAGCTGACTTGAGAGAACAATGTTGTCTTTGTGTTGTGTCGTGCTGGCCAACAACAATTGTTTGTCAGGCTCTTCGTACTTTTGTACCTTTCAAATGCTGTACAATCATTTTATAACGTCCTTTGTTCGTATGATTCAAGATAATTGAAGAATGGCTTATGGCCGCTAAGTCGCTTAAAGGTTATTGACAGGACCTTTGAAGCACAACAGGGTCCGCATCCGCGAGACATGAGGGATGGTGAAAATGAGTTGGCGTGTACAGTAATGTGACCATCTGGAAAGACATGGCTGAAGGGATAATGACGTGCACACAATTAAAGGCGCCATGTATGTCCTCGGACGTATACGGAATAGAAGCGAAACCACACACAATTAAAGCCTCTTGTCCAGATGTAGGCGGCAAATTCAAGTCATGGGTCAGAACCCTCATGGTTTGACTACAGTCCTGAAAGCCCGCGAATCACGGCTCGGGAGCCCTCATGATCCTTGAAAGAAGTCAAGATTTGCCGGGATCGAGTAAGAATGCTATACCCACAATTAGCACGGGCGTGCCCATCTGCTGCAATGTAGCAGTTCGGATTGTGAAATGCATATCGGAACGCCTGAAAATACTCGGGGGTGGGTGGCAGTCGGACGGGGCGTCCAATGGGCAATGTGCGACATCCATGATGCCACTGCCGAGGATACGACGCTCGGGTATCTGCTAACAGGGTAGCGGAAACAGCCTGACAGCATCCGCGGACAGGAAGGGGGGTGACAGGCTGTCGGAGGGTAATAGCCGATAGGGGTACTGGCTTATTACTGGCCATCTCAAATGCTATAGCGTCCCTGGAATCTGGCACAACTTGAAGTGGTGCCGGCGAGCTAAGATGCTTTGCCGCATCGGGTATCAACATCGACTTTGTGGCTTGTACGGGGGTTTATGCCCAAGTATAACAACTGAATGCGTTGGGCTTCCGATGCACGGTCGCTGTCTGAGCTGTATGTTTCCCTCCAGGGCGTTATAATAGAACATCGGAGGACACGCTGGGTACGTGTGGATGCTGGTGCATTCCCAATTACAAACCATCCCATGCACTTGGAGTCTATATCAGCTCACATGATTCCACCGGCCCGGTGATGGTTATTAGACCTCGGGATGGTTGGCTACTGGGTATTTGGTGCATAGGCACTTTCTCCAGGGCTGTCAAGCAATCCACCCCCACAACCAGACTCAAACTTTGTGGTCGATCATGCGGGCCTGTGGAACATACGGATTCGCGCAATCACCTACACAGACATGTCGCGATGTAACAACCCCGTCCATGACCCGGCAATGGCTTCAACCGAGACATCTGGACTCCAGCTGCGGTGATCAACACGCGGGTTACAAGGAGCCTAGTGCGGATTCGTATAAATGCCCGAGTACCGTAACTTAGTTCCGGACCCGGGAGGCAATCCTCTTGGCAGGCTCACTGGCCTGGGCCTCTTGGGCCAGGCGGTGAATTTGTGGAACGAGGGGGGGGAGGAGCATTTAAGCGTCGCAATTTCAGCCTTGTCTCGAGAGCAACTGCATTTGCAGCGGGCTTTGGCCACATTGTATTTTTTTGTTTAACTATTTATCTATTCGTTATCTTCTCAGCTTTTAGACTAGCTATTAGCTTATACCTTAAGTATAAAGTTAATAATTACTTAATATATACCCTTAAACTTATTTATATATAGAGTTATTAGCTTTCCTTATAAGGCTTCTTTTTCTATTATATTTTTTATATATTATATAAAAGTAAATAAATGTTTAATAATAAAGTAATATATTTAAAGAAAGAAAATTTGGTTTTTAAATATTTAGACTTCTACTTTCTTTATATAATATTTATTTAATATATAGTAAATAAACTTTATTTAACTTTTAAAAGGTTTTAATCTTTTATAAAATTTATATAAAAGGCTTTTAAATAAGTTTATTATTATAATATTATTATTCTATTAATAGCTATATATTTAAAATAAGGATTATAATATATTTAGCTTATTTAGTAAGGGTAGATTTAAATAGTTATATAATAAATATATTAATAGGGAAGAGTTAGCTTATTAAGTCTTATATTATAGAATTCTTCTTCTTATAGAGGCTATTTTAAAACTATTTTAATCTTATTATATAACTACTTTATTAACTTTCTAATATAGTATTATTAAAAGTAATACCTTCTAACCTTATTTATATAGTATAAGGCTTAATTATATACTTATAGATATATTATATTTTCTTTCTATTATTATTAATATTATATTTTTTAAACGTTAAATTTTAAGTGTTTACTACTATATAAAGGTGTTATATATATTTTATATGTATGGGGATTAAAAACGAAACCACTCTGTATTTATAGTGTTGTAAAGAAGTAAACTGGTGAGTTAGCGGGCCAGTCACTGACGTTACTGAACCCTGTATGTGTGTGTCTGGATCTTTACCGTTTGGGTGATAAATGTGGATACGGTCAATGTTGTATTGGTACCCCAGCATCTCAAACAGAGCTGTCTGTCTCTTGATACATTTCCAAGGGCCACCTGGGCAATGTGGCGATGGTGCATCCTCGGGACTCGCCCATGTATGCAACCAATAGCCACATATACAATGACATGACTCAAATGTCCTCCAATTCCGATAGGTTGCATATGATCATCGGTTCCGGAGTCAAAGAAGAGTTAGAAGGGCAGGTGTCAGTCGCATTGTATGAATAAAACGCTACACCTTATCGTATACTCGCCATATAATTCAACCGAAGTCACACGTGGCTGGACAAGGATTGCCCAACCAAAGATAAGGAAAAGAAAAGCTTCGCCTGGTAGAAATGATGGCTGGAGGATGTAACAATGGACGACAGAGGGTGACAGGATTCCAGGGACAGTGCAGGTAATAATTGAGCATGATAATGCTGGAGAGCCACGTTCCTCATTACATTAGTCTGGCAAAGAAGCTTATCCGACGCACCCATGTTCCCGGCCTTGCAAGTACCGATGCGCATAATTCTTCTCTTTTATTACTCCTCATGGCTGCATCCTGCTCTTCTTCAATCCCACCTGCATTGGCTGCAATTCTATGACATTGATCGACCCCACGAACAGGTACTTTCAGCCACCCATCGAACCACAAACATGACAACCTGTCGGTAACGTACGTGGCTTCAAAGGGTATGGACCGAATACCGACAGAGTGGATAAGTTCCTGGAAGTCCCGCGGAATTGTACGTGGCACATCTGCAGCGTTACATCGCACCTGAAGTCGCCATACGGCCAGGCCGATCTGCGCGGGCCAACCACCTCGGCGGGTACTGTGCTGGGACAGCTACCAGTGGTAGCCCACCACAGTATGTAAAGGCGGGGAGAGAGGCGTTACTGTACGTGTGCACAATGCGTACGGAGTAGGGTACTTGCAGCCAAGAAGGGTGCCAAGAAGGACACCACAGGCACCATCAACAGCCGCGACAGCCAGGACGGCTTGACAGCCCTGACATCCACACGTCGCGGAAGCTACCGGTGCAACGGATGTGGGTCCGGGAGGTGAAGTTTGGATTAGGCTAGTATCGTTTGATGCTGGCTTGGAACCTTGAATTCCTTTCAGTGGGGATGCACACGGCAGAAAGGGGGGGAGGGGAGCGACCTGGCGGAAAGGATTCCCGGCACAGGGTAGAGCTTCCAAGCTTGACAAGCCCAGGAAAATCCTGCCGCTCCGTTCGCGCCCTCCTCTCCGATCCGCTCGTCTGCGGTCTTTGCTCCCTGGGTAATCTCCCACTGGTGCCCGAGCAACGCAGGGTAGACCGTGGTCTGTTCTCCGCTGGCTTCCGCCTGGCTTCCAAGGTTCACTTCACTTCACTTCACCTCACCTCACCTCATCTCAAGTTTGCTGTTCTGTTCTCCATCTCATATCACCAGCCAGAGCGTGAAAGCCTTGCGCCGTTGCCTTGTCTACTTCTGCGACTAGAATGACATCAACAGGAACCCTCACGGTCTATACGATAGCGGCTTGTTGAAACAGAACCCCGGGGACCTTCTCGTGTGCTCCACGCTCACTAGCACGCATTCCAGGTTGTGATCCGTCTCACCCAACAAAGAAAGGGCTGCGCAAGCTCGGATCCAGGACGCTTGACCGCAGCATATGCACCTTGCAGCCCCCAGGGCAATCTAGAGCATCACATCGCCATACCACAGACACGGACACCGGTTCGACATGTCTGAAGAAGACATCCATCTCGTCACCCAGCTCCCGCAGAATGCGTGGTTCGAGGGATTTGCCATCCGGCCCAATGGCTACATATTAGTGTCGCGGCTGGACGAGCCGATCCTTTACACTTTCGATGCCGAGGACAGGTCAGCCGAGCCGCAGGAGGTTCACACATTCGCCGACGCCACAGGCCTAATCCAGATATGTCCGATCATGGGCCGACACGACGAGTATGCTGTCATCAGCGGCACGCCGGACTTAGACGCAATGCATTTTAACCAGACAAACTACATACTATGGCGCGTCGCATTCAGCTCCACAACCGACGTCACCGTCACCAAGATAGCGGACCTGAGTGAATACAAGTTCTCGATAGGCGTCATGCCGGCCAGCGAACACACCCTCCTGATAGCCGACACGTTCCGCAACTGCATCTGCGCGCTGGACATCGCCACGGGGACCAGCAAGGTGCTGATGGAGGACCCCAGCATGGCGGCCGTGGACGGGGCGCCGTTCGGCCTGAACCGCCTGCGCATCGCCGTCGGCTTCGTGTGGTTCACCAACACCAGCGCGGGCACCCTGTGCCGCTTCCCCGTCTCGGTCGAGGGCCGCGAGGTCAAGGCGACGGGCCCGGTGGAGACCATCTGCGACACCGTGGAGCACTGCGACGGGCTCGCCCTCGCCGCCGACGCGAGCGCCGTGTGGACCGCCAGCGTGATCAACGACTGGCTCTGGCGGATAGACCTGAAGAAGGACGGCGACAAGATCACCACGACGACCTCGGTCGTCAAGGAGAATCTGTACAGCCCAACGGCGGTCGAGCCACACTACGTCGGAGACAAGCTCAGGCTGTATGTCGTGTGCAATGGGGATAGAGATGAAGATATGGGATGGATCAAGAGAGACGACCGCCCCTGGCCTGACTTTCAGAACATCACCGTCACAGAGAGCGTTTCGGTGTCTATTTCACAGGCGGAGTGAGGGATAATTGAGGGTATCATATTACGCTCATGTCTGTACATTGTATTATCGGGAGTCATCGTGGGAACGGGGGGGGGGTTCATTGTACACGGCGCATCGATCATCATCACATCATCATCATTAACTTAGGCGGCTTCATTTTCTGCAGGTAATACCCAGCTGTATTTTCAATAATTCTTTTTGTGCGCGACTCGAGCCTGCACTGAGGTCACAAATGTGTTTCTACACACCGAATCCGCTACTGACGACGATAAGCGAATAGTCGTCCCTGCAGCATCGAATCGGCCCTACAGACGTCGGGCAGATTTGGCGCTATCCAGGCAGTAAGCAGGCTATTGAAAAACCAATGCCGGAAGTTCCCATTGGGACTTAGCAGCCGGGGCACTGGGGCCCACGGTGAGGTGGCCCCGGGAATTTTTCAGCTCCCAAAATAAATTTTCTCAGGGTGAGCGTGCCTCGATTGTCGTCCTGGACACGATGCGGGCCAATTTCCTGTGGTTTGCGATACAGGTACCTCGATGTCTTCCATACTGAATGAACGATGTTAACCGGTCGCACAGCATCCACCGGTACCTTGGGCCACCCCACGTGGAGACCTGTCAGCATGCAAGCATGTGGCACGGGCAGTGTCACCCAACGAGATGATGTCTCAACCGTCAGCATGCCAGTTCCAGCTATATACACGTGTACATTGCACATGTGAGCATCTGGGCATGTGTGCTCCCGTCCGGCAATGCAACTGTGGTGTGCATTGCAACCCATCATCCAGCCTGCCGGCGCCGAAATCCTCCCGGGGCGACGGTTAATGACGAAGGGCCACCGCAATATTGTCCATGAGACCCACAAAGGCGGAGCTAGATCGCGCGTGGATCTCAATGTCGACGGATGGGCCGAGGTGATCCCGTGTTCCCCTTCCAATAGAGGACCGGTATACACCCCTCGAATGGGTACCTCAGAAGACTGTCGCAGGGATTGTGCACGATGTCTTTCCACTCGGGAACTGGAATTTGCCATCCTAGCGTGTCATGTCACGATGCAGATACGGATGATTTGGCCGTCGGGATCGGGACTGGCCAACCTTCTTTTGCATGTCGATCGACAGTCGGGCATGTGGGGGGCGTCTATTCTTGAGGCCCAAGGTCATTGGCGACGGTGATCTACATCAGCCACAGTGCCTGAAAGAGGGGGTCCAAGCGAGATGCTCAGGATCCGCAGGCATCATCTTGGCCGACACAAATACTGTCTGTCTCTCTTTTAACATCCGCCGGAACGGGGACCAGATGTTTCCGTGATCTTGACTGTGGGGCTCGGCTGTGGGGTTCGGCTCCGGACGGGAAGCGGAACTGGGTTCCCGAGGTCAAGTCCTTCGTATACCTGTGTACGAGCTCTGATTGCTTATATTGCCCAGGCTGCCGAGCCTGGGGTCCCAGTAACATCGCGTATTTATTGCAATTTTCCCGTGATCCTGCAGTAAAGCTGAATTTGGGTTGGCCAGGCCAGGGGGGATGATTGAGGTCCGGGGAGAATAATGGGGAAGCATGAGCCTACACCTTGTCCTCATTGACTTTGCGCTACAAGAGCGTGGACATACCTAGGTAGAAAGCGACTGCAATGGGGGTGGGAAATGAATCGCCTTGTTGTTTCTTCGTCACCAATTCAGCCTCCCAAGGTTCCTAGCGTACGTTGGCCCTGTATGCCTGAACAGGCAAAGATAGCAAAAAGAAGAAGTTGTAGCTCCCAGTCTAGGTCCGGAAAATAGTGTCGGAAACATCCTCCTTATTCTTCTATCTCCCTCAACAGTGCAGTTCGATGTTGAAAGAACCTATCACAAAACTTACAAATAATGAAAACAAAATCCACTGGCCCCCTATTTCTACTTTGCCCCTCCCCCTAGTACCGGGATAGAGTTCCAATTTAAGCCCTATAGTATGCGTCTCTCCTCTCAATTGTCTAGCTCGAATCAAGAGCTTCACTAGTATTATCTAATTCCCGAAAGGGCCAGGGTCCGGCACCTGAATCATGGACAAAGTGAGAACGGGCGTGTGGGCCTATGGTTCGACTATCCTTGAAGAGCTTCAAGGGAAAACGTAAACGTAGTGTGAGTATCGGGATTGGGTTTTGATTAGAAATAAGCTCCGAAATAAACTCCTGGAGCTCTTGTTCCGGACCGAGATCTGCATGGTGGGCTTGTCGATCAAAGTCATGTAACTGCCGTCCGTTGAGTGTCGCCCTAACCAGCCCTATTTTCTTTTTTCCAGCTGCCTGCTTTGACTACAGCAGATCGTCCACATGTGCGGCCCGGGACCAGACTTAATTTATCATGGGATACCCGTGAAGAGTTCCAAACAGAACCACAGAGGGTCTCTGATAAAGTTTAAACCTACAGCGCTGTTTAAGAAGCAAAAGATGCGTGACGTCCCACTAATCACGACAATTAACGTTATGCGAATATCCTCCCCTATCTGGATTAGAGCCGCTGCTCTCGAGAACATCAATAGTATATGAGACCTGCATTCGAAAATGTACTAATGTATAAATGGAAGCTGCTGAATCAGAGCCGAGAAGAAATTCATCTGTCTGCTGCATTCGTTGCCCGGCAAGCCCTCACATGACATGCAAACACAGGTCTAACTACGCCTCCCCCTCCACTCCAACAACATTCCACGTTACGAGGCTTTAATCGTTTACATTTGAGGCTGCCGAAACGAACGAGACACCATGATTCACCTTCTAGACAGCGGTCGGATCGGGGAAGACGACCCGGACTACCACCTCCCAACAAGTCCCAATCTGCTCTCCGCCTTCCGACAACTGCGCTAAGCGACACAACTCGCGTCTTATAGATCGATTCAAGATGAATAAAGCTGGAAGAAATCAGGAAACACACAAAGCAGGTCGAAGTAACCGACCAAATCTATAGTCTCGCATCCTGTTCCATCAAGTAAGTCAGGCACTGCACATCCGCCCAGCCGTCCATTATGCCCCCTATCGCCCCCAAAATCGCCCAAAATCGTCTATTGATGCTGTGATTATGGTGGGAGATTTACAGTTGCCTCGGAAGGTGTTGCGGACTGCGATTTGTGCTTTGGAGGAAACGGAATCGATCATAGATTTTGATGAAGACGACGACAGATCGGATCCTCAGAGGGGAGAGAATCAGCGTTTGCAATCTCAGCCTATAGACGCATTATTTATGCGCGTTGGCTTCGTACCTGCTCCCGGTCGACACAGGGCAAGCTATGCAGTCCTGTGGACCCGAGAGGCAAGCTGTCCGGCGCGCTTGGCACGGTCCCTAACTTTGACAAAGATTTTGCTCAGGGAATATTGCCAAGCTAGGGAGTCTTGCCCAGGTTCTCATGTATCGCGATGATGCATGCTTCCAGATTCTGAAATACAGCGTGCATCTTGAGCTTTCTAGGGAACTCCGAAGTCAGTGCATGGTGAGGCTAACTGGAGGCCTACACGGGTGCCTAACTGATCCGTACCGCGTCTCACGATTACATTGATATCAGGTTATGCACACTGGAAGGTTTCGCCAGAGACAAGTGACCAAGATAATATATTGCGGGTTTATGGGCTCAAGGTCACCGCCATGCAGGCGATTTTCCGGTTTGACCCAACCGAGGACTGATCTCTGGCTTGAGGGGACTTGTTCCGGATCATATCCGCTTCCAGACATTAGGAAGAAAGCTGTATATCCGAGTCCGCATAGCATACTAAAACTACTACGAGGCCATTTGCCATCCTCATGCTTGGACCTCAGAGAAAACTGGATCCCAGCCGAGCCGCCCGCCCCAGCGCTTGAAGCTCTACCGCAAGTCTAACTGTTTTCGCTTCTATTCCGCATAGGTCCGAGGACATACATTGCGCCCTGATACGGCAATGAACGCTTAAAACCTAGCGTTTAAAAAACACCTGGGCATATGATGTCTATAACAATGGTTAAAATACGATAGGTGGCAGGAACTCTAAATCATGATTGATAGCCGGCACACTGGATATCAGATGAAGGATGAGCACTCCGAGGATATGGTCAAGACTGTGCATAGAGCTGCCATCAAGTGCGAGACCAGGTGGGTCGTACCACTGTGCGCAAGGGGTGACGTTGGTCTTTTACCACGAGGCATTCGTGTTGGAGATAATCTAGTACCCATTCTGGGCCGTAGCAGCGTGTCAGCGCTTCGAACAGCTAGTGACGGCGGTGAGGTTGGAACGGGTCAGGTTGATATGAACGACGCATGAAGTGTTTAGTGCCTGCGAAGATAGTATCCCTCTTGGGCTAATGATATTGATGTTCTTATATCGCTATCAGGCACCCGCAATATACAGTGTCTTCCGGCAGGTCTTTGCCTAGGTAGTCGATCGAGCAAGCCATTAAGTGTACTTAAGTAGCTGCCCTAACATTGATTTCTCAATATGCGAAGTTGAATTGACTAGTTATTAGGGACAACATGAGACTGGCACAATCCGAGACAGTCTGATGGCCTGAGACGGGATGTACAAGACAGACTTTTGATCTTTTCGGTAGTCCTTCCAGCCAGTCCTCCCTGCGTTACCGCGATGCATACGCTTCTGAGTTTCTATTTATTTGGCTTCGGTCTCAAATCGTGCACATCTGAACGCATACTGGAGTATGCGATATGCCCATACGTTGGTCCACGCTGAACAGTCGGCATAAGTATCTGCAAAGAATATGATTTCCATCTTATGGCACCCGTCAGTTTTGTGCAGGGTGCATCGATGGGCCGGCCGGCCAATACAGTTCCAAGATATGGCCAAAGCTGACCGCTCAATTAGCGAATAATCACATGGCCTTTGTGCACATACTGCACGACGAGAGCTGATGGCTGCCCTTGGCTGCGCGGGCCTGTGGTCGTCGATTGAGGCCAGCAGGCATGTGACAAGAGGTGACACGCCCACATCTCCCGGGCGTGGGGAAAGCCTGGGAAGATGCAAGCTGCATGCAAGCTGAATGCAGGCTGCGCCGCAGACCCGACACGCCCCCAATGAGAAGCAGCCCCAGCCACGCAGCAGGCGATACCAATGCACGCAATCGTCCCAATCAAGAGGCTGTACCGTGGGAGAGCATGCCTCACAATGCGTCGGTTGGCGGCAGATGATTGCTGACATGGCGGGGCCACGCGAGCCCACGGCCGCCCACTCATATCCCACCCTCCCGCCTGCTTGTGGGTTCTAAAGTTCTGCTGCGCCGGCAGCCTGCATGACGAGAGTGAGGGGTGGGAGGGGGGAGGAGGCTCCGAGAGGGCCACCCGGGGCAAGGAGGGATCCCAACGGGACCCCTACCAGCAAGCCACTGCCCGCTGTGCCCCCTCCGTCATACTCGGGCCACCACTCGAGCACTCGGATGCGTAGCACGGCCAATGCGAGGGCTGCAGGGCTGTTGCACCGGCCCCCCGGGGCTTGGCGCAAGGCATTCCAGGCAGAAACGCCCATCCTCCCGTGGCCAGCAGTACTGCCTGGACGAATACCACCCTGGGGTAGCCCATTGGCCTCTTGGGTCGCCCTGGGGCCGGCCTTCCACGCCGAGTTCTGCCTATTCACAGCGCTAGAGCTGCCGTGTTCGACGAGCTGCATGGGCAGCCTCGATCTTCCCTGCGGCTTGGCTCACCATGGGAGCATGGGAGGAGGGAGGGAGGTTGGTTGCATCCGGTCGAGATGTTGGCGACTGACAAGACGGGGGTGTGTGAGCAGAGCCTCATCCGGCACTGGTACTTCTGCTTCCTGTACTTAAGGCTGACAGTTCTCACGTCAAAAGCACTTTCTGGCTCCCCCCCTTCTCTACCCTCCGCCATCCTTCCCCCGAACCAGCACATCCTCGTCGGCTCTCCTGCCCGAGAAAGAGGCATCTGGTCCTTGTGAACAGGTCGCGCAATGTCGCCCATGCCAGAGCCCAAGGGGGCTATTACACCACCCCCTGCCCAGGATGACGACGCATACTCTGCGTACTCTGGGAGCAGCTACTTCTCGGACGAGCACACACTGCCGGGGGACGACGCCTACAACGACGATGCCCGCAGCTGGACCAGCGGGTCCTCGTATGAGTCCTACGACTCGTTCACCCACCGCGAGCAGCTCCCGTCATACCGCGTCCGCAGGTCCCAGGGCCCCTCCCAGCCCGTCTACGAGGCCTGGGTCCTGAGCCTGTCGCACGACACGGATTACGAGGTCACGAAGCTGACCTCGTGCGGCATCGACATCCTCTCCACCCACGACGAGGAGCGGCCCTTCGTGGTCACCAGCACGGCGACGCACGACCAGCAGGAGCTGAGCGACATGGCCCTCGCCGCCGCCGCCAGCTACGGCGCCGACCACAGGCGCGGGTTCGCGGCGCGCCTCCTCCGCGGGACCCCCAAGACGTACGAGCAGGACCTGGACGCGCGCCTGCGCAGGCTCCCCGCCGCCCTCCAGTTCAACCTCAACGCCCTGCTCCGCAACCGCGAGGAGGCCACCTCCAGCCGCTTCCGCCGCCGCGACTGGACCGTCGCCGTGATGCGCGAGCAGTACCGCTACCGGTTCGCGAGCGCGGCGCCCGAGGAGGTGAGCAAGAAGAAGAGGAAGGGCGGCCTCTTCAGGGGCAGGGGCGACGCCCGCCGCGTCGAGTACTTTTTCGTCCTCAGGGGCGCCGAGGGCAAGGTCGCCGCCGCCGACAAGGTCCTGCACCAGCCGCGCGAGTTCGACAACCCGTGGTCGAGGGTCGACGAGGAGGAGAGGATCGCGCGCGAGCGCGCCAGGGGCGCCAGGAAGTACGGCAAGGGGTACCTCGGCGACGACCCGGTCCCCAGGCCCAGGAGGAGATCGCCGTCGCCCGCGTACGATCCCTACGGGGAGCCGTCACAGCCCCGTTTCCAGGACAACAACCGTGACCACGACCTGGGACGGCGACCGCTCATCGTCGAGCGCGAGCGCGGCAGGCCGAGCAGCCGCAGCCGCAGCCGCAGCCGCAGCCGCAGCCGGAGCCCGTACATGTATCGCCGGCGGAGCCCAGCCTATTCACCAGTCAGGAACGGCCGTCCTCCCCTCAACCCCTTCGTGCCCCTGCCGTTGGGCATAGGCGGCCTCCCGCCATTGCCGCCTACGCCCACCGCATACTACTGCCCCACGCCGGGGCCGTGCTACGCCCCAACCCCGGGACGCTTCATGCCTCCTCCTCCTCCCCCTCCTCCCCCGCCGTGCGTAGGCCTGACAGGACACCACCACCCCCCCTTCGGCCTGCCTCCCTTCGAACACTTCCCCATGCCCCAGGGCATTTTGCCCCCGCCGCCACCACCGCCGCCCCCGCCGGTGGCGCAGGCCATCGACCCCTACCCGCTGGAGATCTCGTCCCCGCCCCAGTCCCCGCGGGGCCTGCCCTCGTCCGCCTACAACTGCCTGGGCGGCGCCCCTCCCATGATGCCGCCCGGGTTCCACAGCATGGAGGCCTATCAGCGGCTGTTCGACGCCGGGTTCCCTGATCATCGTGGCGACGAGGATGAGGACGGGGATGATGCTGGGAGTGACGGCGCCTCGCTGCGGTCTGGTGGTGGTGGGGGCGACCTGCCGGCGTCCCCTCCCGCGGCGCCCAAGCCGAGCAACCTGACCACGCCGACCGAGTTCTCGCCCGCGACGTCCCACCACACTGGGTCGAGCGTGCAGAGCGGCGGCAGCGGCGGCAGCGGCGGCAGCGGCAGCACGGACGGCGTCACGCCGCCTGGGGCCCCCGGTATGGAGATCATCTGGGACTGAGGAGGGACGTCGTAGGGGCTAGTTGGGTGCTTCGACGCAGGTGTGGGGGAGTGGAGCAGAGGCTTGTTGGTTATTTGGTTCGCGACAGGGCTCGGACGATACTTGATTCAGTGCCGGGAAGTGTCGTGAGAACCTGCATTGGGAGACCCGTTCTAGAATATGCGAGCTTTGACACGTCTGCTACTAGTGTGTTTCTTCGGTATGAATACATGTAGTGTTTCTCGCTCCGTCCCCGGTCTTTGCTCTTTACTAGGCGAACTTTAATATTATCAAGCGGGGTTCAACTCATCCATGCACGCACTGCTCTAAGCTGTCGTCTGTGTTAAACAGTCTCACCAAATTCATGGCCAACTGCTGAACTCTCATACATAATATCGATTGACATCTGGCTCTCATTGCTTCCTAAAAGCTAGACCATATGACAGGAATGTCTCGCTCCGTTCAACTTAGATTAAACTCGCTTGGATCTTGATTCAGACCCCGTCTCTATTTTCGCTTTGTGATTTGAGGAAATCAAGCAGCTCTATGGAATCATCAACTTCGTCCTTCCCAGCAACAGAAGGGCCAAGTCTAGTGTAAAACGGCCACTCGAAGCGAGCCGGGTAGAACCCCGCGTACTCCCAGTCGATGATGGCATTAATCCTCAACATTTCCGGGTCGACAATGACGTTCTGCTGGGACAAGTCGTTGTGGCAGAACACATATTCGTCATGATCGGAGGGTTTCAAGCGCCAGCGGTCCGTCTCTGTGTGCCGCAGGACTCGATACGGGGGGATCACGATCCCCAACGGCCCACCAAGCCTGTTGGACCTGAGGGTCCGGAGCGTCGCGAGATGGCCCCGGAGCTCCTCACGCACGACGGCCTTCTGGTCCTCTGTCAGGTCCGACATGCTCACACCCTCGACGTACTCCGTGACCAGGTAATAAGCATCGTCGTCCTCGAAGTCGCAGTATACCGTCGGGACTGGAATGTTGGTGTTTTGGCGAATATACCGCAATGACTCTGCTTCATTCATAACGCTCTCCTTCCGAAAGCGAGGTATATGAAGACCTCGATGCCCGGTGCGGAACTCCCTGGGCCTCAAGGTTCTCTTGATGAAGGATCCTCCACGGTGGTAGTATTTTCTCTCAAATGTGACCGCAAAACACCCTTCCTCCTGTGTCGCTTGCTTTTCAGGCATCGCGACGCCGGCGGAGATTGGATGCTGGCGAAATCAGAGCTGGGAGATTTGGTTCTTGGCCTTGAAATGAATCCTGAGGTTATAGCGTAGAGCATTCAACTGGGTCTGAGCATTTGTGCTCTAAGAAGTCTCTGCGAAATGGTTGAAAAGAAACACAAGTTGATCTGCTATGAACGATTGGCCCCTCGAAAAAGACGGTGCGCCAATGTTGAGAAATCGCTCTCTTCGCGGCCTTTCTAAAAATAATGGTGCACACACTGCCTGCCCGCATCACTCTGTTCCCCGCCCCTCAATTTTAGGCATGCACCAACACACCCCCCTAGGGTTTTCCAGTGGGAGGCGCTTATACGCAAGCGCGTCACATTGAAGGGTTTAGTGCGTAGTGTAGTGTATGATAACATTAATAAAGAGGTAGCTAGACCTTAATGAAATACTAAACTAAATTTTAAATAAGCTTTTAAATAAAAATAAATTAGAATAAATTTAAATAAGAATTCTATTTTTATTAAAACTTAATTTAAAATAAATATATTATTTATAAAATATTAAATTTAAATTATTTAATATATAACTATTACACTTATCTAAGCCTTATAGTGTGCCTATAAGTCCTATTACGGTATATATAGTAAGAGAAAGAAAATGAAAAGTGAATGAAGGACTAGGAGGTAGTATGGCGGCCCATTCCTAAGCCCGAGCAGAGGCTTGACGAAGCCGCGTTAAAGATGGGTGTAGAGGTCGAGAAGCGTTTAGCTATCTAGGTGATGTTTCTATAGTGTAATATAATAATTATATTCTCTTATAAAGGAACTTTAAATCCCTTCTTTCTTTTATTTTTATTATACTTTTTTATATTATTAATAAGTTAGTAATTATTAATAATAAAAGTATAAATTGAAAGAAAAAGATAAGTTTATTATATTTTTTTAAAACTTTTATAACTTTTTTAAGATTTTTATAAAAGTTTTAAAAATATTATATTATAAATATAATTTTTATTTTAAGTTTGTAAAATTAATAATAATATATTTAAATAAAAGCTATAATATTTATTTTTAAATATAATTTTATTATATAATTCTTTATAGTTTTTAATTAATAATATTATTAAAATATTACTTTTAATTTTATTTACATATTATAATTATAATTATTAATATAATATTTTTTAAACTTTAGTTTAAAATACTTATTATAATTTAAAAGTAATATATAAATATTTAAATATATATAAAATAAAAATAAAATTATAAGTAATAATTATATTATATATAATAATTATTTAATTTAAATGTAAAAGTTATATAATAAAACTTTAATTAATATAATAGTATAAATTTAAGATTTATTATAAAAATAGTTATAAAAGTAATTAAGAAGAGATAATTATAAAGAGGTAACTAGGACTTAGTTAGACGTTAAGCTAGATATTAAATTAGCTTATAGACTTTTAGGAGAGAGAGGGAGAGGAAGAGAGAGAGGGAGAGGAAGAGAGAGAGGGAGAGGAAGAGAGGGAGAGGTTAAAATAGCGTTAAAAATAAATTTCTCCTCAGCTATTCTTTACGCTAAAGTAAATAAATAACTTCTTCGAGTTATCATGTAGTTTTTACACCTAAAAATGCTTATTCGTTGTATAGGGTACTAAGTCTTACACATCACGTAACTGTTGTGCAGGTGTGTAATAGTTATAGGGTGTCTTATAGTACTGCTACGGTACCCTAGGGTACCTAGGTATGCTCAGTACGGCATACCCCGACTCTACTCCTCTGTACAACCATACTGTATGTGCCGGCCAGGATAATGGTTCTCACTGGTTGCCTGATATTCACGTTGCATCCACTCAACAACTCACCAGGCGTGGATACACGTGCGCAGGACTCTGAGGGACCACACCAGTTCCCAATCCCTTTGACTCCGTGTTCAGGCCGATCAGATATTCCGGCTCATTTATTTGAGAAATAAATCGACATGATAGCATGCGGCCTTCCGATTCTGACTGGCGTATCTGTACCGGTATTCACATAGAAAGTTATCCTGCTTAAAATTCGAGATGGTGGGATACAGTGTTTGTTTGTCGATGGGCACGACACACGACAGCCCTGAGAGAATGATCACATGAGTAACCTTCTCACGGTTAGCTGCAGCCACTTGACCCTCGCGACACAACGGTTAGGCATCCATTTAGGCCCATATTCCGGGCACACACAGGCTGCGGGGGTTCATGCGAGGATGTGCTTCCTTTATTTCCACTGACGTCAAATACTGCTGGTAAAATCGAGACGCCTCCTTCCTACACTGTACCAGGTAATTTCCTCTGGGGCGTCGATTTTCAGCTCCTATCGTCTCAGTCCTTACTTCCGTTCACTGTCCATGCCATACCTCTTGTTAAGCTCTTGTTGTTCCAATACCAGAGACCGTCTTGAACATGGCCGAAGCATTGGGCATCTCCGCTGCCGTGGCGCAATTCGTCGATATAGGCTTACGTCTTTGCCTCAAATTGCACGCCTTCTGCAATGAAGTGCACGGTGTGCCCTATAAACTTATGATGCTAGAAGTTCATGTCAAGCAACAAATCGAGGTGGCGTCCCGTATACAGGCCTCGATCCTAGGGGGATCTGTCGCCCTAGGTGGCAACTCCGAGGCCCTGTTGGAAACAATCCTCAAAGATCAGCGCCAAGCTATGGAGTGTCTTCTCGATCTCATCAATTCTGTCACAAATCTACCCGGCGACGGCATCTTTCGTCGTGCTTGGAATGGCATACGAGCGATCGACAAGAAGAAAGAGATGGAGTTCGTCTGCGAGCAGATCCAGGCCAAAGCGAGTCTGCTCTCGTCATGCCTTGCAAACACCAATCTGTAAGCGATCGAATTTTCACCCAGCCCATCCAACAACAGACCTCGGGTTGTCTCCTTTACTAACCGCGCCCCAAAGTACACTGTCAACTCAAATCAAGGATATCGTGACAACTGGTGTAAATACAAACACGAGTCTGTCCAAGAAGCTCGACACTGCCACAGTAGAGATGCGAAGCATATTGGATGGTATTAACGAAGTAGTTTGCAACAGCTCGTTGAATTTAGCAGCTGCCACAGCCCGCGTCATCCTGAGGCCGGGGGATTTATGGTCCCGGCTGGACGGAATTGAGCGCCGGGTCAGTTTTATCGAGGATAACGCTTCAGCGACAAGGTCGATAGCCGTAAGGATGTGTTCAGAAACGCAAGACACCTTGGCGTTCGCCCGCGAGACGAGCCTTGACATCAGGCACTTAATCGACGAATGGCAAAGGCTGGGGACTTCGGTATGCTCCAGGTTTCTTTTGTTTTCTTGTGAGCGGGGAAATGGGCTTACCACTGGTCATTATAGCTTGCACAGTTTAACGCCCTCCTGAGCTCGAACCCAGATCTTTCAGATGCCATTTCCCGTGCTGTCGCTCACGATAAATCCCTACCGGCGGGAGAACCTAGTGTCCGCAACATGTGCCAGTCACTTCAGAGAATCCATTTGGGCCCGAAGGAGGACATGCACCTCCTTCAAAGTGCTGCATCACGCCACGAATGCACCTGCAGACCTTACAGGCGCAGCACTGAATACAGGCCCCTGCATATTCTGCGCTTTCATCGAGTGTTCCGACGAAGACACTTTGCTAGCTGTCCGAAGTCGAAAACATCTGAGCACCGCCTTGAGTACATGATGAGATTCGTCCCGCCTAGGCGGCTGCTGGCTTATGCTATTCATATTGGATTGTCAATCGATACCAGAGCTATCAACGGTAGCTTTTCCATTGCACCAATGGTCTTGGGTATGAGCCGTATCATCGATAAGCGGAAATCACCTGCTTTTCAACTACTTCAAAATTTTGAGGACGACTACCGCGAACTCAAAGAAAAGGCTCGTTGGGAATGTGATGGTGACGTTGACACTAGCCGTGCTCCCGAAATGGTGAGCGACCTAGAGGGGTCGTTGAGAGACCTTTTCGACAACGGTCTCAGCTCTCCACTGGATGAGGACGATATTGGCACGACCATTCTTCATGTAAGGCAATTATATCTCCGGCTGTAGCTGTGGCAGACCGTTCAACGTATTGACTCGCGTTCAGACAGTCCTTGCTCTGTACATGTCGCTGGGGTCGGGAGATGCTAATCAATCATTTTTCACCCAGCGACTGGGGGATAACAATGCGGAGTTTGTGTCGCTAATATGTTTTCTCCTCGAGACGGGATCCAACCCCAATGTCCTCTGCTCAAACCCTGACATACTCATCATCGAATCAGAATTCACAAGGGTAGCAGGGACGGCGATGGATATGTTTGCAGGAGAACTGTCTTCATCAGTCACTGTCCTCGGACGTCCTACGGGCGGAGATATTGTTCGTGACAAGATTATTGCGGCCGGTGGCGAATTCTCGCGCCCTGCGAGAGTCAACAAGTTCATACACCCGCATTGCATCTGCCGTGACTTTCAAAGAGAGCTCCGGGCGTTAGCTCTGTTTCCAGAACAGCTTGACCGTGAGTATTCTCAATATTTCATGAAGAAAGCTTTTCTCTGACTCGATCTATACGTGACCCAGTTTGCGAGTACAATGGCTTGGTCTATGCAATCTTGCGGCAATGCGAAGCCAGCTTACAGAAAGCTCTGAACCATTGTGATATCAATCACAGATCTCCTGCAAATGGCCTATGTGCTATTCACTTTGCAGTGAGCTGGCCTGCAGCACTACAGCGGCTGATTTTAGCTGGCGCAGACATCGACATACCAGATCACCTTTGTCGAAGACCAATACAGCTAGCTGTGGCTTTGGGATCAGAAGAGTCTGTTCGATTACTGATAGAGGCAAATTGCACTCTCTCAGTCGCAGGCTCGTACCAAAGCCTGCTCCAACAGTCTCTAGGACTTCGAGACTTGGATCTCCGACATCAGATATCAGTTTGCATCGTCCGAGCCCTGGTTAATCGCCATACACGGCTCCTGAAATTTGCTTCATCCGTCCTTCCGCGGTCATCTAAAATTATGAAATCGTTAATCCCAGGAAAACTTCAGCTGTCACTAGTACCTGAAATTGCCAAGGGAATACGTCGTCAAGGTCATGAATACCCGACCGCACTAGAGTTCGGCAGCAGAGGACACTATCAAACTGCAAATGGGGATGCATTAATTCGCTTATCAATAACCATAGCCGATCAACTCTGGGTGGGCGGGTTTCAGGAACTTGAGGTCCCATACGATACAAGAGGTTTGGGTATTGCACTATCGCCGATATTAGATGCCTGGTTTAACGCAGACTTCGGCATCTTGCATTGGATGCTAGCTAAAGGGGCTTCGCTGTTCTCCAAGTATGCCTCCACAGGAGGTTCTGGCTTACACCATTATGCTCATAGGCTTCAATATCCTGGAGCATATTTCCGATATGAAGTCTCGAAGGTCCCCTGCGACAAGCCCTGTCTGACCCAGTTGTCGTCGGATGAGAGTGCATGGCGAGATTCTTGTTCTTGCATTTGTTCAAGTGGGGGTTGTCGACCTGTGACAGTGTTTCTCAAAGGGCTCCATGGTGTTGAATGCTATCATCGATTTGGGGACATTTATGACGCAGTCTCTCAGTTGCCACAACTCTGGGAGAGGATTTCGCCACCACCAGGCCACTATTTGGCCGAGATGGAAGCAGTCCTGCGGTTCTTCGCCTTTGATCAGTCGGGTGCCCTTCATCTTCCGACCTGTTGTTACTTGGGACGTGAAGGTCAGAATGTACCACAACCATGGCGGACCCCACGCTGGCGCGGGACGGATGTTTCAGCTGAAGATCCGGCGGTTATTGATGACATCCAGATGATTGAAGATGAGCTTCAAGTATTACGACAGAAACTCAAACATTGTGGCTGCCCTCTACTCGACAAACCAGCTTGTGTGGTGCTCGAGGATGTCTGCCCAGTGGGGGGTGTTCAAGAGGACGCCGTATAAATAGCCAGCAGTAATTAATGACTGATGATTCAAATAGGCACCAATTGTGGGCTAGAATAGTTCCACCTGTGCTTGTGGGGACATTCGCGCACATTATAATCCCGGATACAAGCTGTCTAAAGGTTCAAATGCGCATTAATAGCGTCTGCAACGTTGAACGCTTATCAATTCCGAAGCCAGTGTCAACTGCCTTTCTAGTGTCTAGCTGGTTGCGTGTGACTTCAGGACTGTGTCAATATGCATCGATCTAGTAAGCCCAGATGCGAGGTATCTCACGCCAGTCAGCACAGAGGATTCATTACCTTGCAGGCCGAGGCTCGATTTCTCACAGGGGTCAGAGGAGTACCTGCACTCCACATGTCCAGCTTATCTTGAGCCAATAGACACTTGGTGTGTAAGGCTTCGGAAAATAGATAGAAGGCCTCAAGACAACCTTAGAATGAAGGCCCCATCTAATCTAGCAGACAAACAGATCATGCCAGATATCAGACCGCGGTCTCGTCATATTTGATTCTTGTTTGACGCAACTCGAGTGCCACGCAGGGCATTACCTCTACGATTCTTTCACTTTCAGGGGTGTTCACACTGGTGTCGTTCCACTTAAGTTGGTGTCTATTGGCTTCGAAGTCTCCAACCTAGTGGGCCCACCGTCAGCTGACGCATCGGAGGTGAGATATGTCCGGAAAGTGAGACATGACAGAGCAGCTTTTCATTTTTCATTTTTGATCGCCTCGCCCAAAACAAAAAAGGCCTGTGGTTTGGTAGCTTGAAGATGGACTATCTCTTTGGTGGGCGAAAGCCAGCAGCGGAGACGATACCAGGTGATCGGGTGCGGCCACTGCACTTTTTCGAGAACAATCTGCTCGTGCAAGGTAACAACATGTCTGGTTTAGCGGTGTTCGACGAGGTGCTCGATCCAGAAGTGCTTCGGGAGGCATTGGAGGGTGTGGTCAAGCGGCCAGGGTGGGAGAGGCTTGGAGGACGGCTGAAAAGGAATGTAAGCATCCATGCTTTCTTTGGCCTCTTGTGGTTTCCCTCCAGCGGATTTTCTTGGAATATCTGGTTCCGACGATGAGTCTGCTACCTGAAGCCCCATGAGAGCATACAACTGATATTTATCATCCATTGATGTATTGCTTCACCACTAACGCACGCGACGTTGTCTGGCCACCAGGCGTCCACGGGCAAAATCGAGTGGCACATCCCCTCCGAGTTCACACCATCCAGGCCAGCACTCACATATTCCCACGTAGCCCACGACATGCCCATCGCAGCCCACCCGGCCGCCTCCCGTATTCCTAAACCAAGCACCGTGCCTGCCGTCGTCGCAGACCCAGACGACCTAGCCGACCTGGTCTGGGCGGACGGCTACCGCCCCAACGGCATCAAAAGACTACATCGACACAGACGCCCCCGTACTGGGCCTTCGTGTGCACACCTTCCACGACGCGACCCTCGTCGCCCTTCAGTGGCAACATGTCGCTTTCGACGCGCTGGGGCTGAAGTACGTGCTCGAGGCCTGGAGCGCCATGCTCTGGGGGCGCAGCGGGCCCGACGATATCCCCACGCCGCTCGGCGGACAAGAAGGCAGCGATGGCAGCGACCCCTTTGGCATGACTCTGGCGCAGGGCTTGCCCCCAGCGACGGGTGAGCAGCACGTTCTTGCGGACAGGAGGGTTGGGATTTTCGGTATCGCTATGTGGGGGCTCGGGTATGGCATCGATACGGCGCTGCGCGCAAAGGAAAATGGCATGATGTGCGTGCCGGCGTCGTACTGGCAGCCGCAGCTGGAACGGGCCATGACGGAGTTGCGCCGAGAGGCTGTCGAGAAGGGAGAGGACCCGGCCAAGGTGTTCCTGACCGAGAACGATATCATCACTGCCTTCATCCTGCGATGTGTTGTTTCTGCGGCGTCTATGGATCCTGATCAGCTGGTATGTGTTTCTGCGGTTCCATATAGGAGGCCCTCTCCGCTAAACATTGGTGAAAGGTAAACGGCTCTATTGCCATGTCCCTCCGGAAGGCCTTTGAGGGAGCGGATGGCCTAATTCCCTTGTCCACGCACCACCCTTATGTAGGGAATGCCTTCGGATGGGCACACGTCCTCGTCCGAGCTGGAGATGTCACTTCGAACCCACTGAGCTGGCTCGCGCGCCATGTCCGGCGCGCCATCAATACGCAAGGGACACGCGCACAACATGAGGCGTATTACGCCCTGGTCAAGGCCTCGGGCACGGGACTGCCCATCGTGGTGTTTGGTGACGGTGGGATGGCCCAAGTTGGTTTCTCGAATTTGTCGAAGGCGGGCTTGTTTGATCTTGATTTTGCGCCCGCTCGCAAGGGGAAAGACGAGGGACAGGATGCGATGCCGCGGCCTTGCAAGCCTGTATACGCGCAAGAGAATCACGGGCCTATCAAGCCGGTAGATGGCTTTTTCGTTCTGGGTAAAGATAGTTTGGGCAACTATTGGACGTCTGCGTACAAGCTGAAGGGAGCGTGGGAGAAAATACAAGAGCAGCTTGTGAAGGAATTTGGAGATTGAGCTCATCAAGCTGCCTAGGTAAAGTTATGTCTGAGACGTCAGGAGAGCTCCTCGAATACACCCCCGTGTTTCTTTCCCACTCTTCTCTGACTCGCAGTCTATGTACTTTAGTTCAGCATGAGGTGAAATCTCCAACAAGCGTGTCCTCATTCATAAAGGCCAAGCGCCTTTCCTTTTCAACTCGTCTCTCAAACCTGCCCAGCCTGCCCTGTCGACGTCGTAATTAATCGACTTGGATGCAAAACTGAAAGCAGCATCTGGCAGGGGCTCGCTACCGTCGCCCTCAATGCCCTTCACTCCAAGACCAGCCAGCAACGCCTTCATGGGATCATTCGACTGTTGCGTATCAAGATGCGCATAGCCACAGCCCAGATGCTCGAATCCGTACTCCACGACAGCACAGACTGCCTCCCGGGCATAACCCCGCCGTTGGTGCTGGTGATCAATACTGACACCAATATCGGCCACTAGGACCGTTTCCTCTCCCTCACCCTCGCTTTTCCTGATCGCCCACGTGGGCTTGCCTCCCAGCGGCTCTGTCCGCGGCAAACTGTTGAACCCGCCGAAACCGATAAGCTGGTCCGTTTCCCGGACCACAATGACCATGAAAGCGCTTCTACCGGCCGCTGTGGCGTCTGCCCATTTATCTATCCGTGGCAGTATCTTTTCGAGGGTCAAGTCTTTCTCCGCCGGCCATGGGAAGTTGGCTGGGTTGCTGAAGTAGGCCACGAGAGCCTCGCCGTCGGGTGGGACTGCGGTCCGGATTGTCAAGCGGGGGGTGGTGATTGCGAAGCCGGAGGCCGCCGAAGCGGCGTGTGCAGACGACATGCTTGCAAGTTGTGAGAGGGGTAACGAATGGCTGACCGGGAGCTTTGCGTGCCGTGACGAGACCCTCTTTATCAACAGTAATCGGCTTGGTGAATATTTGTCGAGTTCGTATGACACAGGGTTGGAAGATATGGATGAGTCACAAAGTCGGGGATGAGGCACGATAAGCAGTGTGACTCGACCAAACTGTGGCTTTACATTAGCCTCGATTCCTTCGCTATCGCGCCAGCGAGCTTATTTACTATGTTCGGAGCATCGATCACACGAAAAGTGCTCCAGTCCAGAGAGTCAAAAGTACCAAGCCTTTTCTTGCTTATCTTTACGTCCCTGTGATGTCCTTCGGCGGATATTGCACATTCGTCAGACAGGGGAGAAACGGGAAGGTCAATGAAGTGGAGAACGTCTGAGGCTCATAAACGGAGTCCTTCTCCGCTATCTGGCCAGCTTTAAAGGTTCACTCGCCTAATTGCCTGTTATCCCGGCAATCAATCGGAATTATGGTGCATTCAGATTCGATGGCTGAAGCCCCTTGCCACTTCCATCCACAGCAAAACCACCAGTCTCATAGTAATGTACCGCAGCCGTCAAATTCGAGGAATGGTTGCTCCTAAGCTCGTCAGCACTGATTAGGGCAATCCGTTCTGGGAACAGCCCGTCCTGCAAGTTGTCACCTAGCTGCACACACTCCGCAATTGGATCGTAGTCCGCGTTGGCTTCCTCCAATATCTAACCCTCGAATTCTAAGTGGTAAAGGGGACGGGATTGATGCTTTGCGGCTCCGTCGCCTGCCCAGGGTGGACGGCCTGGACACGCGCATCGTCAAAGCAAAGCTGTCCGATTTGAAGTGTTGTCTCTGCAGTGTGTGTATCATCGGGCTGCACGGTAAAATTATTTTGCAAGACGGTGTGCAGGTCGGTCATGCGATCGTCGTAGGTCCCCGGGCGGGAGTAAAGTGGCAAGACTTGCGACGCCTTCGAAGTCTGCAATCTGGACACCACTGGCATTGAGGAATGTAGAGGTCATTACAGCTTGCCTCTGACTGATGTCGATGCCTGAGCAGTGTTGCCGCCCAGTACACTTGGTGTCATCAGTGTGATGTAGTGAGTCTAGATGTAAATGGGAGGGGGGGGGGAGAAGAGGAAGGAGGAGGTAGGGTACCTAGGTACCTAGGTAGGTATGGAATTTCCATTGCCTCGGCGGCACGGCGAGAACCTTGGACGCCATTCACTCCCCCTGCGCCACCGCTTGAGATGGGTGGGCACGTGGTCTGAGCCTGGTGAAGTCGTAGTTGTTTGGTGGCTTCACAACAAACGCGATTTTACGTCCCCCTCGCAGCGACCCCACCACCTTTTTTTTGCACAGCTGCCAGCCTTCTTGACACGCGGTTGTTGCTTCAAAGTTGAATACCACTCAAGGCATCATGGCCAAGCGACGCTGTACTCCGAAGCGCGCGAGCATGAATACCATCGCAGCCTTCCCGCCGGGAGAGAGTCTCCTTGAGCTGCTACCCAGCGAAATCCACCTGGAGGTCTTCAAACACCTGGCCCCAGCCCATTTTACCCTCAAATACACCAAAGACCACCAGGCGCACAGGGCTGCTCTGCGCAACCTCTGCCTGGTCTCCAAGAAGATGGACGCGCTTGCCAGAGGGGAGCTGTACAGCGACCTCCGCATGTACAGCATCGACCGTGCCATTCGCATCTTTGCGATGCTCTTGACGAATCCACAGCTCACAGGCCATGTCAAGTCCATCTTGTTGTTCCCTTCTCAGAAACCGACGCGTAAGGACAGCCTGTTCGTCGACCTGACACCCCTGCGTTCCTTGAACGATCCCGACTTCGCATACTGGACAACAGGCGGGGATCTAGCTAGGGTGGAGATGCCAGCCATCACCGGGGACAAGATGGTCTACAACTTGCTCTACAAGACCCTGTCACGAACGCCGGCGCTGCAGGCTGTGTACATCAGACTTCCTGGGGATTACCCCCATGGCTACGCTCCCCATGCCGATCAAAGAGTCACCCGGGGCAGTCTTGACCTCTCTAAGCAGTTGGATGGGCTGCGTTTGGACACTTCAATTTCCAAGCTACCTCGCCTCAAGACGGTGGGAATCTTGGGTGGTGGGTCGGTCCTCCGAAAGTCGTTGGTATTTGAGGACCTGATCCGGGTTTTTCAGAGCTTGCTCCGGTCTCCTAATCTGGTTGAAGTGTCCTGGGTCGGGTTGACTCGAGACCCCAGCTGGATGACGACTAAATTCTGGGACGCCCCTCTGCTCACGAGCAACACAGTAGATTTACTCGTGGCACGACCTGGTAAGTCGGCCCTCATAACGGGGTCTCCAGGAATTCTTCCCTGGCTTCATTCTAACTCCAAACTTTTCCTGTAGAATTTAACCAGGTGTCCGCGAGTGTGAAGAAGATCAATCTTCGAGGCATTGAAATCGTAGCCGACAACATTGAGGCCCTCACAAGAGCCTTTCCCTCAATGGAGGCTCTCACGATCGAAGATGATTGCTACATATCTAGCGATATAATATTTCGTATGTGGGTTATACGACTCCCGAAGGAGGCATTCAATCCTCTGATGCGATCGGACAACTTGCACACATTCGTGTTTGACAATTATCCCTTCAGACTCGGATCTGGGAGGTTCAGCGCAGCCACGACGGGATGGCACAAGACGGTAGACCTCTCTGCGTTGCCGAAGCTCCAAACTCTGGTGGTGCCACTGGACTTCTTCGCCTACTTCACAGAGGGAGAGAACCGCCTTATCCAACAGGCGACGGCAATTCTTCCCGGTTCGTTACGCCGTGTCATTCTGCTTCTCCATTCGGCATGCAAGGAGAGGCTGGCAAAGCAATTTACGAGGAAGTCCGGCGTCGAGGGGACAACCAGAGAATTCATGCAAGAGCTCGCAGCTACTCTCCTCGTCGAATTTCCCCATATCGACAAGGTCGACGTCTGCTACCACATTGAGCATTACCGCCAGAACAAGGTCTTCACCCTTGCTGATCGATCCAAGCAACTTGAAGTTGGAGAGGAAGCGGCTCGAGCAGACTCGAGCATGGACTAGCATGAAGCTTGGAGGGATGCCTCGGTAATTATGATACCGTCAGCAGTTGTCACTCCATCGCAACAACCACGTGTATCTGTTATCGGCACGGATCGAAAACGGTGGCAGGGTGAACTTTCACTACTGCGTGAATGTTTTCGACTCGGGGAAGCGAGACGGTGTTCGAGATGCTGCCGGAGCACGAGAAGCCTCACTGTTTTGGACCACCGCGCGCCACGGCACTGCCATCCTCCAGCCAGCGACGCAGCTGACATCGCCCCGGCTCGGAGGCACTGCCGAACGTCGGTCCAGCGAACGGGCACCTCGATGCCGGCCAGAGATCCTTGCCACAACGATATGGCCTGGACGATTCTTCTGAAATTCCGGGTCCGCGACCACGTCTTCCCTCTTCTGGAAACGACCTATCGAATTAGGTTGATAGTTACTCCCGGGTCCAAGGGCGCCTCGCCGTCAGATTATGGGGTACGAGATCAACGCGGGGTCTGACAGAAAGATCCGAATGACAGGATGTAGCGAGATTGTCTGAGGGGAAATAGGCAACTAGGATTTGTTTTGCAGGCAGTCCCTGGGTCTCCGGGATCGGTCACATCCCCGAAGTAGGTAGCGAGGGCGAGCTTGACGTCGTTTGCCCCGTCGGCCCGTCCAGCTGCGCCCTCAAGGTAGAGAGAAAAACAGAACATGTATTAGGAAATCAGTGCGACCGACGGCGGTGATCATCGCGGAGCTTTCCGTCGAAGGCCTGAGGCCCTCGAGCCATATGATCGACAGCTAACCAACCATTCCGCGGTGAACTATCTGGTCTAGTGCTTAGTGTCGTCGCCCCTGCGCCCCTGGATGATCCGCCCACCGCCCTGCGATGTCATGTACGAACCGTTATTAGCAGCGTAGCAGCGTAGACGTAGCAGTGCAGGCTGTGCGGCAGCGTGGCAGTCCTGGGTCATTCGGGTTTCTGACTGGTGCCTCTTGCGTGTGCCCTCTGCAACACGCAATTCTCCACACCCGTGGCCGCCCTTCTGTTTCAGTTCGAGGGACCCTTATTCATGCGCCAGCTGGGTGCGCGCGCAGTCTGCCGGGCTCCACAGCCCCCCCAGAAGACAGGCCTTCCAGCCCTTCTAGATCTTCGATCCGCCCATCCCAGCCGGCCGCCCGACCAATAGGCCGGCTTTTATTTCCGGCTGATCCCAGTCTGGTTCCAAGGTTTCGGCGCAAACCCACCCTACGAGGGGGCAGTGGACGGCACTTGCAACGCCATTGGCGCCCGTCAGGTAAATTACCCGGTATACCTGGTCCATCATATACCCTGGGCCCCCGGCTGGCTCTCATGTGCAAACAGCACATAGCAGACTCGCTATGCGAGCTGCTCTCCGCTTCGAGAAGCCCAAACCCCGTCGTCCCCTTTGTTCGACACGGTTCCCCAGGCCCCGGCTGACGGGGGAAAAAAGGAAACCGGTCGCGTGGTGTCGTGCATGTGGCCCGTATGATGCCAGGCACACCACTGGTTGTTTTACAATTACAGCCCGCTTGTTGTATCAGAAACCCGAGGTTGACAGGCGACAAAGTGCCATGGGCCCCAGGTGCCCGTCGCTCTGGCTGTGGATAAGCTTCTTCTCGATGCCCTTGCCGTTCGTTCCCTGGCATGTCGGGCTGGCTTTCTTCTGAGTAAACTTCGTTCCTATTTCCGGCCCTCCCGAGTTGAATAGACTTCTTTTTCTTCAATTCTTCCTCGGTCCGCCTCTAAAGGATCAACAATTAAAAACTCCTATCAGTGCCTTTTCTGTCCGCCTTGGCCTGGGGCCGCGGATCGCCGTATCCACCCCGACTTGTTCTCAACGGCGACTCTGCCCGACACTCGCAGAAGCGAGTCCGATCTTGGTTCAGGATCGCCAATCATGGATCCACAGCCGTCTCGGCCCAACGATGAAGGGTTCGGAGCATACATCAACGCCATCGGATGGCTGCTCTTGTCCCTGGCAGGCATCGTTGTTGGTGCTCGGATATGGGCCAAGTTATCTGCCCGTAAGGGTCTGTGGTGGGACGACTACATCGTAATTGCGGCTTGGGTGAGCATGAGCCTGTCCTTGAGAGTGAATTTGGATTCGAAGGAAGTGTTGCGTGAATTGGGTCACTGATGCCGAGAGACTGTAGGTCATGCTCCTAGCAGATGTAATCGTCACCACCGTGGCCGTCGACGCCGGCCTTGGAAAACACAGCGTGCCAGGCGATACGCTCATCCGGACGATGATTCTCAGTACGGTGGCCCAGACACTGTCCATCCTCGGCGCCGCCTGGTCAAAGACCTCCTTCGCCGTGACGCTGCTGCGGCTGACCGTCGCCTCGCACGTACGCTACCTGGTCTGGTTCATAATCATCTCGCTCAACATCTTCCTCACCTTCACCGCCTTTCTGCCGTTGTTCTCGTGCACGCCGGTGGGCAAGAGATTTGACCCCCGGGTCGATGGTAACTGTTGGGACCGCACGGTGGTGCTGACGCTGACCGTTTTCGGCGGGGCGTACTCTGCCGCTGCGGACTTTGCGTTGGCCATCATCCCGTGGGTGCTCATCTGGAATATGCAGATGAATTTAAAGGAAAAGATCGGTGTTGGCATTTGTATGAGCCTAGGGATAGTGTAAGTGAAATCATCCATCCCAGTCCAACAAACTTTCAGCACGGACATGTCAGTCAAACATCAGACGGGCTAACACCCCCCTCCAGCGCCGGAGCAACATCAATAATGCGCTGCGTAACGATACCCCTCATGACCGACGATTTCACATCCGAATCAGGCCAGCTTTCAATATGGTCAGCGGCCGAGATCGCCACGACAATAATAGCTGCGTCGATACCCATGCTCCGGCTGTGGACGAAGACCATGGTCAGGGCGCACTCACGATACCACATCTCATCCGCAGACGGGACGTTCGATGGGCGAGGCGTGCTCAACCAGCAGCAACAGCGGTCCAAGATGACCATGATGGCGACCACGACGACCATCACGAGCGGCGGGAACGACATGGTCCGCAAGGCGAGCAGCAAGCGCGGGCGCACGAAGCTCGCGGACCTGGGATGGGCGAGCCGCAGCAGCTCCGAGTCCGTGGACGTCGAGGGCGACGCCTTTGGGGCTCATGTGGACAGGGCTGCTGTGGGAGCTGCGGGTGGCATCGTCAAGATGGAGACCATCACTGTGAACTATGATCGGAGGACGTCAAGCATGATTGGCTAGCTAGACTAGCTACCTCAAAGGTCCAACTTGGTCCTGTCTCTAAAAGACCGGGTCTAATAAAATATACTATTACCGTATCACCGCCGCACCCTCAACATGACAACACCCCATAGCAGAGTGTACCGAGGTCTGGCTGGACCACTTGATACCTCAGTAATCTGTGTGACAGACTCTAAAGAGCGTTATTCCATAGCATAGTGTTGTGTAGGGGGGCAGGGAGGAGATACCGTGGTTGCGTAGGGAGCGGGCACCCGAGCAGCTCTACCTAGGTAGACTGTGTGGAAGTCAACCCAAGGTCTTCAGCGGCCAGTGTGACCAGAAAGTGCTGACAGTGCCCCTGCTCCTGTTCGCCCAACGTGACCGGGATAAGAGCTCAATCCTCAATCGCCTCTGACTCCGATGGCTCTGCAGGATCCTCCGGGGGGTCTCTGGCCAACTTCCAATGACTGAGAAACCAGGTCTGCTCCGCCACAGTCTCCAGCGCCTCCTTGCGGAAGTCGGTCACCTCCAGTGCGACTGGGACCTCGTCGCCCGGCTGTGGCGCCTGGAGAACGAAGACAACCCCGTCGGTATCATCGTCGGTCTGCTGCACAAACACAAGGGAATGCTTCCGATATCTCCCGACCTCCAGGTTCTTCAAATTGAGGCTCTCCAGGTTCGACAGCAGGGCGTTATGTCCAGACTCGCGGAAGAAGGTTGCCCAGTGGTTCTTCAATGGCTCCTGCGAGTCCTCCTGGACGATCGGGTGGTCCTCAAAGCACTCCCTAAGGACAATGCAGTCAAGTGCGGCCGACTTCAGGGTATCAAACTTGACGAAGATCTTTCGCAGTGTGGTGGGTGACATGTACATTCCCCTGAGCACGAGCCTGCGCAGGGAGGGCCAGCGCACCAGGGGGTCGCCCTGAGTGTTGTCGGTCTCAGCGAGCCAAGCTGTGAAGTCACAATGATTGACAAACTTGGGCGTCATGAAAACGCTCAACGTGACGTTCTCCAGGTTGTAACAAGCACACAGGAGCTGTCGAAGGCTGGCGTTGCAGGGGTCGTAGGAGTGCTGATGGTCGGCACGCCACACGATCCTGCGCATTGACTTCGACTCCAAGTTCACATCGAGGTGCAGGTCGGTAAGGCTGTCGAGAAAGGTGAGCCTCCCCGGGAAGGGAGGTACCAAGGGAGGCAGGTAGAACGCCTCATCCTTCAAGTGTGGAAGGAAACCGTGATTGTCCAGGTACGTCTGCAGGCCGACCAGCTTTGGGGGCGAGGATCGCACCACCGAGTTCAGGACGCAGCTGAAGACCTTGTCCGGAAAGCCCTTGGAATTCGGCTTGAGATACTGTCCGTCCCTGGGCTGCATCTGGTACGCCGTAGCCCCGTAGCTGTGCAAACCCAGATCCGGGTAGTAAACCGCGCGCGGGTAGTCAGGAGCGTCGCGCGGGATCGTGGATCCGGTGACGCTGACAACCTGAAGCTCTGTAAGGTTTGAAAGGGCTTCTGACAACAGCTCGATGGCCCTTCCTGTTCGTAGCAGCGCTTCTTGGGAAGCTGCAGCGTCTCGCCAGTACCGAAACATCGCGGTAGCTCTACCTGCGTTTCTATCGTACGAGCGGTGGATGACGGCTAGTGTGTCCTTTGTATTGATCTCGTCCACGCCGATGATGAGGTGGGTGAGGACGGAGCGGAGCACTGGGTGGCGGGAGATATCGAGAAGCGTTTGAAGGCTGTAAGCATCGATCACTAGTTCACAAGCATAGTCAGTCTGGTGGATGTCCTGATATAGTAGTCTACTACAACTACTTACTGAATTGTCGCTCTCCAAAGAAAGTCTTGGACCAGCAGTCGAAGGACTTCTGTCGGGACTCCCTGCAGGTCAAGCGCAAGTCGTTTGCATCTTCAGCTGGCAGATATTTCAGGACTTTGTCGAACAACTCGTTCGGTAGCTGAAGAAGGGAGGAACTCTGAGACGTGGGAGGGCCCCAGTTCTGGTCGTCCACTGTTTTCAGTCAGCCAGAGCAATGAATACTTGGGGTGAGTAGAGGTCGGAGAGGTAGAGAGACATACACTGAGCGACGACGCCACTCCGCTGTAGAGCGCCAAGGCCTGCCTCTGCAGCAGACGGGGTGAAGATAGGCTGGTAAATGTGGGACAAAACACCCTGAGTCGCGAATACCCAACTGCTGAGATCCGTGAGGATATCACGGTGCAAGGGCAGGCAAACCGGGGGAGTCAGCTCTTTGCGCAACGTCTTCTGGTCCCAGCCCTGAGCCAACCCTCGTATGATGTCGGTCAATACAGTTTCGACATCCTTGGTGGTGATGCCCAGTTGGGGATCAGACAGGTTGTATTTCTCGACGAGCTGGTATCCAAGAATTTGGCGATGGACACTCCAAACGCGGTGTCGAGGGTCGCTGTTGGGCGGCATGGCGAATGGCTTCGAAGGGAGGCGCTGGATCGATTTTGAGATGTGTAATTTGTACGAGGATAGCAAGGGCTTTCCTTATGAGGGTAAGGAAGCCAGAGATCGCCAGAGCAGAAAGAACTGGCAATGCAGGATGGTGAGGATGGTGAGGATTGGATTCGATGTGGATGAGGTTGGATGGACACCTTTTAAGGTGGCCAAGTGGTGTTGGGGAACCAGGAAGTGAATGTATCATCCTTCACATTGGTATGTAAACACGAGAACATAGAGATAAACAGGCTTCACCGTTTGCCTGTAGAAACAAACGTAGTACGGTGCCACACTGGCGTCTCTTCCCGAGATTCATTGTAGAGGTGATGGACAGGATTCACGTTACAATCCGAAGCAGTGGGTTCACTGAGGTGGCTGAAGGGATGCATAGTTACAGCAGATTATTAACTATAAGCCGCTTGACAACGGCTCGTTGATCGCACAAATCCACAGCAGCTTCTACTTCCGCCGATTGAGATGCAGTCCAAGCTTACATCATCGTCCAGGCTTCCAAGATACAGGCCAAAGGTTGAATCCATTCCTCAGTGAGGACTATCTTCATCCTGTGCGAAATGCTCCCTGGGGTCTGAATGAGTATTGTGTGCCACAGGCATCAAGGAAGAGTGCATACCTAGCCCACGGGCTTTTGAGCCGCAGGTATTCTCCTTTATAGAAGTAGAGAAACGGAATGGCGCACAGAGGCAAGCTCAGAAACGCGAGCAGACTGCTGGCCCACTCCAACCCGAGATACTCGTACATCTGCACGCCAAACAAGGGAAAACCAGCGCCGACCAAGTTCCGGATCAGGATAACCCCAGCCAAGGCAGAAGCGGCGTATGACTGGTATGAATCCACGATGTAGTTGAGGACGGCCAGGATGATGATGTAAATGCCGGCCCCAAAGAACGTGCTAGCGATGATGGGAACGACCCAGTGGATGCTGTGGAAGCTCGTCCATGCAAACCAGAAAAGCGAAATGGGGATGAAGAAGGTCCCGAACCTGGCCAAAAACATGCGGGCCTCTGGCACACCCTTGCCGTCATTGTGAGAGACCTGTTTCAAGTAGTACGATTCCTGAACTGGGTGGAAGATGGCGGCGACGAGACTCCCGAAAAGCAGGCCGACAAACGCAGCACCCCACTCCCCCGCGTTAAATCCGTGTCCGCCGTGTCCGAAGACGAGAGGAAAGGCTTCGTTGAAGAGATAGACGATTCCGTAAATGAAGCCATTGTAGGCCGCTGCGGCCATCGTGATCCTAGGAAATGATGTGGTTCAGTGATGGACCAACAACGGGACGTGGTGTGGAATACTCACGGCTCAGTAAACAAGAACCGAAAGGGCCGAGTCAGCGCCACGGAGAAGAGAGTGGCCAGCCCTTCTTTCTCATCGGAATTAGCGTCCAGTATTGTTCGCGCGGCAGCAAGTCCTTCGGATCGGAGGAGCTTGCGAACACGTTTGGTCTTTTTGTCAAGAATAGTGGTATGGCGGGTCTCGGGAACAGTGAAGATGAGCAGGACCCAGAAGCCACCAAGGATGGCCATGTACACCCAAAAGAGCCACCTCCATCCCATGTAGGTTGCGACAAAGCCGCTGACGACCAAGGCTAGGGGTGGACCGCCGGTGCTGGAGAGGCCGTAGACGGCCATGGGTGGACCACATTCGTCTCTTGCCCACAAGTCGCTGATGGTACCGCCTGTGTTCTGTGATGTGCATTATCAGCCTCCACGCCTTGGGTTGTCGGTAGATGGGAATGAAGAAACAGCTCACAGTCAATGGCGCACTGCCAAAGAAGCCTTGGAGCAGACGGCATGCGATGACGGTGGCGATGTTCGGCGCAAGTGCCAGCGGGATCTGGAAGATGACCAGTAGAAACCATGACAGAATGTAGACAGGGTTGCGGCCGTAGAACTCGGACATTGGGGCAAGCAGAAGCGGTCCCACGGCGAATCCGAGAATGTACATGGACAGACCAACCGTGCCAATCAAAGGGGAGACATCAAAATGCGCCGTGAGTTGTTCCTTGCCAGAGCTGTAACCCCCGGCACAAAGGCACCTGTTCATGGCTCTTGGTTAGATAATTCTTGATAGAGTGTAGATTCGTTACGTACGTCAGAACATTGAACATGCTGACAAAACATGTGATGTACCACTTCCTCCATGCTGGCCAGTTTCGCGGGTTATCTTTGTCGTTGAACGAGTAGGTGAGGAAGATGGGTCGCTCGTCGTCAGGATGTTGCCTTGCCTGCTGGATGGCCTCTGCCTCGGAGAGGAGGTTTCGTTCGTCGGGCACTGTTGGTCGCTCTCCGCCGGTAGGAGCCTCGCCGGCGGCGTAGCGGAGTGACGGTGCAGTGGATGCGTGTTCCGACGCTATCTGTTTCTCGAGTCTGGCTGGGTCAGAATGCCCGGGGATCTGGTGGTCGGCTTCCATTGTTGTCGGTCGCGGTGCTCGGATTCAACCAGAGAGCTTGATATGCTTGACAGGGGTGGAGGATGGTGTAGCCCAAGGCAGCTCGGGATATAAGGTTTGTGCTAGGATTCAGACCGAGGGTCGTCACAATGTTCAGTCTGATGCTCATGAACTGGGGATCCCCTTCTTGTCAGCCGTCGTGGGGTGCACCCCTGACACCTTCCCCGCGGTAACGTCATTGCTCGGTGCTCAGTCTGGAGAATTGTTGTCCTTAAAAAGAAGGGGCAAGTGTGACACATTAGGCGAGTCGAGGTTCAGTGAAATTGGAAGCAGGAGGGCGAGAGTGATGACGTGGATCGGAAGATCGTCTCCCAGCCAAACTCCACCGCTCCGGCCAGGGCGACTTCCGTCTGTTAAGGAGACAGATAGCATTCATATTGATAAGGATGATCTACGTGGTAGTCTATATAATTTGAATTGGTGATAATGACTAGAAGTTCTTGTGCTCGCCTTTATGTCACTTGCCGGGGATCTCATCTTGAGCCATCGAGCTATGTGCCTGCCTTTCTTGACACGTGGACACGACCATCATTGCTACTTTCCCTAGTGTTTCGTAGAGTTGTCTTGCTGCCACATACCCGTTCATTCTCTGCGAATACAGTGACGGACGTAGTAGTGTGTCACCACATCGGGACTTCTGTTGCGATGAGAGAGGTAGGGTGTGTTTCTCCCGGAATCGTCATCATCCTCACATGTGCAGCTACGAGTGCCCAGGGCTCCAAAACGAAAGAATGGCGTGCGTAATCTTCTCGCTGTTCGGGTAAGGGAACCCGTGCCCTCCAATTAGATATTCAGTCTGCAAAAGACTGGAAGGCAGCAGCGTCAGGATGTCTTCAGTAGTCTCCTTCCCCACCACGACGCCATCGTCCTCGCCAAAGAAGACAAGCAACTTGGAGTTGCACAGGGGTGTGTCTAGTGGTGTTCGACCGGCAATCATATCGCAAACCTTTCTCCACAGCCCCAATGCCTGTATTGGGCCGTGACGGATGGTGTCCTGGAACGAATGAACGTGGCCCTGATGATGGTCGAACTGCCACTGAAGAAGGGCCGCCATATCAAAGGTCGTTTCAACACGAGAAGGCGCTTTCCGTGCTGTTACCGATCCCCTCTCATCCCGTGTGATGTCCAGTGCTGGGCCAGAAGGAGCAACCCCAAGGATTTCTCGAATCTTTTCGCGGATGGCTTCTCGCGATGGCGCAAGCTCGGGATGATGCATCAGTTGGTCGTCATAGCCATCCGGAAGCCTGCGAAGAAGTCCTGCTGGACCGAGAAGCACCAAAGATTGTATCGATGAGGGGTAAGCAGCGGCAAATGCAAACGCGATTGGTGCGCCCAGAGAGAACGCGATGATTGAGAAGGCTGTGCCATTTCCCAACCAGGAAATGGGGGAAGTCGTGACTGCCAGGAGAATTTGGGTTGCAAACAACCGAACATCATGTGGACAATCGAGTGGAGTGTCGCTATATCCCCGACCCCAGAGATCTTGTCACGTGTGGTCTTGTCAGCTTAGTTGAGAAAAGAACGTCTCCGGCTGCCCCGGGATCACCCTTGACTCACCGAAAAGCATCACCCGGTATCCGGCATCCGTCAGGCCTTGAGCAATCTTAGAAAATACCAGACAAGGAGTGGCATCTCCGTGAACGAAGAGAACCTTGCTCCCATCCAACGGCCCCCATTCGTAGACTCGCATAGAGCCGTAGAAAGTCTCGACATCGCGACCACCTGGCAGGGCATCGGGCGGGTAAGCCGATGCGGCAGCAGCCTCTGCCGAGATCGAAAGTGTTGCTCTCGGGGATTGGATTCTGTTCGTCATAGCGGCGTGATGGGCACTGCCAGTGCTGCTGCCAAGGTTTATTCAGTGCAGCTTGGGTGGTTATCAGATCGTCTCAGATGATACACCGAGCAGTCAGCACGGTTCCTAACGGAGCTGCACGTTACTACATGGTAAGCTCTGGAGCTGTGAGATCGACGTGACTCCCGACGCGTGCCAGCACAATCTTACCTGAGTATGTTGGGCCAGTCAAGACCAATCACCAGTGATGATGCGATCCAGGCTACGCTACGTCTTAAGCAGTACACTAGATCTGGTATGTGCACAAGACCTGCCTGCCAGTTCGATGGCAGATGTGAGGCGGAGGCCGAGCCCCAAAAGGGCTAGATGGTGTTACACCGAGCTCTCATAAGGCCTGCCAATGAGATCGAACAGAGCACTGCTTGCTCAAGCTTTTGTGAATAGCGCGTCACTCCACCACACGGCAAATCCATAATACTGGCAGCTATCCCTTAGGAGAAACGCGGCACTGTGTCAAGTCTGTGCACACTTTTAGCTCCCCGCTAGTCAACTCACAGGTGCCGAGGGAAACCATTCGGTGCGATTGCAGGAACCATGTCAGGTTCACAAGGCATCCCAGGCTCGGCCCGCTTGAGGCTGTTGACTGGCTTGTTTCACAAGGGCCCTTGTCGCGACTCATGGGGTCACGAAACATCGGCTCTCAGGCCGATAGAGCTACCTTGCCTTCGGCATCGAAAAAGCTTCTGATTTGTGTAAGTGTGACGCAGCACTGCCCAGTTCGCCGTCTGATATAACTGATGGCCTTCCCATCACTTCAGGGTGCGGACGATAGCAGTGTTCAGTCGTTCTCGTGCCTAACGCTTCCACAAGGCCTCATCATCAACACTCAAAAATGGCCGAGTCACTAGGTCTGGTCTCCTCCATCGCCCCCCTGGCGGCTGCCGGGTTCCATGTGGCCAGAAAGATATCAACCGTTGCAGACGATCTCGGAACGGCGAGTGCACAGATCATGTCGATTGCTGTTGACATAAAGACCGTCGCTATCATTCTGAGGGACATCGAAGTCAAGCTGGTGGAAGGCAAGCGCTCGTCTCGCGAACTAAATGAAGACACCCGGGATGTGCTTGCCGAGGTCCTGGAGCTGTGCAGGTACGAGATTGAAGACCTAGAGCGGAACCTGGCCCCGCTTAGGGGTGACGGCCAACGAGAAAGCACATCGGATATCAAGCAAATTGCCAAATGGCTGTTGCAAAAGCCGAAGTTCGCGGCGAGGCACGCCTCCTTCGACTCACTCAAGATGAAATTAAGCCTCTTATTGCACAACGTCCAAATGTTTGGTGGAGACCGATTACAGTTAGTGGAGATGCTTCATATTATAGTTCAGCTTGGACTCTTTGTGCTAATGTCTGTGCAGCGAACCAAACGTCAATCACTCTGTAACACCCCCTGATCAATCGAAGGTCACCCACGCGGTTCTAGTTGTGGTCAGCCAAGTAAATGATGATCACTCTCCACCGTTGTGTCAAATCATAGACGAATATCAAGATGAACGACCACTGTATGGCTCGGAACATGCCCTGGAAGAAGCCGAGCAAAGCATAGTGCAACTCAACCTGACCGAAGTCGATGACTCAAGCTCGAGTCCCATCACGACTCCTCGCCAGCCCCTCAACAACCCAGATTCAACCATGATACAAGTTCAGGAGAAAGTGAGGTGCTCGGCAGTAGAGGAAACGAAGAGCCGGGATCCTAGAGAGGCAGAGAAGGCTATGCAGTGGGAAGCTTGGAAAGAAAGGAAGCAGGCCAAGCGGGCTGCCAGGGCGGCTTGGACGCAGGAGAGGCGTGCTGTTCGTGCATGACGTGCCCTGAGGTACCAGTTTGATGACGCCACAATAGCGCGTTGGAAACTGTGATACGGGTGGTGAGGAGTACTGGCTGGGAGCCCAGATGTCATCGGACACGAAAACGATTGAATATGACATCAGGTGGGATCAGGCACATGAGGGAATCCATGAGCTTCCGTCCCTTTAGTCAAGCTCAAATAATGTCGAACAGTTAGTTACTATACCTGGTTTCATTTCTATTCAATTTACGCCCGATGTCATACACAGCGCCTTCATACAGCGGTCCAGATATTTAGTTACTATACACACACAAGAATGCACTTTACGAGGTGACAAATCGTCTGAATTAAATCTCAGACAGTTTTATTTAGAGTCGAAATACACTGAAATGTCCTTGGTTGTAGACCTTCTTACAGTCCATGGAAGAAATGCTGCTCAACGGAAAACTTGATAGGGGTACCTGCTTGAATGGGTCTATGCGGGTACGGGTCAGCCTCACCAGGATGCGGCGCTATCTTTGCGCCTACAGACCTAAGGCTGACGCCAGCTTCCATCATCACTTTCTCGGCCTGCTGTATCACATAATTTGTGGGGAGGAGTGGAATTTGGGGTAGCCAATCCTGGTCAAAAACGTGCGTGCCATCTTCTACGCGTGTGATGTAGATGTGACTCAGGTGAGGGAAGTGGCCCTCTTTAACTTTCGCCCGGGCAACTGATATGAGCTGGGCTGCCAACTGGTCCGTGTCGTAGACGTAGCGAACATGTAGACTGCGGAGAGACTGTGGAAGGTTCCATGAAAGTTCCGGAAACTTGGGACCGATTTGCGGCTCGGGGTACTCCGTTACAGGTGAGAGGCGACCCATTAGGGCTTGATCGATGCTCAGATGCTCTAAGGCTTGAAACCCTCCAAAGTGCGGCACATCAGAGAATCGACGCTGGGCATATGAGCGAATCGAGATCCGATAGAATTCACTCGTAAAACTCTTTGCCCAAGAGACGTTGACCATGGTGCTGGAGTAGGTCAGTTTCCGCAGGCAGTGGTGTACACCATCAAACAGATTGGCATTTGAAAAGTCGAGGTCACCGCCGCTTCCGAGCGAGCTGTGGGCCGGAGAGCGGTGGTAAACCAGTTCCTGTAGTTGGGAACACTCCCAGAGTATCTCCGTAACGTGTTGCAGCCGTTCAGCCTGACTGGCTACCAGAGTGAGCTTTCTGATTGTGGGAAACGACGGAGGCGGTAGTCTAGCATTCGTGTCAACAGGGAATGCAATTAGAGCAGGGTCATGAGTCTGGAAGCGACGCAGGTTGGGAAAGCTGGGGAGTAGGGCCTCTGTGCGAAATAGAGGCGAGAGTGCTCTCATTTCAGGCAGATGCGATGGTATTCGTGGCACAAATAGGCTTGCCACCGAAGGGACTGTAAATAGGGTCGACAATTGCCCCATGAAGACCTGTTCGGCAATAACTGGATCGATCCGGAGCTTTTCCAGGCGCGGAGCTAAACCAAAGAGCAATCTGAGGAGCCACGCATCAAAACTCGCAGACCTGAACCAGAGCTCTTCTTCGACCCAGAAAGTAGTGCCCGTTTCAAAGTCTATCCGTTCCATGGTGGTAGTCGGTGCTTGAAGTAGATCGGGGACAAAGGGGGGTACCGGGACGCCGTGGCATGAGCTCGCCTCTATGAAAAGCTGGAGCCGCTTTTTTGTAACGCCAGCCTTGTACGCCAGCGTGAAGTTGTTGATAGAAAGATACCGCAATTCCTGACGCAGCTGCTTATACTGGATGAGCCGTTCGATGAGCTTGGGAATCGCCGCGGTTTTGAGCCGATATGCCGATCTGATGTTCGCCTGGTGCGCGAAGCCCAACAACGTGGGACTGTCACCATGACTGGCCGGGAGGATGAAGGAGTGGAACCGGTGTTGATCCGCAACATTTCGTAGATATCTTGACGTGGCAGCCAGGCATCCCAAGTCTAGTTGTAACTCCTCCGCAGCGTCAGGTCGCGGGAAACTATCTGCTTCTGCACAGTGTGGACAGAGATGAGAGGCAATGAGTATATGCAACTCACGTGGGAGACTGGGACGCCCAAGATATTGGGGACTGGGGATGCTGTCTCCGGCCACTCCGACTGTCGAGCTTTGGGACTCAGTATTGCCCATGTTGAAGTTATGCATATGTTGTTGGTTGCGTAAGTTTCTGCTTTCTTCTGGGCCCTTTATCTGTTGCAAATGGGTGAAATCGCTTAGGAGCTTAACACACATAGCACGTGAACAGCTCGATGATATTTATAGCCCAATGTGTTGCGAGTCACTGAGGGATCATTGAATCCGTGGCCTTTTGCACAAGAGAGCACAAAGACATTGTTATACATTTGATTACCGATCTCTACCTCAGAATGAAGAAACTTGAAAGAAACCCGGCTTGAAGACAAAGGACATCAATCTTGCCGTCCTAGTTCAATGGCATCATTGAGTATAATGAGGAAGGATTCGACTTTATTGCAGCTCTCCTAATTCCGACGCTTTTCGAGAGTCCTCGCAAGGTATTGGCAAGAGAATGGGGAGTCAAAGGGTGGTTTTCCTAGACACGAGAATACCATCGGCCATGACCATATACTTTTGACCGTTTGCGGTGGGCATCTAAGTCTTCCCTGCCTGCAGTTGTGCCTCGGTCGTAAGGACACACGGCAGAGAATCGACTGTCCTCGAAATGTCACGGACTACGATCTGACTTTGGTCACATGATTGTTCATTGCCTAGGTACTCGTACCCAAATCTGGCAAGACGGGAGGCAAGTTAAGCGATAGGCAAGGTTGGCTGAAGAGGCAGCGGCCGCCGTTGTTGTGGCCGCGCCAGCCAGAGCTCCTCTTCGGGCTACAGCTTTATATCATCGATTCAGAAGATCGTGCGCCCGAGCCACCAGCACCGGACTGGGGAGGGCAGGGTAAGGGTCGTCGGCCTAACGTCTTCCAGCGCAGCTCTGAGAGACTGAGGAACATGTTCCGCCGAAGCCGCGACCGCCCGGCCGAGACCGAGACGCGGGTCGCGGGTCCTCGAGGCTGGACCTTTAATTGATGCCGCCGTGGTCCTTTCAAATAAGTGCGAAAGCTGAAGCGAAACACTCTTATACCAGCCACGGTTCACGAGTCTATTACCTATATGACATATGCTAACAACCCGGAAGACTATTCAGACCAGGGTTTCCAAAGCTTTTGCTACGGCAGTTCCGACCTCGCTTGTTGTTGCGGACCCTCCAAGGTCAGGCGTACGGATCCCAGCCTCTATAGTCTGGCTCACAGCCTGGTCAATCCGCTGCGCCGCATCAGGCATGCCGAGGGAATAACGGAACATCATGGCCACGGAGAGTATCATGCCGATAGGATTTACCAATTGTTCACCGGCAATGTCGGGGGCCGAGCCTGAGGACAAGATTTATCAGCAAGTCCCCAATGGCAGGTATTCATTCAAGCCAGCGGACGAGGACGCAATGCAATCCAATGTGAACCCTTAGCTTATGTGGAGGGGTCAGGGAGGCTCACCGTGGACGGGTTCGTACAGACCCTTGGTTGCACCGCGGTCCGCGACATCGGGAACACCGCGCAGGCTCGCGCTGGGGAGCATACCGATGCTGCCGACTATGGCGCTGCACTGGTCGCTGATGATGTCGCCGAACAGGTTGCTGGTGAGCACGACGCCGTTGAGCTTGGCAGGGCTGCAGGCGAGCGTCATGGCGGCACTGTCGATGAGCATGTGGCGCAGCGGCACACCCGGGAACTCGGCCGCCAGGACCTCGCTCACCACGCGCCTCCAGAAAGTGCCGCAGGCCGACAGCACGTTGCTCTTGTCGAGGCTGATGATGGGGAGTGGGTTGGAGCCGCGGCCCTGAGTGGCCAAGACGCCGGCCAGCCTCGCAGCCCGCGCGACCTCGTCGTACGTGTACTGGTCCACGTCGCTGGCCGACCGAGCGTCGCTCTTGTGCGCGCCGAAGTAGATGCCGCCGGTGAGCTCACGCACGACCATGATGTTGGTTCCGGCGCAGACTTCTGGCTTCATGGGCGACGTCAGGGCCAGCGACGGCGCGGCAAAGCTGACGGGGCGCAGGTTGCCAAACGCCTCAAGCCCTCGGCGCAGGGCACCCAGGCTAGCCACCTCAACCGACGGTGTCTGGCCCGCCCATTTCTATATGATCGTCTTGGTTAGTACATAGTTTGAAGTGGATCAAGCAGATGGAAGATTCGATGAAGATGGAGGACTTTCATACCGGACCGCCGACTGCGCCCAAGAGGACAGCATCGGCCCTTTTCGCATGTTCCAGTGCCTCGGGTTGAACGGCGACGCCGTAACGATCGAAACACGTCTAATATTTCCAACACAGAGAGCCTTTTAGTTAGTCACTGTGCAGACTGCTAACCACGATGTCCATTTCTACCAGGCGAGGTGCCTCTCCTGGGCAGGTGGCAACAGGTGCGGAATTAAACTCACCCCGCCAATCGGATATGTTGTTGTGTTGAGTCGCACATCAGGATATCGACGCGAAGCTGCATCGAGGACCTTTAGGCCCTCTGCCATGACCTAAGAATAAAATTCGGTGAGAAAGCTGCAGGCCGCAACCGATTGCTACGAGTTCAGCAGCTGTAGAAAGGAAACCAAACACACCTCAGGGCCGGCACAGTCTCCAGGGAAAACAACAATGTCCAACTCTACACCCATCTTGTCTTTGTTTTTCAGCCAAATACGGACGTTAAGAGACACTCTGGTTGCGTATCAAGCACAGCGCATTGGATAATCTGATTTATACGTCTGGGACCTGACCTTGCGGCACACTTTTCCAACCCAGAGGCAGAGTGCAGGCGCGCGCCAGCACGATAGCCTTGAATCGTAAGCCACTGGCATGTCTTCACCCCTGCCGACTTCTTTGTGTCTGTGTCGGCCTCGGATGTGGAAAAAAGACCGGCCTGACCATGTCCTGCCCTGCCCTCTAACCTGTTGGTTCATGGCAAGCCATATTCCCTGGGAGCTCTCCACCGTGACATCCCGAGACAAACACTCCGGGATCCCGGCGGAATGTGGGGCCCGTAGTGAGGACCCGGATGTACAACGGCATTCTGCACTCAAGGGATTGTGGCCTTCGTTGACTCGCATATGCTGACCCGAGAAACCGGTGAAACTGAGGGTCAGCCCTCGTTATCAGATTAATAGCATCGACCCTGTCTGTTCCCCACGTGCTTGCTGACCTTGCATGACCCCTTAATCAGGCACAAAGCTTAAATGAGCCCTGCCGTGTTCGCGCATTCTGACCATCTCCTGGCGCCGAATATTGCCCCTGTAGATCAATCAGATCTCGGTTGCGCCCGCCACAATGTACGCAGTATACGTCTAGAGTGAAAACATTTGCACTGTATACATGCAGGGGCAAGCCGGGTGCCGGGATTGTTCTCCACATATTATGCTTCTACTTTCGGCCCGCTTCTCAGTAAACTCTCCGAGTCAACTGACTGACCCAGGTGGCCGGTTTCGCTTGCAAGGGTCTAGGTTCACGACGTCGTGTGGTTAAGCAGTGACAAACTGCGCGCGTTCTAGTCTTCCACCAGGCTCTACAAGAGGTGGAAAAGTGCTTCTTGTGACAAGCCCGGATAGTCCGGCGTGATTTTATCATTTGGGCTGGAGTCGAATCCGTCGTGGACTACTAGTAGGCTTGCGGACGGTGACTCGGAGGGGTGTGCAACGAAGTGGCTTCCGTGGGCTCCCAGAAGCCTCCTGTGCCTTGTATTTAAACAGCCTACTGATTCTCAGTCTCGTTTGAATATCGTACGTGTAGTTGGTTGTTAAAAAGCTTATCACACACACGCAGACATCTATGTTCGTCTGGCTTTTCGAGTTTACCTCATTGACTTGTTCAGCAAACCAGTCGTCGATCATTTCTGCTACATTTATTCTACCTTGAGCTAGCTGTGGACGCAAGGACCCACCAGCTTACTACTTATAAACCTTTCAAAAGTATTTCACGAAATCTCGACGGATAGCTTCTCCTGCCTCTCCACACTTAAGAGTCTCGGTGTTACAATCAAATCATCAACAATGGGTTCAGTAGATGGTCTCCCCCAAACAGAAGGCATCCCGATATACGAGCTTCAAGCGCCGAAACCAGGTGTGGCTTGGGAGACTATGGGCTTCACACCCTCCGAAGGTAAGTTTCGCCGACGTTGTCCCCTCAAAAGCCATGTACATCCAGCCATGACTCATCCCAAATGTCTCACAGTCAACGGGCACATTGAGTGCCAATATCACGCGAAGTCAGGCGCCTGGGGCGAGCCGGTGGTGGTGGCAGATGCCCATGTCAAGGTCCACGGGCTGTCGCCCTCGCTCAACTACGGGCAGCAGGCCTTCGAGGGCCTCCGCGTCCATCGCGACCAGTCCGGGCGGATCAGGCTGTTCCGCATGGCAGCGCACGCAGCCCGGTTCGCGCGGTCGACCTCTGCGGTTGACATACCCAACGTCCCGGCGGCGCTGTTCGCGCGGGCGGTGCGCCTCGCCGTCGCGGTCAACAGCGAGTTCGTGCCGCCGTTCGAGGGCGGCTGCTCCATGTACGTGCGCCCGCTCGCATACGCACCGGGCCCCATCATGAACATGCATGCGCCCGACCACTTCGTCTTCTGCGTCTTCGTGACGCCCGTCTCCAGGCTTTACAGCCCCGTTGGCCTGCGGGCCCTCGTCATTGATGACTTCGGGCGCACCGCGCCCCGCGGCACCGGCGCCGTCAAGGTTGGGGGCAACTATGGTGCCACGCTGCCCATCATGCACCGGGCCCGCAAGAGGGGGTACAACCTCACCCTGCATCTCGACTCCTCCACCAACAGCTTCATCCACGAGTTCTCCGCCAGCGGCTTCATCGGCATCCGCCGTGAGCAGGATGGCTCTCATGTAGTCGTTATTCCCAAGGACTCGGACATCCTGCCGAGTATCACTGTCGACAGCACAGCTGTGATAGCGACGTCGCTGGGATGGAAGGTCGAGCGTCGACAGGTAAATCTTTCTTTAGCTCTGTTCCAATCTGTGCCTCCCCTGTTTTTGCTTATGGCTTCTTCTTCTGTCTGTCCCTCTGCATATCACTCTGCACATATATACCCCGATTAGTGCTCAGTGTGTCGAACACACGGTTCATTGGCCAGTAACACTAACTCCCCTCGCCTTTGCCACAGATTCCGGTCACTGAGTTGGCTGAGTTCTCCGAAGTCTTCACTGTCGGGACGGCCTCGTCGCTTGTCACCGTGCGCGAGATCACACGTGAGTCCACAGGCGAGAACTTCCAGTACAATGTCAACCAGAATTCTCCGGACTCGGCCTGTTACAAGTTGATGGACAGGCTAGAGGGAATCAAGCGGAGTATCTATCCAGAGCCGTGGGGCTGGCTGGAGACCATTGACCAGGATACCCTGTTGACCGATGCAAAGGGCGTGGCGCGTAAGAGCCATGACTGATGTAATAACTAGATGTTTTGAAGACGGCGGGAAGCAAATGAGGATATAGAGCAAGGGTTATTCACATCTGTGTAGAGAAAGGAGAACTTTGTATTGATAAGTGGTTTTGTATATGTCCGAGGACATGCATGACGCCTTCCAAGGTTCATGTGTTGGTACGCGCTCTTTGTATTGATAAACCAAAATGGTCCCAAGTACAATACTGTATTTCAATGTTGTCTCTCACATTAAATGAGAAAGGTTGAAGAGAATTTGGCCACTCAATATAATGTCCAAACAACCTAGACAGAAGGATGGTGTACAAGAGACTTCATCCACTAGATAAACTCATAAGGTCTCCTCTTGGCTATTCTCGCTGTAGTACTTGCAGGCCGTGAATCAGTCTGCTTTTTTCTGAGACCTGGTGTACCCTCATTTGGTCTCGGAGGTGGTAGCAGAAGATGGGAATCCAAAGAGAATCGAAGCAAGAGGACTTGGTGAAATATCAGGGCATGCATTCAGCTATTTACATGAAAGCACAAGGATTCGTATAAATGGCCAACGGTTTGTCCATGACAAGATATTCTTAGCGTGGCCACGCACTGAATGAAGGCGCCACGTACATTTTATATGTATGGGGATTAAAAACGAAACCACCCTAGCGTGGCCACGCAATTCAATGTATAAAGCTCGAGGCGGGTAATGCAAGAAGAGTGCACATTGAAAATACAGAAGAATAGAATTGGGGTGAAACTCAAATACAAACTGCAAATTGAACTGAAATTCGTGAATGAAACAATGAAATATTATACCGTCTATCTAGCATATTCAGTTGCGTTAGAATGATAGATCAGTATCTAGGTACTAGCCACTCCCGGACGCCCCTTCCCATCTCAACGAAACTACCAGGCTAAGTTGTCAGCCTTATTAGACAATTTCGCAGTTCTGGCCCTGGGTCTTGCTCCACTACCGCTCGTCAGGACATCGTAGACACGCTTGCCAAATTTGTTGAAGGCGCTGGTCATCCCGCCGAGGCGGGTCAGGCTCTTCTCCATCTTTGACAGGGTGAAGGGGAAGATTTCACCGCCTATCCGGACCTCGTTGGCGTCAAGGTCGATTTCGATGGCGGCGCCGGTCTCAGCCAGCTCGTAGAAGCGCGGGTCTTGTAGGGTGAGCCCCCACAGCCCCAGCGACGGCTGGTTACGGCTGTAGATGAAGGCAAAGCTCTGAGCAATGACGCATTCAACGCCGATGCCTGTTTTTGTCATGGACAAAAGCCCGTACGTCAGTCAAAGGTGATCTTCTGCGTTACCGGTTGAAGATGTCCTAGTCAATGGTACTCACCAAGCAGGGCCTGAACAGCTTCTTGTCTACTAGACCCGCAGCCAAAGGCGTGGCCACCGACAATGACCTTATGCCCTTCCTTGGCGAGCTGCCGGAACTCGGGGTTTGTGCGCTCGAGGCAGTGCTCACCGAGTTCCTGGTTGTCCTTGGACGTCAGGAGGAACTGCGCTGGTGCAAGCTATGAGGGTTGATCATCGTCAGCAACTTGGGCCTTCGAAGGTTTTCGCACGCGCTTGTTTGCTTTGGTAGGGTTGGAGGTGTGGAGAGAGGGGGAGCGAGGCGCGTGTGGTTCCTTTACTTACCGCATCTGTGTCGACGAAGTCTCCCAGCCGATAAACTTTGCTCTTGATGGTTCCCAACGAAGCTGTCCCAGAAGCAGGCTCATCTCCATTCTCGGGTCCATCAGGCCCCTCAGAAGCCTGGAATGAATCGAGTTGGCGTCCCTCATCAGCATCAAGCCCTGGAGGCTCAACCCAGTGAGGGTCAGGGGGCGAAATGCTGTCACGCAATGACCCTTTACCTTTTGCCTTCTCCCAGACAGAATCGGAGATAAGGGAAACCAGGAAATCTGGAGACGTGATGGTCATATCAAACGAAGAGGCTGCAACAGTAGCAGCAGAAGCCAGACTGCCGAAAGATCCTGCAGCAGACAGAAGTGAGCACATAGCAATCTCAGGATTCAACTGGCGGGGAAGAAAGGAGGCACTGGTAAGAAGAAATATGTTTAAAGTCTTGGACTCACCCTTGCCCATGCGGTTCTCAAAGTTGCGGTTCTGGCTGCTTAGCCAGACCTCGCCGGGGGCAGCCATGTCGGCGCCCATGCCGACACAGTAGCTACACCCGGGAAGGCCTATGGTGAATCCCGCGCGCTCGTAGACATCGGCAAGCCCAGTGCGGCGCAGGAAGTCCGCGATGGGTCTGCTCCCGGGGACAACACGGCGGTGGCCTCGCGAGCTAGGCTTCAGCCCCGCGTCCAGCCCAGCCTGCAGAACGAGAGCTCCCACCACCAGGTCCTCCTCGGCCGTGGTGCACGCGCCGATGAAGACACCGTCCAGATGGACGCCGGCCACCTCGGACACGGGCACCACGTCGTCGGGACTGGGATACTTCGCAACAAAAGGCTCTACCTTGGAGAGGTCGATCGTGTGCGATGCCGCATAGCTGCAGCCTGGGTCGGGGCGGAAGTATCGTGAGTTGGATCGGTGGTGGCTTGTCTTGCGAGAGTTGACAAACTGCTCTGTCACGCCATCTGGCACGAAGATGCCAGTGATACCGCCGAATTCCTGATGGCCAGTCAATCATACTGACGCAAACTGATAATGCGGGAATGGCCCGCACTTACGGTAGTCATGTTGGCGATGGCAAAACGCGCGTCTGCGCTCAACCAACGGCAGCCGGGGCCGGTGTACTCGACCACGCGATCGCTGGCGACGGTGTTGCGCTTCAGCTCCTTGAGGATGTACAGGATGGTGTCTTTGCCGCCGATTCCACGCGCAGGGCGGCCCACGAGGCGGATCTCGACCACCTCGGGCACCTTGAACCAGATCTCGCCGGTGACGAGGGCCATGGTGACCTCAGTGGCTCCCAGGCCGATTGCCAGGCACCCGTCGGCGCCGGCGCTGCATGTGTGGGAGTCGGACCCGATGATGATCTGGCCGGGCTCGGCTCGCTCCCTGTGGAACTCTGTGTGCATGATGGTGTAGTTGTTGCCCTGGAACTGGGTCATTTTGAACCGTTTCCGAGCCACGTCCATCTCGCCGACCAGCTTCTGCACCAGCGGCGTGTCCATCAGCCGAGGGTCCACGACGTGATCCCCTGCCAGCCAGAATCGGTCATTGCGGAAGATTCCTGGGTCGCCAAGCTTGTTGTAGACCTGGAGCATACCCTGTTCCAACGGCAAATCAAATGCGGCTGCTGTTAGCGAGAATGGTCACTAATACAGACACAGGTTCATGGGTTTCCATCGCCGTTGGTTGCGGACGAAGTTGGGGAAGAGTGGGAGGCAGCAGTGATGTTCTCTTACATGCCAGCTAGCCTCACTAGCCATGATCCAGTCCACAGATACTCTGATGGTGTCTCCAGTGGACACAGAGCCCTGGTGGGTAACATCATGTAGAGAGAAAATCTTCTCGGTGACATTCATAGGACGCCGTGTTGCCGGCTTCGTCTTTAGCAGTGTCAGAGGTTTGCCGCATCTCTCAGCAGAATTCAAAGACTCGAGCCCTACGTGCAGATGGGTAGAGGTCAGCAAGGCAGGATCTTTCAGGACACGAATCTGGACACCTTCCCAAGACGTTGGGCTTTTCTCTTTTTCTATGCATTCATTTTCTTTCTTTTTTTTGGGGGGGGGGGGGGGTTTAAGTGTGGGGACGGGCGGGAATAAAATGTGACGTCCGCAAATAGGACGGCCCGCTCCCGGCGCCAAGAGCGACTTTGACAAGGATGAGGCCCAGAATCCAGGGGTGTGTAGGTCTGGACCTAGGTAGGGCTGGAGTGGGCATCCGTCTTGGCGGCAGGGTCAATTCCCGCGCTCAAGAGCCGGAAACATAGATAATCAAGCATTCGGGTCCGACTCACATGCAGATGCCAGTAGGAGCAGGTCTTTCTGGCTTTCCTCCGGTACAGACTGTCCCCAGGCAAGTGCCATTCCACCGTAGTCCGGAGATGCAGTTGCAATGCTGACTACCTGCAGCAGAACGTTGGCCTCGCTCTCTCGACCTCGGTGCTGAAGCTGAGCCGCAAGAGCCGACAAAGCCGTGAGGGGGTGCTTTTCGGATATGGTGTCGGATTCTGTCGTAGCCTGAGTCAGTACACCACTGTAGTGATGCTACTCCAACATTACAATGGTACGGTTGCACATTCAGAAGATCTGAAACAAACCTCGTTCAGTGGCCGACTCCACCTGATGCCGAGCTGGGCGGACGGTCCTCAGGACCTCATGGAGCTGGGATGAGAAGGTGGTCACCGCCATGGTGTCTGAAAAATCTGGCGGGTCTTTCAGGGAGTAAAGAGAATCAGGAAGGTCGACGACACTTGCAAAGCTGGGTGTTATTCTCTCTCCCCCTTCTTTCTTGTTGCAGGGAACAACTTCTTCGTGTTGGAAAATACCCAAATCTCTGTGTCTATCACCAGGTCTTTGTGTGAGACGATCACAACTCATCTATTTCATCACCTAGACGTGAAAGATATGTGGCACAAGATGGGAAATAAATACACAATGATAGGTTTAACAAAAATGAGACCCACAACGACCACTGCAAACTACCCCCACTCGCTCGTCCTTCTGAATTAAGAGTCCTCGGACGGAAGGGAAAACACCGAATTGGTAGACTTGGATAAGCTTTACGATCCCTTGTTTGCATGCGCACATACACCGCTCATGTCCCCACTTCACGCCATTCCAACATTACTCAAGGGCCTGCAGGTCACAGCTGTGCCGTATTCCCTCGATTTTTTGAATGACTAGCCCGAGTCAGCCACACAGTACCGTATTATTCTTCGCGTACACCACCACCGGGTACATGTAGGCACCCGATGAGATCAGTGAACAAGACGTGGCGGCTGATGACGGACGCCGCGGCAGCGCACGTGCAAACCGCAGATCATTTTGTACTACATAGTAGCGGGAGAGTGTCCCCACCCATACCCACCTAGTCCCTATCAAGCAAACGATTTGCATGGAAAGGTACGTCCATGATCCCAGCGGGAACAAAGCAGGTGGGGACGGGAAAGCGATTGCATCCGAGAACTCTAAAAATGCACTTCCTCTGGTATGAGGGATGGGAAAGAACAAGAAGTACTGGGGATAGAGATACCGGTGTGGGGCTGAGATCCAGATGTCCTACGTGTCCACCGGGTACCATTTCGGCGTTTGATGCTGACCTGGCCGAGGACCTTCTGTTTTGAGGAAACCCGATCTAATTGCAGGTGCCTTGATTCGTGACGATTGTACATTTAAGTGGAGTCTTAAAGGGACTTCAAGTTCTGGTGAAATTTGGCTACCCTAGGGTAGGGCTACTTGGACAAAGAAACCGTACTCTACGTTGCCGAGGATTAGAAAGTAATAAATCTGTCGACTTTTACCATAGCGTTTCAACTGATTAAAACTACATCTCTAAATTTTAAGGAGCTTAAAGAGTAACGGGTTTCACCCTCCTGTCAGGGCTTGACAACATGTCAGCGGTGAATGCATCATACGACGGACACCAGTTCACATGCTGCAGTTATGTTAATAGAATGTCGCCGTTATCTTACTAAAATGATGACGCTATGAACTCAATTTACCTCCCTGCCCCCGGTAGTTTCGTGTTCCTGCGGACTGCCAAATAGGAAAGTGGTGAAAACCGGGGTATGGGTCGGGTCAGTGGGGATCTCAGGAGGTGGGTCGCTCGACTGTCTTCCCTCGAAGCGGCTTCGTCTTCCAGACTGTCTTTGAGACTGTCCTCCAAATTCGATTCCTTCAACATCTACCCCTTACACAAAGTTTCGATCTCATGCGACCGTTACCACTCTCCCCAATTTTTCAGTATCCTGCATATGTCGCTCCGGTCAGCCCACACGAGTGCTGACCATGGTCGTATTCTAACCCTGAGAAAGGACTCGGACTCACGAACGCGAGCGCGGGTATCGCTCGCGGCAGTCAGGACACGATCCCTTGCCAGGCCACAATATAGATCGTCCCGAAATGTATTTCTGCGAGTTAGGAAGCGTCGGTCGGAAGGAAGTGAGGCAAGCACAAAACCGGCTGGCCAAGCGAAGGTCCCGTATGTATTCACGTCTAGTGATTCCGTTGCATATCTACACAGCATCTAGTTCCACATCCATACCCTTCTGAGTATTCACCTATCGATGAGCTCTTCAGAATTATCGTTTCTTGTCTTTGTCAACTTGTATCACCACAGTTGCTTGGCCGGGCCCTAATCAGCTAGAGTTTAGGGGCGAAGCAGAAGAAGGCTGCCGCGTTTAATCAATCGGAAGCCACCGCCTCAGCCACTCAAGCCACCACAAGGCTACCAAGAACCCGGGTAAGGTTTGCCTCTCCAGCCGAACCCATCAGAGCCGCGGGCAAAGAAGCTTGCTGTTTGCTTAAACCTATGTCTGACTTGGATGATCTGCAGTCAAACGGTACACTGCCCGGCAGCTGCTACAGCAACGTCCAGTTGACTAGCACGCCTCGAGACAATATGCAAAACACTACGCAGAACACGTCATCGCCACCAGTGGCTGTGCCAACATATCCAGCTGGCCACACTCATATAAACAGCACACCCAACGGACACGGGGCCCTGAACAATCACGCTGCGGCAGGGCAGAGGCTCAGCTCACCTGCCGGCCTACAAGGCAACATGTATGCGGCAGAGATCAACGAACAAGCCTCATGCACTCCAGAGTACCACCCCAACCCAAGATTTGGTGAAGCCGTGCATCCGGCAGAAATTGACTACGGGCTGTCATACAAACAATTTGGCCTCTGGTCTCCAGATAGCGGGCTAGACATGTCGTCCGCCAGCGATGTCCAAGGGGAGGTGTGCAAGTCGAGTATTGAGATTGGGATGAATCAGAAGGTTCGTATTCAACTTCTTCCCCAAAGCCTTTTCTCGATCTCTCTTGACTGCATCCTGTCACTTGCCGAGACTGCAATCCCTTACCATTCCAACTGATCTCATGAGACATCATTGATGTACATGTATCCTTACACCAGCTCGCATGTATCATAATCACAACCACCATAGGTCCCCACAGTTATCACTGATAACATCATGGCCCGTTGCTAACTCCACTGATCGCAGTTATACAAACCCGTCCAAGGGACGCCGTTACATATAGCGGCAGCATTGGGGCACATGACAGTGACACAAACACTGGTACGGCACAGGGCAGATGTCAATGCCGTCGACAAGGCCGGCCTATCACCGCTGCATTACGCAACGAGGAACGGCCACACGGAGGTTATGGAGGAGCTTTTAAAGAATGGGGCCGATGTCGACTCGCTGGACGCGGATGGGTGCACGCCGCTCTACCGTGCCGCAGAGACCGGCAACAATGCCATGGTAGAAAGGTTGCTATCACACGGCGCAAGGCTGCGATGACGATGGCTAGTTATGCAAGAATTGCCTGTTCCACTGTAAATATCTGTGGTGGGGGAGCACGAAAAATAGCTTTTAGGGATGATATATCTGTACAATCGAAACTCAATCATTGTTTATGATTCTATCTTGTTGATGCGCCAATTCAGCGTTGCATCGCTCACATACTGGTCCTGGGACCCAGAGATGCATTGAACACGATTGTTGTGATCCACAAGGCTGAACACGGCTCAACATGATGCACAGGAAGCATATGGTTCCTCAACGTTCCATGCAGGCAAGTGGGAACATCTACTGCACGTCGATCTATACATGATCACAAAAACTTGTTGATCGGATCTGTTCTCATTACTCTAAAGACCACCCGGGCGGTTAACCAACAGGTTAAAATTGATAACAACAATAAGTTGCACGATGTTCATTGATTTTCGATGAGCCACGGCATACGTATTGAAAGTAAAGTTCATCAAAGCCTCATCATCTTCCTCTCAACCATTTCCAAGTAAAACAGGCTCCAGAAGCATGTTCAGTAATGCCACGCGTATGGGATTGTCGGCATAGCTCTCTGTAAGATCCCGGCGCGTGCCAGTGGGTTGTATCCTTCACGCAAGTGATCTTGCTGAAGGCCAAAAAAGACCGTCGGAATTCGGCCTCGCCAAAGACCCCTTGCGGATAAATTCCCAGGGGCCGTCAAGGGCAACGTCGTATGTTTGATGGCATCGTCGCACGCTTGCTCTATGATGCCATGACCCTTGCCTTCGGTACTGTGTTTGTGCGGAGTTTGCAAGTTTACCGCCATTGTGGGTTGTAATGTACCGTGCGGGTCGGAATTTATGGGGCATTTCTGTCTCCCTCCCAGAATGTGGCAGTGAAAAGGTACTCGCTGCTGGGAGCTCCGCCACCACGCACAGGCCAGGAACACCTGTCATGCAGGTACAACTCCAGGGGGCTTGTACCACAGTGTCTATGTTGGGATCAGCACACGTATTGGTTCCACGTCCATAATGGTCCCATTGACTGAATCGGATATCCTCTTCGTGAGGCGATGACAATCTGGAACAAGAACACGATGCGAAGACTTTGGTGGGCACGAACGAGTAGTTGGCCCCAGGTGTTAGCCAGAGTCAGCTTGAGTGTGTGAAATGGAGGTGGATGCAAGGTCAGCAACTCTATTTATTTATGAATTCGAATCGATATCTCCTCGTTGATTTTGGCCTTAAGGAGCAGGGTTGCATCGCAGTGTTGCTTACCTGTACAAAGTGTGTCCTGCGGAAAGCAGATCGATTCTCGAGAAGGTCCGCGTCCATACGTTGCAACATGTCGAAGGTTCAGGAAACGATCGTTTCGCAGGTGTTGGCGCCAGATGCTCTGCGTCGTGGAGTCATCCTGTTTCTCATTGTCTTCTTTGCATACCACCTCTTTCGTGCCATTTTCTTTGACCGCCTAGCCAAGGTCCCCTCTGCTCATTGGTCTTGTTCGTTCAGTCCCTTCTGGATTTTGTGGCAGCGCTACAATGGCAACGAGTTGAAAGCTATCAGGGAAGCCCACCAGAAGCTGGGAACCATCGTTCGCGTAGGTCCTCAGGATCTCAGCATAAGCGACTATCAGACCGGAGTCCGCCAAGTTTACAACGCTGGCTTTGAGAAGCCACACTACTTCAACTTTTACCAGTATTATGGGTGAGTCCTTGATTTCATTCGCCTGTCTAATTTGACCAAAAGATGAGGAATGTGAAGCTGAATCTCATATCACGTTTCTTGTCTACTGCTCTTACTACTCTCGCCGCTTACTCCCTTGTTCATGACTTCTCCCTTTTTTGCTTGTTTCATCTTCCTTCTTCAACTCTCTTAATCCCTGGCTTACCATATGTTCGGATTAGTGAAGTAAACTCCTTCGCAAGCCAAAGCGCGGCAGAGCATTCTGCATGCCGCAGGCGAGTGTCTTCGTGCTATTCCAAGACCACTTTATTCGCTTCCAAGCAGCTCAAGCGAACCACGGAGAAGATGCTATTCGAACGCCTGGTACCAGAGCTTCAGAACGCCGCGAACCTCGGGCAACCGGTAGAACTCCTCCGGCTGTGCTATGCCATCAGCCTAGATGCCCTCAACTGCTACATCTTTGGCGTTTCCAGCGGGCCCAACTTCACGCAAAACCCACAGCTTCTCGAGGCATGGTTGAACCACTACGAGAACCGCTACTGCAAAGAATCCTTCTGGTTGCAGGAGATGCCATCTGTGGCGCGCGGACTGCAACGCCTTGGCCTCGATGTCATGCCGCGCTATCATTACGAGTCAACAGAGTGGATTGAGAACTGGATGCTCGAGCACTGCAGGAAGGCGGAAGAGGTGTGTCTGAAGATCGAACAAGGTGATGAGCCCGAGATAGAGGACTTTCCATCTGTCTATCAGCAAATCAGAACTTCCATGGCACGGGCGAAGGACGGAAAATTCCTCGGAAGACCTTTGACGAAGGATCTGATCCAGAAATCGATTGCGAGCGAGCTTTTCGACCACATGTGTACGTTCAGGGCCCCATCCGACTTTTCAGGCTTAGACTCATGGCTAATAATTCTCTCTCGTACACGGATAGCTGGCGCCCGAGAGGTATTTGGTGAGTCTCTTATCATCAATATAATTCTTCACATATCTGTTATGGCGTACTGACACCGAGTTGCTAGGCATGGTATTCGCATACATGATCTACTATCTAGCTCAGCACCCGGAGCAGCAGGATCGACTCCGACAAGAGGTCTCTGTCCTCGGGGAGCATCTTGACGACAGCGAGGATGCGCTTCCACCGCCGGACGTACTGCAGTCACTCGATTACCTGCAGGCAGTGATCAAGGAATCACTTCGGATGCGCCCAAACAGCACTCCTCTCCCCAGAATTACTCCACATGACCGGGAAGTCAGCATCGCCGGCGTTGACGGCATCCCTCCAGGCACGCGAGTCAACTGCTTCCAGTGGCTCCTTCACCGTAACCCTGAAGTCTGGGAACAGCCAGACAGCTGGGTTCCAGAGCGCTGGCTTGACGCTGATGGCAAGGAGAGGCGCGACATGCCGCCTCTCTGGTCATTTGTCACGGGACCAAGGGCCTGCATCGGCATGCAGTTGACTTATTACTGTAAGTTTAAAGACCTATCAAGCTCTACCATAGTGCTCAAAACCTGAAGGCTGCTTTACTAAGTCCCGCTTTACACTCTACTAGTCTTCAACTACATGCTCTCTGTCATGTCGTCCAACTTCACTTTTGAGGTCGCTCGTCCGGAGACGTACGGTCGTCACTCCCCTGGCACTTTGGAGGACGAGATATATGTTACAGTTAAGCCTGTTGTGGCCGCCCTGTGAATATGGAACTCACATAACGTACCAGACGCAAATCTGAAGTCACTGCAGCACTCTAAAATACCCGGGAATAATTTTGGGCTCTTAGTTTTGAAAAATGTACAACATAATTTCATATGTCATCGTGTTTCTTAATTGGTATCAAATGTATATTAGTTCTCTGGTCTTTTCCGCAGATATGTCCGTTATTCCGTTAGAATCAAAACAATGCTTAATTTCATCAATTACTTAGACTATTGTTCCTGAGCGACTGAAGTGAATTGTCGATGACTGGATTCACTAATATCCCGAATCAATTTCTGACCTCCGTGCTAAAACACTTCCCGTGTCTTTTTCTTGTATGATTGGTTCTATTGATTTTGTAGTGGGAGTCGCACATCAATCAACCGTGTTATAAATTCAACTTCAAATATCAAAAAAAAAAAAAAACACTAATTTGCTGACATCGTGGATGTTGTTCAGCTGCCCACAAAGAATGAATTGACGGGCCACTCCGGAGGCGTCGGCTCGATGTAAGCGACCTGGGCTCCAACTGAGTCGTCTCTGATCGTGGAGTCTGGATCTACGGGAACGCAGAATGCATCGGACTGGAACCGACGAGGGCATCATGTTCGACGTCCTGCAAGGCGGCTGCCTACTAGCTTCCGGGGCCCCGGATCGCGAGCCCGGCCCGGACACGCCATTCGTTGCGAACACCTAGGTACCTATGCAAGGGGAACTAAACCTTAAACAAGGTGGTAATCTTTTTCATCGGTCAGTTTGACCCACCAGGTCACACTTCGCCAATCCCCACAGTAAAAGTGACTTCGGGCGGAGAATTGAACATTTATGGTTTACTACCTACCACTGTGGAGTTGTACACTGTGCAGTGTCGCACCCGAAAAAGACGAGTCAATCGGGGCCTTGCAGGTAGACCCACAGGTAGGGCAGAGTGTGGGTCTATATGCAAGGTCAGCAAACTTCGAGTTGCTATGACGCGATGGTGGATTCAGTGCTTAGATGCCCAGGTGTGCAGTATACGGTGCACAGGGGCTGAAGTCGGCGACGGTGGCGCCGAGTGTGGCACTCTAGGGGTGCCGTCACCATAGCAGGGGCAAACAACGATGGGTGTGTGGGGAGGAGGCAGGGGTAGGTGCAACATGAAGATATCGCGACACAATTCGAAAGATTGATGGTGTTCGAGCTGGATCTCCCGGGCAGGCCACACCGCGACGCTGCTCCTTTAAGAAGCGACAACATAACCAAGGTTCGGACATCGTTGAACAAGAATTCGAGATATTGCATCGATCTGTACCAACTGTGCCAGCAGCCAGAGTGATACACGATACGAGTGAATAACCACCAACATGTTAGTAGTCCCCTCACCCAGCCCAATCACAACTCCCTGGGTCTGCCCAAACTTTTGTCGCCTTGGGATTGATTGCGAAGACATCAAATACGCACCAGCTCGGCATTTTTGTCACATGCCAGACCCCAAGAGTGATGCTAATAGACGACCCAAACAGGCTTGCCAGACCGGAGCTGAAGTACACGCCGCTGCGGCGCTTTCATAACCCCAACCGCCAGTGGCCAGACAAAGCACTCACAAAACCTCCAATCTGGTTGTCTACGGATCTTCGAGATGGTAACCAGTCACTTGTAAATCCTATGGTAAGTCTTCTTTTTTTTCTTTCTTTTTTTCACCTCAAGTATGTTGAGAAAGGGTCAGGAATGGGAAAGGAGGAGAAAGAAAAAACATTTACATGCCCAGGTGGGAAGTAACGAAAATGAAAAGAGTGTTGTCTTTGGGTCCTGCTCTCAATTTCGCCCCCACCACAGCATCAAGGAACAACCTTGCTGACATTCTGCCGCTTGCTCTGGAACTAGACTCTCGAGCAGAAGTGGGATTTCTTCCAAATGCTTGTGGCTATTGGTTACACTGAACTCGAGGTATGCTTCCCGGCCGCGTCTCAAGTAGAGTTCAACTTTACTCGCCGCCTCGTCGAGACGCCTGGGGCAGTGCCGGACGGGGTTCGCCTCAGAGGGCTGAGCCCTACCCGGCGCGACTTCTTGGCCAGGACAGTGGCCGCGTTGCGCGGGGCCAAGACCGCCTCAGTGTGCACCTACATCTGTATCAGCGACAAGCAGCTCAAGTACCAGGGCTTCACCCGCCAGCAGGCCGTCGACCAGGCCGTCGACTCGGTACGCTTTCTTCGGTCCATCACCAAGGATGACCCTGAAGCCGCCGCGGAGACCAAGTGGAGCATGGCGTTCGGCCTGGAGTCCTTCAACGAGGCCGATTTAGACTTTGCGACCTTGATCACCGAGGCTGTCAAGGACGCCTGGGAGCCCACGGCCGAGGAGCCCATGGTGGCGGTCATCGCGTCCAGCACCGAGGTGGCCACCCCCAACGTGTTCGCCGACCAGGTCGAGCTATTCAAGAGGTCACTGTCGGAGCCGGAGAAGGTCCTCATCTCCATCCACACGCACAACGATAGAAGCGGAGCCGTGGCCTCGGCCGAGCTGGGCATGCTCGCCGGCGCTGACATGGTTGAGGGCTGCCTCTTTTCCAACGGCGAGCGCTGCGGCAACGCCGACCTGGTCACGCTGGCGCTCAACCTCTACTCACGAGGAGTCAGCCCTGGCCTGGACTTCTCCCGACTCCCCGAGGTCAAGAAGAAGTTCGAGGAGTTCACCGGGCTTACCGTGCCGCAACGAGCACCATACGCCGGCGAATTCGCCCTGCAAGCGTTCAGTGGCAGCCACCAGAACATCATCCGCAAAGGCATTGCTCGCCGCGTCGAGGCGGCACAGGCTGGGGAGAATATCCTCTGGGACATCCCATATCTTCCTCTCGATCCAGAGGACATAGGACTACCCCTCGACGAGATCATCCGCGTCAACTCGCAGAGCGGCAAGGCAGCGGCGGCGTGGGTGCTAAGCCGGCGCTGGGGACTCGAGATTCCTCCCGAGCTGCAGGTTGACTTTGGAAAGCGTGTGCAAGGCCTCTGCGAGGCGCTCGCGAGGGAGATCAGCCACCGGGAGGTACTTGATCTCTTTGTCTCCAGCTATTCCCCGACCGCTGGCGCGGCCGCTGGTCTCGCGGATGCAAGGACGCCCGCCATGGTTGTCTCTCGCGTTGGGACCAGATACCACGTCTCGGGCACTGTCCGACCGGACGGGAGCATAATGATCCCCCTGGACGGTTTTGGGGACGACATACCCTCTGCCGTGCTTGCGGGGCTCCCACTCGCCCAGGGACTGCATGCTTCTGTACCTACGATCAACCACGAGCAGCCGCTCCGCTCTTCTCACCTCGGATCGGGTCAAATCGGCGCACTTGCCACCTGCTCGTCTGACGGAGAAGTGTTTTGGGGGTTCGGAGTCAATTCGAACAGCGAGAGCGCCCAGGCTTCCGCCGTCTTAGCCGCAATCATGGTAAGCACTTCACTTGAATGCGATAGCGAACCAGAATCGTTTGTTGGGTTTATCTAGGAATATACCTGCTAATTCCAAACCCTACAGCACCTCTATCGAGCTCGTCTGCCCTCGACGCAGCGGGAACCAACGCGAAAGAGTGTGAGTCTTCCCGCCGGGGCCAGAAGGTCACAGCCGGTTGGGGCTTGAGCGTGAGGTGTGATATCTAATGAAATTCTCGTGACATATTTGGTTGGTTTCTATTGTTTGGCTTCATATTTAGTGCCTGTTTCAAGGAGTAGCGGCACTGGCAGCTGAAAGATTGTCCCTGCCGAAGTGCAGAGCTGCAGTCACATATCATATATCACCACATCTCATTTCTTGAGATATTTACAACTGTCTTTATAAAACATTCTTTCTCCTACTCGTTTTCATAGTTGAATCCCACTCCATTTATCCTAAGAGCTGTAGTCAAACAACACGTGTAGCAAGTGAGATTTCTTTTCAATATCATGAAGAGGCAAGCGGCATGTGTAACCATGTATACGTCGACTCTCCTGCTCCCTACGTAATCCCATTTAGTGGAATTGCCCAGTAAAAACCCTTGTGTATGTCTGATTCCCATCCTCAACAGCTTGGAATTACATGCACTGTATGGAGGTACCATATAATATTGCTTGCGAAACCATTTACGTTACATGCGTGTCTCATGCTCTAAATGATTAACTTGAAATTGAATAACATGCGGCAGTGGAAGGTGCTGCATTGGCGTAGATGATGCCCTCAGGTCTGGGTGACCTGACATTGTAGGACGCCAAGTTGCGACTTTGATGATGAGAAAGGCCCAAAAGCTTCCATTTTCTATCGATTCGGGTTTGGGGGATTTGTCTCCGTGTACTTGGCCTACTCATTTCTTGTTCGTCGTGCGGTGCCATCTCGCGAACAATCCCGCCCCAAACATGCAAATGGCAGTGCCCACACCTATGAAGAAGACCTTGGTAAGGGACTTGTTGTAGAGCCGCATCACCCTGGGCAGCTGCTGAGGATCCACCAAGTCCCGCAGCTCCGACGCGCCGCTGTTGATAATGTCCTCCGCCCGGACGCCCGGCACAGACGACAACGTGGCCTTGAGCTGGCCCATGAAGATGGCCTGGGCGATGGCGAGGCCGGCAGAACTCCCAACCATGTTGCTAAAGAGCATAAGGGACATGGCCGACGGTGACAGCGGGCCCTTCCCGACAGCATTATGTGCTGCGGTCAGTGGCTGCTGCAGGGCCAGGCCACCGAGCCCTGCGAGGGCGGAATAGCCCATCAGGCGTGATTTGCTTGTCGACAGGCTAATAGTAGTCAGGACGCCTGAAGCGACGGAGGTTAAAGTGCCGCCGAGCATCATTATGGGATTGAAGAAGCCGATCTTGTCCACTATTATGCCCCCGAGGATAATGCCCCCGGCGGTGCAGGCGTTGAGCGGCAGGAGCAGTACACCTGAGTCGCCGGCAGTGTAGCCTTTGATGGTCTGATACCATAATGGGATCTGAGGCGTGGCGGGGCCATCGTTAGCACGGAGTGACAGACGCCTGGGAGACGGAACATGATTTATTGGGAGGGCGATAGAAGGGGGCACATACGTAGTAGTCATACACTGCTACCGCCACACCATTGCTAAAAGCAAAGATGGCGGCGCAGACAATGTTGCGATTCCTTATCAGTCGGAACGGTATCAAGGCGCTGTCCGCCTTGCGCTTCTCCCAGATGAGAAAAGCCGCCATGAGGACAACGGCCAGGACAATCATTGCTATGATGAGGGCGCTGTTCCACGCGTATGATGTGCCGCCCGTGTTCACGACAAAGAGGACGAAGATGACTGCGGGACACAGGATAACGATCCCGAGATAATCAAGGCCCCTGAGCCGGTGCAAGATCTCGACCCAAGGCTGCCTGTTGGTGCGGATGAGGAACGCGAGCACGAGGCCGCAGACGGCGCCGATGGGTACGTTGAGCAGGAAACACCAACGCCAGGACACGTTGTCCGTGAGGCTCCCGCCGATGATGGGCCCGATGAGCTGGCCGATGAGCTCCATCGCACCCATGAACGCCATCATCATACCGAGACGATTCGGGGGGATGATTTGTGTCGCGAGACTGGTTGACGTATCTCGTGGTCAACATCACATAGGGAAACATGCACATTGGGAGGGAAGTGAGGGGGCGCCGAGGTGCCATGTTGTGTTTGGAAGAAAAGGAGAACGGCAAAGGGGGGGGGGGTCTTACACCATAGCTGTTGACACAACCCCTGAGCAGCCTAGTCCTGTAAACACTCTGCCCACGAGACACATGGCCATCGTATTCGCAAGTCCGGAGAGGAGGCAGCCGAGCTCAAAGAGAAAAAGCCCAACAATGAATACAATCTTGTGGGGTACGACTTGATTCAGTGGCCCAAATATAAGCTGAGACGTGGCCGCGGCGAAAAAGCTGTATTCATCTCGCCGTCAGCATTACAAACACCTGGGCAGGTGCGTAGCTTGAGCCTCGCCTAGATATGCCTAGACACGAACGGCATCGAGGATGGAGGAAAGTCGGAAAAAGGTATCTTCGACGTACTACACGGAGCCGAACCAGCCGACATCGTCAAGACCGCCGAGGTCGTCGGTAATCTGCGGCGTAGCAACACTCACAATCGTGGCGTCCTAGAACAAAGCAGCAGGGGATGTCAGGTCAGCCCGGAGCTTCAGATGCACAGACGGAACCGCGAGATGGACCCGGACGGGCCGGAGCCCACATACCAGGCCGATAAGAAGGATCGCAACAGCGAGACCGAGGGACGTGGCCCATGTCGAGGACGGCATCCCCAAGAACGTCCCCGGCTGCGCGGCCGGCGCCGCAGGCGGCGCGGGGATGTCGTCCTCGACACCGTCGAACGTCACCGGGGGAGCCGGACCGACGTCCTCAGCGTCCTTGGGGGTCTCCGGCTTCTGGTAGACGTCCATCTGCAGCCACCGTGCGTCGTCCTCGTCGATGTGGCCGCCGCTGCGCCGTTCCGACTTGTACTCGACATCGTCGTTTGCTGCCATGGTTGGGTCGGATGGGGGGTATGTGCGGGCAGCTTTTGCTGTGTACACGAGGCGGTGGGCCGGCTCAGGGGTTGTGCTGTGGGATGGGGTGTCCGGGAGGGCAGGCAGGTTTGACTCCAGAGACCAGTCTGGGAGGGAGGCGTGCCGTGGGGTTTGCGAGGAGGTGACAGAACATGGGGGGTGGTTCTCGTTTCTAATGCCCATACATATAAAACGTATGTGGGCGCCTTCTACAGTGGTCCACGCTCAAGGCCCAGCGGTTGAAATCTACCTCAAGGCCCGGCGGTTAAAAATACAATGCCAAGGACAGACACGAATGCACCGCAGATTCATGATATCGCGGGTTGTTCTAGGTGGACGTCGTCCGTGTGGCAAACCCGCGCATGCCGGATGGCGTGCACCCTTCAGTTCAAGGCACGGATAAGCCTGACTTGCCGGGACGCGTCGTTTGAGGACTGCCTGTTTGAGTAAGATGGGAAGTGGGTAAGCAAGAGTCCAGGTCGGTCATGGGTGCTGGGAAGAGAAATAGTTTGCGTGTAGTCAGGCAGGCCAGTGTTTGATGTGAGGCAGACGACAGATTACAGTCCTATGTACCTAAATATGTGTGTAAACCCGCGTATCTACCTAGGTAGTCATGGGGCAGATCCTCAAGGTGAGATGTATTTCTGAACCAAAAATGCGCCTTGGGACCTATTTCGCAACATTTATATTACTCTATGCAATTCAAAGTAGAACCTTTAACACGATGTTATCTCAACCATTTTTAAATCTCATTAAAGAAAATCAAATGGGATAATTGAGATGAATAGATGCTCTGGTATATAGGGCACCAGGGTAACACGTTGAACTCGGTCGCCTGGTTGGCAATGGAATAAGCGATTCTCTGTATTTTGCATCGGTCCTGAGTAAAAGGTTTAGCACTGTATGAAAGCGCCATGCATGTCCCCGGGCAATGCGGAATAGAAGGGAAGACAGACAGATACAAGGTTAATCACCCAAGCAGGGCCTGGGCACCGTAGAGGAACCCACCTGGGCAGGTAAGCAACTGGTACCACCAAGAATTGAGTTTGTCATTTGGGCCCGGCATCTCCACAATGGTTAATACTGTGCGTAGGGCAATGCACGGCATGTACCCACCCTGGCCCTGTGGGGTGCTGACCTTGCATGAACGCCCCGCCCCGATCCCGCTGTCCCGGGCCTCCGAGGCTCTAAAAGCTTGTTTCTAAACGCGGACCACACAGCACCGTGGCCTCGAGCACGTTGTGCCCAAGCCGCGTGCTCGCTCGGCCAACGCACGGTGATGCCACTTTTTTTCCTTTTGCGTCCTGTATCCGCTGGCCCCGCCAATGGCAGGATGCACTGTATGTGTTTCTTCTCTTGATTCAACGTCTGGTTGCCCGAGATGGCCATGATGGACAGGGGAGTTGCTGACCTCGGACACGACATCCCCAGCGCTCCATGCTAATCAAGTGTCTTTTCGTGCGTCTGAATCAGGCCGAGCTGCAGGGCGTGGAGCTCGTGGCCGGTGTCGAACTCGATGGCTCCGACAGGATGGATACGCCCTCGCATCCAAGGGACTTGTAGGAGTCTCGTCAACTGGTCCCGCCCCAGCGAATCGGCAGCACCGGTACTGTTGTGCCTGCGTCCCACTTCTCCTTCCCACCATCGTGATTAGGGCTGCACATGTCTTTGTCTGATGCTAGTCAGATCCCCACACGGCGTGGATCGGATGACAACCGACATCACGACATCTGGTAGAGGCTCACCTTCCTCCCGGGTACAGAATCAGCGCCGAATCGCCGAGGGCTGCCTTGACCTTGCAGAGGTGTTGCAAGATGGATGGTCAGTTTGAACCTTTTCTTGTGGTCTGAGCTTCTCCTAGATGGGATCCGGGATTGTTTCATTCCTGGGCGTGCCTAGGTAGTGTACATGAATCCAATCTCCCCCTGATGCGTCTGATGGGTCGACCGAAGCTGGGTCTCACCTGCTCACACCAAAGAGAGGTTCTTCATAGTGACAAGCAGTCTTCCAGGTCCGCGGCCGCAACTCATCACAACAACACATGAAGACCGAGACCGTGCTGTGAGACTCTGAGCAATAAAAGCACCCACCTTCCTCCAATTTTCAGACTTGTCCCCTGGTACTTCAAGTAACTTTGTTCGTCACTGGTTTAATTCCCCTGTCCCTTCTTTACAACAACCCCAACCTCATCTACCAAATACCACCATGGACAACAAGACACAAACCACGCAACTCGCGCCAGCATCACCCCCCGACATGCCGGCCGCCGCCGCCGCGCACTGGTCCTCCTACCTCGAGGGGCCCGACCTCTCGTTCTTCCCCGCGACAACAGCACACCTAGAAGGACCCCCACAGCCCACAAGCCATGTCAGGGAGTTTGACGTGCGGCAGAACCGCTCCCAGAACCAGAACCTCGCCACGCTGCTGCGCTCGTCATGGGCCGTCGTGGCCGGCACGTACTCGGGGTCGAAAGACGTTATATTTGGCAGCAGGCTAAGCACTGCCAAGCCGGGTGGTGGGCCCGAGTCTCGTGCAGTCGTCGTACCCACCCGTGTCCGCTGGGCGCCCGAGACCACAGTGCGGGACCTCGTCGGCTCCGTGCGGGCGCAGGATGACGACGGCGCCGCGCCCGAGCCGGTCGGGCTCGAGGCCATTGCCCGGGCCAGCGAGGACGCCGCTGCCGCGTGCCAGTTCACCTGCGTGTTCGCGGTCGGGCCCGGCCCTGACGGAGGACATGAAGAGCAGGATATTGGACAACAAGATGAGCACGAAGGAGGAGACAACGGAGCCGCACGTGCCCTCTCTCTACAGTGCTCCTACCTCCCCATCACCGAAGGCGTGCCCGACAAGGACGACGATTCGGACATGCCATCATCCTACCGGCTGCGCGTCACAGCCCGCTTCGACCAGCGAGCCCTAAGCCAGGCCCACGCCCGGCGCGTGATGACGCAGCTGGAGCGGGTCGTCCGCCTCCTAAGCGACCCAGCCAGCCTCGAGCAGCCCGTATCCTCCCTGCCACTGCTATCAGCACCCGACAGGGCGGAGATCGAGGCATGGAACGCCCACGAGCCAGCAGTGGCCCGCGACCTCGCGCACGAGCGGGTGCGGCAGCAGGCGCTCCGGCGGCCCGGCCACACGGCGGTGAGCGCCTGGGACGGGGCGATGACCTACGCGGAGCTGGACGGCGCGGCGGGCCGGCTGGCGCTGCGCCTGCGGCGGCTCGGCGTCGGCCCCGAGACCCTGGTGCCCATCTCCTTTGGCAAGTCGCTGTGGGCCGTCGTGGCCATGCTGGGCGTGCTGAAGGCGGGCGGCGCCTTTGCCGTGCTCGACCCGGCGCACCCGGCGGGGCGCAAGGAGGCCATCGCGGCGCAGCTGGGCGCGGGCGTCGCCGTGGCGTCGGCGTCCGCGGCGGCTCTTATGCCGCCTGGGTGTGTGGATACGATCCTGATATGCGACGAGGCCGTGCGGTCGTGGCCATCGCCTTCTGAGCGGGGGGGTGATGGCGGCCAGGCGCTGCTCCCCCCGCCCGGCCTCGGGCCCGACAACGCCATGTATGTCATCTTCACGTCGGGCTCGACGGGGACGCCCAAGGGCTGCGTCACCTCGCACCAGGCCTTCTGCTCGAGCATGGCCGCGTTCGGCAAGGAGGCGGGGATGCACGCAGACAGACAGGTGCTGCAGTTCGCGTCGTACAGCTTCGACACGAGCCTCGAGGAGATATTCTGCGCGCTCATGGCGGGGGCAACATTACATGTACCGTCTGAGGAGGCGCGCGTCAACGACCTGGCTGGAGTATTACGACGCACGCGGGCCGACTGGGCCGAGCTCAACCCCAAGGTGGCGTCGCTGCTGGTCCCGGGGGAGGTCCCTGATCTCAAGACCATCATCCTGGGCGGCGACCGGTCGCACGGCAGCGATGTGGCCCGCTGGCCTGCCACGACGGCCCTCATGAACTCGTACGGGTGCACCGAGGCGTCCGTCACGTCGACGCTCATCCCGCTGAATGGCCGTGACCCGCTCGAGGAGCCCCCGATCGGGAGGGGCGTGGGCTGCAGGCTGTGGGTCGCCGACCCGGACGACCACCACCGCCTCGCCCCTGTTGGAGCACCGGGCGAGCTGCTCATCGAGGGGCCCGGGCTGGCGCGTGGGTACCTGGGGGATGCTGAGCGGACAGCCAGGTCGTTTATTGTCGACCCTCGCTGGTCTGTGGATGCTGGCGGCGCAGGAGGAGGGCGGCGCTTCTACAAGACGGGCGATATCGTGCGCTACAACGACGAGGGCGCCGTCATGTATGTCGGGCGCAAGGACTCGCAGGTGAAACTAAGAGGCCAGCGCGTCGAGCTCGGCGAGGTCGAGCACCAGCTGAGCCGGGCCCTGCCGGACTGCCGCGTCGCCGCCGAGGTGCCGGTGATGCGGAGCCTATATCACGATCATGCCGGCGACGACGGGGCCGGCGCGTCGGGCCCGTCCCAGGCCACGCTTGCTGCGTTCATCGTCCTCCCAGCACAGGACGGACTCGATATGCCGTCTGCGGCCACCGCATCGATAGACCTCAGCCCGGCGGCGGTGGACCGCCTCCTCGCGATGAGGCCCAGGCTGGTCCAGGACCTGGCCCGGTCCCTGCCCGGCTACATGGTGCCGTCGATATTCATCCCGATATCCGCCATGCCGCTGACGGTATCGGCCAAGACGGACCGCCGGAAGCTGCGCGCGCTCGCCCAGGGCCTGCGGCCCGACCAGGTCGCCATGCTGCAGGGCCGGAGTGATCCTGAGGACGCTGACGCCGGCAACAGGGAACACAAGGCTGGCCTGTGGACCGAGGCTGAGCGGCAGATGCGGGATGCGTGGGCCCAGGTCCTCGGCGTTCCTGCGGGGTCTATCAGCCGTGGCGATAACTTCTTCCGCGTCGGGGGCGACTCCCTGGCGGCCATGAAGCTGGTCCCGCTGTGCCGGAAAGTAGGACTGCAGATCTCGGTCGCCGAGGTGTTCCGCGCCCCGGAGCTGCACAACCTGGCGGCGGCGGCAGCGGCAGCTGGACCATATCATGATGGTGCCGGGAATAGTGACACCCTCAGCCGCAGGAGAGACGAGGGCGAGGGGGCGGAGCACGACCTCGACGTCGCCCCCTTCTCCCTCCTCGGCCTCGACAGCAACCACGAGCAGACCAGCATCGAGGCCCTGCGGCGGGAGGCGGCAGAGCAGTGCGGCCTGCGCCAGGCGGCAGACATCGAGGACATGTACCCGTGCACGCCGCTGCAGGAGGGCCTGCTGGCGCTCTCGTCCCGGCGGCCCGGGTCGTACGTCGCCAGGCTCGCCTTCGAGCTCGCGGGGGACGTCGACCTGGCGGGTTTCCACGCGGCGTGGGACCGCGTCGTCGAGGCGCACGCCATCCTGCGCACGCGCATCGTGAGCCTGGCCGTCACCGACAGCGACAGTAACAGCAACAGCAACAGCAACCCGAGGCTCCTGCAGGCCGTGACGAGGCCGCGGCTCCCGTGGGAGACCGCCACCGACCTGGAGGCGTACCTGCGGCGGGACGAGTCCAGGCTTGTGGAGGTTGGCGCGCCCATGACACGGTTTGCCATGATCCCGCACCACGGCGGCCGGTACATCTTCGTCTGGACCCTCCACCACTGCATCTACGACGGCTGGTCGCTGCCGCTGGTCCTGCGGGACCTGCGCCGCGCCTACGACGGCCTCCTCCAGCCCCTTCCCGTCCCGCCCTTCAGCCGCTTCATCAGCCACCTCTCGCGCCAGGACCCAGCGCCGGCGGCGGGGTTCTGGTCCCGGTACCTCGCCGGGCCGACGAGCATGTTCCCCGCGGCGCCCGGGGGGGAGGAGGAGGACGGTGCCGCGCAGCCAGACAGCTCCCTCACGGCCCGGACAGACTTCCCCGTCCGCGCCGTGGCCGGCGCCACCCCCGCGACGGTGCTCCGGACGGCCTGGGCGCTGCTGACGCGCAGCTACACGGGCGTGTCGGACGTCACGTTCGGGACCACGGTGACGGGCCGGAATGCTCCTGTCCCGGGGGTCGAGGACATGTCCGGCCCGACCATCGCGACGGTCCCGGTGAGGGTGTCGTGGCGGGAACGTGGCGGCGACAACGACAACGACAACGACACCGCCACCCCCACCACCATCCGGGAGCTCCTCGACGGCGTCCAGCGGCAGGCGGCCGGGGTGATCCCCTTCGAGCAGACGGGCCTGCAGCACATAGCCCGTGCTAGCGACGACGCCCGTTCCGCGTGCCGGTTCCAGGCCCTCTTCGTCGTGCAGCCCGCCGACGACGACGACGACGAATTTTATAACGACGGGCTCATGCGTCCCCTGGACGGGAACAGCGGCCCCGAGGTGGGCGACCGCGCGCGCGAGACCACGCAGGCCCTCCTGGTCGAGTGCACCCTCGGCCGCGCGGCGGACGCCCCCGTCGACATCCACATGAGCTACGACTCCAGCGTGGTCTCACACCCCCGGGCGGCGTCCCTGCTGGCGCGGTTCCAGCACATCCTGGCGCAGCTCGTGGCCCTCGCGGGGGAGGAGGACGACGACGTCGACATGAAGAAGAAAAGCACACGGCCAGCAGCCCTGGATACCCCAGTGGCGGACCTGAGCCTCGTCAGCGCCCACGACACGGCCAGGATGGCGCAGTGGAACGGCGCCAGCGACATCAGCCCACCCCCCAGGACCCTCCAGGACCTGATGGCGGGGGCGGCGGCGGCGTATCCCGACCGCCCGGCCGTCTGCGCCTGGGACGGCGACATGTCGTTCGCCGAGCTGGCCGGTGCGGCCGCGAGGGTCGCCCGGCGCCTGGGCCAGATGGACGTCGGCAAGGGACACGGGGGCGGGGGAGACGGGGGCGGGGAGGAGAAAGTCGTCCTGCTCTGCCTCGAGCGGTCCCGCTGGGCCATCGTCTCGATGCTGGCCGTCCTGCAGGCCGGGGCCGCGTTCGTCGCCCTCGACCCGGCCCAGCCCGACGACCGGCTGCTGAGCATCATGCGGCTGTCGGGCGCCAGGGTCCTCCTGACGTCCCCGAGGCTCTCGGCGCGCCTGGAAGACCTGTCCCGCAGCCTGAGCTCCTCCTCCTCCTCTCCCACCCCGCTGCGCATCGCCTGCGCCGCCGAGCTGGCCGCCCCCTCCCCCTCCCCCGACGACAGCTGCGACCAGCCCCAGCGGATCCTGCCGGCCCCCCCGCCGCGGCCCGGCGACCTCGCGTACATCATCTTCACGAGCGGCAGCACGGGCGTGCCGAAGGGCGTGATGATCGAGCACGGCGCGGCGGCGGCCAGCGTCGTCGCCCACGGGGCGGCGTTTGGCGTGTCCGCCGCCAGCCGCACGCTGCAGTTCTCGTCGCTGACGTTCGACGCGTGCGTCTTTGAGATCTTCACGACGCTGGCGGCGGGGGGCTGCGTCTGCATCCCCTCGGACGCGGGGCGGGTTGACGACCTGGCCGGTGCCATCAACAACCTGGGCGTCAACACGGTCATGCTCACGCCGTCCGTGCTGGCGCTGATTGACCCTGAGGCTATTCCTGGCGTGCGGAGTGTTATTTTTATCGCCGAGCAGGTTACCGATGGCGATATCAGGCGGTGGCGGGGCGAGGGTGATGGTGATGGTGATGGCCAGGCGGGCCGCAGGCTCCTCAACGGCTACGGGCCGACCGAGTGCACCGTCGTGTGCGTCGTCAACAGGGACCTGCGGCACGGCGGCGTCATCGGGCAGGCCGTGGGGTGCCGCGCGTGGGTGGTCGACCCGGACGACCACGACGTCCTCCTGCCGACAGGCGCGGCGGGCGAGCTCCTCATCGAGGGCCCCAGCCTGGCCCGCGGCTATATGGGGGACCCGGGGCGCACGGCAGCCTCGTTTATATACGACCCTGCGTGGGCACGCTCCTCAGGAGGCCCCCCACGTCGCTTCTACAAGACGGGAGACCTTGTCCGATATACACCCGACGAGGACGGTAGCCTTACCTATATCGGCCGCAAGGACACGCAGGTCAAACTCCGCGGCCAGCGCGTCGAGCTCGCCGAGGTCGACCACCACCTGCGGCTCGCCCTCCCCGCGGGCGCAGAGGTGCGGTCCGAGGTCGTCAACCTCCCGCCGCAGGGCAGAGCCAAGGGTTCAAGTTCTGGCGAGGTGGCCGCCCTGGCGGCGTTTGTCGTCCTCCCCGGGTGCGGTGCTGCGGTTGGTGGGGAGGAAGCTGAAGGGCTGTTATCATCATCGTCATCGGGACTGGTCCAGTTCAGAGAGGCCACGCAGGCCGCGGCCGCCGCGCTGACCAGGGCGGTGCCGTCGTACATGGTCCCGTCCCTGTTCGTGCCCGTGGCCCGGATGCCGCTCACCGTGTCGGGCAAGACGGACCGGCTGCGGCTGCGGGAGATGGCCTCGAGGCTTACGGCGCGGGACCTGGAGGTCTTGCGCTGGGGCCGGGGCCAGGCGGTGGCGGTGGCGGATGATGCTGCTGGTGCTGAGAACTTGAAGGGCAGCCGGGAAGGTAATAATAACGACAGCATCAAGAAGGCCCCCAGCAACGAGGCCGAGCGGGCGATGCGAGCCGCGTGGGCAAGCGTCCTGCGGCTGGACGACGAGGACATCGGGGTCGAGGATAACTTCTTCCGGCTCGGGGGCGACTCGATCTCGGCCATGAAGCTCGTGGCCGCGGCGAGGGCGCGGGGCATCGACGACCTGACCGTCGCGAGGATCTTCCAGACGCCGGTCCTGGGCGAGTTATGCGGCAGCAGGGGCGAGGCCGCGGAGAGTCCAGCCCAGACAGACCCCAAGCCTGCAGACATTTCCCGTGATATTGTCCGTGACAGTCGCCCCCAGCCTGCCCGAGCCGACCCCGACCCCGACGCCATACCCCCGTTCGCACTGCTCCCCGGCGCAGCTGGTACGGTCGACATCGACAAGGCCCGGGAAGAGGCAGCAAGGCAGTGCGGCGTGGCCCCCGACGCGGTCGAGGACCTGTACCCGTGCACGCCGCTCCAGCAGGGCCTGGTCTCGCTCACGGCAAAGGAGGGCAGCGGCTCGTATGTCATGCGGCAGGTGTTCCGCCTGGGCAGCACGGGAACAATAAGCACCCGGGCGCTCTGCCGTGCGTGGGACCAGACCGTCAGGGCCCACCCGATCCTGCGCACGCGGGTCGTCCACCTGCAGCTGGGCCCGGGCGGCGAGGGCGGCGAGGGCGGCGGGCCAGGGGCTCTTTACCAGGCCGTCTTGAGCCCCGGCCAGGCAGGGCTCTGGTGGCGCGGGGGGGAGACAGCTCGGGCGGGGATGGGCACCCTGAGTGAGTACCTCGCTGCGGATGAGAAGGAGGGCGGCGGGATCGGGGAGCTGGGCTCGCCCCTGTGCCGGCTCGCGTTGGTCTCGGATGACACGGGTAAGAACGAGAACAACAACAACAACAACAACAACAGCCGAGCAGGAGATGATGCAACATTAGTCCTCGTCTGGACCATCCACCACGCCATCTACGACGGGTGGACGATGCCCATCCTCAAGGAAGCCGTCGCGGAGGCATACGAGGCCATCACAGCCAGCCCCAACACAACCCACGAGCTCGTCCCATCCCCCCCGTTCAACCGCTTCATAAACCACCTAGCCTCATCCGACAAACCAGCCGCCCACGCCTTCTGGACCACCTACCTCGACGGCGCAACACCCTCCCCCTTCCCAGCAACACCAACAGCCCGCGCAGACGGCCTCGCGAGGAGCTACCGCGCAACCAGCGCCGTCGAGGCCGCCTACCGCCTGTGGGGGGACCGTGACGACGACGACGACGACAACTTGAACAGCAGCAGCAGCGGGGCGGCCGCCGACGTGGCCGTGTCGACCGTCCTGCGCACGGCGTACGCCCTCGTCGTCGGCGCGCACACGGGGTCCAGGGACGTCGTCTTCGGCACGACGCTCAGCGGCCGCAGCGCCCCCGTCGCCGGCGTCGAGGCCATGACGGGGCCGACCATCGCCACGGTGCCGGTGCGCGTGCGGTGGGGGGAGGATACCTCGCCGCGGGGGCTGCTGCGCCGGGTGCAGGTGGACGCCGGGGCGATGATGCCGCACGAGCAGTTTGGCCTGCAGCGCATTGCCGCGCTCGACAATGGCGGCGGCGGCGAGGCGTGCCGGTTTCAGAGCCTGTTTGTGGTCCAGCCCGCCGGGGACGGTGAGGGCGGTGCCGTGAGCAGGCTGTTTGGGGAGGGTCGTGAGGTTGCGGTGCGGTCTCGACACGTCCAGGGCAAGGAGGAGGGGGAGGAGGAGGAAGAAGAAGAAGGGGTAGGAGGAGCACCAGCCCAGACGTACGCCCTCGGCATCGAGGCCAGCGTGTCTGGCGGCGGCGAGCTGCGCCTGACGGCGACGTTTGACGAGCAGGTCCTCGACGGCGTGCAGGCCCGGCGCATCCTGTCGCAGGTGGCCCACGCGGCGAGGCTGCTGTATGAAGACACCAGCACCAGCAGCAGCAGCGCCGACAAGCCCCTGGCTCGGATCAGCCTCGCCGGGCCCGAGGACATGGCGCAGATCCTCACCTGGAACAACACCACCAACAACAACACCGCCGTGCGGGCCGTCCGCGAGCCCATCCACGACCTGGTCTCGCGCCACGCCGCCTCGCGCCCCTCCGCCCCCGCCGTCAGCGCGTGGGACGGCGACCTGACCTTCCGCGAGCTCGAGTACCTCTCCAACGGCCTCGCCCACCGCCTGCGGGCGTGCGGCGTCGGCGTCGGCGCCGGCGCCGGCAGCCAGGGAGAGGCAGCAGCAGTAGCGGTCGGCGAGGAGCACCTCCGCGGCGCCATCGTGGCCCTCAGCCTCGACAAGTCCAAGTGGGTGCCCGTGGCGGTGCTGGCGGTCCTCAAGGCGGGCGGCGCCTTCGTGGCCCTCGACCCGGCCCAGCCGGCGCCGCGGCTGCGGCTCATCGCCAAGGAGGCCGGCGTGCGGGTCCTCGTCACGACGACCTCCCTGGCCGGTGCTGGTATCAACGACGACGTGCGGGCGGCCAGCGTGCTGTGCCCGCCGGACCTGGTCCTCGGCCCGGACGAGATGGCCCGGCCGCCGCCTCGCCTCCCGAGGGCCGACGGCAGCGACCCCGGCGACGCGCTGGCTTATGTCGTCTTCACGAGCGGCAGCACCGGCGTGCCCAAGGGCGTGCTGGTCCCCCACGCCGCGGCGGCCTCGAGCCTCCTCGCCCACGGCCCCGCGATGGGCATCACGCCCGCCAGCCGCGTCCTCCAGTTCGCGGCCTACACCTTCGACGCTAGCGTGCTCGAGGTGCTGGGGTCGCTCCTATCAGGAGCGTGCGTGTGCGTCCCGTCGCGCGACGAGTGCGGCGCCGACCTCAACGCCGCGGCGAGGAGGTACGGCGTCACCTTCGTTGCCCTCACGCCGCGTGTGGCGTCGCTGCTCGACCCGGCTGCCCTCCCGGCCGTCACGGCGGTTGCCCTCGGCGCAGAGACGGTGCACCCGGCTGATATACAGCGGTGGGGCGGTGGCCGCCGCGTGAGCAATGGCTACGGGCCGACCGAGTGTGCCGTCGTGTGTGTCCTCGAGGCCCGCGACCACCGGCCCGGCCGGATCGGGAGGGGCGTCGGCGCCATCACCTGGGTTGTGGACCCGGACGACCACGACCGGCTGGCCCCTATTGGTGCGCCGGGGGAGTTACTGATCGAGGGGCCTTGTCTCGCGAGGGGGTACCTCAACCAGCACGACAAGACTGCAGAAGTCTTCGTCGAGGACCCCGCGTGGGCGAGGGACATGCCCCGGCCGGATTTCTACGGCACAACAACAACAGCAGCAGCAGGACGGACGGCGGGGAGGACGAGGAGGTTCTACAAGACCGGGGACCTGGTGCGGTACGACCCGGACGGGGCGCTGGTCTTCATGGGCCGCAAGGACACGCAGGTCAAGCTGCGGGGGCTGCGCATCGAGCTGGGCGAGGTCGAGCACCACCTGCGCCGGCTGTTGTCTGAGTGCGATGTGGCCGCCGACGTGGTGGGCCTCCCTCAGCGGGGGGCGGGCGACTCGCGGGCTGTTGTTGCGTTTGTGGCGCCGGGGCGTGGGACTGGAAAAGGGGCAGAGCCTAACAACAACAACAACACCACAGCCCCCTCCCTCGCCACCGACGACGCCGCCACACGGCTCGTCGCCTCGTGGGCCGACAAGGCTGCCGAGATGGGCCAGGTCCTCCCCTCGTACATGGTCCCGAGCCTGCTCGTCCCCATGACCAGACTGCCCCTGACGCCCTCGGGCAAGACGGACCGCCGCGTGCTGGCCGCCGTCGCGGCGGGATTAACAGCCGCCGACCTGGAGCGCCTCCAGAACGCCCAGGCCGCCAGGGAGCCGCCGCGGACACGCTCCGAGAGGCTCATGCACGCGGCGTGGGTGCGGGTGTTGGGCGCCCAGCCGGCAGAGGTCGGCGTCCATGACAGCTTCTTCCACCTCGGCGGGGAGAGCATCCTCGCCATGCGCCTCGTCCCCGTCGCCGCCGCGCTGGGCTTCACGTCGCTGCGTGTTTCGGATGTCTTCCGGACGCCCGTGCTGGCTGAGCTCTGCGAGAGGCTGCCGGAGCCCGAGTGTCGGCCGGATATGGAGGGAGATATGGGGGTGGGACTGGGGCAGGACCCGGTGGAAGAGGCCGGTGGTGCGCACGAGACACTGCCTGTTATCTCTCACCCTCCTTCCCCTGGTGATACGGACCACCCCTCTCCGTCACCACCGTCGTCGGTCGAGGGCAGTGACAGTTCTCGGGACATCGGACTACTCGGGAGTGGCATCAACAGCAACAGCAACAGCACAAGACTATCAACTCCAGGCAGCGCCACCCCTTCCAAGTCCCCCTCCCTCACGCCCCTCACCGACGACGACACGTACAACATCAGCCTCAGCATCGACATCAGCAACGGCGCCAGCACCCTGGGCCAGGCCCGCGTCGCCCCGGCCACCGACTTCCAGGCCCTCGCCTTCGAGTACGCCCACCTGCGCCGCCGCGGCTTCGTCAACTACTTCGTCCTGCGCCTGCGCGTGCCCGTCGGGCTCGGCCGCGTGCACGCCGCCGCCACGGCCCTCCTGCTGCGGTACTCGATCCTGCGGACGGAGCTGCGGATCGCCAACGGCCGCCTGTGGCAGGTCGTCGCCCCGCCCGCCGCCGCGGCGCCCGTGGTCGAGGTCTACCGGGCTGGTGGTGATAGTATCGGGGGGGTGATAAGCGACGACGCCCTGCCCGGGCGCATCGTCGAGATGGACGAGGCCCGCCGCCTCGGCGCCCGCGCCCAGCAGCCCGTCAAGTTCTTCGCCGGCCTGCCCGCCGGTGCGCCGGCGCCGGGGCCCGTCTCGTGCGTGGTCCTGCGGCTCGCGCACACCCACTACGACGGCCTGTCGTTCCCGCGCGTCCTCGACACGCTGGCCAGCAGCCTCTCGGATACCAGTACTAGTAATAACCCCGACAGACACCACCACCAGCAGGGAGGAGGAGCAGGACCCCCCGCGCCCGCGCCCGAGCTGTCCTTCTCCGACTTCAGCCTCACCGCCCAGGTCCTCCCCAGCAGCCGCTCCCTCGCCTACTGGCGCGCCCTGCTGTCCGGGTCGGCGCTCACGCCCGTCGTCACCCCCGCGGCGAGGGCCGCCAACGAGGGCGACGAGGGCCTCCTGACGGCCGAGATCCCCGCGCCCGACCTCGGCGCCGGCGGCCTGACCTTCCCGGCCGTGCTCAAGGCCGCTTGGGCCGTCGTCCTGGCCCAGCACGCCCGCGAGGCCGACGTCACCTTCGGCTGCATGGTGTCCGGGCGCATGCCCGTCGTGCCGGGCGCCGACGCCGTCGTCGGGCCGTGCGTGAATATCGTGCCCGTCCGCGTCAGGGTCGCGCCGGACATGACGACGCGGGACCTCGTCGCCGCCGCGCACGCGCAGCACGTCGACAGCATGGAGCACGAGCACGTTGGGCTGCGGCGCATCATCTCGCAGTGTACCGCCTGGCCCGCCCGCACAGACTTTGCCGGCGCGTCCGTCGTCCAGCACCAGGCGGCCGTGATGGCGCAGTCGCTGGGGGCCCTGTCCTCCGGGGCTGAGGGCGGTGGCGGCGGCGGTGGGCTGCTGCCCTTCGACCTCGGCGCCCAGGGCCGCAACGCCAACGCCGCCGCCGTCTGGGTCATCACCACCCCCAGCCCCACGCGCGACGGCGTCCTCGGCGTCGAGCTGTACTACGCGCGCCACGCCGTCCCCGCCCACGTCGCCCACGCCCTGCTGCGGGGCCTCTGCGTCGCGGTGCGGGAGCTCGGGCGCGGCTGGGGCTGTGGGGGGCCTCTGCCGCGGACTGTGGTTGAGTGTGTGGGGGACGCGCCGGTGCTGCCGTGCGGTGGTGAGTCGGGAGGGTGTGGTGGTGGTGGTGGTGGTGATGATGGTGATACTGATCCTGCGGCCCCGTCCCCGTCCCCGTCCCCGGGACAGCTGGAGGGCTCTGTGGTTGGCGAGGCCTGGGGCCGGCTGCTGAAGGCCCACCCGGGCGTGCGTGTCGCCCTGGGGGCGGCTTGTTCCATGTTCGACGTGTGGGATGATAATCTCGTTGCTGTGGAGCTCATGGGTATCTATGAGGACCTCGGGGTCTTTCTTGACCTGGAGGAGCTGCTGCGGGCTCCTACCATGGGTGCGCAGCTGCTCTTGTTGCGGGATTGGTGTTAGCTTGTGGTTTCTTGTTTCATGTCTTTGTAAAATATTAAGCATCAGCTGGGGCGTTATAGGGTAGAGGCATCGGTTAGGTTGGTTTCTGTTGTTATGTGTGGTTTCGCTTCTATTCCGTATACGTCCGAGGACATACATGGCGGCTTCATACGGTGGTAAGCACTCTTATTATCATGTACAATATATTATCATATGTTATAAAGTAAGCTCATGTCCTTGGTTGTACTTGAAAGTACGGACGCGAGGTTGTTCATATGGGAAATTTCCCTTAAACAATGTGCTTTTGCTTCCATTCCGTATACGTCCGAGGACATATACGGCGCCCTGACACCGTGGTAAATGCTCAAGACCATAGGGGATAAGTTAAAGGTGTAAAAGTATAGGGTTACTGCAACATTTGAGAAGTCGGGATGGACAATATGTTCAGACACTCTATAAAAGCTGAGACTAATTACGAATTCCAATCTACAGAAAAACACTGGCAACAACCGGGGAAAGCTCAAAACAAACTCCAGGACCGAGATTCAGGTCCTTGCGCACGAGGATTTTAAAATTCAGACTGGAAGCAGACGATCTCGATGGGAGTTCCCAAATCCGCAGGGTCTTCGTCAAACTCGTCCAGGACATCGGGCCCTATCTGCTCGGTGCTGACCGAGAGCTTGATGCCGGCCTCCCTCAAGAGGAGACCTGTTGATACGATCACCGGCTCGTAGCTGCCACGCAGCGGGATCTCAAGCGGCCAGGTGCCAGTGCTCTCAACGGTGGTGCTATCCACGATGACGACGAAGATATCCTTGAGCATCGGAAACTGGCCCCCAGCGCGCTTTGCGATGGCGAGAGGGACAAGCTGCCCCGCGAGCGTCGGCCAGTCATGTACGTACCTGATCGTGAGCCTGTGGAGGGACTCGGGCAGCCTCCAGTCCAGGTCCGGAAAATGTGGGCCGACGGGCCAGTCCTTGTAATCCGTAAGTGTTGCCATGCGGCCCAGGAGCACCTGGTCAACGGACAGGCGCTCGAGCCTGCGGAAGCCCCGAAACCGGGGCACATCGGACAGGTGTGACTCTGAAAAGGAATCGATTGCGACCCAGGGGCGGTTGCCTGGGCCGCCGTTGACATGCTGTGTGACCACGGTACCGGTGTACCTCAGGACGCGCAGGCTGTCATGTAGGGCACCGAACACGTCTGCGTTCGAAAACTCGTCGTCTGGCTGCCACTGCGTCAGTATCTCACGCGGGGGCTTCCGGTCAAAGTAGAACCACTCGAGGTTGGGAAACTCGCGCAGCATGCGGGTGATGTATTCCAGCTGTCTGGGTTGGTGTGATGACAGGACCAACCTACGGATGTTTGGGCCCAGCGGTGGCGAGTTGGCAGGGATATTGAGGGCTTGGTACCACGTGAGGGCCGCCTCGTTGTTCTGGAATGCCCAGAGGTTGGGGAAGCTCAAGAGCAGCGTCTCCATGTCGAATGCGACGGATCCGCTTGCTGAGGTTCTCATTCTTCCCCCGTTGGGCGCCGCTACTATCCCCAAGCCCAAGGTTGACACACAGGAGAGAATTCCTGCAGAAGGGCCACTGTTGAAGGTTTCCGCGGCCAACTCTGAGTCCATCATCAAACGTTCAACCCGATGGGCTAGCTTGAAAACAAGTAGCCTGACCAGCCAGATGTCGAAGTCCATTGACCGTTCTCCGGGTCGAGTGCCCGCAAGCCACAGTTCTCCATCCAACCAGTATGAGCGGTTGTGCACAGCCGGGGGGTTTTCTGTGGAGTGTTCAGGTAGATCTAGCAACTCGGGAACGAAGCTAGGTACGGGGAGATTGAACGACCGGCTGCCGTCGATGAGAAGACGTAGTCTTGTTTTATTCACCCCTGCTTTGAATCTGAGGGTAAAGTCCCGAAGAGAGAGGAATCTCAGATTCTTTCTGAGCTGTTCAGAGTTCAACAAAGCTTCCAACAAGTCGATGAAGGCCTTGTTGTTGAAGGAATGGGCCAATGCGATGTCCCTCGAACGGTCGTCACTGGGCCAAGTAGGACGGCCGCGGAAGCCTGGGTCGGGGGTGTTGATGAATGAATGGAAGCGGTGGTCATCTGCGACCGCGCGTAGGTGCCGGCTGGAACGTGCTAGGTTGCCCACGTCGCGCTGAAGCGCCAGTGCTTCACCTGCCGATGGGATCTCACCAATGCCAAAAGCGCAACTTGGACAGAGAAAACCCACGATCATCACTTGTATCTCAACTGGCAGACCCAGGAAATCGAAACGGTCGGCAGTTATCGTCGAGTTCAGATGGCGCTCTCGATGCTCGGCCCATTCGGCCCAGCTTCTTGACGTTAGGTTCCCCATCTCTGTGTGCTGTATCAGCAGGCGGACCAGTGGTGTTTGGTAGTCTTCAGTGGTGATGATTGATTACCAGTGAGGATGATTGGTTACCAGTGATGCCGGTGTGTCGAATCCGAATCAATCTCTCCTGTGCGAATCAGCAGGCCTTTTAAAGATTTCAGAAACTCATGAATCTGACGGACTGGGTGTATCCAGGAATCAAACAATCATATTGTTCAGGGTAGCTCGGGCAAAGACCAGCGGCAACGAGCAACAATGCCTTTGGAGTGGGTGTGCGAAATTCAATGCACAGAGCACAAGAGATGTCCATCTTGCAGGCCGACCGGCCCGAAGGGAACGGCTGTGAGAATAATGATTTCGGCAGGCGATGCCCAAAAATAGCTCCGATGCCATTGACAAGGAAGAATTTGACTTAAGCCTCAATTGCTCCCTCGGTGATTTGACATGAGTTCATAGATCCCAATTGAGGTATAGTGTCATTGTGATGGCCGATGATAACACTCTGCGAACTATTAGATATGAAAGTTTGTTGTTGCGCGCATGGTCCCGTACCACAGTCTCTACAATAGTTGACACATTGCCGTCATCAACAGCAGCCCTCGCGAGACGACAGAAGTGACCACTTCCACAGCCTATGGAACATTAGGAAGGTGTACCGAAAATTCAAGCTACTAATTAAAAACAATATAAATCTATTATTTAATAATTAACATAATTATATATAATTATTAAATTCTCTCCATGTAAGCAAGGACGAACATGAGGATAATATATGTCGAGAGTTTATCGACAACCCCGAAGCCTGTCTGCACTGCTTTCCCGCGCTGGTTCTCGATCTCATAGACAATATCGATACCCTCTGGGAAGTCTACGAGGCGTCAGGAAGGGTTGAGGCTGACGCTCTCATTCTTAAGATGCTGCTCGACAAATTCTCTCCCTTTGGGTCCTGTGTTCCTAGGGATGGCATTTTAGCGTTCCTATCTATGGCCAGCGATATGGACGGACCTGATTGGAAACCATACTACTCGAGCGACAACACAGTCACAGAACTATACAGCCAAGCCGTTCTTCATATCATGAGAAGCAGTGGCTTGCTGGACATCATATGCCGTTATATTCATAACCTCGAGTTTGCCCAACTGTTGGGCAGACAGGCACGATCCTCTGCAATGCCAGCGTCGCGAAAATCGAACTGCCTTTGCAAGAATGGATGGATCTGCCAGGAATCAAGGAGATTGGTATGAATAGTGATGGCCAGTTTGGATGTAACTTTGTCAAGGCTGTCACAGGTAACAGGAGAATCGTTAATGGTAGAGTCTGTCACATATCAGACGACTTGGACGGCCTCCGACAGATCATCAAGCCAGACACAAGCACAACAAGCGGAAACCAAAGGGTCAAGCTTAGAATCATCTGTCCAACTCTATCTTTCCTATGTTATCAAACAGCAGGAAGTTTGCGACAACGGAAATGTCTCTGGGATTTGTACCAGTCGGGACATAGGTGGGAGACCGTATTGCAGTACTCGTTGGGTGCTCAGTTCCTGTTGTTATCGGGAAGATCAAAACTTCACCAAACAAGACGCTTTGGGTATTGAAAGGTGAACATGGATGGACTTGTGGAGGGCGAAATGTGGGACACCTCGGGACACCGTAATAGTTGTCTGCAAACTATTACGTTAGTAAATAAAAACGCAGGGCTTTTTGTCCCAGGCTTCTCACAGAATCCTGTGACAGTGTGCACGGCGTTTCCAGGGCTGGACTGACCGTGGTAATAGCGTATCGCCAATTCCGGAAGCGGCCCCTATTCTATGCCAAGATGTATTAAGCTTTTTTACACCTTTTCTCTAACCTTTCTTATATCCTCTACTACCTACTTTTCCTATAACCCCAATAAGGGGTCTTTAGTTAGCTATACCCCTTTAAATAAAATATATAATATTTATTATAATATTAAGTCTATTTTAATATTCTCTTTAATAATTATTATTAGAGATTAATTATAGTTAAAAAGAGGTTATATTAAATATAACTTTAAATATATTATTAAGTTTATATATAGTTTTTTTATTTATTAGTAAAGGGAAGTAAATTAATACTATTATTATTAGATTAATTTATAGATAATTAATAGTTTATAATATAGAGAATAAAGATATAGTTGTTATATTAAGGATATATTTAATCTATATATTTAAGTTATTATTAATTAATTAGTTATTAAAGAGGGTATTAAAAGTTAATTTACTCTTTAAAAAGAGTATTATAAGTGTTATTTATATTATTTACTTCTTAAAAGCTAATAGAGTAGTTTATTAAACTATTAATTATTTATAAAGTATAGGTATAAAAGTATTATAATTAATTAATTATAAAGTATTAATAATAAGAATTTTAAAGTATAAAGTTATAAATTAATTAATTATATATATATAATTATATTTAATTTAATAATAGATATAATAATTAGTATATTAATTATAATAACTTTATAAATCTTTATTTTTATTAGTTTTATTAAAAGGGTCTTTATAAATAGATTTTTATTACTATAAGCTTTTAATATTTATAAGATATTATAAAAATACTCTTATAATTATTTAAGGTAGTTAAATTAGTTATTTTATAGGTTAGTTTAATAAAAGTTAATAAAGAAGTATTTTTAAAGGATCTATTTAATTTAATATTAGTTATTAAAGTTAATAATTAGTAATTTATTTATTATTACTTTTATTAAAAGAAATTCTTAGTAATAAGACTCTTATTAATTAAAGGGTCTTTTAAAGTTACTATAAAGTTATTTAACTTTCTTTTTAAAGATTTTAATAAATAACTATATAATTTATAAAGAAATTAACTTACTTTTAAAGTTATATTTTATTAAAGGTTTATATAAATAATCCTTATAAAGTATTATTTTTATAAAGGTATTTAAAGGTTTAAATATTAACTTTATAAAAGTAGGTTTATTATAGTTTTTTATTATTTTATTTTATTAATTTATTTAATAATTTATTATTAAAGGTTTAATAGTAGATACTTTAAGGCTTTAAAGTAAAAGGTAATAATATATAGTTTTAAATAATATTTAAACTTTTAATATTATTTAGCCTTTTTATTAATAATATATTATATAAAGATATTATTAAATTACTTTTATAAGGGCTAAGTAATAAAATATTACCTTAAAGTTTTAACTTTTTAAGTATTTATAGAAGCTCTTAAAAGGAGAAGTTATAAATATATAAATAAGGAGAGGAATAGTAAATTTAAAGTAAGTTAATTTTTATTTTATTAATTAAAAGGTAAACTAACTTTATTTATAAAGTTTATTAATTATAGTTATTTAATAATTTATTTTTTAGTTATTTATATTAAGTTAATAAGGGCCTTTATACCTATAAACACCCTATATAAAAAATACCTACCTACCCCTCTTTTAGGTAGTTAAAAGAATTCAATCCTTTTTTATTTCTCTTTTAAATACGTCTAAATTAAGAGATTTTTACTATCTCCCTTTATTTCGCGTAAGCGCTTTTTTGGGCCTATAGTTAGGCGTTTAACTAGCCTACTTATACTTTAATTTATTGGTAAACAACTATAAAAAAACCTTTTATATAAAAAGAAAATCTAGTTTATATATGCGTTTATACTTAACAGCTATATTTACTAGATATTCTAACTATTAAAAATGGGTTTCTAATTATGGGTCTTTTAATAGCTATTAATAAAAAGCTTATTTTTATAACCTAATTATATATATAGCTTTACTTATATATATTAAGAAAATTAAAGCAAGCTTTTTAAAAATTTAAAAGTAATTATTAACTAAAAATAGTAGTTGCTATTTTAATATAAAAAAAAATAATTTATTAGTATAAAAAAATATTTAAAATACTAAAAAATTTTAAAGCGCTTTTAAATAAAAATCTAGTAAACTTTAAAAAAAAGGTAAAGTAATTTTTTACCTATTTTAGCATAAAATAATTAAAAAATAAAACCTTTTATTAAAAAATTTAAAAGTAGTAATATTTAAGTAATAAGGGGCTTATAATATGCTTTATAAATATAAAATACTAAAACTATAAACTTAATTAAAATGCTAACCTTATTTTACTTATATAAAACTATTAGGTAGGTTAATTAACACGAAATTTACTTTAAATAAATTTATTTACTCTTTATTTTATTAATAAATAAGCTATTATATAAATATTTATATATATATATGTAATTTAGTACTTAAAAAAGGTTAAAATTAATATAGGTAATTTA